GGTTAGGGTGTGAGGATGCTCTGGCCCTAGCACCTGCTTGCGAGTCTCCATTACTTGCATGTCTAGCTCTTCTGCTTCCTTCCATCGTCCTTGATTCCGGTATGTTGATGCCAGGTTAGCTATACTGATCAGAGTATTAGGATGCTCTAGACCCAGCACCTGCTTGCGAGTCTCCATTGCTTGTACTTGTAGCTCTTCTGCTTCCTTCCATCGTCCTTGATCCCAGTATGTTAATGTCAGGTTGGCCATGCTGGTTAGGGTGTGAGGATGCTCTGGCCCTAGCACCTGCTTGCGAGTCTCCATTACTTGCATGTCTAGCTCTTCTGCTTCTTTCCATTGTCCTTGATTCCGGTATGTTGATGCCAGGTTGGCTATACTGATCAGAGTATTAGGATGCTCTGGTCCCAGTACCTGCTTGCAAGTCTCTATTACTTGTACTTCTAGCTCTTCTGCTTCCTTCCATCGTCCTTGATCCCAGTATGTTGATGCCAGGTTGGCCATGCTGGTTAGAGTGTCAGGATGCTCTGGCCCCAGCACCTGCTTCTGAGTCTCCATCACCTGTACCTGCAGCTCTTCTGCATCATTATATCTCCCATCGCTATACAAGCAAGCCCCAACATTCTGACGCAAGTCAACATATTTCTCCTGTTGCTCATGAATCTCGCTCTCTCCTAACACCAGCAACGCGTGAGGTAGATACTGTTGCCACAGCTTTCGATTGCTATGGCTGCTGTCAGGGAAGATTTCATTCAACCGGTCTGTTGCCTTCAATATCTTCTGTGTGAACTGGTTCTTTGTCCTCATCCAGTTCCGTGTTGCAAGGTATACAAGTCGATGAAGACTTAGCAGACCCTCCCCAGCCTGTTCACTAACAAATGAGTAAGCCTTAAGAAGACCGACAGCATCATACATCTTCAACTTAGATGCTGGCTGCGGGAGAAATGACTGAGGGATATCGCGTGGATTAATGCAAGCCATAAGTGAGAGATAATCACTTGCTAAGGTATCGAGGTGCTGAATTTGCTGGAATGATATCCACCATGTGGTAGCCACTGGATTCTGAATATCCTTATATCGCCCTTCATCCTCAAATTCCTTACTTAGCAACTCTACCACACTAGCCTCCTGTTCTTGGAGAAGATCAATGTAATCTTTCAGCTGCATGGTGTTCTCATTGATATATGCTGCTGCCTGAGTAATAGCTAGCGGGAGAAAGGCAAGGTGTTCAAGAAGTATTGCTGCCGCATCATTTTGACCTAGAAAGTAATTTTCAGGCAAGGATTTTTCCAAAATCTTCATCGCAGTATCTTGATCCTGATCAGGGATTGATATCACATAGGAAGATACAAGTTTCACTGCTAGCTTCCGATTCCGTGTAGTGAAAATAATATGGCCTTGCTCATTTTGAGGAGGGAAGTCCTTAAGTGCAGGATTAGTATTACTGCCCTGCATCCACATCTCAATATCATCAGCGTTATCAAAAATAAGAAGCCATTTCCCAGCATCTTTATGACTGAGATATGCCTTCACTCTGTCTTTTGCCTCGGCTGGCTTCATGTCCTCGATCCCCAGTGTCTGGGCGATGTTCATGTAAGCTTGTTCGACACTTTCATAGCTGAAACATGGGACCCAGAAAATTGAGCATTCGGAATCTCTTTCTCGGATGCGGTAGGCTAGCTCCAGTGCCACCTGAGTCTTCCCAACCCCTCCTAGTCCACAGACAGCGACCTTGCTCGGTCCATTCTGTTGCGTAATCCATTCTTCAAGTTTGACAATCTCGTCGTGCCTGCCCACAAATTGTGGATTTTTCCTGAATGGGACTATCCAATGACGTTTTCTCTCTGCAAAGAAACTTAGTATAATAAAAGTTGATTAGAATATACCTCCTAACCTTCTCTGTGAGTAGGTGACCAATACTCTAAGAATGTTTTGGCAGCTGAAGCGCCTGTTGCCGCTGCATAAGCTTGCCATGTTTTACTTTTGTGGCTGTCCGCATAGTCACACACTCCCTTAATGATAATACATGAAATATTATCCCACACTCCAGCTCCCTCCATTTCGAAACCAATAACCCTCTCTGCTTTGATTATATTGTCGCGGTGATCTCCAGACTTCATCACCCTATTTGCAGATGCCACTTTCCCAATATGCAGTGACGCTTTGACTGCTTCCGCGCCATCCCGGCGACGACTGACTTGTTTCTCATCACACCCTAGCTTCTTGCAACTTTCGTCTAATGCCTCACTGCAAATATTTTCAGGGTTGCCACCATCAAAGCAACAACAATTAACAGTTGAACCTTGACTGTAGTGCTTGTGGTGGTAAGAAGCCTTATAGAGGATATCCTCACACCTCGGGTGCTGCCATCGTGTATCTGATTGCTGAATTATACAAAGATGCTGGGACATCTGGTCTTGAAATTCTATCCGTGTTTGCTTTCCTTTAAGGCCAGCCAGGAGGGTCCGAATTTCTCGATCGGGTCGTCCCAGGATCTCCTTGACGTCTGTCTTACGCTGGAAACCACCCGGATATTGTCTGCCAAAATCATATTCAACCACAGCATCACTCACAATGACATCGCCAAGAAAGATATTTTGATCACTTGATGCGTAGGGGGCTCCGCCACAGATGCCAACCACCAGTGCAAGTCGGACTCCCTTGTAGCTGACTCGTAGGCTCGAAGCCACACTGGCCGCGCTGCCGATTCCCATTCCCGGCATATAGCACAGAACAATATCATGCTCCCCAATCCTACCATTAATATATGCATTCGCGTCCCCGGGCTGTTTACCATAAATCTTGCCCAATCGGTCGTAGGTTTCGTCGAAAAGAGCCTCAACCGCGTCAGCCTCGATAGGCAGGGCGCAGATTATGGCTACAGCAAAATCAGATCGGCATTTAGGGCGCATATTCAGGTATCTTGAAGTTTGTCTGAACGATCTAAGAATTCCAAGTCGGCGAAGGCTCTAGATTCTGTGAAGATGATACAAATTAAGACGAGGTCGAGCGGGGTTTAAGGCCTTTTCATCAAATGTGGCTGATGTGTCGTTCTCCAAACAATTCACAGCCTTGTCTGAGATCGCCAATCAGAGGCTCGAACTAGTCGCTCTGGTAGCCTCATAGCAGGAAAATCATGAGACATAAATACCCCGGTCCCATAAATATATACAGTAAAGGAAATTTGCCAGGGCGGCTCCCAAAGGAATATATTCGTATAACAAAATTACTGTGACTAAATGATTTAAACAAAGCAACTAATTAGTTATATGGTAATAAAGGTTGATATAAGATTGACAAATACAAAAAGCATTAGTTAACAGCTCCAGTCAGAGAACAGAGACATATTGAAGTAAACTCAAATAACAGAAAGCTAAAGCTGAGAAGGTAAACTAGGAGCAAGGCAGCTTGGAAATCCAAGGAACTGGGGATAATTAAATAAGTATACTTGATACACGAGATACATAGAAACTTAAAAGTAAGCATGAAGATGCAGAGATCACATTCCAGCGCCAAAGTGGTAGTATCAAGCAGTGCGTGATAGTAAAATAAATGCATACGGACTGATAATGGGGCTATCACAGAGGGGAGACCTGCAGATGAAGCCCTAGAACCCTAAGGCAAGACAAGGCCTTGCAAAAACAAGACAACACAAGTGGAGAGCGAATGGGAGAAGTGCGTGGAAACACGGTTTTCTATGGGAGCTCCAGCCTTTTTCGCGTACAGTCTGGCGGGCTCGTTTACTTTTTCCTTCCTCTCACTTCGTTCCTCGTTCGTTTCAGGGCATCACTCATGGCTTGTATTAATCCACGCAATATCCCTCAATCCTTCCTTCCACAACCAACGTAATATGGAAGGTGGTTGATGCTCTTGGCCTTCTCAGTGCCTATTCATTTATTACTACCCAACCTGGGAATGGCTCCATAACCCTACATCGCCTGGTACATCTGGCAACTCGAAACTAGATGAAAAAGGAGGAACAATTTCCGTTCTATATAAGAAAAGTAGCAGACCGATTAAACGAGACCTTCCCCAATAATAATCATATCAACCGACAGCTTTGGAGGGAATACCTGTCCCACGCCCTATTCTTATTGGGTGATAATGAGCTTAAAAACCAACAAGAGCAAGATATTGACTTCACAGAGAATGTGGGGAAGTGCTTGGATAGTGATGGGAGATACAACGAAGCAGAAGGGCTGTTGGTGCAGGTAATGGAGAGCCGGAAACAGGTGCTAGGGCTAGAGCATTCTGATAGTCTGACCAGTATGAACAACCTTGCATCAATATACCGAAACCAAGGATGATAGAAGGAAGCAGAAAAGCTGTTGGTGCAGGTAATGGAGAGCCGGAAACAGATACTAGGACCAGAGCATCCTGATACTCTGACCAGCATGGCCAACCTTGCGTATACTTGGGAATCACTGGGAAATATTTAGGCCGCCTTAGCTCTGATGGACCAATGTGTAGGGCTCCGCCCCACAGCATTAGGCTCGATTCATCCGGATTCTATGTCTTCAACGAAAACCGTGCAACAGCAGTGGACGGCTTATCAGCAAAACAGAAACAACAAAATCCTCCTGCTCTACCCATGCACACTCAGTGTTTTCATCCAATTGATTTAGATCCAAAGCATGTCAGAGGGATCAAAGGGGGAGCTTTCATGAACTTTTTCTGGAGACAACGACCTGCGTTTTATACCTAACTGTACTTAAATAAAGCAATAATTTGTAATTCAAGGCTCGTCCAGACCTTCTGTGCGATGATCCTATTCACATTGATATCTAACATGGAGATCTAACGAACCAACAGACGTAGAGAAGGAAGAGAAAAAGAGAGAAAGAATCTATCATACAAGAACTGTGGGATTTTCTGTTGTAGGATCAGATCAACAGTGAGTAGAACGGACTTGGTGCCTCAGGCAGGGTTCGGTCTAGGTCCTGACATTCTGCCAGTACTGCAAAGTGCCTTATCAGTATGTGAACGGCATGTATCCTGAACAGTCTGTCCGTGACAGTCGCAATGCAGTGCAACCGCCGGCTCCGTATGATTGGGATAATGTATAACAGAGGCATGTAAATTCTATATAGTATGTAACCTAAGTGAGGTCGCATGAGAAGACACGACTAACATTTTGTCGACCTTCAACGCCGGACTAACTGTTAGTCAGCGCCCGCTCGGTCATAATTTCGTATAGTTTCTATTTCCTATCTAGTTAGTTAAGTTATTCCCTATTTTTCGTGTTCCGTGCAGCTTTGGCGGTAGATTCAGTCAAACAAGACCTTCGTATTGGTATGGGTAAGGACTTAGTCGATATTTCCGTAGCGAGGTCCGACACATTTAATAGTCTGCTGCCGGTTTGGAGCTTCTAAAATTCTGTATTTACTTTACATGTCCTGTAAAGTTTGGCCATAAGATTCTCGAGATTACTGAACATGCCCAAGTTTGCAGTTCACTCGGCTTAGGGGTTTGGGAACAATCTGGAAGAGTCTGGGATGGGCAGAGCAGTTGTGCAAGGCACTGTAGAGCAATGCTTGACCAGTTTTCCTTTTTCCTTCTTTCCCTTTTTCCATTGATTAATATATCATCCCCGCTCGACGTGTATAGCCTACATTCAACTACACTACATCGCATTGACATGCCTAACCAATTGGATCTTGTTTATCAAGAATAATGATTGTTAGATAACGATTGTCAGGGGAGGACACTAGGTTCCACTTAGAAAAGAGTAGTTTCTTTATCATTGTATTCTTAGCAGTGCATTAATTAAAAGCTATTTCTCAATACAGAATAAAGTCCAAATGATTGTGCAAAGCCGAGGTAACTAGATTGCCCTAGCACCTGAAGCTCACTGGTCTGTTCGGAGTTCTGAATTCACTACGCATGTAGCACTTAACACAGTACTTCCCTCAATATCAATTATCGTAGACGCTTACTGAGGGCTGGACCTGGCATTCCTATGTTTAATTGATAATGGATATTCCAACGATACACACTAGTCTATGGATACCTAATATCAATTAAGGAATAGTGCCAGTAAGCATGTTGAGTGTGGGACAGTCCGTGCAAAGGCCCACTTCCATCGTCTGTTCCATTTGGGATGATCCCTCTAAAAGAGTATTCAGGCACCATAGCAAGGAATTCAGAAATTTATCCTTGGACTAGTTTACCAGGCTACGAGTAGTTACTATAAGGGTTCAAGAATATTCAATTGGAATCCGTTGGTTGAGAGAATGACGATTTCCCAAGTTAGGGTTTTAGAGTTTGCAGTTTCGGTTGCCACTTCACATCTATGACGGAAGATCTTCGGTGGTACCATATCATGATCTTTTAATTCTCAGTGGAAGATTGGTTTGTGTCAGAAATTGCATGTGAAAGAAGGTGGAAGCAGGTCATAGCGAATAGGATATTTCTAAGAGCTTCTTGATAGGGCTATGACCCTAGATTGGTTACTTAATATATGAACAATACACTAGATGGCTGGACGAGCGAACAATGCCATTCATACTATAGTAGTAGATATTGCGCACTCCCGACCGAAGCAGAACAGGCGAGAAACCGCTCCGGTTAACTGATTCTCGAGAAACGTCTACTCTAAAGTCAAAGGCAGGCGCATGTAGTTCGTCATATAGAGATATTCGGATACCACAATCAACCGAAACTTCCACTCGTTCCAGTGGTCGGATACGGAAGTACAGTTCCCACGAAGATGCTCTGGGATGTGACCGTTCTGAATATGTATGGCACTGAATGGACTGATCAAACCCTGCAAAACCTCTGCGTGAGGAGGTTACAGATGTGGCGAGAACGTTGCATTAGTAGTGCTCCACCCGAGGTATCATGGAGCTGTGGAACGTGGGTCATTTACCACTTCGGCCTGTCACAGAGCTTCAAATTCCTCACCGGCCCCAAGAATGGATTTGCCATCGAAGGGACCGAGGATTCTGTGCTCCATGATGACGAAATGTTCGGTCGGTCTTCGTACTTTTCACTTGTCTAGGTCGGCATGCCGAACAGAAGTCTCGGGGGCTCAGTCCAGGAACTCCCTGAATTAACTTTTCTCATTAATGAACGAGTTTTTCAGTACTTCAATTGTTAGAAATCGGTGGTGCGGTTTCCTGTTCCTTTTTTATTCCCTTTCCATGAGACGGTCAGATTGGTCCAAAATCCACCGACTCTAACGCCTTTCCGTTTGTCTGTGTCTCTCACAATGGCTGATCAATCAGTCAGTAATGCCCCCCACAGTCAGTCTAGTAATTCTTTTCTAGACAGGTTAGTTTCAGAAGTTCGCTGTTCGTGCCTTTTTACCATCGGACTAACAATTTGTTAGACTGAAGGGTTTCTTCGGCTTTGGTAACGATGTCGACCCCGAGGAACTGCGTAATAACAAGGACATCGAAATCCACACCTGGAACGGCCCAAATGACCCAGAGAATCCGTAAGTAACCATCCTGTTTGTCAAGAAGTTTGTCTTTCATGTCCACTAACTGAGCTCAGGTTCAACTGGAGCCTCAAGTATAAATGGCTCCTAACGGTCACTGTTTGCTTCATGTAAGCCTCATACTACTCCGTTCTAGCGATGAGCTATAGACTAACTGGTTGAACAGCTCCATCTTAACTGGTCTCCCGGCAGGTACTTATGGCTCTGGTAATGACTGGATGGAGGAGAAGTTCCATGTGCAGAACTCTCCCTTCCCCAACCTCTACTGGGCAACAACGTCCTGGAACATGGGCGCTGCCTTTTGGCCCCTGATCTTTGTGCCTCTTACTGAGTCCTCTGGTCGTATGCCAGGGTATTTTGTGGCCTATGTGATTCTGGTCATTTCGCTGTTCCCATCAGCATTTGCGAAGAACTTCGCTACGCTGGTTGTCACCCGTTTCTTTGGTGGAGGTGCCTCGTCGGTATCTATCAACATTGTTGGAGGAAGTATTAGTGACGTCTGGTTGGGTGAAAAGGCCCGCAGCTTACCCATGTCGCTGTTCGGATTCACTAGTGTTGTAGGCATTGCTCTTGGTCCCTTCATCGGGTCGGCCATTGTGCAGATTCCCAAGTCTGATCCCTGGCGTTGGTAAGTCATCCACATCTCGTTTTACAGAACCTCTCTCTTTTTAACTTTTGACTGTTTCGCAGGATCTTCTACATTCAGATCATCTACAATGCCGCTCTGATTCCCGTGTTTTACCTGATTCTCACCGAAACCCGCCCGGATGTGATCTTGAAGAAACGGGCCCGAAAGATCCGCAAGGAAACCGGTCGCCCTGTTTATGCCCAAGCAGAGCTCAACAAAGTCAACACTTTGAAGTTACTACAGATCTCCTTCCAACGTCCTACACGTATGCTTACAACTGAGCCTGTTGTCATTTTTTTCACCCTGTGGATCAGTTTTGCCTGGGGAATTCTGTATCTCTTTTTCTCCAGTGTTGTCCAGACCTACAGCACCAACTACGGCTGGAGCGTCATGGCCACCGGTCTAGTACAGCTCGCTATCTCCGTGGGAGCCGTCATAGGTACCGCCATCAACCCTATCCAAGACTGGATCTACCTGGGTTCAGCCAAGCGCAACGCCGAAAAACCTGGAAAGCCTATCCCTGAGGCTCGTCTCTATACCGCTATTCCCGGCAGCTTGCTCTTCGCAGGCGGCCTGTTCTGGTATGGTTGGGCCAGTATGCCCGATGTGCATTGGATCGTTCCCACCATCGGTATCACGGCAGCCGGTATCGGTATCTACTCTATCTACATGGCCGTGGTCAACTATCTCACCGATGCCTACGAAAAATATGCTGCTTCGGCTCTGTCAGCTGCCTCACTGGGTCGTAACTCGTTCGGCGCCTTCTTGCCCCTGGCTTCGCCTCAGCTGTTCTCGAATCTGGGCTTCGGATGGGCTGGCTCGCTATTGGGATTCATTGGTATCGCGCTTTCGGTGGTCCCTGTTGTGCTGGTGCTTAAGGGGCCTGATATTCGTCGTCGTAGTCCGTTCATGCGTGAGTCTATGTGGACTCCTGATGAGACAGATGAGATTGATGAGAAGGATGAGCCAACAGCGGAGAAAGTGCCTACAGCGGAGATTCCTTGAATGGAGCGTGTGTATATTGTACTTGCATTGGCGATGAGGGATGGTATGGGCTCTTGCCAGAAAAGTGTGGTTTTTATTTCCTTTATCCAAGTCGGGTGTACATATTGATAGAGTTTTGCTATATATCGGCCCAGAAAAGAGCTACGGCTGCGTACAAATACATGCATACAGAAATCACTATAACGATGAATGCGATCTCGTCAGAATTTATAATAGTATATCTCTCTATAAAGATCCGCAACTAGCACAAATAGGCGGTAGAAACCCCCCTCGCTCACCAGCCAACAACTCTCGACCAATCACAATACAAGCTGCTATAGTGCCTTCTATGTATATTGTTAGGGCTGGTGATCTAAAAAGATTTAATACACAGTGTATATTAATACTAGGAGTCTCTGTGGTCCTATATAAAGAGCCCCATTCATTGGACTCGTTCATAGTTGGCAATTATGCATATCCTCCATCCAATACCCCTGTCCTCTTCACGGTACCACTTACCTCAACAGAGAGAAACATGTGTGCAAACGTTCCCATGTCCGGATGTTAATCTTGGAGGAAAGTGAATTTGTATGGGGTCTATATACAAAGTGGGCCAGTCTATATTTCCTTTCCTCTTTCTACAGAGTGCAGGGCCTTGTCGACCTTTTCATTCACAGCTTAATAGAATGAAATGGACGGTACATCGGACCAGTAAACTTTATTTTGTGTTGATAAATCTACTATACTTGCAATAATAAAAGCTCATTCTATAAAGTCCACCCTATAAAGTCTCAGCGGTGAAAAATGACTACGTATGTACACCATCAACCTTCTATCAGTGTAGACGAATGATCCTCTGTAGTGATTAATCACAATCTAGATAGGTACTGAACTGGCTCACCATTCCTATCTATCATATCACTTCTACCGTGGAACATATCTTGACACATTTGTGGGATGGTAAGTTAGACGCACATTTTTTCCCAAGGGCTTCAAGAAGGTGAGCTCATACGGTGCCCACTCAAACTGTAGGCCTATGGAAAGCCTTCTTGATCCCAAAGGAAAGAAAAAACTATCTAACCTGTGGAACACGCGTGTCTTTAGACTCCATCCATCTACACCCCTACCTACTTTGGCGTGGACTTGTCTAGCGTATGGGTCTCTAGCTAATAAAACAACCGATATCCCTACAGTCCTATAAATATCTGCGTATCAAATTCGAAGGTGAGTCCTGTCTGCAGTACGTCCTGTCCTGAATCAGCTTGGCTGGGCTAATGTCTCTAGACGTATATATATTGAGTATTTTGTCGCTTCTGTCCTTTATGGCTTTGCCTCAAGAGCCGCCATCAGGGAAGACTTGGCAGAACTAGCCAGCCACTGTTAGTGAGTAACTTTTAGGCAGAGACGGATAATGGTCGCTCTTCGGCGTACGAGTCCTTCGTACAGAAACCCAAGGCTTTGGAAAAGAGATCAGAAGAAGAGCAAAAGGAAGCCGATGAAGAAAAGCGGACGAAAAGAGGAAGAAAGACAACAGGAGCGGAAGTCCGGGAACGACGTTGGCCGAATTCATCCGATATCTACACAAGCTTTCCTATTCCGAGGTACATGTTGAGAACATGTCTGAATCCAAACGAGGGGAGATATTACCGCTCACGGGGAATGGTGGTATCACGGCTCCAAGAGTAAAGAACCATGACAGATTTCTAACAACCAATATATACGACTAGACCACCAAAAACGCCCGAACACTAGAGATGTTCTGATACGTGATACTTCATTGTTACTTTTGGTTGATATTGCCCTGAAACGAAGGAACTGAGTGAAAGGGTTACTACCGCCCGCGAGGTGTCCGCAAAATGACGCTGTGATCGCACTGCCAAAGCCTTCGCTCTGATTGGCTGTGCTCTCATGCCAAGACGTTCCTTCATTGGTTGTCATATTTCACGGTAACGTGATCTTCTTCTCTATAACTGGAAGACGCGCGCTGACGCACGCTGATGCCCTGAAACGATAAAAATAAAAACAGAGAAGAGAATCATCAGGTTTTCGACCATGGCTTTACTGATAGATATTTACCATTATCCCAGAAGCAAGGGATCGCTCGACCCAACCAAACATGGTGCCAAGACGGGAACTACGACTGACAATAACCACCAGCTCAGCAATATGTAGGAAGCACCAGCCAACTGCCTTTTTGGGTCGTTACGGCGGGAAGTTATAAATCTGATACGTGCATATATGTATATGGGTTCCTTAGTGTATAGGCTACCAGAATACTTAATCAACTTCTTGTAGGTCATGAACTTGCGGCACAGATGAACTGCTCCTCGAACCTATTAGGATTCGGAGGGGATGGTTTTCAATAAAGTATTTGTTAGGAGTTACTGATTGTTCTTGTCTTTGATACAGGGCAATGCGTTCTTCATTAGCTACTTTTGTGATCTCCACGGCTGGTAAGTATTCTGCAAAGGTTTCTTGAGGAGGTTGAGGGTTTTGACGCTGTTTATTGTCCATTCCTTCCACTTCCTGTGGGACCGAGATGAGGATTTGGCATCTGGGTGATCAGGACCTAATACTTTGTTCCGGAGCGCAACACATTTTTCCCATTATAGTGAAGGCATTCTGAATCTTCCCTTGGGATTTCCAGGTAAAAGCAAGATTGTGCATGCTGAACAGAGTATTGGGATACTCTGGCCCCAGCATCTGTTTCCAGGTCTCCAGTACTTGCACCTCCAGCTCTTCTGCTTTCTTCCATCGTCCTTGATTCCGGTATATCAATGCCAGGCTGGCCATGCTGGTTAGAGTGTCAGGATTCTCTGCCCCCAGCACCTGTTTCCGGGTCTCCAACACCTACATATATAGCAGCTCCGCTTCACTATATCTTCCGTCTCTATAAAGACATCCCCCGGCTTTCCAGACCAGACCAATATATTCTCCTTCTTATCTTGAAAATCACATTCTTCTATCTAAGCAAGGGTATGTGGGAGACATTCTTGCCATTGCTTTCGATTGCTATGATCAACCTCTGGAAAGGTTCCATTTAAATCCTGCAGCTTTTAATACTTCCGAGCTAAATTGCCCATTCTTTCTTAACCAGCTCCGAGTCGTAAGATATACTAGTCGATGCAGACTTAGCAAATTGCTCACTGTTTGCTTGCTAATAAATGAATAAGCATTAAGAATGCCAATTGCTTTGATTCCTTTGTTATCAGATACAGGCTGAAGTGTCATGACTAAGTAAACAGGATATATAAAGCTATCTCATTTGGTGCCTAAATGATAAGATTCTAAACATGAGGAACAGAAGAAACAGCATTGTGCTGTAGGCGCGTAGAGTCACTATATAGCTATCAGTGCAAACATATTGGCAAATAAGGCAAATAAGGCAAAGGAGGCAAATGGTCTGATATCATTAAGCTGTGTAACCGCGATCTCACAGCTGGCCTCTTGTGTGGCTGCTAAAGCAACCACTGATAAATGTTTCTTGGTATACACAGTGAGAGGTGTATATTCTTGCCATTGTTTGTGTTTATAAGAGTTATAATAGTCGCAAATACTCTCAAATCACCAGGCATGACAGTTGATCCAAGAGTCCAGCTGCCTCCATCTCAAAGCAAAGAATAACCCATCTTCTGGGTAATGAGGTCTTGTCACTTGGCATGTTTTAGGGCTGGATTTCCAGAAGTGTCTAATCCATAATGAATATGGGATTCATTAGTTTCTCGCGGTGCACGACGCACCAACTTGTTCTGATCAAAACTCCCGCAGATAGTCTGTCCTGCAGGCAACTCTATCTCCAGATCTGGCTTGCTAGTGGCGTGACTAATTTACTGAAGGCAAATACGCTTAACTTCTGGCGTTCCTGTGGAAGACAAGTTAGCTACAACAGGAAGATTTCTATTATTCAAGGAAGGTATATTTATGATAAGCTGGGTTTGGCTTGGGAGAAGAAGGGAAACCAGGAAGGAATGTAAAACTAACTTTATTTGCAGTCCATTGTCAGTTATAATGATTTGTACCAACAGTCAAGGAATCAGTATATAAATACCTTGGCAACTTCTCTCTCCCTGATCAGCTGATTCTTTAAATACAAGCAGTCATAATCACTAAATATACTTTAGACCAGTTTCGTTCCCAGGCCAGTTAGTTGGCGTAGGCCATAGATTGTATAGGTCGTTGATAGCCTACTACCAGTCAGGAGCGGCAAATAGTGCTAAGCCAGTCTGGAGACGCGGTTTTTAAAAACACTACCAGTCCCAGTTTATCCAACGTGACCCCAACCGTCTCAGGAGGGTCTTGTTCAGCTCGCTGGAAACATGCTCGATAAAAGGGGCCCCTTAGCCCCATCCTCTGAGCTTACCGACGCTCAGCGACGTGCTACTTGTCAAAGCCCCGCAAGTAAAGAGCTGAGGCGAGCGAAGAGGGAGCTGATAAGGAGCAGTCCCTCACTGATACGGTCAAAAAAGTCCAAAGGCATTTCTCCCACCTCTATCAGAGGCGCAAAGAGTTCAAAATAAATCTCTCTAATTGAGAAACTCATGGAAATCAAGACCCGAGAGTCTGTTAGAAAGATATATTTTCATGATACGTTCGTGCTCGAAGTCAATAGATAGATCAAGCAACTTCTTGGCCATTCCAACGGGGAGGTTGTGATACCGCTGACAGCCCCGAGTCTGTCGGTATCCAGGTAAAAACAGAATTCCGGTAGAATGAGGAGGACAAATTCCGGATTATATATTCTATCAACCCACTCGACCAAAAATACCAGCTGATACCTGGTCGTGCCTTGGACTCTATATGTCCTACCGGCATATTCTAAAGTTTCCTACAGATAGACAAATATATATATATAAATAAAATTACTTCTTCTGATCATATCCCAAGTTCTTCGACGACTTAGAGCTCTCATCAGCAGGAATGAATAATGCTACTTGAGGGAGAAGTTTACTGCAATGATTCAGAATCCGAAAGGGAGTTAAAATATAGAATACTCCAATTAGACTTCACTCTATCCCTAAGGAGGCACAGTCGTGAAATACAATCTACCCTTACAACTCATCCCTCCTTTCCCATGTGAAACCCATTTCCTATCATTGTCATGGACACCCACCAGGGATAGCAATCCCAAGGGGGTCGCATGAGTTATGTTTGCCCTCGAAGTAACAGACACCTGATATATAAAAAATAGATCAGTTAATTTCAGTTTTTCAGGGATGGTAATATAAAGAGTCAGAGATGTAAGGGACACACCATTTCCTTGACAATAGCAGTAATTGCCGATATCATGATCAGGGTCTGCGCTATAACAAAGTCAGAACTCGTCTTAAAGTAACTGTAAATATCTGGAACAAAGACAGGAAAGTAGTCACCTACTGGTTATAACAGGGTCCAATACCAGTAGCCCCTGCAATTCCTGTGAACAGGAGAGTGACAATGGTGGTCGTCCAAAATCTCATTTTGCACTTTCTATTTTCAGATTTGCATGTAAGAGAACACCTTGCACGAGGGTGGCTTGGAAAAGAAAAGGCTTGATAAATCGATTATAGATGTACAGTGTCCGGCTTATGTAGAGACAGGTATTCAGTAAATATGTATACTTAGTCTTCGGGTTAGTGTATACTAAGGACTGCCACTACCTACGTAATACTAATGATAGAGTATCAATTGGATTTTTGCATAAAGAATGAGGCAATTATATGATAGGTCTTCTATTGGTAGACAATCCTGACCGTGGCCTAATACCTGCAGGCCAGAGTTTATACAGCAGTATCACTGATGTTAGAAAGATAGCTTTTAACCCGCTAAATTTTAAAATCTATCGCTAACTCCGGATAAAGCGGTAACTGACCAAATCATTATCCTTGTTAAACAATAGCTTTAATCTATTTAATGCAATGTTGACTGCAGTAATAAATATTAGATTTGTTAATAAGTACTATAACTATCGGTGCTATAACGGTTTATGTAAATGGATACCTAGATAGTACTAATAGTGGGTCACATGAGTTAAATTTCTGTACAATATATGAGGCAATTATGTGATAGTTATATACTACATGGATGATGAGTTCTATACTACTGGGATGATCCTGACCATGGCCTGGCACCTACAGGCCGGATACCAGATCATTATCCTTATCAAAAAAACAAACTTGAACTTAATGAATGTAACGTTAACTGCAGCAACAAGTATTGAGCTTATCAATGTCCAGGATTGAATAAGTGCCATATTGGTACTATAATAGTGCTTATACCCAGGCATATTGCCAGGTTCTGTGACCTATTAGCTAACTTGGGTGGTCGATACTTACCCTTTGGTGACCGGAATGCCAGGCCTATCAAGTATGTATACTTGATAGTTAGAAGAGTACGAACGAGTTGATGCTGGCTTGATAATAAGGTAACTCTGTATTAACAATTTGTATTGATCACAAAGGACTAAGCTAAGTACATGAATGAGAGTCGTTATGTACCTCCTTTCCATAGCCGTTATGTCAGTTGCTCTGATGAGTCATTCCTATCCCGTCATAGCGATCATACCGATCGGTCTGTTGGCTCTGATGTTCACGTTGGTCTCCATCTTAGGTAACCTCCGTAGTCTAGAAAACCAAGTTCATAGAGGTACATACATATCGGATTTTCTTTGATACTTGCCGTATCGGTACTAGTGCTCAGTGGGGCGGGTGAGCGCTCAGGGCTGTGCTCAGTCAAATACTTGAGATGGTCATCTTTGCCCATTGATCGTTGCATCACTAACTCTACCGTTCGTGTCCGCGTTCGATATATACGCTAGACAAGGGTCTATAACAGGAAGGTATTGCGAGTGGTGATCGAGAGATCCGAAGTGTGATCACAATGATCCGAGAGGTCAATCGATTAACGAAGACTAGCCCAAAGTGGAAAGGCCAGGTCTACTCGGTACGTATACCTTGTAGTTAAGATAGTGCGGACAAGTTGGGCTAGTAAGTAACTATGAACGTAGGTCTCAGGTAACAATCTAAATTGATCGCTAATAACTAAACAAGGTACATGAATGAGTGTCCTTATACTATGTCCTTCATATCCGTGGCAGTGGTGCCTTGTAGTCTTCTAGTAGTGAGGTAGTATATGGTATACTGGGACCTATATCTCTGAGTGATTAATCGTATACCAGCTCTGACTCTTTCCTTCCTTTCTGACATAAGTACCTTCTGTCAGCCGTTCCTGATTCTGGTGGCTCTGTAGCCTATCATTCTGCCTTGAGTACCTGCCTTGACTGGACAAGGGTTCATAACAAATAGTCTATATAAGTGGATCACCAGACAATATTAATAGTAGAATCTATTAACTAAATGCTCGCATAACACATGAGGCAATTATAGGATAGATCTGCACTTGATAGGCGATCTTAATCATATCCATAGGCCGGATCTCATGCAGGGCATTACAAAAATAGTTAGAAGTTCCAACCACTCATTTTAAAACGGATAAACGGGCAACTAACTGACTAGACTATTACTTTTATTAAATAATAGTTTAATTTATTTAATATAAAGTTGGTTATGGAAATAAATACTAAACTTAGCAGTCTGGACCTATTTGGCACCATAACAGTTCATGTAAGTGGATACCTAGTGTGATGATCCTATTCACATTGATATCTAACGTGGCAATCTAACGAAACATCAAACGTAGAGAAGGAAGAGAAAAAGAAAGAATCCTATCATACAAGAACTGTGGGATGTAGAATCAGATCATTCAGTGAATAGGGCAGACTTGGTGCCTCAGGCAGGGTTCGACCTAGGGCCTGACACCTAGTACTTCTGGAAGACAGTAATGTGGATTCGGAAACAACAGCCGGGCTGTGATCACGGTGCAGATAGGTGCTGCGGGTTGCAAATCCCACGGTTGTCTTCTGTATTTTGGTTGGGTTTAATATCTAATCTCCTGGTAATTGTATTCGAGTTTCAGCCACGTTGGCATACTCAGCCAATCGCCTTGTTAATACGTGTTGGTTCTTGCAGCTATAGAGGAGATACTAAGGACTCCCTCTTAAAGGTATAGCCGCCTTCTGGGATATATTCTACGTTCAATCAGTAGATGGATAGTCTCCCCTACCTGTCGCCGAGGCACCATAAAAGGACACGGCATCGCTAGATAAATTGACTATCAACAACTACTTCGGAAGCAAGCAAAGCTATTCAACGAAAGACCAAACACTCCCAGTTCCTTCCATACTCATTTCTTACTTTGAACTCGAGCTTCTTTGTCTAAAATGAAGCTATACAGTCTATCCATGTTTCTCCTATCGACCACTGTCATTGTGTCTGCAAGACCGGCAGTAGAAGCGCCCCAGGCTTGTATTTCTCAAGAGGCGGATGTCGCAGAGCCTAATGCTGTTCACCTTCGTGTTGAGGAGAGCGATGCCCGCGATCCAAATTATTATCTTGGTGTAAGTTGCAGCCTAAGCGATTATTTTACAAGAGTTCTAATGCATAATATGGCGGATAGTTTTGCTCCACTATCTATCAGGATTGCTCTATATGTGTGAACGGAGTATTACATCGTACCAATTGTTATCATCAAAACCTGGTATGTTTTTTCTACTTCAAACTTCTTTAGTTCCAAAACGGAAATTGATTTTGATCTCATAATAGTGCACGCATATAAATAACGCCTGCAACTACTCACTCCTGACGGGTATTACCGTTTGTTCCTAGATTGGGGCTGAAGATAGTCCTTTATATGATACTGGGGAAGGGGGATGGGATGTTAGGGACCTGGATCTATAAAGTCCTCTAAATATAAGTTTGCGAAAGCCAGTGGTTATATTTCTATAAAATTTATAACTAATACTAGTAAATTACATCAGCAATGTTACTTCCAGTAAGTTACAGACGACTAGTGCAACGGTGGCTCGGCAGATAAATAAATAGGGTGAGTGCAACGCCTCCATCTCGCTTCTCAATACTGCGTCTTTTCTTGGGTGCCTTTTAATTATCACTCAATTTTGTCAGTTCACCTTACTCGGATCCTAGATCAACCCAAACTCTACAAATAATAGAGAGGCAATGTCTTTTATCGGCCATAATACAGGATTCGACAAGAGACACACACAGGGCGAAAATATATCTGTTAAAGCAGATGAGACTCCTCTGTCGGCTGCTAGTCTTCCAAACCCGAGCCAAATTCCCTCCGTTACTTCCAACAAGGCATTGGTGCCCGATGTGCCTCACGGCATCGACCCTTCACACCTGACTACCCCCGAGAAGAGACTCTACGACTTCTTATGTTCCCAAAGATGGAATGATACACAGTGTTCTTGTTACTTCACTCATATCGAGTCGATGAAAGAGGCCCTTTCCCACCATTTCTACTCGCAAGGTTGGAGCGACGATCAAGTGCAAGCTCTTCACGAGCGTTGCCAAATGGAATTACCGGAGAATTTTCCGGCTCCTAGAGGTGATGCCGATCAAGAAGATCTGCAGATGCAGCTGAGATTAGTGGAAGAAATGAATCGTAGAAAGGCGATTGGAGAGCGCATGTACCCGTCAACTAAGACTATAGGAACGGGGATTGCTGAGGAGAGAAGGACTTGAGTTGGAAATTCTTCAGGGCATTATCATATGTATGCCCGTCTATCTCTGCTTAGCTGACATATATCTGGTTCTTTCGCTGATTTTGTAAAGGAGAAATGCTGAATATTCAATATGCAATATGTCAATTTGTCATAAGGCTTATCACAAGCTGGATGCTCACAACTACCTTTCACCTTAAATTAGTTCTCAATGTCTTTCTTTTCTTTATCTAGACTAGTAACCTGTCGATCCTCCCATATGTCAGATAAAATGGCTATACGTGACCAGGATCATGTGATTTAAGGGGGGTAAAAACGAGGCCCCGTATGCATAATCAACATACTGGTGACGCGCGCTGTCGCACGCCGTAAGCTCTGAAACGATGAGAATTAGTAGAATCAAAGGGACGTGTCCGGGTTTGCTGTTTGAATTTGTTGACAGATGAGGATTGCACAAGAAAAGGTGGCCTAGTGTAGCGGGCTGAAGCCCATTAGTATACTCAGGCCGTTGGCCCTCGTTTCCGTATTCGTCACATGGTGTATTTCTGCCCCTCCTTCCTGTCATACCTCATTGTCTCACCGTTGATTCTTCTCCTCTCTTCTTTCTTCCTCAGCGTTTTCTTCTTGTTTGATAGCTATGATAGTTTATCGAACGTTGCGGGTCCTATCCCTTACACCTAGTCATACAAGGTACAATAGATTGGTTCTGTAAAGTAGAAAAAAGGGAGAAGAATGAGTATTTGTGTTAGGTAACTAAAAACAAGAGATAGACAAGCTCCCAGAGAGCAGTATTTCAAGAAGACAAATATACTTCCATGTTTACTTAGGGGATAAGTAGTTGTGGAGGTCCTAAGAGCAGGAAGTTATATTATGAGCTGTTTTCCTAAAAGGCCAGTACAATACTTAACCCTTATTCATGAGATTTATAGGGGCCTTAATGTTCTCTAGGGCGCTTTCAAGGGAGTAGATAAGATTATCAAGATTATTGTAGCTATTATTAAGGACTGAGTGCTTCTTGGTAGAAGAGTAGCAGGTACCAGGATTACCCTGAAGGGGATCCTTAAGATATAGAGTATTCTTTACAGTTTGAAGTTATATACAGGCTAGATTAAGGTTTTTAACATAGTCTAGAAAGACAAGCAAGGAGTTAAATATGAACCAAGATAATAAATAACTGGTTATACTTAGGCTGACCGTTGGGACGGGATAATCCCAGGGATTTCGGGATGGGATGGGATTTTGGGATGCCAAGAATGGGATGGGATGGGACGGGAATGGGAATTTCCCATCCCATCCCATCCCAATGGTCAGCCTACCAGTATCCTATCGCGACATCGCTTATTGCATGAAAGGATTGGACCAGGGTGTTACGCCTGGGTATTCGGGCAAGAGCTCTATGAGTGTTAGCTGCCTTGCAAAGCCGTGGAACAAACCTGAACAATAGAATCTACTATGATTCAGTGACAATAGACAATGAGCGACGAGATGATCCAATCCAGGATCTGAATATATAATCTAATCCAAGATCCAAGAGTATAATCTAATCCAAGGTCCAAGAGTATGACCTAATCCAAGGTCTGAAGATATCTGTAAATAAAGTAACAATAACTTAAGTCCAAAAGGCCAGGCCTACTAAGTATATATACTTAGTAGTTAAGAAAGTATAAATAAGTTAATTACTAACTTAATACTAAAGGTATATCCTAAGTAATAATTTAGATTAATTATAAAGAACTAAACTAAGTATATAAATAAGTATCCTTATATATTCTCTGCTCTCCTACTTCTCTGTATACTCCTGGGATAGGTAATGGAGTAGGTAGTCCTTTAATTAGTAGTTCCTGATATACTCCTGATATACTCCTGGGGGTAGGTAGTCACATGATAAGACTAGTGTGTTGGAACATACGGTCGTCCTGCGCCGCATACCCTATGGTTCGATCTCGCATAGTCATCATTTAGTAAGCTAGTTATTTAGATAGTTTGGCCGTTCCGGCCACCCAATACAATAAGCATACATTCGCTTCCACATAGTGCTGCTCCCTTGATCTCTGTGTCCCGTGTTCCTTTGACCATTATAGTCCTATCTCTTTCTGGCTTGTGTGTCCGCCCTCCTGATAAGGCGCGCTAGACAAGGGTCTGTAACACAGGGCTACTGCGGTCAGGCGTTCACGGCGGAAATTACTGAAGATCTCCAGCCTATCAAAGGGTGGGCCCACACCCACCCTTATTCGACGAGCCAGAACACTGCCTACCGCTCAGCCGCATTGCTGCCTGGATTCCTGACTACTAAATCACATCATTGACCACCTCCGCCATCTTCATTTATCCTCAGAACATCCCCATCATCCGACCCTTGATCTTTCTTTTCATTATTATTTTGTCTTTTTCTTATACTTACCTTATACTCGACAGTATCTTATTACAACACTCTCCATCTCAGCTAGTAGTTGATATGGTTGTCTCGTCACTTGTTCGCCGAGGCATGGAGCTGGCCTCCGACATGCCTATGAACTCCAAAGACCCGGAAGGGCCTTCTATTCACCTGTCCGGATGGCTGGCCGGTCTTTTTGTTTTCTCTGTCTTGGCCTTCCTGTTTGTTGTCTTTTCGGTAAGAACCCTGTTATTGTCGTGTTTCCACTGAGCGATCTTTACACGAAGTTCGAAAGTCGCTGATTAACATTTTAAGATTGAATACACTTTTGGAATGGTGGTGGCAACCCTCGCTGCCATCGAACAAACTGACCCTGATATCTACATCCGCGTCGATACACTCGATCCCAGCAAAGGCCCGGATGAGCCTGTGGGTCGCCCCCAACCGATCACCAGCAAATTGCGTACGGCCATCAAGCATCTCCGTAACCGCGCCGGCTTTTGGTCTCGCTTCCGTGGTTTCGGCGCATTTATCACATATGCTCTAGCTCAGGGATTTCTATACTCGATTCTGCCTGTGTCCATCACCAACTTCGCTGGGCAGTTGGCCGCGAGGATCATTGTTGGGATGGCCCTAGCCAACCTGGATTTGACCTGGGTGCACATTGTTATATCCGAGCCCTCTCCCAAGCGCTTTTACCAGCGCATCCCCGGCTACAAGAGCTGGCTCAAGTTTGCGCCCGTTGTCGCCTTTGAGCAATGCGCCGTCTGTGCCGCTTTCTATATTCCTCTGCTCATTGCCGGAGCTGCCGGGGCTCTGGATGAACTGGATATGGACCCCAATGCTGACCTGCCCCCGGTTAGAATCATGAGCCGCGCCGCCATGTCCATCGCTATCCCATGCTTGCTTGCTGGTCTTGTAGCTATCCCCGCCCGCGCCATTACTATTCGTGTTGCGGCCTCCATGCTACCTGAGGAGGATGAGGCTATTGTACCGTTTGACCGCTCATACGGCGGAAAGGTGGTTCCCGCCATTCTCGGTGGCAGCGGTAAACTCGGCATTAAGGACGCATGGACGACCTTCGATGGCCCTGCGCGCATTCGCTACTTGAAGGTAATCGGCAAGGCCGTCGTCATGGAGTATGCCGCGACGATCCTCTTTTCATTGGTACTTGGAGGCCAGATCTATGCGGGAGCATTGTCTTATGGTGTCCGGCGTGGCGAGGGCAATGCTTAACTGACATATTCTATTTTTGACGTACATGAAATTTCGTTCAATTTAAGGAGGCACCTAGGTCATTTCCTTTTCGCGCTGACGTGCTACGTACAAACCGGGCATATCCTGTTCCCCCATCGATCATGAAGCATCAGCCTAGTGGGTACTGCAGGGCCTGAAAAGTTTTGGTAGTCGTGTCAAATTACCCTATTGTTCATTTCTTGTAGCCCCCCATGATTGGTTTCACTGAAGATGGACTTACTAGTAGTTTAATTGCGTTTCGTGTGCTTATCCCAATCTACAACTGACCAGTCCTGTACAAAGTTATAACTAAGAACACATTAATTACATTTTAAAAGATGTAACCGTTATAAAGCTATCCATGTGACCTGCCAGGTGACTATTCCCGTTGATGCCTGAGGTTGGCCAGGCCACTGACCAATAGCCCCGCCCCCTCTCGGCCCATACACACCGCCCTCAGTGGCCATCCTTTTCACCATCTTCTTGTCGTTTCTGTTAATCTTTCCCCCCTTTCATTCTTGGGTACCTTTGGGGATTTATCCTGTAGTTGAATCGCTATTCCGCCTGTATGAGCTCCTAGAACCTCAACTGTCTCTGAATTCCTTCGCCCTGTTCCTCTTTCTCGCCCCGTACAACCAATTCCGGGACCGGAGTTTCACCAACACCACACGATGGCTACATCACCAGCAGGTCGCATGCTGTCAAGGCAGCTGCAACAGATGCAGTCCGATAAGGAAATTTCCGGCATCAGCTGTGGACTTGTTGATAACAATGTGTTTGAGTGGGAGGTCATGCTTATGATTTCGGACGATGTCAAGCTGTACGGTGGTAAGTCTACACTTTCGTAGATTCCAAGATGAACATATCATCCGGAAATTAAAACCCGGGATGTTTGCTAACTGGACTTTGTCTTCGCGATAGGGGGCTTCTTCCGGGCTCGACTCTCCTTCCCCCCTGAATATCCGCATATGCCACCCAAGATGAAGTTTGAAACACCACTTTTCCACCCCAATAGTATGAACCCTTCGCCCCTCTTTCCCCGTTATGTGTCCCCTACCTTGGACTGTACACTGATGCACTTTTAGTTTACCCCAACGGCGAAGTTTGCATTTCCATCCTGCACCCTCCGGAGGAAGATAAGTACGGTTACGAATCTGCAGCAGAGCGCTGGTCTCCTGTCCAAACACCGGAGACAATCTTACTGTCTGTGATCTCCATGCTCTCGAGCCCGAATGATGAAAGCCCGGCCAACGTTGAAGCTGCCCGCCTATGGAGAGAAGACCCGAAAGAGTTCAAGAAGAAGGTTCGCAAGTGTGTCCGGGACAGTTTAGGCGAGGATTAAATCGCTCGCCGTTCATTATGAGATTTATACGCGGCTGGCGTTCTTGGCCATTGGGGTTGAGAGGCCCAAACGATTCCCTTGTTTTCCCTTCGCATGATAGACTGTTTGGTCTATCGAGTAGCGACAGCGGCTTTTCTCCGCGATTTCTTTATTATTCTCTATTTGAAGTTCTCTATCTTCCCTGGAGTTACATGATATCGGCCCGGAGTTGAGATTTGGACTTTGTCGTTTTGCATTGCCGATGTTCGTATTTTCCCTGGGTATATTGCAGTGTAGTGCTGCCGACATATGTGCAGTTTATGAACGAAATGAATATATTGATCCGCATCCATCTTGAAGGTTAATTTCTTCTTTTTTTTCTTTTCCCATGCATTGGGCATCCTGGATTGTATATAGATAGATATATTAGGCCGTTTCCCTGTTGTTGCGGCCCCTTCTCAACGACGGGAGGAAAAGACCCGGATGAAAAGCTGTCAAAGCCAAAACCGCCAGAGCAATCATCCTAGCAAAATCAGCAATGCACATAGTCGAGACACCAAGGCTGATACTCACATTCCATCGAGGACCAGAAATTCGTCCTCTTTTTGCATCAACGGGCCACCCCATCCGCCCGCCATTTCCGGGATACTATGCAGTATGTCAGTAAGAGCGCGATCCCCACTGCCCTGAAGGACTCACCGATAGATACACCGAATCAGAACAGTGAAGTAGGCGAAGATATCCGCGAAGATTACCAGCTTAGTTCGACCATTCCCACTGTCCAGAGATTTCTCTCCCGAGCCACGTCGAAGGTAACGAAGGAAAAACTCCAACCCTAACAATCCACAGACAGACATTGTCGCTACCTGGAATGCGATACCCGTGATAATAATATCATTACCCGCATTGAGAAGATCCCGTTGGTCACTCCCAGCAGCAGCAGCCACACCCCCGCCAGCGGCCTGCAAGATAAGAGACCCAATATCACAGCCGATGAAGATCCACGTGAATAGCTTCGGTTTGAGGCGCGAGTGTTCCGGGCCCAGCGACAGAATGATATGTTTGAGGGTGAGGTATATTCCCGCGGCGATGAACGTCGGCCCCAGAATGATCGCCACAATTTGCAGCTTAAACGCGCCGCTACTCCAGGGGTTATTATGCATGAGCACCCGACCAATATAGCCCGCCATCTCGAGGAACGTGCCGACGACCAGGGCCACCATCAGAGTCCATGAGCGAAAGTAGATACCAAAGCCGAGTTGAAAGAGGCCGCAGAGGCCGAAGAAGACCGCGAAGAAGATGTTGCCACCATAGTTGGGATAGTAGCCGTATGTTGTTGCCTCGACAGGGCATAAGGGCGTGACCTCGGTGCAGGTTTTGTAGCTAGCCATTTCGATTAGGGCTTGTCAAATATTATCTACAAGTAGAAGGGGGAAGAGAGAATAAAATGAACGACAACACTAGGAACGAGAGATGATAACAGCAAATCTATGTAGTAGCCCGGTCTAGAATGACAAGAGACATATAAAAGAAAAGAAAAGGCCGTTGGAAATTCAGCTTTATGACACGCACCTCCCCCGTATATATTTAGTGTAATATTTTAGAGACCCGTTCCTCTTCCCGATTGCCATGCTTACGGTGGATCCCTATCGGCAAATTCCTTCTGCTCGTAGGGAAAATACAAGCTATGTGTAATATAATTGGATCGCATTCGCTCCCGCTCTCGCATTCGTTCTCGTGGTCCCACTCTTCGTTCTAAAATTTGATCGCACCCCAGTCTATAGGCAGATAATTGACAATGCTCCTTCTGGAACATTGAGACGATAATCTTTCTGCCTTATCCGCCTGTGTTTGTAGGCTGTGTTTGTAGGCTGTGCTTACTCCCCAAGGCTCCCCCATGAGACTCGATCCATATCAAATTAGTGAAATGGAACGGAGAGAGAGAGAGAGAGATGTACGTTGTGTAGATACAAAGTGCACTATGGAGTACGCTTAGTGGCCGCAGTGGGGCTCCAGGACTTTAGTCCCCACCACATCACTGCCTCATTCGGGGTTTGAACTAACGCATCCTCTCTGAGAAAAGTACTGTATACTACTGTGTAGGTCCGGTCATTGTGTCTAAGGGTTTTATACACGGCTTCTTTCATCGACCTTTCCCCTGGGATCCACGTGACACTGTTTGGAATCTGCCCTCGTGCCCCCACGTGGTTCTCCCACGTGGTTCCCGGTCACAGGAAATCTCCGAAGGTCAATTCAACTTTATTCCCTAGTGGATCGACCATGCCACGGAAGACCCATACGAAGTCGCGAAATGGCTGCGATCAGTGCAAGAAAAGGCGAGTCAAGGTATGTGGGCTCTTTTTCCTGTCGATTCATCAGTGAACTCAAGCCTCCTCGATGTATATCTTGCTGATCTTCCCATTCTTGGGACCTCTTCGGTCCATATCCTTCTCTGTCCCCACAAGCACATAGTTAGATAGCCTGTCAAGCATCAGCTCCACTAGGCGTGCTTTGGCCAGAGCATGTACCCTTTGTATTTCTATCTGACAGCCTATAGTGCGACGAACGAGGCCCACCATGCTCAAATTGTGTCACCAGAGGACTCTGCTGCACGTACTTAAACACACCTGCAGCACGCAGCCTAGCTAATTCTTCATCTGCGAGTCCGAATGCTACCTACTCCGGACCGGGCCGGACCCCGGATTCTGCCCGTCAGCCCCCCGCTGGCGCAACGACTACTGTTCCGTTTACTTATTCTCGCAAGCTCGAACTAGAACTGATGCATAAATTTTCCACCGATACATATCGGAGCCTTTGCAACCAAGAATCGGACCATTATGTATGGCAGATTGTCATGCCGCGGAAGGCTCTGGAGCATGGCTTTCTCATGAGTGGAATTCTCGCAGTAGCATCCCTGCACACAGCCTCGGCTTTAGAGCCACCAGAGGCTTTGTCTTATATCGATACCGCTCTTGAATACCACAACCAGGGGCTCGCACCCTTTCGGCACGCAATCGATAATCTAACTCCACTTAACTGTGACGCCGTTTTCGCACATGCTGTCATTACCATCATGATCTGCATTGCTCTTCCTCGGTTGCCAGGCTCCAGAGGCGAAAGCTCTAGCATGACTGAGAACATCATCTTCGTGTTCGAGTTGCTGAAAGGCGTGGCCAAAATTTTCAATATTACACGATCCTGGTTGGAAAATAACCTCTTCGCTTCTAAAGACGGCTTCTTTGCGAAAACAACCGTTCCACTGGATGCTGGAACCGAGGATGCCTTAGCCCGCCTCGCCGACCTAAACGACACACTCCTGGCTAAGATCGAACCAAAACAGCATTGCATCATCAAAGACGCCATTTCCCTTCTTCGTCGGTCCTTTGCTCGGTATATACACGCTCCCGATGCAGCGTCCGTCATGTCTTGGCTTGCGGTTGTCGATAAAGAATTTGTTCATGTCGTCCATCGTCGTCAGCCCCTTGCTTTGCTTGTTCTTATGCACTGGGGCGTTTTACTCGCTGAGCTTGATGGTAAAACGTGGTGGGCCAGAAACTCCGGCTCGGCTCTGGTCTCTGAAATACTAGCTACTCCGCAGACGGGTGATGCCCGGTGGGAAGAGGCCGTTTTATGGCCGAAACGAAAATTGGGTCTCTAAGTTCTGAATCCATGTCTAAGATGAGGCCTCCGTCACTTTTTTTTTTTTTTTTTTAGAATGACGGGCAATGTACTGTTCGGCCGGGTACTCTATACAGTCTTTATCAAGTGAACTGGGACCTACGCCATCATACCTTGCCGGCTATTTAGGGTTCAGCCTTTGCGAGAAGAGCACACATAGGGACGTGAACTCGTCTTCTCATAGAGTGGCTTTCGACTAAGGAGCTCCATCTTGGGAGAAATACCAACTATGTGCAGTATACATATACGCCGCTCTTTTCCGGTCACATTGTTTCAGGCTTATTTTTGTGCTCGCGGAAAGAATGCATACGCCGTTGGTTGTCTGGTTATTGGATGTTTAGGGACAATCTCGATAATGATGATAAGCTGCAGTGACAAGATAGTCATGTCAGTATTGACGTTAACATATCAGATCTTAATAGAGTACCGCTTATGCATCAGCCAGTTTACATGCAAGAACGAGGCCCATACGGACCATCTCTGTTAAACCTACTTGCTTGAATCAAACGCGGCTTGTAAGCTGGAGGTTCCATTACATCATGGATGAAAACCTGAATCGGCATACTAGGATGACTGAGGCTCAGATGATTTTCTAACTGTCTCTACGTTTACCATTAATTCTTCCCTTTTTCTGTGTTCAACTCAACGCCAGATAATAAAGGAGACGGAAACTGAATAAAAAGTGAGGACGCAGGGAAAGCAGACGTATTTTGGACTCTATACCTTTAAGGGTTACTTTATCGCAGGAACGGGAACTGAGCTGGGCCTAACCTTGGAGGTAGGATTCCGGTCGTACTATGTGCGGCCGCAAAGGGCTGGTCGAGCTGAATGGATTTGGATTTAGGACTATGACTTGTTCATGAAGGATTGTTCGAGGCGAGCGGACCTTGGGCTCTCCTTTCTAGTCGAAATGCATGATTTCTGTTCAAGACATTGTCCGCTAAGGGATGTTTGAGGCGAGGCGGTGGAGAGATGCGCAGCCTTTAGGGTTGAGATCCGCCCCCGGTCCCGGTTAATCTTAACCTTAGCGGACGGTGGATCTCTTGGCATTATTGCGGAGTTGATGCCATGATATCCACGGCAAATATATATATAAACACCCTCGTCCAGCCCAATCCATCCTGAGTCCAACGCGAGTCTATACACTTGAACAAGTCCCGACATTCATTGTACTCTGTCTTGAACCCAATTCACAATGGCTTTGACGCATCCCTTGGATCCTCTGTCACCCAGGGAAATTTCCAATGTAAGATTCCATACTACAGTGAAAGGAACGCTTCCGAGGGCAACGTTACTGATCTGAAACAGGCCGCAGGCATCGTACGCTCTAAATTTCCGGGAGAGAGCCCCATCTTTCGTGTGATTACACTAAAGGAACCTCCCAAGCAGGAGATGATCTGCTTTTTAGAAAAGGAGCATTCTGGGCAGCCGCTAGATGGACGCCCTACTCGGATAGCTCGTGTACAGGTGGTCACCCGCAGTGAATCCAAGAATAAGCTATTTGAGCTGCTGGTCGATCTCGACCATGCTGCCGTTACTAAGCTGGAGCATCTCGTAGGCAAGCATTCTTACATTGACTCTGGCTACATGAAATCGGTTGAGAAAGCCTGCTTGGCCGATGTGAGAATTCAGGGAGGGATCCGAAAGCTCGAGCTGCCCCCGGGAGCATCAGTCGTTGTTGAAGCGTGGGCGTACGCTCCGGACGGGATGAATGACATGTCCGAGCGTGTCACGATGGTGAATATGTCCTCTTCATGGTCGTGAAAATTGGAACTAAACATTTAATACCAGTGCTGGTTTTATATGCGCCTATTCGACAACCCTGATGCCAACTACTACGCCTACCCGCTGGACCTCTGTGCGGAAGTGTCCGAACAACTTCAGGTAACAAAGATATATCAATTGCCCTCCTCTGTAGACGAGCGTATCCATGATCACCCACAGCCATATGATCGTCGCAAAATTCATTCCACTGAAGCAAGCGAATACCACCCCGGCCTGCGACCATCACCGCGCCAAACTACCAAACCCTACCAAGTAGTCCAGCCCGAAGGCCCATCGTTCAACGTCCAAGGCAACGTTTTAACATGGGAGAAATGGCGCATGCATGTAGGGTTCAACTACCGCGAAGGATTGACCCTCCACGATATTCGCTACGACGGCCGTAGTCTTTTCTATCGCCTGTCTCTGGCTGAAATGTTTGTGCCGTATGGAGATCCCCGCGCTCCGTACCCTCGCAAGGCAGCCTTCGATCTAGGGAATGACGGGGCCGGCATCAATGCCAACAACTTGCGTCTAGGCTGTGACTGTCTGGGGCTGATCAAGTATTTCGATGGCTGGCACAATACCAACTCTGGAGAGCCCTTGAAGCTCCCCAACGTCATCTGCTGCCATGAGCAGGACGACGGGATTCTATGGAAGCACACCAACTTCCGCACGCAGAATGCAGTAGTCACTCGTTCCCGCGTGCTGGTTTTACAAACTATCATCACTGTCAGCAACTACGAGTATATTTTTGCATTCTATTTTGGCCAAGACGCATCGATCCACTACGAGGTCCGCGCTACGGGAATCCTATCAACCTGCCCCATCAACATCGGCGACAAAGTCCCATACGGCACAACCGTCGCACCAGGCGTCCTTGCCCCATACCACCAACATCTCTTCTGCCTCCGCATAGACCCAGCTCTAGACGGCCACTCCAACTCCCTCCAAGTCGAAGAATCCATCCCCATGCCAATCAACGACCCAACCAGCCACAACCCCTTCGGTGTAGGCTACACAACAACCAGCCAAATCATCGCCCACGAACAAGGCCTCGACCTCGACGCCTCCAAAAACCGCACCTTCAAAATCATCAACGAACACAAAATAAACCCCATCACAGATACCCCCGTTGGCTTCAAACTCCTCCCCTGCTACAGCCAAATGCTCCTCGCCCACCCCCAATCCCACCACGCCAAACGATCCGAGTTCGCCTCCCACGCCATCTGGGTTACCCGCTATCAAGACGACGAGCTATTCCCCTCAGGCCGACACACAATGCAATCTGCCGGCGGCGAGGGAATCGCCTCGGCGATCAAGAATCGCAAACGATCCAGTGTTGGATCCTCCGTTCGAAATGAAGATATCGTCGTCTGGCATACTTTCGGGTCCACCCATAACCCGCGAATTGAAGACTGGCCTGTTATGCCGGTTGACAAGATGGTGGTTGGGTTGAAACCGGTTAACTTTTTCTCTGGAAATCCGGCTCTCGATGTCGCGGTTTCGACCAAGGAGAGGAACAAGAGTTTTTTGGTTGAGGATGCCGCGGTGAAGGCGTCGGGGTGCTGTAAATTGTAGGTTTTAGGTCTGGTGTAGATAGGGTGCTGTGTTTTTGTTTCTGGAAGGTTGTTGTGTTGGTTATAGGATGTTATCTATTCTGTTGTGGTTTTTATCCCTCTATATACTAGCTACTTTCGTTTATCGCCTTGCTAGATATATCGATATGAAGATCACCATACGCGGTTTGTAGACATTCTTTCGAATAAGATATATTCTTATCGAGATGCCTCACTATATCAGAGAGCTAATAAACGTGTCAAAATAGAGAAGTATATCAAAGAAACCGCCCATCAACATTTTCATTGCAAATATACACCCAGCCATAGTGTTATGATATGATATGTACGTAAGAGAAAGTCGAAAGAAGTAAAATAGACAAATAGCCCAACTACCAAGCCCAAAAATGGACCTATGAGTTTTTGTTTCCTCCACCGCCACACCAGCATCGTGCGTCGCCTTCTCGCTCAACCTGTACTAGAATATCCATGTGCTTTTCCCGGAGGAAGTCGACCGCTCGTTGACGCACGTCTTCTAGGTCGGCTCCGCGGGAGGCGATTATGTGGATTACGCCGAGAACGCTAGGGTTGGGCGTGTCGTGGCTGTGATCGTGGCTGTGGGAGTGACTGTGGGAGTGACTGTGGCCGTGGTCGTGGTCCTGATCATGATGGCTGTGGTTATGGTTATGGTTGTGGTTGTGGTTGTGGTTGTGGTTGTGGCCGGGACTATGACTTTGGGAATGGCTGTGACCATGGCCATGTCCATGGCTGCAGCCGTGGTCGTGGTCTGATTTCACTGTATCGTCGAGCCAGAATTTGGGAACAGTATACCCTACAACGCCCCGTAGAGTACTTACGCCAGCGAGGGTTTCACGGACATTATACTCCACGTCTGCCGGCACGGCGAGAAGCAATTTCTTAGCCGTGCTACTAACAAGAGGCACTGCGGAGGCGAAAATCAAGATAGCGATCATGCAGGACGCGATCGGGTCGTACCCTGGCCAGCCAGAGTAGTGCACGAGAATGGTCGAGATTACGACCGCGACGGAACCAAGGGTATCCGCGAGAACGTGCAGGAAGATCCCGTGCATATTCTCGTTGTCGTGCGAGTGTCCATGGCCATGGTCATGACCGTGATGTGCATGATCGAATGCCATGATACCGACAAGATTCACGAGGAGACCGGCAACACTAACGACCAGGAGCTCTCCGAGACGGTTCATTTGGCTGCCGGATGACAGTCTTTCCACCGCTTCATAGATGATTTCTATACTGATAATCCTAGAGACAATGTCAGTTGTGCAATTTAAGAGCGAAGAATGAGCAACTTACATGAGGAAAATGCCATTGGCAAACCCAGATAGTGTGTCTACTTTTCCATATCCGTAAGGAAACCTAGCGCTGGGCGGCCATTTGCTCATCACAGCAGCGCAGAGGCCAACAATAAGCGCTAGGCAGTCGAAGAACATGTGAATACTGTCGCTGAGGAGGCCTAAGGACCCTGTGAGAAAGCCATAGGACAGCTGAACAAGCATAAACGAGAAATTGAGACTAGTAGGGTTAGCCTTAGAAAAGGAATTGGGAAATTGTGAAATCATACGTCATGAAGTAAAAGATGCGACGAGAGTCACTCTCTTTGAGAATGCTGTACAACAGTGGGTACGGTTCACTGTAGCGAATGATGAGCTTCGTGATATTAGAAGCATCATCGTGGGAGTGGGCATGGTGAGGGTGGTGATGATGATTATGGGCTTGGGTTGCCAGACGCAAATGTCTATCCTCAAACCTCGAAGTGAGAACCGCGATCCCAGCAAGGATGGCCCTGGAGACATAATCCACGTAGACACTGTCGCGCGGCGGTGGTGCGCATAACAGGGCGGCGCCACCAGTTGCAATAGCAAGACCGATCTTGTGCGGCGAACGTAGATTTACCGGGGCCACGTACATTAGGCACGTTGCAAAACCGCCCGCAACTGCCATTACGTACATCATATCTAAAACACGGAAAGATATGCCCCCAGCGACAATCGTTCCGGCTGCCAGGAGCAGCCCAGAAAGAGCAGTCAGTTTAGAGTCACTAGAACAGATATCAGACAGCTCCGTTCGCGAGAGCTTCCTCTCAGATCCTGGGTCATAGACAGAATCCATTATAGAGCCCGAAAAAGGTGGACTGATAATAAAAGCCGAGACGAGCAGGGATACGTAGCCCAAGAAAGGCTCTGCATCCCAAAACGTATTCATTCCCAAGAAGCTCAATACAACCACAGTTGCGATGACACCGACAGTCACTTTCTTTTGGCTCAGGCGTCCCTTAATATCCTGGGTATCATTGCCTTGCACAGCTATCGGCACCCCAGACGCTACTGCCAGAGTCAATGCAAAGGCGACAAGGAATCCCCCCACCTTCAGCGCCGCATAGATGGGCAGTCCAATAGAGCCCATCCGAACAAGAGAGCTGGTGATCTTTTTCAAGTCAACTCTGGGTGATGCGACAAGAGAATCACCTCCACCCCGTTGGGCTACCCTGAGCAATTGCCCTCCTCCCAACATGATCATTGTTATGGCAGTCAAGACACATGTCCTCAAGGGAATAGAATCCAAATGCCCTACGCCTGAAGATGTGGTGGCTTCGTCGTTCGTTGCAGATTGCAAGGGCGTCCATTGCGCATGATGTCCATGGTACCAAGAGATGGCAATCCACGGTAAAGCCATCAGAGCCCCGGCAAGCCTCTCATGACTGAATGGGTGTAAGCAGCGTTACTAACAAAGGGAAAATGGACACACTCACGTCCTCAGTGCCTCAGGATTTGACGATACTATAGGCGTATCTGGCACCAGCCCCGTTATACTCCCAGCATGGCTATGTTTCGGTGTATGGGAGTGAAGACTCTCGGCGTAATTCGACTTCCCCCACGATTCTCCATGACTCGAAGAGTGTGAGTGTGAGCGCGAATGTGAATGTGAATGTGAATGTTGATGTCCGTGCCATGCGCTCGATGCACTTCCGTTAGTGTATTCTGGTTCGGTCAATGGCTGCGATAACTGTTGTTGAATGGAGGTTGCATCAGTCGCCGAATAGGAGATAGGCCCTTGCGCCCAGCGTTTTGAGCGTGAGTGGCCTCGACCAGGAGTGGGCTTATAATGTCCTTGTGTCGACAATGCGGGGGAAATTGTATCCACACTGGACACAGGAGCGGTCGTTGACATGGTCTCTATGATCGGTCTATGCGACTCTTCCTTCGCAGGGGAATCGATTCAACGACGGTCAAGCGGGCGGGAGGCGGAGAGGCTGGCGGATGGTGGAGGAAGATAGTTAAGGATCGGGGGGGATGTTCTTGGAGCTTTAGCAGCTCAAAGAAAAAGTCCAACCAGGCGATTGAGGTAAGGGACACGGCATAGCGCCAAGGATAGTAGAGCGACTCAAAGCTTGGTGAACAATGGGTTGTGGAAACTGGACCTCCAAGATGCGATCTGCACGATAACAACAAGGGCCACGTGATCGTCGGTTTGTTATCTCCACAAGACGTTCCAAGTCCACTCTCAACTACACGATCCAAGGCGATCTTTCCTTATGAATCACATTTAAATTTAATAAAAAAAAAGAAATAAAAAAAAGAATCCTTTAAAATGTCCAGACGCAGGTGGGAACCACATTCAACTTGTCATCCAATGAGAAGCAGCACCGCTTATTCTTAATCTGGTCGTCAACTGCAGTGTAGGTCAATAATCCTTTGCCCTTGCAGCATAGCCGCGCGGCTGATCTGATGGAGTGTGGAGGAGAAAAGACCGGGCCATGTTTACTCCGTCCAACAACGGGATCGTCACGGTCCTTCAAGCTGGATCAACACAGTGACAGCTCTCACTGGTCTCATCATTGTCAATCGACCTACCCTATGCATTATGGTTCATAAACAGAGTGTCTGATTCCTCCTATCCCTCAACCGCCACTCACCATGAACGAATCCTTCATCAGCATCGCTTTCTTCATCTCGACGGCGATCACCCTGTTCATACTTCTACTGCCTTCGCAATATACGCCGAAGCGCTCGACAGCACAAAATGCTCCTACCGAGCCTAAACCGACCGTGCAGATCCTCGTCCTCGGAGACATTGGTCGCAGTCCGCGGATGCAATACCATGCGCTGAGCATTGCCAAAGGGGGAGGTCATGTACAAATTATTGGGTACCATGGTACGTAGAGGCCCTTGTTTCGCTCTGTCGCCGTTGTCAACATCCTCACCTGTTCCTATAGAGTCAGAAGTTCACCCCGACATCTCCGCCAATCTTAATATCTCCATTGTCCCCCTTCCTCCACACCCGGCGTATCTTCAGACGAGCAACAAGCTTCTATTCTTATTCTTTGCTCCGTTAAAGGTCCTTTTCCAGGTTGCATGTCTGTGGTGGACATTGGCATATCGTACGCGACCGGTGAAATGGCTCCTCGTTCAGGTTGGTCCTCAGCTTAGCGCGAAACGCACCTCGATCCACGCTCACCCAGTGGCTCGTTTTACGTAGAACCCTCCGTCCATTCCAACTCTAGCGATTACATCTGTGACCTGTTTTCTGCGGCACACGAGTCTAATTATCGATTGGCACAATTTTGGCTACTCAATCCTAGCACTCAAGCTTGGGAATAGTCATCCATTGGTCAGGCTGTCTAAGTGGTATGAGAAGACATTCGGGAGATACGCCACAGCGCACTTGTGTGTTACAAATGCCATGGCATCCGTCCTGAAATTGGAGTTTCTGCTAGAGGCACCTATCCTGCCGTTGCACGATCGGCCGGCCCACCATTTCCGGCCCATTCTGGATGACACCGTTCGACAGGAGTTTCTCCTATCCCTGCCGGAAACTGCCCCCGTACGACCTCTTATCAAGGCCGGGGTTCTTCGGGTACTAGTCAGTTCAACATCATGGACCGCGGATGAGGACTTTTCCCTGCTTATTGATGCCCTCTGCCGATACTCAGAATTAGCGGGAACGACCAGACCCGAACTACCCCAGGTGCTAGCCATAATAACTGGCAAAGGCCCACAAAAGGAAATGTATCTCAAGAAAATCGCCGACTTAGAAAAAGCCGGGAAGCTCCAAAAAGTGACCATTCGCACGGCATGGCTAACCACCAATGACTATGCACAACTCCTAGCGTCTGCATCACTCGGCGTCAGTCTACATACAAGCAGCAGCGGCGTCGATCTGCCTATGAAGGTAGTTGACATGTTCGGCGCTGGTCTGCCAGTGGTCGGTTGGAACCGCTTTGAGGCGTGGCCAGAATTAGTCACCGAAGGTGTGAACGGAAGGGGATTTGGGAGCTCCGATGAACTCGTAGAGGAGCTTGTTGAACTCTTTGGAGACCCAAGCAAGCTCAGCCAACTCCGCATCGGAGCGCAGAAGGAGAGTACTCGCCGCTGGGATGAAGAATGGAACCCAGTAGCCGGAAAGCTCCTTGAGCTGGTGTAACCAGTAGTCTGTACAATAAAAGCAAAACACAAGCATAGATAAAAGGAAGCGAAAACAAGCAATTCTTACTGCTAGGCTTGAAATTTGCCGCTGCAGTATATGCAGGTATCGAATACGTCCGACAACATTCGACAGGTCTGTTCAAGCTCATTGTGTACAAGATCCTCACTGAGATATTCTGTTCCACAGCGCGAGCAGAATTTCGAAAGTCCAGGCTCTTGGATGGCCAAAAATGTCACACCACATCGCACTATTTATGACAGTCAGCGCTTGTATTACGACGATCACGATCTCAATTGGGTTATTCACGTACCAAGCAAATGACCGCTCGCACACTGAGCTTCTGCGGCGGAGTACCAAGAAATCCCCGCATCACATATACCACATTGTTCAAAGACCTGCTGGCCTGAGCCATCCAGCTGTTCGGCAGATTTTGCGTCTATCGTACTGCCTGGCGCCGAGCATTTGGCTATCTCATCAGCCAAATCTATACCTGTAACGTCTGCTAGCCACTCCAGGGCTTTTCGCGCCTGAGACAATATCTTGTCGTTCTGGGAGTCCACGATGGCACAGCAAGCCGCTGCGTAGAGCAATTTGCGACTTAAACATAGTCTATTGTCATCACCCCATCCGGCAAAGAGGATATATCCCAGGACAGCTTCCCTTTGTTTGCGCAAAGTGTCGGGAGAAAGATTTGGTAGAGGTTCAAGGAAAAGCAGATCTTGCGATTCTGTAGGCTCCGCATTCGCATGAGAGAAAATAAGCGTCGTTCGCTCCTCTGCAGAAGTCCGATATTCAACAGTATCTCCTGGGTGTACCGTAATGGCCGCCACAACAAGGCCATTGTAAGACGCAAGCCCCCAGATCCTAGCGATGGTATATCCACCGAGATCACGGGCAATATCAAATTGTTCGCGAACATTATCGAGCTGCTTCTTCCATGGCGTTTGTGGCAGTCTATCACTTTCTTGAAGGCTGGAAAATGTCATACTTGCTGTGTATCCACCTACAGTGCCAAGATGAAGTATAGGTGTCCGAGATTCTTCATCCCACACAACAGCCATGGCTTTACCAGGTTAGCAATAAGCTTCCGTTAAAGGTAACTGAATCTTACCACTAGTTTGCTCCCAATGTCTCGGAGTATCGTTTACTATGTTATTTCCCGCAGTTTCATAGAACGGAAATTCTTTTACTTGGACTCCCTTTGCCACTGCTGCCTTCTCCTGATATGCCGCACAAGAATACCGTAGTACAACCATTCCAGCGAAACTGGCCACAGCAAGTCCAATCTCAGAAGATCCATCCTAAGGCCTCGTTAGTAAGCGGCGGCCTCGTTGCTTTATACGAACTTACTGTGTAAAACCAGTGCAGAGGGCCAGTTAACTGGTAGTTGTTCAAGAGCCCGCCATACACAGATGAAATTTCTTCAGATTCACATAAGGCCTTATACCCCACTACATCGTTTGGTTGTTCATCATCCGAAACTAATTTTATGACATGTCTGACCATCTTGAGCTTTGTCCCCCAGGTGATGGCCAGATTCCCGATCGCAGAACAAACGCCCGTGCTATTCCCGCTTGGGTGGTACATCCACGGACCGGGCGACATAGAAGATGCCCTGCTGCGCGTTGACAAAGCAGAGGAGAAAATCGAACCGGGTTGAGCATTCTCATAACTGCCTACATGCGCATCAAGGGCGATGACTGACAAGACCTCGAACGAATATGGGCTAACGGAGGTCGGGTCTGTCGACCTTCGAGCTTGTAGAAGAATCACATCATTGTCATCATTAGTGACCGCAAGAATATGCATGCCCCAGCGGCTTTCAGACGGCGGTACGGTATAACTTGTTGGATGCTGGTCTGCGGTCGGAACCTTGAGAGGCGGACACCATGTAAAGGCACGTATATTGCACTTTCGTAGCCTCAACTCCTTGTCATCAACGGAGGGTTTGAAGTACGATCTTAAGTAGTTGTTGACAATAGCGGCCCGTGTCCATCTACCTTGGGGTCCGATGTCGTAGAATGATAGAAGCAGGCTGGATGTCAGCACTGCCAGAAGACAGCGCCTGTACTTGGCAAGGCCTGGTGGTGACCAGGCCAGACCAACAATAGTACTGAGAGATTGTTCTGGTCCAATCGAGAAGTTCTCTCGCTTTTGTGGGTGGATTATGGACCATTCTTTATTTGTGAAGACATTCGTGCGAATGCGTGTCACATTCCAGTCTTTGCCCGTAGCTTGAGAACCAGATCCACTCCCTTCTCTCTTCTCCGTTGTATGCTTTGGTGTCTGTCTGCCGTTAGTTTGGTTTACGCAGGCGAATGGTCATGGTTCTATGCGGCACTTGGCTCCATTGACGTCAAAAGTGGGATTCGATGTACTGACTATGATGTGAACATATTCTCCTGCGGCTACTGCAATTTCACCGTCCTCGGACCATGCTATGCAGTCGTAGCAGGAAGGGAAGAGCTGTAGCTCAACTGGGCCTAACATCTTTTAGGGTCCACGACACTTTTCGCGTCTCTCAGAGCAATAAGTCACTACAAGAAGCATAGAAAGCCCATTTAGAGACAAGTCAGTAATCGGTCGGGGGAATGGACATGATCTTGGGATATAAACTTGAGTACTCGATTTATTGTTAGTGACGCTTTAGGTTAAGTGCGTCGACATTTCGCGCACCTTGGCAAGTGGCATGTGCATTCCTGTCACGTGGTGTATTGAGATCTACGATTTTCAACAAAAAAAAAATGCTAAAAGCGGCGATAAGAGCAATTGCAAAAGCAACACGGGGAGATATATAACCATCAATTTCGGTTCGGCTAAATATACATGTGGAGGTCCTGGCTGGCCAAGTTCTTGTCCATACCTATGTGGGTATAAATTCATCAAGGTTGTCGCTTTTCAAATCACAAAATAAATAGGAAATACCATGTGCCATTGCGCAGGTACTCTAGTCGACACGGTCCAACTTCTGGACAACCATTGCACTAGCGGCACCACCGCCATTACAAATCGCGGCCACACCATATTCACCAGGCTGCAACTGGTGCAGAAGGGTAACCAAGATGCGAGAGCCAGAGCTTCCAAGTGCGTGTCCCAGAGAAATAGCACCTCCCAGAGGATTGACCCGGGCGTTCTGCAGTCCAAGGATCTAGATTGAGATTAGCTGTGGTGTTTGTTCAGGTCCTATGGGGTAAATACTAACCTTCTCGTTTGCTTTGATAACGGCAGCGAATGCCTCGTTGAACTCCCAGACGGCAACCTGGTCCTTAGTGATGCCAGCTCGCTCGAGGGCAATTGGCACTGCCTTCGCCGGGGCGACGGGGAAGTCTACGGGATCAATAGCGGCATCCGCACTAGATACAATGCGTGCGAGGGCCCGATTACCCTGGGCAAACTCGCGAGCCAGGTCCTTGTTAGCGAGGACCAGAGCAGATGCTCCATCATTCATGGTAGACGCATTACCCGCGGTCACTGTGCCAGTACCGTCTCTCAGGAAGGCGGGCTTCAGGGTAGGCAACTTATCGATACGCAGGTTCTCGTATCCCTCGTCACGTTCGATAACAGTATCACCTTTCTTTCCCTTGACAGTGACGGGGGCAATCTCTTCGGCGAATTTATTCTCGCTCCAGGCCTTTTGGGCTCGCTGGTATGACTGGATTGCATATTGGTCCTGCTCTTCCCTTGTGATCTCATACTTTTTGGCTGTGGTCTCGGCACAGATACCCATATGGAACTGGTTGTAGACATCCCATAGGCCATCCTTAATCAAGCCATCCTGCAACTTGATCTCCCCGAACGGCGGAAGCTGACTCGAACGAGCGAGATAATAAGGGACTCGGGACATGTTCTCCATTCCTCCAGCAACTTGAGCATCTGCCAAACCGAGCTGGATATTCTGAGCAGCGAGTGCTACAGCCTTCAGTCCCGAGGCACACACTTTGTTCACTGTCATGGATTCCACTGTTGGCGACAACCCAGCGAAGATGGAGGCCTGGCGAGCGGGCGCCTGGCCTAGTGCGCCTTGGAGAACATTTCCCATGTATACGTCGGTGATTTTCTCGACTGGAATCCCCGACTTCGACACAGCAGACTTGATAGCAACAGCACCCAGTTCAGGGGCCGAGACCGAGGTGAACGATCCATTAAACTGTTTTATCGGTGGTGAATATACTAGGAAGCAACATCAGAAAGGGTAAAAGGGAAGCAAACCTTAGCAGTTGGGGTTCGTGAGCCACTGAGGATGTAGGCATCCTGAATCTCCTTGAATGCTGGGGTTGCAGCGCTGAATTGCCTCTGGCCCTGACGAGATGCGGGGACGGCCGCCCGCTTGAGAAGACGAGCAGTGGTCAATCTAGCCGAAGTTTGAATCGCCATCTTTCTCAATCCTAGTAGGGTAGATGAAGAAATGAAGGTGAAAGAGGAAGTAGAGATAGATAATAAGCACCGAAAAATACGATCGCTCGTCTCCGGATTCAGACAAGGTGTATCTGCCTCCTACCTGTTTTCTCCGCAGAGTAAACCGTCTCTAACCGCCTGTATAACCGCGACGGAACGGAACTGCTTTCGCCGCCCATCCGCCTGAACCGAGGCTGTTTCGAGGTAAACCGAGATCACATGATGTGCGATCATGTGCGGAGTATGCTCGTTTCCCCATTGGGAAAGCTCCTGTTCTGGAACTGACTGGACCAAACCCAGATAGATGGCACATACAGGAGCTGCCAGAGCTATACTTTTGGCCTTCAAGTCGATCAATTCACCTGCGGGTCAACGATATAGCACATATCGCACCATTGTTTGACTTTCTGGTTCCCGAGCTGATTCGCCTGGAAGTCAAAAATATGACTGTACAATCTAGCTACTAATAACATGAGTGTTTTACTAGTAGCTTAGTAAAATCTAACTGACGCATCTCGTTTATATCTATACAAATATTGTTTCAGTTTATAGGCTCAATTCTTTCTATATGTTTGTACATCTACCTAGTAGCTGGTTTGGCAGTTGTGCCACAAATACGGTGGAGATAATATATTTTGAGTGCTATTTTGACACAACTACTTTGAAGGTATACGTAATTGCACATGGTTTCTCTCCGAGTTACTTACAGATAGAGTCCGCGCATACATACGTACTTTAAGGTATCTCAATTAAGGTAATGTAGGGTTAGTTGGTCGCTAGTGAAAAGGTAACATAAGCTTATCATGACGGTGAGAGAGTGATTCGGGTGAATTTCGGGGAACCTTTGTTCAGTAAGTTGGCCGGGACCAGGTCGTATTGGGTTTAGTCTGCGAGAGCTTCTCTAGGAGGGTGGGCCAGATCACGGGAATGAAGACCTGCTTAGAGAAGCAAGTGGCGTTGATGGGAAACTCTCCAAACAGCAAGCGGTCTGTGGTGGATCTGCACGCCTCCTCCCATTGTTGCTCATCCTTCATTCTTTCCCATGTCTATCACATCCTAATCTTCATCTCTCAACGCAATACTGAGTCCGCTTTTGGTATCCCGAGAGTCAACATTGGAAGACGGCTTTTGTCACTCGTGTCACCATCGAGTTCCGAGTGTTGACCGTCCCTCCCGCTTCCATTTTATACCCCGATCCTCTACCCCGCCGTTATGTCAACCTCTGCCCGTCGTCGTCTCATGCGCGACTTCAAGGTATGTAATTTCGTAGAACCAAATTTCTGTGAAATCTGTCGTATTACTTCTTTCATATTTCCATGTGCATCGCTGGAATAGTCATTGTTCAGTTTGGGCGGCTTAGACTTTTGCCCGCCCGTCATGAATCATGATCTCGTGAGCTAACGCCTCTCGATGAGTCCAGCGTATGCAAACCGACCCTCCTGCTGGTGTCTCTGCATCTCCGGTAGCTGACAATGTGATGACCTGGTATGCTCCCTGATATATATATATATATATATATATATTCATTCGATTTAAGACTTGGTTCATGTGCTCATGGTGTTTCTTTGCTAGGAATGCCGTTATCATCGGTCCTGCTGATACACCCTTTGAGGATGGCACATTCCGCCTCGTCATGCATTTCGAAGAACAGTATCCGAACAAGCCCCCTGGCGTGAAGTTCATCAGCCAGATGTTTCACCCCAATGTATACGGCACCGGTGAACTGTGCCTGGATATCTTGCAGAATCGGTGGAGCCCAACGTATGACGTGGCGGCAATTCTCACTAGCATTCAGAGGTACGTTCTTCAGTCACTAGTGGCAGTGGGGAATGTAGTCCTAACAACTCCCGCCTTCCTTTAGCCTGCTTAACGACCCAAACACATCATCCCCTGCCAATGTTGAGGCATCTAATCTCTACAAAGACAACCGGAAGGAGTACATCAAGCGCGTACGCGAGACGGTCGAGAAGAGTTGGGAAGACTAGGGGACGCCCCATGTGATATTTGGTTATTTGTCAAATTCCTTCTCCTTTTCTCTCGGTATGGTTTATCTGTGGCGTTCTATGACGAAACACTTATTGTCTGCTCATATCAAGCGGCGACAGCACACTTGTCATGGATGTTTGACACGCCGATGGCATGACTTGGAGATTTTACAGGCCGTTTGATGACATGCACAGCGCGGGGTTTGGGCGCCTGGTACATATTATTTTTTGGTTGTTTTTATTTTATTATATTTTATTTTATTTCTTATTTTATCTTTCTTTTTCTGTGGATAATTGCATATGTTTTAGTTGCGCGCTGCATAATGCATGAGCTGAGGTTGTGTTCTGCCTTCTTTTTTCCGGTGTTATATTTTCTTCCCCGCTCTCTCCTTCATTCTTACTTGACCGATAGTATGATTTGTTCCCTTCTTTCTTATTGACTTTCCGGAATGTCTCCCGCCCTCTATTGCAAGTGATAGTTAGTGGTCTTTCTAATTAAGCACTGTTGAAAATTGGCATTTGCCGAAGGGACTAAACTCTTAGTAAATGCGGGACAAGTTGACCGACAGCATTCTCAGTCTTCAGCGGGTGCCAAGAAGTAGACTAACGGCTCGTGTCGAAGCATTTCCTTTACAACTTTACCTTCTTCTCATTGAAAGAAGACCACCTTTCTTGGTTCTCTTCACCCGTCAACCTTCACAGTCCCATCCTGACGCTCGCTGTGGTGGGTGTTTTTTTGGGGGTTGACAAGATCACGAGTCCCCTCACCAAATTGCTCCCCACGCACGTGGACCCCTGACCCAAACAACAAATCACCCACCGTACCTTGAAGTCACGACGTTCTCGTGGACTGATCTGAACGACATACCCGACAGTACCCCCCTCCTCGTGGGGTTCACTTTCTTGTACTTCTACCTTATCCTGTTCCCTTAGAAGTCGTTACCGGGTTTTTTGGGTCAGAGTGAACATGGCGTGAGTTTTGTTGATTCACCGCTTCAACGATCAAAGCGGCGGAGACTGATACTTTCTGTTTGGCATGACAGGTCATCTGGCCCTAACTCCTCCAACACCTCCATCAAGGGTGCGCATATCCTCCCTGATGTCAATGTCTCGCTTCTGCTAGCAGTGTCGCTGACGAGTCCCCAATAGTCGTTGCGAGGTTCCGACCGCAAAACAAAGTCGAATTGTCTTCCGGAGGAGAGCCCATTGTAGATTTTGAAAATGAGCAGTCATGTGCGATCAATGTGCGTGGCCCCTGCTGAAGATACTTGTTTTGGGAGTGGATGTCAACTTGGAGATTGGCTAACCGATACGCACAGTCCAAAGAAGGCACCGGTTCTTTCACCTTCGACCGGGTCTTCCCTATGGACTCGAAGCAAACGGACATCTTCGATTTCTCCATCCGACCGACCGTCGACGATATCTTGAATGGATATAACGGAACGGTGTTCGCGTATGGTCAGACAGGTGCGGGTAAATCATACACGATGATGGGCTCCGATATCGACGACGACATTGGCAAGGGTATCATTCCTCGTATCGTGGAACAGATCTTTGCCAGCATCCTAACCAGTCCGAGTAACATCGAATATACGGTGCGCGTCAGCTATATGGAAATTTACATGGAACGTATTCGCGATCTGTTGGTACCACAAAACGATAACCTCCCAGTCCATGAGGAAAAGTCTCGAGGTGTCTACGTTAAAGGCCTCTTAGAGGTCTATGTTTCGAGTGTGCAGGAGGTGTACGAAGTGATGCGCCGTGGTGGCACGGCACGAGCAGTTGCTGCGACCAACATGAACCAAGAGTCTTCCCGTTCCCATTCCATCTTCGTGATTACGGTGACGCAGAAGAATCTGGAGACTGGCTCCGCGAAGAGTGGTCAGCTCTTCCTGGTTGATTTGGCTGGTAGTGAAAAAGTTGGAAAAACGGGCGCCAGCGGTCAGACACTGGAAGAGGCCAAGAAAATTAACAAGAGTTTGAGTGCTCTTGGTATGGTCATCAATGCGCTGACAGATGGCAAATCCACACACATCCCGTACCGTGACTCGAAACTCACCCGTATCTTACAGGAGAGTTTGGGAGGTAACTCGAGAACCACCTTGATTATCAACTGTTCCCCTAGCAGCTACAACGACGCGGAAACCATCTCTACGCTACGATTCGGTGTGCGAGCCAAGGCAATCAAGAACAAGGCGAAGGTCAATGCCGAGCTGAGCCCTGCCGAATTGAAGCAGCTGCTGCGTAAAGCCCAGAGCCAAGTCACCAATTTCGAGAGCTATATATCCGCACTGGAGTCTGAAGTCCATGTATGGCGTAGTGGTGAAAATGTTCCCAAAGACCGATGGACACCAGGGAGAAACGACGTTGTAAGCGCAACGAAAGCTGAGTCCCGACCACGCCCCAGCACCCCGTCTCGTCTTCAAGAGGCTCGATCTGAAACCCCTCGACCTGATTCGAGAGTCGGTGATCGCTCCAGCACCCCTAGTCTTGTGCTCGAAAAAGACGAGAGGGAAGAATTCCTCAGGCGCGAGAATGAACTGCAGGATCAAATTGCCGAGAAGGAATCACATATCGCCAATGTCGAACGAGGCCTACGTGAGGCACGGGAAGAACTTCGAGCAATGAAGGAGAACTCGGCACGTTCGGGTAAGGATAACGAGAAGCTGAATACTGAGGTCAACGAACTCCGGATGCAGCTGGAGAAGGTGTCGTATGAGAGCAAGGAAGCTGCTATCACTATGGACGGTCTTCGGGAGGCCAATTCTGAGCTGACAACCGAGTTGGATGACGTCAAGCAACAACTTCTCGACGTGAGAATGAAGGCCAAAGAGACCAGCGCTGCATTAGACGAGAAAGAGAAGAAAAAAGCGGAGAAGATGGCGAAGATGATGGCTGGATTTGACCTCGGCGGCAATGTGTTCTCCGACAACGAGCGCAAACTTCAAGACCTTATCAATCGTGTTGATGCATTGCATCAGGTCAGCGAAGCGGGCGAGACCATCGCACCGGACGACATCCTGGAGCTACGCACGAGCCTGTCGGAGACCCAAGGGTTTATCCGGCAGGCCGAGCTGACCATGAATGACCGGGGTGAACTGAGTGAGCTGCAGGACAGCCGTAGGATCGAACTTGAGCAGAAGCTGGCTACCCTCGAGCATGACTATCAGAAGCTCCTGGAACGGAATCTGGGTGAGGAAGATGCGGAGGAGGTCCGGGAGAGACTGGAAAAGCTTTATATCACCCGGAAAGACACCGAATTACAGGCAGCCACGGAACTGCGGAAGGAGATTGCGCGCAAGGATGAAGAACTTAACAAGCTGCGCCAGTCTCTTGCCGACTCGCAATCTCGCGTGTCGACGAACGGTGCAGCAGGCAAGAACTTGCAGCAGCAGATTGCCGAATTCGATGCCATGAAGAAGTCTCTCATGCGCGATCTGCAGAATCGTTGTGAGCGTGTCGTGGAGCTGGAGATTTCTCTAGACGATGCCCGCGAGCAATATAATAATGTGTTGCGCTCTTCGAACAACCGGGCCCAGCAGAAGAAGATGGCATTCTTGGAACGCAATCTAGAGCAACTAACCCATGTACAGCGACAGCTAGTAGAACAAAACAGCAGCCTGAAGAAGGAGGTTGCCATTGCAGAGAGGAAGCTGATCGCCCGAAATGAGCGCATTGCAAGCTTGGAGAGCCTGCTCCAGGAGAGCCAGGAGAAACTCACCCAGGCCAACCATCGGTAAGTACTTTGTATTTTTATGTTTTGATATCGCAGCGACTAACCTTCCTTTCCTCAACAGTTTTGAAGCTCAGCTCACTGCTGTCAAAGAGAGACTCGAGGCTGCGAAGCAGGGCTCGACTAGGGGTCTTCCAACTATGGATAGCGGCGGCAGTTTCAGTTTTGGCGGCTCGAGAATCGCGAAGCCGCTCCGTGGCGGCGGCGGAGGATCCGAGAGCAGTGCTCCGGTTGCCGGAGTCCAGTCGCAGGAGACCGGAAAGCGCACCAGCTGGTTTTTTGATAGACGATGATCCACGATTTCTCTTTTGTTGCTTGTTTTATCCTTTCGCCGAAGATATTTGAAGAACATTCTTGACACGCCGATATCCTACATCCCCATCTCGTCTCGTGCGATCTGGCCGAGCATGTTTGTGTGAATGAAGTTTCCTGTTGTCTTATGATCTCCTTTCTCCTTTCTTTTTTTTTCTTTTTGATGTCTCTTGTCTCTTCGTCTTTCCCCGTTTGAGCCCTTGGTACATTAGATTGAGCACCCAGCCTATGCCACCAGAGGCCTATGGGTCTCGCCGATACCCTTGTACATGACGATGATAGAACGCATTACGGCAGAGTAGTTGGGAAGGACGGTAGGATAGGTTATACAATACAATTACGGTCATCTACCGCGAGATATTGGTTATATACACTTGATCACCAGCATTCGAAATGGGCAATCAGCGAGGTTAGTGGCAATTTCTGTGCGCTATTTCTTTTGCACCTAATGCCATTTCGATATTGATGGCTGGAAGATCGCTACAGACTTCTATAAGATGGCCAGCCCTCTCGTACACAGACCAAGTCTCATGTATCTCCCGTTCCCTTACGTATCGCGAGTAGAACAAGAAGCAAGCCTGCCCTGATCCCTCTTCTCGTAGGAGAGGAGATTGACCTGCGCCGAGAGGGATACGGTCTAGAGTGAGATGCGCATAGCCTATCGATTGAAACATGTGTGTATTCCTGCAGTACAAACATATGAATTGTCAAAGCTTCTTGCATGGTATCTGAGTAATAGTTACAAATGCGTTCATACTCAAAACACATAAAATACATGCAACTACCGTTTCCAGCCTTCGATCTTCTTCCGTCGCTTCTCAAAGATTTGACCCACGGCTGTACCATCGCCGCGTTGTCCATCATCACTCTGTTTGCGTTTCCGACTTCTATCAAGTGCATTGCCACTTCCCTTAGCCTTGCGCGTAAGCCTGGAAATGCGGTCTGCACCTTCAGTGAGCCCTCTCCATTCTTCACCTCCATATGTGCCCTCCGCGCCCTGTTGGCCACGCCGTTTGGCTTTGTCCTTTTTGCTCTCCTTGGCCAATCGGATAAAATTGGTTTCTTCATAGGTTGTCCGTTCCGCCTCGTGCTCTCTGTCTTTCTTTGACTTCGTTTGCCTACCACCGCGGACGATTGTACTACCAATGCTAGGCTCCACCATCGGCGCGGACGACATCTCGGCGCTGACGAACTCATCGATGACATTCGACCGGCGTGGGCCCCGTTCCCGGCGCTCCCTGGTTTCAGTGGTGGGTAGAGCTGTCGGCATGATCTTGGGTGGGCGATAGATGCCATCGCTGCTAGCTCTATTGGCGGTCTTCTCCGTGCGCGCTTCTGGTTCAACTTTCTTAGCAAAGGCCGTGACATTGGGCCGGTATGCCATCTCATCGATATCTTCCTGGTCTCCATCACTTTCTGCCTCGCTATCGCTAGAGTCCTTCTCATCGTCGCTGCCAGAATCTTCTGCTTCGGCTGTTTTCGCGGCGGTGCGTTCGGCTCTCTCCGCATCCTCGGCGGCCTTGACCACCTTGTCTACTTGATACTTGAGTCGCCCCTCCAAGGGTCTGACGCCGCGGTCCAGGTAAACCCGTAATTCACTAAGTCTTTTAAACAGATCCTCTCGAAGGGACTGATCGGCCTCGGCGTCTTCATCCTTTGATAGCCCACGGAGTTGGAACAACATGAGAAAAACCAGATTTTGTATGTATGAGAGAAGCAAGTCGTTCTTGATGTCTAGTAGCGATATACCATCTTGAGGTGGTTCGATCGAAACATCGGAGGGCGCATCTCGCGCGGCTTTGGGGAGGGATGATCCGGCAGAGGTGAGACATCCAGTGATACTTTCTAATAATGTGGAAATATTTTGGAGACCGGAGCTCTCCGGCTGCTGCGTTGCGGCAGCCATTGCGAAATGATCTGGAGGTTTTGCTTTTCCACAAGTGATCATCTAAACTAAAGATTTGCAGGGAAATTTTGGTGTCTTATCAACACGTGCCGATTCTATCCTGAGTCAGCATTCCCATAATTCATCACGTGCGCTAAGCCCGACTAGCTGGCCTCATCGCAAGCGCTCCATTTCCGCCCGAAGGCCAATCTCCGTTCTGTTTTCATTTACAACTAGGTTAACGTCTTACTTTCCGCGAAGTACCATTTTCCCTGTGGTTTCCCCTTGGACCACCTTCCCACTCAACTCATGAGCCATTGAAAGGACTTCGCGTGGAGTGGCAACTGTAGAGCTGTAAGTCGCGTTTCCTAGAACTACACACTAGTTTAGTATCCAAGAGCGACGGACGAGCTAATCTGTCGCTTCGTTATTGTACAGAAACGCCCACAATGGCGTTCACCAAACGAACGTTACCCATTTTCCCCCTTCTGCTTGTGGCCCCCTCTCTTACAGGAGCTTTCTATCTGCCGGGTGTAGCGCCCACCTCTTACGATCAAGGTCAATCCGTTCCGCTTTATGTCAACCATCTTACTCCGGGCCTTGCACAGCAGGATGAGCAACTCCACTCCGTGTTTTCTTACGACTTCTATCACCCCGCTTTTCACTTTTGTACTCCGGAGGATGGACCCAAGTATATCCGGGAATCGCTAGGCAGTATTCTGTTCGGAGATCGAATCCAGTCGTCACCGTTCGAGCTCTCCATGGGCAAAAACGAAACCTGCAAGGCTGTTTGCAAGGAGGAGGCGAGGTTCGATGCCCGTAGCGCTAAATTCACCAACCGGAGGATTGTACAAGGATACAATTTCAACTGGATCGTGGATGGACTTCCGGGCGCTCAGATCAATGTGGAATCCGTCACTGAGGCCAAATTCTATAACCCAGGCTTTGCGTTGGGATCCTTGAACGATGATGGACAGGCGGTTTTGAATAATCATTTCGACATCTTTGTCGAATACCATTCAGTAGGATACGGAGCTAAGGACAAGTACCGAGTTGTCGGCGTGCTTGTCCAGCCCGACTCCCGCGGAGATTCGAAAGTTAGCGGAGATGGGACTGTGGACTGCGGCTCCGGTGGCGTCCCGGTTATTCTGAACGAGGAGGGTGAGACTGGCGTGACCTGGACATATAGTGTATACTGGCGTGAATCACCCACTCCCTGGGCTACCCGCTGGGATAAGTACCTCCATGTTTACGACCCGAAAATTCACTGGTTCTCCCTGATAAACTCCGCGGTATTCGTGGTCTTCCTGGTTGGCATGGTGAGCATGATACTAGTTAGAGCTCTTAGGAAGGATATCGCTCGCTATAACCGGCTGGATATGATCAATTTGGAGGATCTGGATGGAACGTCGGCTGCCGTGGAAGACGGCATCCAAGAAGATTCTGGCTGGAAATTGGTGCATGGCGATGTCTTCCGATGCCCCAAGTCCCCTCTATTGTTGAGTGTCCTTGTTGGCAACGGTGCCCAGCTGTTTATGATGACGGGCGTGACAGTTGGTAAGTGTTCTGGGTGATAATACGGCAACCTTCATACTGATTTGACTGGTCTAGTTTTTGCCCTCTTCGGCCTTCTGTCTCCAGCCAACCGTGGCTTCCTAGCCACAGCTATCCTTATCATCTACACACTTTTCGGGTTTATTGGAGGCTATGTGTCCGCTCGCGTGTACAAATCGTTCGGCGGAGAAGCGTGGAAGCGCAATATTGTTATGACGCCCGTTCTAGTTCCTGGTCTCATCTTTGGCACCTTCTTCCTGTTGAATCTGTTCGTTTGGGCAAAAGGCTCCAGTGGGGCTGTGCCCTTCGGCACTATGCTTGCTCTTGTCGCGATTTGGTTCGTCATCAGCGTCCCGTTGAGCGTTGCGGGTAGCTGGCTTGGGTTTAAGCAGCGCGTATGTTTGTCCTGCCTGTGATTCTTACTATATTCTCTGACCTCTCTCTCCTAGGCTGTGGAAGGACCCACGAAGACGAACCAGATCCCCCGTCAGGTTCCTCCCATGTCGGGAAGTCTGCGGACAATTCCCTCGTTGCTCTTGACCGGCATTCTCCCCTTCGGGGCGATTTTCGTGGAGCTGTACTTTATCATGACCTCTCTTTGGACTAACAAGATTTATTACATGTTTGGTTTCCTGTTCCTCTGCTACGGCCTGATGATAATTACCACTGCAGCTACGACGGTACTCTTAGTGTATTTCCTGCTGTGTGCGGAAAATTACCGGTGGCAGTGGAGGGCCTTCGCTGGCGCTGGAATGACTGGTGGCTATGTCTTCCTGAACGCGTTGCTTTTCTGGGCCACCCGCGTGAGCTTTGGTGGTCTCACTGGTGCAGTACTGTATGTGGGATACTCCGCATTGATTGGGTTTATTGTTTTCATCTTAACTGGTAAGTCCTGGGCTGTCCTTCCTAAGACGAGGTGGTTTGTGTCTGGTTTAATCCTCGTTAACAAATAACCTGTAGGTTCGATCGGCTTTTTCGCCAGTTGGGCGTTCGTGCAGCGCATCTATGGTTCTATCAAGGTCGATTAAAAAGTCTGGACATTGCGCTTAGCGGTCGCTTCTCTTCAGCTTCATGCAACATAGAATGAGGGATGCACTTTTCTTTTCTAGTCTTGTTCCGGGATATCCCCTGTATAGCTTTATTTTCCATGCGATGCATTGTCCACGATCTGTACATAGAGTATACGAGAATGCTGTTTCCGTGCTTGGGACATTGTTTGGCGCTAGTGGAGCCCTGGGAGTTGTTTCAGGTACACGAGAACCTTAAGAGGATGGATTGTATGATAAACGAGCCCATTGGACCCGGTCGCAAACCGACCATTGGTATTCTCGCATGTAGACGTAGGCAGGAATCAGTAGGAGGTAAGTAGATAGTTACGAATGCCGACCCAGGGGAGGAATACTGGTGGAAAGTTGTAGTGCGTCAGCCTTCTCTCGGCGGTCAAAGGTCTGGACCGGCGGCTCCCCCAGTGTCAAACCGCCACTAACCACTTCATTCTCTTCCCCCCCCCCCCCCGGTTTCAAATCTATTCTCCCATTACCCAAATCTCGCCGATCGGAAAGTTTCATTTGTTCTTTCCCTCTGGTTTAAAGTCGGATCAATTCTGCTTGTTTTCCTGTACTGGCTCGGTCTCCCGCGTGTTCTCTTAAATACCCCTCCACGCGACCCACGATCTTATCAATCCAAACCTCGTTTACCCCGCGCTCTTCCGCAAACTGCATCTCGCACTTCCCGCGTCAGCGCATTCTAGATTGGGGCCCTATCTGAGAGCGAGGCACTCGCAATCCTTACAGACGATATCTTGGTAATAAAGTGGGAGCCATCTTTAGGTGCGTGTTGTGACGATGGGCAAATCGTAAGTGCTGTGCTCTCCGGTCGCTTTGCATATTCACCTCCTCCACATTGGCAACAGCCATGCACATCAAACGCATGCGCAAGCCATGCTTGTCCCGAAGGATAGCGATAGCCCTAGAGACCAGATCGTCTCGTGCGGCCACATTCTGCTCGTGCGATCGGATTCCCGTTCCTTTCTTTTCGCGATGCCGTGATCTGATGGCCCGTGTGAGCTAACCTCGATGGGCCGGGCAGTCAGTCGAAGCTTTCCCCCTCCCAGCTGGACGAGCTCCAGAAAGCGACTCATTTTGACAAAAAGGAATTGCAGCAATGGTATAAAGGTGTGTGCCTGTCTGCCTTGATCTATGTCAAGGGACGTGTGGATTGACCGAGGCATCCGGTATAGGATTCTTGAAGGACTGCCCCTCGGGGACCTTGACCAAGGAGGAGTTTCAAAAGATCTACCGACAATTCTTCCCCTTTGGTGATCCGTCATCGTTCGCCAATTATGTGTTCCGCGTTTTCGATTCGGATAATAGCGGTATGATCGATTTCAAGGAGTTCATTTGCGCACTGTCGGTCACATCTCGGGGTAAGATGGAGGACAAGTTGGATTGGGCATTTCAGTTGTATGACATCGATGGCGATGGTAAGATCACGTATGATGAGATGCTCGCCATCGTGGAGGCAATCTACAAGATGGTATGTTTCCTGCCCATGGATCCTGTGATCGCGGGCTGACGGATGATTAGGTTGGCTCGATGGTGAAACTCCCCGAAGACGAGGATACGCCAGAGAAGCGGGTTCGCAAGATTTTCCGGATGATGGACAAGGATGAGAATGGCAGCCTTGACATGGAGGAGTTCAAGGAGGGCAGTAAGCGCGACGAAACGATCGTGAGCGCCTTGTCCTTGTACGATGGATTAGTATAAGTGGGTGGTGGTGGTGGTCGCACCTCTATCCTTCTTCTCCCACGGCCTTTAAGTCTTGTCTCTCGGCGAATCCCCCCTTTTCTTGGGGGGTTTTCTTCCTCTACTTCCTTTTTGAAAGTAACCTTTCCCGCCCGTCATGTGTCTATTATCTCCTTTCTGGTCTTTTTGCGTCTAGGATTCCCATTACTGCTTGCGTTCTTGTCTGCCCAGTGTCCCATATCGATGGGTTTCTGGCTGGACTGCCTCCTTCTGTACTCTTTCCCTCCCGTCCCCATTGATTGTTCTATATATGCTTCGCGGGGCGTTGTCTTCGAAAACTTAAAGTTAAACCTGTCCGGTGGCACCTTCGACTTTGATTGACATATCTGTGCGCTTTCACTCTGCAGGAAAAGAGGGGAGAAGGAGTGAGATGGATGGATGGATGGATGGATGAGACTCTTCTTCTACTGAGGTGGACGACTTCTGGATGACGATTATGTTGATATGTTGAAATGTTTGCGGGCATTTGCATGACGGAGCCTGTTGCAATGTAGTTTTTAGACCGATGTTTGTTTGTTTGTTTGTTATATATTTCTATGATACAAAAGACCTCCGGTGTCTGCCTGGTAAGACAGCGCAGTCACGGTACCATTTTACTTTCTGGTGTCTCCACACTTAAGTCAAACAATCATGACTCCACCTTTCTGTTCACCTCCAGGCTACTCAATTAATCCATTACGAAAGAAGACTCCGGCATCAGTCGTTTGGGACTAACGCCCTTTCCGATTCCGGATGGGTCCAAATACGGCTCTCTGACTTTGCTAATCTAATGGGTCGACCACGCGGCTGTCGAGGCTGCATTGACGTCCACATTCAGGTCCGTGTGCTCCCTCCCCCCTTTATGGAAGAACCATGTTCTTGTGAACTCCCTTTCCTTCCCGCACCAATCAATCTGTCACTGTGGCTACTACTATTACATTCCCTCTCGCTGGATCCCCAGACCCTCGCAGTTCCCACACGTCAACACTGGAAGGATCCCGAGATCCGAATGCTCATCAGAACTAGATCGAGGTCCTTGCAGAGAAGTGGAGCCCGGCATCAATCCATCACATTGTTCCTCCACGATACAATGACCGATCAATCTGCCTTGCTTGCTTCTACCACTCTAACCCCTCGTTGTAGTGTGATGGCAGAGCCCCTTGCGCACGATGCAAAACCCTGAAATTGCCTTGTTTGCGCCCTGTGCGAGCGATCGAGTTTCGCGATGAAGGCCCCGCCCTGCGGGAGAAATATCAGTCGACGCCGCAGCCTTCTTCACGCCTCAAACTCAAATCGGACTCGGATGCTCAAGGCGTCCTTCCTTCTGAATCGGGCCGGTCCATTGTCCAGTATCAGCCGATTGCCTTTCTTATTGACAAGACGGTGTCGCATTCGCTGTCCGTCACCGCCATCTCAGCCCTGCAAACCCAAGTATTTACCAATTTTGTCCTCTCATCCCTCCCCTGTTATTACAAATCAACCGAAACGCAGGTGCCGGTCAATTGGGTAGAATACGTCGGGGGAAGGCGAAGAGCCAATTCTTGCTTCGACTGGGCTCTTCGTGCCTGCAACACCTCCTTCACGGCTGCCATGCACAATGACCAGCGACTCTTGGACGAATCCAGAGTGTTGTATACCCGATCCTTGCAGAGCCTCCGCGGAATGTTGAGCGACTACTCAACGGCCAAATGGGACGATACCTTAGCAGCAGCTATCTTACTCGCACTCTATGAGAAACACCACTGTACCGATGCGGACTCGTGGCTCAGACATGCATCGGGAATCCGGATGCTGTTGAAGCTCCGTGGCCCGTCGGCTCATCTTCATGGGTTCGGTCGCGCCTTGTACCTCGCTTATCGAAGTTTCTTGGTCACAGAGGCTCTGATTTCCGGTGAGGAATGCTTCTTGGAGGAGCCCGAGTGGCAGGTTCTTAATAAAGAGATCGCGGCGGATAATGCTAAGCTACCCGATTCGTCTTTGTTTACAGATGTCGTGGACCGTGGCTTTCTGGAGATCCTACAGATCCCTGGGCATGTAAAACGAGTGCGAGAGTTACTTGCCCTCCCATTGGACGAACGGACTAAGCTTCAGCCGGGCGCCATGCAGGGTGTCCAAGCCACCCGCGCGGCACTTCGAGGGATCAACACGGAGCTTGGTATTTCGATATCGATGCGTCGTGCTGGTCAAGGCGCCCAGAAGACCTTCACTGGTCCTTCTCCACCCTTCTTCCTCGACGGCTCCTCGTCATTTTTCGCGAGTGGCATTCGGTCGGGTCTAATGATTCTCAATCAATTGGTCATCGCCATGGATCCGACACAGCGGAAAACGCTCGACTCGGAAAACTATGTTCTCTCTGGGGGTTGTTCGAGCCCGGCCAGCTCTGAAGGCCCTGTGAAATGCCCTGCAACATCCTCTGACTCGCAATCGCCGAAGCTCGTGGTAGAGTCGTTGATCACACCCATGTACAGGAAACCACCGACGACAGACTGGATGGATCACCTTACATCGACGATGGGCATGGATGGCGTACGGGTGATGCTGCTTGAATGACTTTGGAATATCAGTGATACTTTTGTTATATTTGAACCCGGGGTTTTATTGCTTATAGTTGCAGCACTCCGTGTTGTCTTTTTTGATACCCCTGTCTTTTAACGAAACTGTGGTCAATGGTGATATAATGCTTGCTCTGTGGGAAGACCCCAATTTTCTATTTTCTCTTCCCCCCTCCCTCCATCTCCTTGTTCGGCAGCCGTTGGTATATAAGCCTTTGTGAATATATCGTGGTGATTTTCCAATCTAGCTCGCGTGTTTCCATGACCGCCGTCATTGTCAACGCTGTTTCTCTTTTTTACCCTTGTACATCTCTATTACCTAAACGGCCTAGCTTTTGGTCTCCTTGTTCTTCTCTAATATTGTGACTTTCACTGGAGGCGAATAAACTTCTCGTTGACACGGGTGGTTTTGCTTTTATTCTGAACTACCTCTGCTTTTCATCTGCTTGGGGGCAAAGCGGTAGAACGCTGCATACCACCGAATTACATACTTACATACCATAATTTTAGATCATTGGTCGGTCCAAGTCCTCTTCCAGATCATTGGCGCGGGTCACTCCAGCTACCGTTTGGTGGCGTTGACCACCCACACGCGCACCACACTCCGGACAGGTGGAAATTTGCATGGCACCACCGCATTCGCCAATGGTGAAAGGGTGGTTGTTCTCGCAACGGTACCAATGTCCAGTCCCCCGAAATTCCCGCGCCATGGCGGCCACAATAGCCATTCTTTCTTCGCTTGTAACTGGTGTGTAAAATGTCCCCCCTTGGAGCATCTTCAAAGTGCCTTCGATTTCTTCAGAAAGCCCCCGTACTTGTCCAGGGTGGGCATCACAGAGCACTTGGGCTTGTGTAATGCACTCATTGCCTTCTTTGAGAAGATCCTCTGCTCGAGCTGGCTGCGTGCTGTTTTGGCGCTCAAGGGCGCACAGCTGAGCCCGGAAAAGATATCCCTCGACCTGCTGCAGCACTCGTTGTGTGTTGATAGCCATAGCGGTGAGCTTTTCACTTTCCTTTCGGTTCGCCTGGAGGTCAAGCTGCAGGGTACATTTGTTGGATCCGCCAGGAGCTTGTTTATATAATGCTAGGAAGTCGCTAAGCAATGCCGTATCTAGACGGAGTAACAGGGCAGCGGCTTGGACGCAGCCTTTGGTCTGGAGCACATTCTCATCGAACTCAAAATGCCCCGTTTTTCGTTTACGGCGACGGGCATCTTCCACCATGTTGCGTACCTGGTTAAATGGCTGCTCCTCCACCTTGACCGTCTTGTAATACTTCGTGACCTGCTCCCGCAGGGACATTAAGCCTTTCCATCTTGTCCCATCATGCTTCCTGAGATGCTGGTGCATTAGGCGGACTTGGTGATCAGGTGGCCCTTCAATTTTTAAAGTGACTTCGACTTGGGATACTTTCGCTGCCGCCGTCCCTTTGTGGGCTGGTAGAAGAGCTAACAGCCGGGTAAGTGCTTGGGCCATTGGCACGTATGTCTGATTCACGTATAGAATAAATTTCTTCGTAGCTTCATCCAATAAGGCACGCCTCACTAGTCTTCCATACCGAGCCACACTTCGCAACGAACCTCGACATGTTGCACAATTGCGGACGTCAGAGATGGAGAATGGCTCGGAAGACGAGGCTATAGAGACTGGCTGGCCCCCGTCATTCATGACATAATGCTTTCCCAGGTCCATTTGAGCGTCCATGCTCTCCACCGTCAGAAAATGTCCACATGGGGGAAAGACGCAGGGATTCTCGTTCAAATCGATCTCCCTATACGTTTCGCCTAAGATGAAGTCAACGGGAATGTCTTTGATCTCGTCAGTTGCACAGGTTTGACAAAATTTCTCCGTTGGACAGAGCTCGCCACACAACGATGGGCATTGGTGACCGCATGGTAGAATCTTCTCACATCGTCGAGAACAAGGGATGTGATCACATGGCGCTGCACAAGGCATGGAACATGCGCTATGCGGACATTCGGATAGGCATTTCGATACTGCACATGGAGCACATGGCTCGGAACATTTCTGAGAGCATCGGGAGTGGCCGCACTGTACGTCACAGGGAGCCTCACATGGAGGGCACGGTGTATCACCGTGACACTCTGCCGCGCAGGTATGGGCACATGTAGAATAGAGACGGTCACACCTTTGCTTACATTGCTCGTGATCGATATTGATACCCTCGTCTGTCACAGCCATGCACTGATGGCATTGGCGCCTGCAGTTGTGGCCGCAGGGTAAAGCAGCATAGCACTGGCGCATACATTTGTAGTTGGGGCCGGTGACATCTATGTGACAGGCGATCACCACTTCATGGTTGCAGTTAGGAATATGTTTCTTGACGTGCGTGGGACATTGAACAAGGTTGAGATCTTGCGCCTGCCAACAAGGAAGACTGGCCATTGAATGACCGCAAGGTAGGATCCGACCCGTGTCGAACACCATGATGTCGCATCTTTTCGGACATAAATCCCCACATAATCTGGGACAGGGGTGGGAGCACCCTTTCTGCGGGCGCAGACATGGTTCTGGACAGTAAACCGCCTGGTGAAGTATGTCCGAATGGCATTTCTGCTTACACGGATGACCGCACTGTAATCGCTTACCGCACTGCAGACTGCAACCACCTTCAGGCGAAAACTGGACAAAGTCATCCGGCTGTGAAACGGAGATAGGGGTAGAGGGGTGACGAGGGCATCTAAGGTCTAAACTAGTGCCGATATTTTCATGTTCTTCAAGAATGTTGAGAACCTGATGCCACATTTCTACACCTCGTGAGGTTTCAGAGTTACCGATGATATACATGCCATGTTGTGCGCGTGAAAGCAAGACATTGATGCGGTTCGGTGTGCGCAGGAAACCACATCGATTTTGACTGTTGCTTCTCACCAGTGAAATGACGACCACCTTTGCTTCCTCACCCTGGAAATTGTCAATAGTTGCGACCCTCAGGGCCTGCAGGAGAGTTGATCTGGAAACTGCGCTTGGTCTCGTCTGTTTCTCATCCTCTGCGAAGCCCGCCTTGTCGAGGTCATCTTGGTCTCTTTCCCCCAGGGTGATTGTGAATGATTGGCTTAGTTTACGCCTCATCCGGTGAAGCTGGCCAAGGTATGGGGTCAAAACGGCTATGTCGCCAGCTTCGTATTCTCCCTGGCAGAGAAGATGGTTCACCAGGGCAAGCGTCAGGTCGATTTCATGGTCATTCCAGTGGGATGTTGCCATGGCATCCTGAATTGACGCGTTGCCTTCAGGCCGCCGGTGGTCAAGCCAGAAAAGCCTCTTTCGCATCCCTGCAACTTCTGGGTACTCACTGACCGATAGTGCATCTTGCAGGCGAGGATACAAAGTATCTCGCACCAGCTGTGCAATTGAGGGATGCATCCGTCGTTGGGTTTCCAATGTAGAGAATGGAATCCTTATACCAATGTCATCATCCGGCTCTACAAGCCGTTCGAACAGAGAGCGGTCCAAGGAGTACTGTTGCCCTGTCCTGTTCTCCCGCGAAAGACCATAGTTTTGTATCTGAGGTCGGAGCTGCTGATGGTCTCCGATCAGGATGATATGTTCGGCCGATGGCAAGAGAGAGGTGAGTAGATGGGCTTCCAGGACCTCGCCGGCCTCCTCACACATGATTACTTTCGATTGCAATCTGCGCAGCATGTTCAGATTGCGGGCTAGGCCAGTCGTCGTGACTCCGATAACATCGGCGTTGCGCAGGCATCGAAGATCGAGTTCATCTCGGATTTTATCAAAAGACGCTTTATGTTCTTGGTGTTCAGTCAAAATTGTGTGAGCCTGAGTATGAAGGTCTTGTCTACTCTCCTTGATCCAATGCTCGTATAATATCCTGCGTTCTTTCGCTGTCATGGTATCTAAATGGGCCTGCTCAAGGCTTTCCACGCCACGTGGCTGACCTTTGATGGCCTGACCAGATTTGACCCACGCCTGTATAGCATTACCTTTACGGCGGGTAGCGTGAACCTTCTGAAAGTCATTTTCATCCTTGCGAAATAGTTGATTATAATGCAGCATATGGTGTCGTTTCAGATGAAACTCTAAGCTTTTATCGGTGCCTATTGCATCTAGTCGGAGAGCATCGAACTCCTTCTCGTGATTCTCGAACGCTACATGCAGTTTCCACCGCTCTTGCTTCTCCAACCTTGTCTTGTCAACTTGCTGAACGACATTTCTGAGATTGAGAGGCTGTAGTATTACTGATTTCGATTGTGCGCCAATGCGGATGATTTGTGTAGTGACCTTATCGTCCAGTAGGTCTTCCAGCAGCTGATCGAGCGCATGATTTGTGTAGCAGACACATATAATCGGCCCAAGTCGCGATTTTACCCTTGCCTTGTTGGCCAGAAGGACTTTGATTAGGGCTACTCCGGTATAGCTCTTGCCCGTCCCTGGCGGGCCTTGAATTAACCCTATTTTTCGCTGCAGGGTCTGGACAAGAGCCTGTGCCTGCGCGTCATCTAATGTCGACTGCTCTTGGAGCTTTCTTAAGTCAACAGCCTGTGACGGGGATATCAAGAGGTCCGATCGGTCCTTCATGAGACATTGTAAGTTGAAACTAAATCCTTGCCCTGTCGCGTACTTCGGGGGCGGCATGTCAACCATGCCAGAGTACGTCTCGTCCGGGGCGAGGAACTCGGACATGGGAAGATCTGCGGCCTTCTTCATTGCTTGAAGGGCCTTAAGTGTTGGTTGGAAGGATGGAAGTAGAATCCCAGGAAACTCGATCAGCGACAGGGAGCATCTGCCATTCCGTGGCTTGTGGCAATCTAAAATATACTGCCGATTTTCCTCTGTCGGTTCCACTAGCTCCATGATTACAGACGATATACTTGCATCGCCCCAAAGTGATGCGGCCTTCCTCTGTCGACGCTCTTGCCTCGCATCAGCCCTGGGTCGCTCGGATCCGGCGACCGTACAAAAGATAGCAAACCCTCGGGGATCAGTGAGGCAAACGAGAGCACTGGGTTGGAGCCTTTTCGATAGCTCCCACCAATCTTTACGTTGGTCCTTCGACATGGCTCTGACATTCAACGGTTGCGCAAACTGGGCGACAAATTGTAGCCCCACCCAACGATCGAAATCTAAGCCCTGCACTTTGACGTTCTGATATACATTCGTTCTCACCTGGCTCTTCTGTGCCCCCCCTAGGGTGCTCGGCCTTAGCTCAGCGTGGATTACGTCTCGGAGCTGACCGACCGTGTCTTCTCGTAAGAGCCGGAAATTACGGTCCAAAAGACCGGCGAGACCACCGATATGCCACTGCTGCGGGTCTTTCCCGGGGAGGTACTCCGAGCGGGCGCTTAGGATTTCCTGGAATGTGGGCATGATTCTAATTCGGCAAATATCTGCATGATCGTTGTTGTGACGGCCGCCCGGAGGATCCTTCGGAGTGATGAAGGCGACCGGAGCCTGTCGAGATGGAAGTGGCCTCGAGTTTCCTAGCAAGGGTGTCAAGGAGCTCCCAATCTCCAGGCGCCGTTGGAGTACCTCCAGGTGATGGCGGGACCGGTCAAGGGGACCGGCGGTCTGCGAAGGGTGAAGAACCATGAATAAATCATGAAACCGCCTGGCTGCCGGCTTCAGATGTTCCTGGATGAATGCGGTCGAGTTCAGTTCGATGATTTTGCAGAACACTAGGAGCGATAGTTCTAGATGGGTTGATGTCGCCTCATCGCGCTGTTCTACTTCCAGTTGCACAATGTCGGCAAGAAAATTCAGGAACGGCTCTGCCCGGTTGCCGGCTGGGCCAAAGATGTAGTTGTAAATCTTCACGACGAATTGTTCCATCACCAACGAGGCGAGGACTTTGTGATGGGTGATTAACTCTAGGAAAGGGAGGAACTGTTTCCCGAACATATCTTGCTTGGTGGTGCTTGGTATCTGAGTATAGTGACGTTGGATCAGTTCCTGGATTCGGTGGAGACCCCCTTCTTGGGAAAGACATTGTATGACTTCTTGGGCCGTGCTATCGTCGTCGACATCGATCAGTCTTCTGGCTGTAGAGAAGAACGGGCCCAACTCTCCACCTAACGGTCTAATCAGTAACAGGCTATTGGGGGCCTTTCGCTTCCACGCGGTCAGATCGTCAAAGTTGTTGTTGGCAGCATGGGTTTGTTGTCCTCGCGCGCTAGATCTCGACTCTCTCCCTTTCCCTGCAGGTTTTGACTGGTCGACGACATGAGAATATCGGCAGTTCTTGAACTTGCAGGACCCAGTTCGAGCGAAATCAAAACAGATCCTGCGAAGCAGATACGATTAGCGTTGTGGTCTGATATAGATCTTGGCATGAATTCTGCTTGCTTACTTTCCAGATACCATGTTACTGATCCCCCAGTAGGGTGATATGATTCTGCACTACGCAATATGGACTGTAGGTTGCTTTCATATGCAGACAGAGGGTAACCTAGCTGCAAACAGTGTGAGGGACAGTATCTTGATATCTGCGTTGACAGTTGCTGTAGGTCACGAGGAGTATGTATTCACGTCTGTGGACACTAAGTGGAAAATAGGCGAACAGGATATTACCGGATATATAGCCCCGACTTGGTTGACAGAAAGCAGTGGAAGGCTGTTGCAGGCGGTTAATCAACTGCATTCACTGCTTTTGCATGGAGACTGTGAATTCGCCATTGCGGCGTTACGCCCCCCACCAGCGAGCCTTCCAGTTTTCTTGATCCAGTCACTTCGCGCTGGTTCACTAATTCATGAAACCTGGCCCAGCACAGCCTTCTCTCTCTAGCAAATCCTCCAGCCCAGGCTACAGAGCTGCCACCTCATTCTGCGTGGGTGGGGAGAGTTCCTATGTGTTCAGTTCTACTACGAGTCAGGGATCCCAGCCTTGGACATATTTATTGGCTATTATCTGACCATGGCCGCCAGAGCAAACAGGGTCATGATCTCTAATTGGAGGGTACAGAGACAGCCTTGCGATGAACACCACGTCGCCGTGGTCACTGCCGCAGTGATGTTGGTCCGGCGCATATGCAAGATTCCTCCAATGAAAGCACCATTTATTCCCCGGTAGATAAGACACTGCAGGATATGTACACCCATATTCCTCAATCTTTAGATATACATACAAAAGAAGATTTAAAAAAGAAAACCAAAAGAAAAAAAAAAAATAGAACACTTAAGAATCAAGTCTCTTTCCCGATATCCCCCTTCTTCCACCCAATATCATACACAATATTCCCGCCCCGTAACACCACCCCGGGAATCCAGCCCTGCTCCTCCATCCACATAAACGGCCAAAACAAAATCGCCCCCAGCACGCAGAACACTGTCGCGAACAAATGAACCGCTAAGATAATCCAGTGCCCGACATGCGGCAGCACGAACTTGATAAATTCCGACGTCTGGTACAGATCCTCCTGTTTGGCGATGTAGTAGAGTTTGCGATGCCCGTTTGTGACTTTGAGATCGGCATCGGGGCCGTTGGCGACCACGTCGGCGTAGGATGCTGTTTCTTTGCCTTGATGGTTGGAATTGGATTTAGTCCGCGATGAAGAGGTGATGGAGTTACCCGAGGGATCGGTGGTTAGATCCAAGACGATTGTCATTTTCACTGGCGCGACGTGGAAGGGGACGATCCAGATCGTGAAGATTTGGGACATTGTTACGTAGAGTGTTAGGGTTTTGGGGTCGTAGGCTTTTTTTTGTTTATTATTAGCTTTTCTCCTCCCTTTCTTATGTGTATGTATATATATATATATAGGAAGAGATGGGAGACAAACCAACGGAATGGATATTCATTTCGATGCGCGGGGACATCACTTTATACCATTGGTAGATCTTTTGGATCACCCAGCGACTACCGCGGAAATGTTGGACTCGGCAGAAGGGGTGCACGAAAGAGGCATTGGGGGTGAAGAACTGGTCGATGGTTTGGGATTGTAGGGCTGGAGGGAACTGCGTGAGGTGTTGGATCACCGTGGGGATTTCGGAGACTGTGGAGATGTATGTGTTAGCTTGATATATGGGAAGGATGAGGGTGGGACAAACCAGGATCTTCCATTTTGGTTGTGTTATGGGATATGAGACGAGGGATTGGATCTGGGAAGGAAGAATCAAGAAGAGTATCAGAATATAAGAATGTTTATAAATTTATCGAATTTTACCAGCAAGGAAAGATGACGTTTCGGTTTTTGCAATTGTTGATGATGATGTCATGGCATGTGAAATCGGGGGCATTTCTCCTTTGGGATATACGGTCACCTGATTGGGAGAGACAAACAAGCATTGATTTGCATTCATTACTAGTAAGTACTCTGTTGACTATATACACATACCGGAACAGTCAATCAAACCTCTGGAGATACCTTACTACTACTACTACGACGACGACGACGTACGATGTACACCCGTGGTGGTGCGACTGCGTTTAAGGTTCCGGGGAATTGCTGTGTAAGTGGTACCACAGCAGCCACTGATTCGATAATGCGAATCTAAATCCGTCCAGACTCTCATGGAATCATGTCAGGATGAGGGAAAGGTGTCGAGAGTGTGGATGTTGGTGGAAAGCTTAACGTTGGATCACACCACCATGTTCACCCAACCTATCTGATGGCCTGGTTATATATGGTTATATATATCGACAACGCGAATACGGTTACGCATGCCTTCAGAGTATTGAGAAGCAAAACCGCCGGTAAAGGTTGAATATATAACCTGCTATTCCGATCACCCCGAAGACAACGACGTAGACCGCAAGCCACTGCGTTCGATCAGATATGTATGCCACAACGAGGTACGTGATTGCGCTCTGATATGATGCCTTTCATTTCCCTTGTAGGAAATACACACTCATTGTTTTTTTCATGCTTGGATGCAAGAGCGACAAGCCGAGCATTTAACCTTATGTGTATGACATTGATGGCATGGCTCCTGTTTAGTTTCTTGACTATCATCTGTATTAGAATGCGGCTTACGCAGCGAATAGCCTCCGTGCGCGCTTGTGCGTCTTCATCGTATTCCTTTTCACACCTTAGCGTACCTTCCGGTTAGAACATACGACAGGCATGTATGTTTTCTGGTTTGAGAAGGATGTCTATCACTTCTCACTGCATGCGGGGGGCACAAAGCCCGGAATTAAGGCCGAGAGACGGCTATTCGACCCGCGCCCACTTCACTGATTCCCCGCCCGACAGGTCAGTGACTTGCCCGTGATTATCAATTTATCTCTCCGCGTTATCGATCACTCATCGCCATAACCCCGCATCCTGATATGAAACAGTATGACGGTGGATTAGTCTATCGACAATCGTATTTAAGATGATGTACCTGTCCCTGAATTTACTGTCGTGGAGTCCTCTAACTACAATTCTCTTTTCTACCCCCGAACAACCCCCAAGATGATGAAGAATGGAATCCGCATTGCTATCGACCGAGGTGGAACCTTTACAGATGCCTGGGCGGATATACCTGGCCGCCAAGGCCATGTAGTATTCAAAGTTCTCTCCGTATCACCGGATGAGTACGATGATGCGCCAACAGAATGTATCCGACGGATCTTAGAAATCGCAAACGGTACGAAGATATCGAAGGGGTCTCTGCTCGACCTCTCGCCTGTGGAATCCATCAGAATGGGGACGACAGTGGCTACGAACGCTCTTCTCGAGCGGAAGGGTGATCGCGTTGCCTTCATGGTTACAAAAGGGTTCCGCGACTCCCTTGTGATCGGCAACCAGGCCCGACCCAATATTTTTGACCTCTCGGTGCGACGTCTCAAGCAACTCTACGAGAATGTGGTTGAAGTTGACGAGCGCGTCACTATAGAAGGATATAGTGAAGATCCTGAGCCTAAGCCTATTGACACTACGTCTGATGCCAATTTGGTAGTCGGCCTGACAGGCGAAGTGGTCAGGATATTGAAAACTCCAGACCTTGAAGTTGTTCGCTCTCAGCTAGAAGCATTGCAATCACAAGGATATCGGAACCTGGCTATTGGTTTCATGCATGCGTACACATACCCGGAGCATGAGCACCAGGTGGCAAAGCTGGCAGAAGAAATGGGCTTCAAAGTCTCGGCCTCGTCCGTTCTCCAGTCAATGGCGAAATTTGTCCCTCGGAGCCAGTCAGCTGTGGCAGACGCATATCTCACCCCGATGACCGCCTCTTATCTTGAAGATTTCCGGAAGGGATTTAAGGGTAGCTTGGATGATGAGAATGCAAACAAGGTACTTATTAGTCAGTCAGATGGTGGCCTGGCTACCTGGAAAAACTCTTCCGGTCTTCGAGGAGTACTTAGTGGACCTGCCGGGGGAGTTATAGGCCTCTCAAGGACATGTTATGATGCGGAGGAGGGCAGACCAGTACTGGGGTTTGACATGGGTGGAACCAGCACCGATGTGGCTCGGTACTCCGGTGCTCTGGAGCATATTTTCGAAAATACTATCGCGGAGGTCACAATCCAAACGCCTCAACTGGATATAAACACCGTGGCAGCAGGAGGTGGGTCTATCTTGACTTGGGAAAGTGGTTTGCTCAAGGTTGGACCAAGCAGTGCCGGCGCAAACCCGGGCCCGGCATGCTATGGAAATGGTGGACCACTGACTGTGACTGATGCTAATTTGATCCTTGGACGTATTATTCCTGACTATTTCCCAAAACCTCTCGATTTGAATATCGTGAAGGAGAAGTTTGCCGCTCTCACAGATGTCATTAATGGGGAAAAAGAAGGCGGGGAAGACTTTACCCCAGAGACCCTGGCATTGGGTTTCCTGGCCATCGCGAATGCAACAATGGCAAGGCCGATTCGAAAGCTCAGCGAGGGCCGAGGGTACAGCGCTGCTAGCCATAATCTTGGATGCTTTGGAGGTGCTGGGGGACAACATGCTGTCTTTATTGCCCGGGATCTTGGCATCCAGAAAGCGATCATTCCACGCTATTCGAGTATCCTGTCTGCGTATGGGATGGCCCTTGCTGATGTGGTAGTAGAGAACCAGGAGCCTGCGGCGTGGATATTCGCGGAAGACATTTTGCCTGAGCTTCAGGCCCGGTTGGATTCAATCTCCACGAAGGGCGTGGAGGCTTTGAAAATACAGGGCTTTCGTAATGAATCTATTGTACACGAATGCTACCTGAACATGAAATACCAAGGCAGTGACACGACTCTAATGATTCGCAGGCCAGAGCAACTGTCTGAGTTTGGGTTGGCTTTCAATGCGCGGCACGCGCAGGAGTTTGGCTTTTCCCAATCCCGAGACATATTGATTGATGATATTCGCGTGCGGAGTGTTGGAAAGTCTCGAATTGTGAATATTTCTAGCCCGTTCAAGGAACTGAACAAGTTAGACGATCGCTCAATACAGTCGCCCTTTCCTGCATTTACACGGAAAGTGTTCTTTGACATTTACGGATGGGCAGACACGAATGTTTATACCTTGGATCGACTGAATCCGGGCACTCGCATCAATGGACCGGCTATGGTTATCGATGAAACCCAGACGATTGTCATCGATCATGCGAGCAAAGCCATCATACTGCCGGAACATGTCATTCTGGAAGTGGGAAGTGTTGACCAGGAGCAGCTTTCAACCAATACGGTGGACCCTGTCCAGCTTAGTGTGTTCAGTCATCGGTTTATGACCGTGGCTGAGCAGATGGGCCACACGATGGAGAAAACCTCAATATCTGTCAATATCAAAGAGCGATTGGACTATTCTTGCGCTATTTTCTCCGCCGATGGTGGGCTTGTAGCTAATGCGCCTCACATCCCCGGCCACCTTGGCTCCATGAGCACAGCCGTGACGGCTCAAATCGAGAGGTATCCACCAGGTGATCTCAACCCGGGCGATGTTATCATCAGCAATCATCCGGCTGCTGGTGGCACTCATCTACCGGATATTACTACACTAACGCCCGTATTTGACGACGATGAGAACCCATCCGCGATCTTGTTTTACGTGGCGAACCGCGGTCACCATGCTGATGTGGGCGGAATTGCACCAGGCTCCATGCCACCCAATTCGACCGAGCTTTGGCAAGAAGGTGCAGCAATCGAGTCTTTCAAGCTTGTTAATGAAGGTATCTTCGATGAACCGGGGTTGATCAAGCACCTCTACGAAATTCCCGGCACGTATCCAGGCTGTAGCGGGACCCGCACCCTGAGCGACAACATCGCAGATCTGAAGGCGGCTGTGGCGTCGAATCAAAAGGGTATCCAATTAATTCAAGCCCTCATTAAAGAATTTACGTGGCCCGTCGTCGAGTTCTACATGAAGGCAATCCAGGAGAACGCCTCACAGGCCGTCCGGGACCTCCTCAAAGGCTTCGCTCAACAGTATGAAGATGGCGTGCTGGAAGCAGATGAGAGGAACGACGATGGCATTCCCTTCCACCTACGTGTCACGATTGACAAGGAAACGGGGAACAGCGTCTTTGACTTCACTGGAACCGGGCCGGAGCATTCAGGGAACCTGAATTCGCCTCAAGCCTGCCTACATTCCGCCATCATGGTAGGCGTCCGCGTGTGAAGAAATAATATAATATAACCCTACTGACTATTGCTAGTATTGTCTCCGATCGATGATATCTGCTGATATACCCCTCAACCAAGGTTGCTTAGCTCCAATTCAGGTGGTCTGTCCCGAAGGTACTATTTTGTCGCCCTCTATTACAGCTGCGACGGTCGGATGCACCACGGAGACGTCCTCCAAAATAGCGGATCTCATCTTGAAAGCCTTCAAGGCTGCAGCTGCCTCCCAGGGAACAATGAATAACCTAACCTTCGGCTACGGAGGCACAGATCCTGTTACGGGGAAGGTCGTCAAGGGATTTGGATACTACGAGACCATCGCCGGCGGCGCAGGAGCTGGGCCGCATTGGGACGGTACCAGTGGTGTGCATACCCACATCACCAACACCCGTATTACCGACCCCGAGATCTTGGAAAAGCGATATCCGGTTATCCTGCATGAATTCTCCATTCGTCGGGGAAGCGGTGGTGCTGGTCTCCATCGCGGCGGGGATGGGTGTGTCCGCGATATCGAATTCCGGATTCCGCTTCAGGTATCGATCTTGTCGGACCGACGCGTCACTGCACCATATGGCATGGCGGGCGGACAGGAGGGCCAGCGGGGAGAGAACGTTTGGATTCGGAAAGACCCAATAACGGGATCCACTCGCAAAGTTGCACTAGGTCCCAGACAAACGGCTCGATTTCAACCAGGGGATCGGATTGTCATCCTGACCCCTGGGGGAGGCGGTTGGGGAGAGAAACCTTCGCAAGGCCGCAAGGAGCCCGTAGCCATACGGCAGAAGGATGGGGTTGCTAGCCAGGGGACACTGAGGACGCAAGGGAGTCTCTTCCAAAGGAATGCGATTGCGGTTGGAAACTAGTCATCTAGTGACCCAACTGTGGGCCAAATCGCAACATATTCATACTCAATAAAGATGTATCACGCTCGCCGGGGAAAAGGTATTCAGTAGACGATATGGTAGGGTTGGAGATTAATTCCGAATACGCGGAGAACAGAAGATACATGGCCAATTGTGGGTCTACCTAATCAAGTGTGGACCTTTTTTTTTTTTCATTATTCGATACCATTGTTCATGGCATTTGATACTATTCCCCGCGCTGTGGACTTTCGGCATCATGATAAGGAGCCTTGGATGTCGGTAGTTGGACACTTTACCTCATTCATTGACCGATCGGATCTTTCAGCGTCTATCCTGATAAGCAGGGACGGGCCTCTAATTGGCCGGAGGTAATCCTTCCGCTATCTTATCGCTTGATTGTCTCTCCGGAGTAGGAGGCGTCAAACCCTAATCCTCCCGAGCAGGCAATATCGGTCTTGGCCCTCATCGTAGGGGATAAGAGTAGACTCGGCTCGAGGAGAATGCCTATCTATTGAGCTGCTACCTATGGAACATATATCAATGACCCAGGTACATTCTTCTTTGCATCATTCTCCAACTTCAAGGATTCACTCCGACTTTCCCAACCATGGACAGTTCAAAATCACCAGAGGATCCCACGACCAAGCCCTCATTGGAGCATGGCAAAGATGATACGGGGACACATGTGGTCATCACTGACTCGATCGATGCATGTGCGGAACGAGGTCTCGTCCGGAAGTTCGACTTTCGCATTCTTCCCGTCCTAGCGATCATGTACCTGTTCAACAGCTTGGATAAATCTAACCTGGGGAACGCAAAGACAGCGGGTCTGGAGGGTACGACTGCTGGGTATTAAATTATCGTCAATATTTTGCTGATGGATTCTCAACAGATACTCTCAAGCTCCACGGCGACCAATATAATATCATCCTCAGCATCTTCTTCGTTCCATATGTCTTGACCGCCCCATTCCTGGGTATCTTGGGCAAGATGTACGGCCCGAACCTTGTATTGCCCTGTATGATGCTTACCTTCGGGCTGTGCACTCTCCTAGTGGTCACCGTTTATAATTTTGGCGGCCTTTTGGCGATCAGATGGTTCCTTGGCATGTCGGAGAGTGCCTTCTTCCCGCTGGTGATTTATTACCTGACAACGTGAGTGCTGCGCCGGTTACCGCTACTAGGTAGACTATCAGGGCTAACAGGACTGTCCTCAGATTCTACCGTCGAGGGGAATTAGCCAGACGCCTGGCAATCTTCTACGCGGCACAGAGCATTGCATCTGCTTTCTCCGGACTTCTCGCCTTCGGTGTTTTCCGCATCCACTCTGGCCCCCTCGCTCCCTGGCGGTATCTCTTCCTGATTGAAGGCGCGGCGACCATCCTCTTCGCCGCTTTTGTACTCTGGTACCTCCCTCGCTCAGCCTCGGAGGCTGGTTTCCTCACCGAAGCTGAGAAGGCATTGGCCTTCACACGGATGCAGCTCGACAGTTCGGCCGTGGTGAACGAAAAGCTCAACATTCGCGACGCATTGCGCATCTTCAAACACCCGACGAGCTGGGCCATCCTGGCCATTCAGGTCTGCCTCGGTGTCCCTCTCCAGTCCGTGCAGCTGTTCCTGCCCCAAATTATCGGCCGGCTCGGGTACGGTACCGTCAAGACGAATCTGTACACTGTTGCCCCCAACGTCTCGGGTGCCGTGATGCTCCTTATTCTTGCCTTCTGCAGCGACTGGACACGCTGGCGGTTCCCCTTCATCGCTCTCGGATTCCTCTTCACCTTCCTGGGCATGGTCATCTACGTCGCTATCGACCCCTTGCGGAACATCAATGTCGCGTACTTCGCCTCCTTCATGATGACATGGGGCACCTCGGCCCCGTCGGTGCTGTTGGACGTGTGGTACAACAATAATATCGCCAGTGAAGGCAAACGAGTCGTCCTGACTAGTATCGCGGTGCCATTGGCCAATCTGATGGGCGTGGTCAGTTCGAATATCTTCCGCAACCAGGATGCGCCCAAATATCTTCCCGCGCTGATCACGACGGCTTCGTTTGGAGGGGCTGGGATTGCTTTCACCCTCCTTCTGGGATTTTGGATGATGATGGATAATAAGCGGAGGGATCGCGCGCAAGGGATTACCTTGCGCGCGCTGGATGTCCCGACCGAAAGGTTGAGGGAGGGTCCTAGCTGTCCTGATTTCCGATGGTTCCTATAGAATTAGTGACGATGATGACTTTCCGTGTATATTTCTTATAATTTCATGTTTCGATGACTATTTTACTGGACCTAAATCTTTTGATCTAATAGATGGTCTACAGGCGGTAAAGCTGAGCGAAATGGTTTGAAGCGCACGGGGAGTACGAATTCTAGGCCTGTCTCGAGCTGCATTATTTCCGGGTGGCTTTTGGTGGTGGAATATTCAACACACCGCGGATAGCGAGTTTGCCCAAGATGCGCTGTATATCTTCCTTTGCGGAACCGTGACACAAAACACCGTCGGATATGCCGGACGATAGGATGCCTGTTAGGTTCGTTAAACCGGGATGTCATGCAACACGAGGTGGTTTATATTTGAATGAATCGGAAACGCCGATGTTGGAGAAGGTCCGTTACTTCCGGTGATCGGGAACGGGTAAGAGTGACCAACCACGACCACTTGGATTACAAATAAAGAGAAGAAACTGACAGAAAGCTTATTCAAGGTATAGAAACGATGCTATTGGCGACGGGCATCGGTCAAGTCCGGTGTTCAGCCCTACGTTCTGGCTGAGCAATGCAACCCAAGGAACGCGCGCCGAGACTACCGAGGGTCCGTTCGCATGGCTAGCAAGCTGCGGGACAGCCAAGTCGAGGAGTCATTATGACACGCGGCTTTTTAACCTTTTGGTCGCAGATAGAAAAAGAAGTCCATGCGTTCCTGGACGGGATCCCACACTTCTATTATATAGTCTCCTCTTCGTGTCGTTAAGAATCCACAATAACAGCCACGTTCGACCCAAAAACCTAGACGGAGTTAGGGTATAGACTAGTGCTTACGCCGGACTCCGCCTCCTCTCCAGCCCCAGACGAACCCCCCCCCCCACCGTATAAAACAATCAAAACTATGATTCCCTGCTTGGCTACTACAAAATCCCCCGTCAATATTCATGGAAATCATGCGACACCGTAAATATATTAACAAAAGGTCTCGTACGGGATGTCGGACGTGTCGGTGAGTGTAGAACCCCACTGCGATTGTCCGCGTTATATTAACGATCGCAGAGCCCGCCATGTCAAGTGCGACGAAGCGCCTGGGGCCTGTAGAAACTGCACGTCGAGTGGTCGCGCCTGTGAGGGCTATGACCTCCAGCGACTCCCGCCGCCATGTCGAACGAACAAAAGGAAGACGCCCTGGGCCAAGTTGCTCCCGGAGGTCGGCGGCGGCATTCGCTGGATTACCAACACTGACGAGCTCCGCTGTTTCTCCTACTTTCAGTACTACACCATTCCCACCTTGTCGAGCTTCTTCAACTCCACGCTCTGGGACAAGCTGATCCTCCAGATGAGCTATACCGAGCCCGCGGTCTACCACGCCGCCGTGGCCCTGAGCGCCATCCACCAGGACGTCGAGATGCACGGCATGCCCCTGCCGGGCCAGGAGCTCTACAACACCTGGCACCGATTCACCATGGAACAAGCCGGCCGGGCCTACGCCATCCTCAACGAACGGCACTATTCCCAAGACCCCCGCCTGCGCCAGGTTATGCTCCTCTGCTGCCTCCTCTTCGTGCTCATAGAACTCCTCCGTGGCCGCTACGACGACGCCTTCCAACACCTCGAAGGCGGGCTCCGAATCCTCAAAGAGCTCAAAGCCCAACGCCAACTCGTCACCTGGAGTTCGCACGAATCCGCCGTCGAAGAATGCCTGGTCGCCGCATTCGCCCAACTGGACATCCAGGCCGCGAACTTCAAAACCGGCGGCTCCATCCTCCGCATCGAAAACGAACTCTCCGACTACCTCCACTCCGATCCCCCGTTATTCACCTCCCTCCGCGACGCCCGCCGCGCCGCCGAACCCCTCCTCAGCCGCGCCTTCAATTTCCTCATGAAATCCTGGTCCATGTCGCCCAAGGAAGTCTCCCTCTCCTACAAGTACATGCACGCAGAGCAACAATCCCTCCTCTCCGAAATCTCCCACTTCTCATCCACCTTCGATGCCTTCACCGCCACCGCCTACCCCCGCTTGCCCCGCAAAGACCAAATGGGCGCCGACATGATCAATATCTTCCGCCACACTACCTCCCTCTCCATCCGCACCGCTCTTATCCGCGACGAGAGCCTGCTAGCCACATATCAGCCCGAATATAGGGCGAATCTCCTCTTAGTCGAAGACGTCATGTTCAAGTTCCCTGAACGGCCGAACTACACCCTCGACATGGGGGTCACGCCCCCGCTGTATATTATCGCCATGGGGTGTCCCGATTACAGTCTGCGGTGGCGGGCGATTAGGCTGCTAAGGGAGTGGCCGCATCGCGAGGGGGTGTTTGATTCCAATTGGGCGGCGTTTATTGCGGAGGAGCATATTAAGCTTCAGTTGAGGGGGAGGGGGTGTGAGGGTGTGTCGAGTGAAGGGGAGGGGTGGGTTGCATGCAAGGGGAAAGGTAAGGGGAAGGGGGATTTGGAGGGGCGGTGGTCCACTGAGGAGTATTCGATTGAAGAGGGGTTGGAGAAGACTAAGTGTATGGAGGACTGGCCGTGCGTGAGGTCGCTTTTGGGGGCGAGGAGGCGCTGTGCGCTTTGATTATGTATGTTATATGTTATATGTTATATGTTAGTAGGGTGTGATTGGGTTTGTATATATTTGGGATGTAAGAGAAAATACCCGGGTTTACTGATTATGGGATACGGTATGGTTGTTGTGTTTATGACAGACTCAAGAAAGGAACTTGGAAAGAGGTTGTTCCGTGTATTGGAAGGTGTACTATACTGTACTGTACTGTATTGAGGTAAGAATAGGCAGAATGAACCCCGCAGCAGGGCATCACAGTCTATTATCATTCGGTGAAACTTGTAGATCATTGCTGCATGTCTTTCCAATTTGGGACATCCTGGCCATATCTAAATGACCCTACCATTGCTCTAGCCAAGTTTCAATAGAGGTACCGGCATGCAATAGCTGAGTAATTACCGCCCCAGTGAACAATTTCTCCACTGAGCAAGGCTTCAAAATTCATGTAGTACAGTTGCCTGCGCACAGATTCACGCATCCAACCAATAGTCTATGACTCTATGGATGCGAGAGAGGGTATGACGTGGAATTGGAACTGCGATACGACCGATTTGCAAGAATTTGTCAGAATGGGTCCTAGCTAAAGATCTGCATACTAGGAATAATGCAGGGTATGCACGAGCCTAGAACATATGCACATCACGGCAAACGACTTGTCATGTTCCGGTCCGGTCCGTGCTATTGAATGCTGTACACATCGCAAGTCATATACATTTTATATGATGTGGCCCTGAGGCGCACGGATAAAGCATATAACTATGACGAAGACTCGAGGAAGGTAGCCTGGAGCAGATCTGCAATAGATGGTCAAGAAATGGCATATCTTGTATCGCCAAGACAAATCGAATTGCGCAGCTAAGTCACCAATTCCCAACTAGATAGCTATTATTTCAATGCACAACTGTGGACCGGACAATCTTCTGGAGGAAACTCGATATCAGTCATGCAGAGATTCGCAGCCTTCAGGGTGGAAGGCTCCTGTCGTCAGTCACTTTCTTGTGTGAATATTGGCCCCTTGTTGAAAGATACACAGAAAAGAAGAGAGAACCTGCTATCATGGGTAGCGAGGAAAGCATTGGAGGAAACAGTGGATTATATTCACGAGACCCGGCAATCCACCCTGCAGGATACAAAGATAAGACATTTAACCAAAATAACTGTGATAAATTGATGTATAAGAACAAAACACTGCATGAGTTGAGGAAGAACTCTAAGTTTGCACTACCAATACTAGGACATTGGAGAGGCCGAAAACAGTTTTAACTTCAATTATAGTCTGGCTTAGGACTTGCGCCCCCATGAGACTGTGTTTCAACCGCATATCGCTTATGAAGTTACTTGATGCCTTATAGCTTCATGCTGAACCAAAACCACCACTTCCCTCGCCCAACAAGGAAGCTTTGCAGCCGTGTGTAATGGCATTGAGTGTTTGCCCTGACTGACTGGGTTAGTAGCCGCCAGATCTGGTTTCGCTCACTTGAATCGGGGCTCTGAATCTCAGCTGATGGAGAAGGTATCTAGGTACAAAGAAAATTTAGCCCTAGGGACTGCTCACAGCCCGTGAATCAGTCAGTCAGGTGGGTCACAATATTGTCGGGGAGATGGGAAGTGTAGGTGTAAATTGGAGACTTCTATCGCAGTACTCAACAGCGCATAATAATGAACCTCATGACCTCACAGGGATCATGGCAGACAGTGGGACCTTGGTAGTATAATGGCCTTTTATATAGTGCCAGCTGTCACTGGTATAAACTTCATAAAAAGGATGCCATTGTCTCGAACATCGTGGTCATAAGCTGTTGTATTGTGGGAACAGGAAAAAGACATTTATATAAGGATGACTAATCATATGGACATGAAGCCATCGCAGTAGAAAGGAAATGGTGGTCTGTCTATAGACTAGTCTATTGAATAATAGCAAAGGTTTACCAATCAATGTGTGGAAGCCCGGCTTGGGATAGTGATATGTGCGCATATAAACAAAGGGGTCGTATAATTGTAGCGAATATCATCTGTTGACATTCACTAACAGCAGTCTTGAAGTCATACACTTACAACTGAACAACGCCGTGACTTGCTGAACAGATTCTCATTCAGGAAATTTATAGACTACCTGGACGTCTGAGGTAAATATTATCTATCATCCCACCAAAAGCAAGTCAGGTATCTCGGAAGCACCAGTCCTTGACGGCGATAAAGACTCACTTAATAGAAGTTATGACCGTTAGCATTTCCCGCTGACATGAAGCAATAATTGCTTCTATTATGCCGATGAGGTATGCTTGATGTTATAGTAAGATTGATGCTAATTAACATCCATCCTTCGAAATGAAGACCTCTGAGGGGTGCTTCTGTTGCCTGCACAACCGGGAGATTGAAAGTTGGAAGGGGTCAGTGCCTGGGATTCTAACTAAATTGAACCAAAACCTATCTCTCGGGTTTGAGCTGGATCTGTTTGGCCCTCATAAAACTGGAATCGTTGCGTTCCGGTCATTTGCAGGCCATTACGCTCGCAAATTTCCCCTGCCTCTTCGGCGATACCATGCAAGTAGACTCACATGCAGGTCCTTTTCCTTTGGCGAGATATTCTAAGTCTTCGTAAAACAATCCACACCCCTTGGAATCTCGCTTTAGCGGCCTGGATAGGCTTGTCTGGAAGGGAATGTGCCAAGGCTCTACGGAGGGACGTGAATGCGATTGCTAGCTGCTTGAGTGGCATTTCTGGCGTTGGGATAATCAAGACAATGAAGTGAGGGTTTCCGAACTACATAGTAGTCTAGCTAACTAACTCAATATTGAAGGCCAAGCATTGTCTAAACTGACCGAACACTGAACGACCTTGGTATGAGAAAACATTTCCTCCGCTCTTTCAGGTCATCGTCCAAGTGGGTCACTACCTCCTGGCAGACGAACTGTATAGACCCTCCTCCCTTGTACACAGCCCGGGTCTCAATTCAGCCTCTAATCTTCGTCACCATTCCCCTGCAGGATGGAGCTTCACATCCTTTACTATGCCGTCCTTCTGCTTCTTGGATATTGGATAATTTTCCACAAATCCTGCCATGAATTCCATATCCGCATTTACTCCAGAACGACCCTCAATGGACAACAAGCAAGTAGAAGGACTAGACGAATACGCCAACTACCACCATCCATCCTCATTCCAGGGCTGGTACCACCCCTATTTAACCAACGATGCCGAAGGCAGCTGGAGGGAACAGTCGTGGTACAGCCACTCCGGCCGTCTAGCCAGTGGCTTCTTAAGATCCCATGCATCCTTCAGCTTTTCCGGGGGCTATATCATCTACCGTACCGTCTACACCACCGAGCCTAATACGTTATGACCCATTGCAGTGGCCAAGCTCATCCGCTTTATAAACTACGAGATTGAATAAGATACCCGTGAAAGCCCGGAACGCTATCGGAGTAATCCACGTCCCGAACAACTAATACAAGGATAAAACCGGAGCGTCGTGATCTCTAACAAGCATCGCTGGGATGGCCAGCAAAGAGCGGATACGTCAGCATTTCGCGGAATATCTCCATAAAACCAAGAGAGGGATTCTATGGAGGCTGCGGTCGGTTCCAGGCGTGTATGGCTATTGATGAACGATTGCTGAAGTCGATTATTGCCTGTCCTGAGCCAGGTAGAGAGGATCAGTTTAGACGGCCACAGGAATTTGTTGGTACGGTTGATTGGCAGTATGATGCTGAAAAAAGGGTAACCCATGGTATTCCGGGTTCATAAGGGAGAAGATTGGGATCTTGTGGTGGCTTTATATAAACATGAGGTTTAATGTTATGGAGGTGAGACCGTCTTTTCCGTTGGAGCTCATCCCAGTTTATGACGGAGTGGAATGCCCGAGGCTTTCCTCAGCGGCCCGGCTGGGTTGGCTGCTCGGCGGAATGGTTAGATGGAGGGATTGTGGAATTGGGGGAGTTTAGCTGGGATTGCTCCGTAGTTGCTAGGTATGTAGACATACTTATAACATTTTGTGACTTCCGTCTAGCAGAGGATTAGTTGTAGCGGATTCAACGATAGCATCATGAACATTATGGTATACAGCCGGGGGCACAATGGAGCCGATCCCCTCCCTGTCACTTAACCAGCTGTTGAACTTGATATGGATATGGCTATTCTATTTGACTTTGAACTACCGTAGAAGGTCTATGTTTGTGTATGGTTCACAGCACTCACTGGAAGATATTTCTACGTAGAGTTGCCATGACGGCGTGTCTCCTGAACCTGGGAAATGCAACATCGCAAGCCCTCTTCTCCAAGCCCAGAACCGAATATTCCCTGTACGTACAACCGTAGTTGGTTTCATATTATTATTAGTAGCACTCCCAATTCTGGGACTTCTTGGGAACTCAGATCTGTGCCTTCCAGAGATCATTGCCAAGGCTCTCAACACGAGAGTCCTGTAGACCCACGTCAGATACGAACCCTAGATGCGGCTCATAAAATCTTTTACCTAATGCGAATCTACGTAATGCATGTTGATCCGGTGAGGTTGACACTCATTGTTATGCAGCTTTCTTCATACTTTGCGAGATCCGCAGAAGATCCACCTTTAATGTTATATCAAGATCGCGACTAGTCACTTAAAACGGCAAACACAAATACGAACAAGTAGGCGACATAACGAAAAGAGCGAATACGAGTAGAGTCAGCCCTTTGGAGTAAGGCTGCTGTCCAGAAAATGTATCAACTGTAGATCATAAGGAATACGAAGAGCCATGCATTTATCCTTATGCATGATCTGGCATGACATTGGTAGAGCGATCTGGTTACTATTTACGAGTGACACCCTCGTAACCATCCCTGACATGATCCACATCGAACAAGAATAGCAGTGAATTAGATTACATTTATACATAGACATGCAGGCATACATGCAGATCGCAGGTCAACTATCACCGCATGGATGAATGAAAATGTAACCCACTCGCAGATTGATCCTCAATTTTTCCTAGTCGCAGTGGGTCTATTTATGTGAGATTTTCGGGCAATAGCACAGTTTGCACTGTATCAGATACAACCACGCTGGATTGGTTGTCTCCCGTATAGTTCATGAAGGTGCTGTACTAAGAGGGAAATTATTCCGGACCTTTATCGCACGCAGGAGGTATAAATAGAGCCCAGGGCTCCCTTGAACCTGACAGAATCCCAGAAACAACACTCTCATCGAGCCCATTCATTCCTAAGGACCATCTAAGCCATCTTCACCGCGCCTATCTCACTTGCATAACGACTCAAGCTATTGCAGATTGTATGCTCTCCTTGTCCGATCGGGTCTGCGGAATACAACTAAATGCTAACGGTTTCCCTGCTAAGCAGTCAATCTTACACCTATAAGCCAACATGCAGACCAAGTCCCTCTTCATCATTCTCACTGGCCTGATGGCCTTCGCCGCAGCGGCTCCAGCGGAGCCGGAAGCCAAAGCGGCCGCGGACACGCTCGCTAGAAAGCACTGGACGGCGAGTGGGGGCTGCAAGACCGACTGGGCTGGTCGATGCTACAACCAATGTTTTACTGACGGTATTAAGAACCGTGGATGCAAGGCAGACGATATTGATTCCGGCATTGAGTCGTCCAACTGTGTCTGGGGGTGGAACATCTGCAAATGCTCGTGCTAAATATGCTCGAGTGGTCGGCCGACCCGGAATAGACAGGGAGGGAAGGGTTTGCAGGCTTGCATAATACATGTGTGCTTTGCAGGATCAATGGAGATTTGCTCGGTGGAGGGGATTAGGGATTTGGCTTAAGTGTTTGACAGTGTTGAAATGATATATGTTTCTAGTTTGAATTTTCTCTTCAGATCTGCAGTCTGCTAGCAAATTCAAACATCCAATCATCGCTTAATCAACATGAGATCTGCAGACCTTGCTTTCCTCCTAGGATGAGTAGAGAATGATGATTGATTGCCTATCTAAGCGATGTAGCCCCCCTCGATTGCGTAGTACCATATGTTCTACACCGAATCATTTGGTTTCCTTGGCCTGCCCATGACTATTCAAGAGCGCTAGGAATTGTTCTGAGGCGTTATCCGCAAACAGCATAACCTCGTTCTTGGTACTGTGCCGAATCATATCCTGACCGCGCAAGAACATATCTGCTTCATACTCCGACAAAGCAGTTTCCAGAACACTGTTCTCACTATTTTGAAAGTGTCGATTGACGCCACAGTGCTTGATAATGCAGTCTGCTAGTACGACGGCATCGTACATGCTGCAGTTAACGCCCTCACCAGCAAATGGCGTCGAAACGTGCGCGGCATCGCCCAGTAGGGTGACGCCAGGAGCCACGCTGCGGGTCCAGCCGACTGTCTCCGGGTCCATGCGGTACAGTGGCCAAGCACGGAAGGGGCCCTCAGCAGTGTCGACAAGAGCTTTCAGTTGCGACGCCCAGGTAGCATAGAAATCGTTGGACGACAACAGCAAGCGACGTATGTCCTCGGTTTTGATGGTAGGGTCAGAAGCTGCGTCGTTACCGTCACGATGGTCGTAGAAGCCCTCGGGCACAAGTAGCCCAAAGTATACACGGTAAGTGCCATCAGCAAGTTGCTGCACCGACATCTCTGCGCGGTTCCCTACCGCGATCATGCCTCCTCGACCAACCATCTGAATGGCTACCTCATAGCTTGGGTTGTTATGGGACAACTTCCCCTCGATAAACATCTTTCCTGAGTATACCGGTTTCGCTGATGTAACCTGGTCACATTGTTAGCAACCTACCCTCTACCCTCTTGCATGGCAATTGGAAGAAGATAGGGTGTGAACTCACCAGAGGCCGAACCTTGCTCCAAGCGCCATCAGCGCCAACAATCAGTCGAAAGCCGCTCGCAGATGTACCATCGGTGAAATGGATGACACACCCGTTGTCCTTCGTCCCACTATCCCGTTCCTCTCGTCTTGCAATGGTCCTGACGGCACGCCCCCAGCGAATCTTGTCCGCAGGGACTGAGTCGAGCAAAAGCTGGCGTAGCTGTATCCGGTCAATCTCAGGGGCATCACGGCCTTCCCCTAGACTGACAACTGCAGCGCCGGCTGAATCGACAATAGACATCCTTGATGCATCCCAACGCGCGAAGTTCCTACTGAACTCGTCAAACAAGCCGGCACGCTTGAGCGCCAGTTGACCGGACGGGCCGTGTAGATCCAGCGTCCCGCCTTGCTGCCAGGGACCTGGCGTGGCTGATTCATTGCGCTCGTAAATGACATAGTCGGTGATGCCACCCAGTTCTAGTAGTCGGGCGAGTACTACCCCACTTGGGCCGGCTCCGATGATTGCGATGGATGGCTGGGGTTCCATTGTAGGTTGTTTCTTTTGGGGCGGAAAGAGCTATTGCAGATAGGAATAATGTAGAGTGAAAGACAGCGCGAAGAAAGAATGGAGCGCTCTGTCAGGCATCAGCTACTTTCATATCCCTACCGTTGGCGCTCTTGCGGTATTATTTCCCCCATGCTATATATATTAGGGCATTGAGGATGATATGGGGCTCCAGCGATCAACCCGATTGGATGAGACCGGAGATCCTCGGAGGGTCCTTTCAGTCTATCTATGATTTTATACTTGTATGTAATGAATAGAGGGTTAAAAAAAGAAATTATAATAATTATAGTGGCGGAAGGCTGGAAGGAGTTCGAGTGGGACAGCTCTGATTGGTTGAGGACGGAGACAACCCCCGACGGTCGCCATTCAGAGACTTCGATGGCGGACCCCGATATGAAGTTATCCAGAAGCACTAACAGATGCAGAGCACTCCGTTGCTTGTTTACGAATGCTATTGTGTCTTAACAATCAGCTGGAACACTTCCAAAAGCCCGTGGGACAATGGACGCCAGTAGACCGTTGGCAGCAGACCCTATATTTGCTCGCTTTGCGGTAGGGATACCCAACAACCACCGGCAACCCCCCATTGCAACTGACAAGTTGGTGTACAGTGTGACTTTTGCCGGCAGAAGAAATTGAAGTACTCTACTGGACCCTCTTCGTTACCGGATCGTTGAACTGACATGCTTTGGTAGGTGTTCCCGGGAGATGCCCAAATGCAGCACTTGCAGGCCATGGCCCGGCGCTTGCCAATATTCGCGGGACAAGTCGTCCTCCCAGTCAGATTTTACTTCCATGTAAGCCCCTATGGCATGAGGATAACTCCACCTGACTCTCTTTCTGACATTATAGACCCCAAAGACCTATTACTGCGGCCGGGAACAACATGGAGGCCCGACTACAACACCTTGAGCGCACAGTACGACATTTGTCCGACTCCGTCCATCGAGTGTTTCAAACCATCTCTTCAGCATGGCCAAGAGCAGATAATACCCAAGGGTCAAGAGTGTCCCATCTTTCGCCCGTCCCTGATAAGGATCGCCTGGGATCTAACCTCTACGTTAGCCCGTTCCATTCCTTCTCCTTCCTTAGGGAGACACTAGCTAATATCGAAACAATCTCTCAACCGCCCGGTAGTCCAGCCCGTCAAAGCGCCTACTCTGAGCTTCAGTATCTCTCTACTAGGCTAACCACGGCACATGTCCATCGTGATCTTGGGGAAGAAGTAGCTACCTTTTATGTGCCTTCGAGACCCGTGGGATATCGCCTAATTAGCCGTAAAGTCCTCCAGTTCTTCTACCGCGCCACGCACGCAATATAACTGAGACAGAATGCATTTTGTAGGATTTTACGAGCTTTCGAACATTGGCGACACATTCTTTCGCGCCCCGACCGATGAAATTGTCAGGCAAGTTGTATTTGAGCCGCACAAGGTCCGGGAAAAGGCATGGGTGATCTACCTCAATTACTTGCTACTCTGCGCTGCTTCAGCGAAGAATGAAGACACCCAAGAAATACACGGCTTCCGGCGTAACGTGGAGCTAGCGTTGAACGATAGCCGGATCTTCCTTGAGCCGCGTGAAGCCAATGTGCAGGCCTTGGCCCTTCTAGCCCTGCACGGTGAGGATTATGCTGCGCCCAACTTGTCCTGGATGCTATTGGGTCACGCTTGCCGCCAGGCCGAAGCTTTGGGGCTGCACGAACGGAGACATGATGTATTCAACCCGCAACAACAGTCACTGTGTCTCTTTTGGCTACTTTTCATGATGGACAAATCCTGTGCTCTTGCCTTTGGCCGTCCGGTCTTCCTTTCCACCGCCATCTATCGGGACTTACCGCTACCCGACGATGAAGTCTTACTTAATTTCCATCTTCGTGCTAGCTCAGACGATGAAATTCAACAAGCACCATCTCACGGCTTCAGGTTTGGCGCTCATTTTCTTATGAGATCCATGGAGCTGTCCAGATTGACCGGGCTTGCTTTGGATGTTCTGGCTACAGGTGAGTCATCCCTTGCAAAGAGGGATGTCTGGTCGCGGCTTGACGGGTGGTACCTGGAAACAAAACGGGTTTGTTAATCAATCTTTGGCTCTAATGGTGGAAGGCTGTATCTTACTCATTTCTCCGTCAGGTCCTCACTGAGGCTATGGACGCCGAGAGCTGCTTTTCGAATGCGACGCAGCTCCAGGAGATGGCTCTCGGTATCAACAGCATCAAATTCCACTATCTGCACACCCTTATTGTTTTACTGAAGGGAGACGAGTTGTACTCCACATTTTGCTTGCCGTCTGCTCGTGAAGCTATTTCTCTCTTAAGTTCCATGGTATCAAACTGGTCTTCCATATACAACGGAGTAGTTTGGTATGAATAAAAAATATTTGGTTCACTGCCCTCAGCACAGATAACTGACACATAAAATTGATGCAGGCAGCTCCTTTACTACCCTTTCACGCCTTTCTTTGTGATATTCAAAACCATAATCCATCAAAGGCGTTGGACGGCAGCAATTGAGCAGGACCTACGTCTACTATCCACGACTGTGTCCTATTATGCGGAAATGCGATCGCAGATGCGACTCCTAGCTACTGTCTGTGAAAGGCTACAGCGAGTTGCGGCTACATTTTTTCAGCTTGCACAGGCCCACGTCCACCGGCATTTTCCGCAAGAGAGCGCTGGCGGCACAGTTAGGGCTGCGGAAATGTCCCCTATGCGAAGCCATGAAGGGCCCGATCAATTAATGCAGCAGATACAGGCGAACAAGGAATCCGCTTTTAATTACGCTCAAAGTATTGAAGCTCTGCCGTCTGTCGGCGTTGGCGACCCAAACGTCTCCAATTACCTACAATGGCTACCTGCCGATATGGCTACCACATGGTCGTCCATGGATGGTATCGATGATCAGGGCCCGATTTCTGTTCACCCTGCTAGCGGAAGTACGACGCCTAAAGCGTTTCAGAGCCATAGGCGAATGTTTGATTGGTTCTCATGGGACGCCTACTATGGGGGCGCCGATTCATAAATATTAACCAACGAATACAACTTATTTTTTCTGAGACCTATGCCCGTAGCCAACAGATGGGGCCTTCGTCTTATTGTTGAAATTCTAGTAATGGCTTCTTTAACCTGCTTGCACATGCGATGAGCGATGTAGGCGATTGAGTACCTCTATAGACCGTAGGAAAGGTAATGCAGTAAAGATATGCTTCGTTTATTCCAATTTATACCAGTGAAGGTCAATGGCGAATGAACCACGAGCGTAAAGACGTCGTACTGTAGTCAAGAGGTATCCCTTCAAACGGAGACTAGACCATGCGCCATCTCTGGAACGGCACAGCAGCACCAAAGAACATATTATGCCACACTTTGCTGAGTGTTGCCAGGTAAATTCCCTGCAGCATGGTCACGAGCATCGATGCATTCATTGCGAACATCACGCTGGTTCAAGACAGTAGACAACCTCGTTGATACCCTTTCTAATATGCCTAGCGCTCTACAACTATACCGTTACTACGCGTGTTGAATGAGTCGATTTCATCTGATTCCAGTGTTTACTGAGAGTATCTTTACAGATATTGTGTTTGCTGTAGCTTAGAAAGCATGCCCATTTAACTCGAGAAGTCATTTCTAAAGCTGTGTGCCCTTATAACAGGACGTATTCCTGCAACAGATCTACCCGAGCCCTCTGAAAATAGACCTTTCCGTGGTATGATATCTTCGCCGGAAAACAGACTCCGCACCATTGATAATTTGATATTACCCTACGGAGTAAGTCCACTTGGCAGGGGCATCGCCCCAATGAAAGTCCGCTGTTTGATCCCCTATATATTTGCACTGTAACTCACGAAGACCGATTAAGAGCATAAGCCCGTTAGACATCAGGCTCCGGAGTAGTTCTTCTCTCTAGCTATGCCTCAAACGGTGCCCGATCGTTGCCAAGTACTCTGTGCTCCACCTTAGGTCAACCGAGCTTTCCGGTCAGTGGAGAAGCTTGTACAGGCAGCTAGATTTGCTTCCTCTCTATTTCCCCACGTCGGAGTTTGAGCTCAATCTGTGCTTCTGGTGAGAGCTTTGCAGGAGTTTGTTGTATCGTTCCTGGATTTGACGCGGCACTAGGCATGGAAAAGAGAGATCTAAAAGCATTTATCAGACGAGACTTACTCACGTCAGGTCCCTATCGCTCACGCAATAGCCCAAAAGTCACACCCCGTGCACTCGATAGTGTTTAAATGCACGTTCATATGGCTTGATCGATTCAAACAACATATACTCTTCGCATTCAGATAAGGGAGATGCCATTACTCTATCTTCTCTCCTAGCCGCTGCGTAAACACCTGACAAGGCCAACCCCCCTCGAGGTCCAACCTCACAAACCGCTCAAACCCCTGGGACTCGTAATACCGAACCAGCTTCCCATCCCCGCCAGCATAACAATCCACCCTCAACAACGAGACCCCAGCCTGCTTCGCCAAAACCCGAGCATGGTGAAGAAGACGCCCTCCAATTCCATTCCCCGCCCGTTTCCGATCCGTCACCAACAACCGCACGTAAAGTTCGGGCTCTGACACGGGCGTGACATACGGCATCATATCACCCACAGCAAGCGCCCCAACAACAACCCCCTGGATTGTTCCATCATCACTCTTGTAGAGTGTTTCCGGTGGTTGATCTGAATCTGGGGTATGGAACATCTTTACAGCGAGCCAAACGCCCAAGCCTGTCGTCGCGAACTCTTTCAGTCGCTCGACTTGTTTCGGTTTCTCGGAGAAGGGCACTGTGCCCCATTGTCCGACTCGATCATTTGATGCGAGCCAGTGGACAGCGCTGTCTAGGAGGCGAAGCACCGCTGGGACGTTGTCGACTGTTGCTCGGACGATGGCGATGTCGTCGGCGCCGGGGGGTGGAATGGGGCTGGGATGTAATTAGCTCTGTATCTTGGAGTTGTCTAACCACCTTATTTTTTCTTGTCCAATATTGTTTGGGAAACGCTGGGAGTGATTTGGAGCAATATCACTTACTCTATCGTCATTGTCACAACGATCGTTTTACCTGGGCTCGGAGAGTTGTCGTAAATCTAAAGGGCTAACAGCGCTATGGTTTAAGAAATGTATCGGTAGAAGCTCAGAATGTACGTAACTGTAAGATGATACCCTGGACTGGAGGACTTATATATCCCACCATCCCACCATAAGCTAGGCAGAAGTGGGGGAACACGCGGTTATTCGCAGGATTCATTTCTACAAAGCTAAGTGATTAAAAGCCGAATACGAGGACTAATGCCAGACCCCGGACAGGAGTAGTGGGTCTTTACATACAACCCTGCTCTTGTTGACGGATGCATAGAATTGATCGGTTCTTACACCACTAAGCTCATCCAGTCTGGTTGTGTAGCGCCTGGAACTCATCTTGGGGGCTGGTTATTTTTTTTTTCTATAGAGGTCATTGAGATGGGGTAAATTATGCTTGTTGTCAAGCTATGGGATTACCATTCGCTGTGCCTTCTACAGTATGGCTCGCTTGTACTGTATAAAAATTGAATTTCAATGTACGATATGTACAGGCCCTGTTCCAATGTAGTTTATTAGAACGAAAAGATCCAGGTACAAAAAAAAAGTTACGTTGCCAGACAGTGGACATAGTCTTCCTGTGTGGCTAGCGCAGAAAGAATATTGCACCTGCTTGAAACTAGAGTCCCACCGGGTGGTGAGATAGCTCACCATTCCCGATTGATCGTGTGGCCTGCTACAACACTTATAAAGCATCGATGATTGCATTATAAGCGGCTTTGGGTTGGTAGTTGCTGTCGAAGAGCAACGGGGTGGTACCGGACCTCCAGGAATCCTTCTCGCTGTTAGTAGTGCTCGTTTTTATAGGCACCATCAATTGAACATACCTTGTCGGACACACCCCAGACCGTAATACCAACGCAAGAGCTCACCTCAAGACAGGCATCGACAACCTATACACTTAGCAGAGCGCTGGATGAAATTGCAATAGTGCACTAACCTGTAGGTATGAGTCAGGGCTCGCCCCTTCGATGTCAAGCTCGGTGACTGCGACTTCGGAGACTCCAGTCCCGGCGAGGGCTGTCAACGCTGTGCTTGACGTTAGCCTTTTGCGCTGCGATCGGAAGGCGAAGACACTTATCCTTTGGCGCCAGAAACGGGGAAGGCATTCGAGCTACACAGTCAGCAAAGCCAACACAATCACACCGGAGAGAGATACCTATAGTGAGACTGAGACCCTGTGAGGTACTCGTTAGCACTCATTCCTCTACATAGAAACGGGAGAAGGTACCAATGCCGTCAATCGGGATACCAGCGTCCAGCCACTTCTTGACGTGGCTGATCAATCCCTTAGTCTTGGCGTAGTCGGCGGAATCCAGACTGACAATGTTAGTTGTGACTCCATTTATCATTTATTCCAAGATCACTCACTTGTAATCGTTAATGTAGAGCTTGGCGTTGGGATCCGCCGCGCGAGCAGTCTCAAAGGCGATCCGGACAAAGTCCTCCCCAAGAACTCGAGAGAAGACACTGTCACGGAGACTTCCGTCTTCCGCGAAGATTTCGTTGACAACATCCTAGGCTCGGTCAGTGCGATACAATAAGAGTATCCGCATTATCCCATTATCTAACGTACCCAGGCATAAACTTGGCCCTTGTATCTCTGCATGATGGTTGTGATGTGATTCTTAACCACCTTAGTTAGGGTGTCTTTGTCGGTGATACTTGAAACCCAGGATGGAAGTTGGGAATGCCAGACTATATCTCATGTTAGGTTCACTTTCGCCATATAGATTTCGCGAGTACCGTACCTAGGGTGTGCCCGCGGAGTAATTTGTTATTCGTTTTGGCGTAATTAGCCTAACATCATCGATCAACCATGGATACTAATCCTGCGTTATGAAGGTCGATCTACCAAGTAATCGGCTCCACTGAAGCTGAAGCTACCCTGAGATGCTGTTACGATTAGCAACCAGAACATGAATAAGAGATGATGGCGGGTGAACGAACGCTCAAGCGAATCCCACTTCATGCTGTTCTCCGGGGTCAATTGACCAAAGTCCGCCCGAACAATTGCCTCGTTCGGGCTGTTCTGCAGAAGACCCTGGTCGGAACAAGTACCAAAGTACTTCTTTCCCTTGGCGACGAATGCATCGTTGATGCTCGCAGCAGCCTGTCGACTAATAACGGCGGACGAGGCGAGGGAGAAGAGCAGCGCGCCGCTAGCAAGGTACTTCAGATACACCATTGTGATCAGGGCAGGAGGTATTTGACTGAAGGACACTATACTTTAGATCGATATTTTAGACCTTAGGAAGGGTTCAAGAGCAGTACTCGACTTTGAACGGCCAGCCCTTTTATGTTACAGTTATGCCGGCTAGACAGCATTAACCACTTTAGCCTAATACTTGCTGGTTTCCTATCCCAGAGCCGGCCTGATCTAGTATCTTCTTGGGTCGATCCTCAATATGCCAAGATTTGGCATAGTACTTGGTTTCTCCTCGTTGGTGGAGAATCCATCGATCTGCCGTATCCCCGCCAAGGCGCCTTCATTTAAACAGCTGTCGTCTTTTTGGCACATCGGCAGCTACCCCGGACTAATCCTGCCCTGCTGCATAGCCCTGAAGAGCCGGATGAGACTTATTTCCTTGGGTAAATGGGTAAAACAAGAGGGATCCGGGCTGCGGAAGGTTGCGTGGAGCCGATACAGGCTCTAACCCCCGACACGACAGGGCTTAGCAGGTTTACCTGGACAAGCACCACCATCCAAAGAATTAAGAAAGACGGCTAAATCTGTGGGACCTTACTTTTCCTGGTCCTGGTTAGTTTTCCCGTGTTCAGTCAAATTGACCCGTAGGCACCGTTTAGAAAAGGGCTGGGACCTATACATGCCAAATTTCCCCAGATGCCCACGCTGAGTCTGTAGGCTGATATACAAGCACCTCTCCCCAATAAACGCTTTTCCATGATTATCAGCACCGGTCCAAGTAAACAATGCGTACCATAAGCACGCCTAAACTAAGCTTTATAGGGAAGCATATCCACTTCTATTCCTTCGAATCAAAGACTGCGATATAGATTTGATCTGGCGCTAGGGCGTAAGGTACGGATTTAGAACGTAAAGACACTTAGGAATCCGGAAAGAGCGCCGCGAATGCATGCAGAGTCAGAGTGGAAGCCACAAAACTATTCAGGCAAGCGGCTAAGCATGGGAGCTGAGCTTGGAGGCGCAGGTTGAATTCATGAAGCCACCGTGATGGTGGTTTGTCTTTGCTGCACCTTCTAACCGAGTCGCTGGTGAAGCTGGCCAAGATGAAATCCTGAATATATTCAACCTTGGAGAGGCTGCGCTACCTCTTCGTCTCAAAGATGACACTTCACCCCATTCCATCCCCGATGAAATATTGAAAAATTTTAGAGTCTTACAAGACGCTGGATACGACTGGAACAACGAACAGTACTGCAGATTGCGAGCAGAGCTTGTCATGATACCTGCATGGGTTCAGGCACGACGTAATGCAAACGTCCCTTTGCGGTCATCCACTAGAGGCGCTCCCAAGAAAGAACATCCTGCCTCCATGACACCGATGAGACGTGATACTGATGCTGAGGCCCCTCGACGAGATCCGAACATGTTTCACGAATATGATTTGCGAGCTGAGATCAATCTCCCGGTCTCTGGTGTTCCCTATGTGTTCACTGGTCGCGCTGACTGGGCAGCGGGGCACACTGGTCGTGGGTTTTCAGACTCCGTCTTGGTTTGTGTCGAGGCTCAGAAGAAAGAAACCCTTGGGAATGCTGAGCTGCAGTTGACTGACTGCGTATTTGGCAATCTGCTACCATGAAAGGGAAAAAACCAACAAATCCGTCCCGTCTGTACAAGGCTTTAGCACTGATGGCCAACGCTATACTTTCCAGCTTTTGACCTCAGACGGCACGCTACACTCTAGCAAAACTTATGATACTGTGGATGAGAAGGATCTTGAGATTGTGTATAATTTCACGGTCCATCAAGTGGAAACTGCAATTAATTTGTCTCCGGCAAGCACACCAGCCAAAGAATCACGCACGGAAAAGGAAGAGGCGGTTAAGACTTATGCACAAGACACATTTTGGGAGATATTCGAGCCACCTCGGTACTGCCCAGACGGCGAAGAAGAAGAAGAACGGCCAGATTTAGATCTCGATCCCTTTTCATTGCAAGAGAGGCATGCTGAAGTGAACTTTATCTTTTCCTTTCTCACTTTACAGACCTGCATCATCTACAGCGATTGAGGTATTACCAGATTAGGGGCCCAAAAAACGTGTGCTATCAAAGGACGCGCTTGAAAACTGTTGAAAGGATGCCCGTTTCTTCTTTGAAAGTTAGTCTTACACGTTTTGACACCTGCAGAAGGAACACGGAGCAGCCTGCAAAATTCTGTGCAAGGGAATAGTGATATGTGGAACCAGTTCTGCACATTGTCCTAGATTCAGGGCTTACAATGATTATTCCCAGCCCCTGAAGCTACTTTAAAGGACGTACTGGGTGAAACCATTATTTGGGTCTGAGGTATGTGAGGCAGTCACTGCCGACCACTGTATAGAGGAGGAAATTGAAGGGAGAGAATCGCATAACAGAATGCATGTCAATATTTCCTATATAACTTGAAAGCCTCCTTTATAATTTATCTGGTGTTCACCTACAGACGGGTGGTTTAGATGTAGCATTGTCAATCCCATTGGAGTCAATAATATGAGAGAGCTTAGAGTACGCTTGAAGCTATTTATTAAGCGCTTCTCGCAGCCAGGAAAGTCTAATGCAAGATGAGTTTCATGATAAGCTACAAGATATATTCAGAACATCGCCATCGTCACGGGTTATATCTTGTGAATCGCTCGGCTAAAGGAAATTGTCTTCCCGTGTAAGTTTGAAGTTATCGGGTCTCGCTATCTCATTGAAAATATAAAGGATAGTGTGGCCTGTCGAGGCACACAGTGCGGAAAGAAATAGGTGGGAGCCCAGCAATCTTTTGCTGGTGACTCGCGGGGGGTAGTATTCCCTTTCACTCCGTTCTTTCGTTTTAGGGCATTTCGAGCATCTGATATAGGAACCGTATACTACTAGATATATCCATCCTGCCGTTCTATTCCTGCTGGATAGTTGACCTATGCTATGTTTCAAATCCAATTTTCAGTTCTATTCTTGATCTCATCCACGTTCTTTACCTTCTTCAACATCACTTAGAAGTACGTACACCTCCACGATAGAATGTGGGTAACTTGAAGGGCCAGGGTTGGAGACGTCGCACCAGGACAACGGACAGGGCACTTGCAGAGAAAGTGTCGTTCAATTTGAATGAGGGTCGAAGTTTGAAGGGCCCAGCGTATCCTTCTAGAATCTTTGTGGTCCTCTGCTTGACAGTCCTTTAGTCGCCCTGGTTCCCCCGCCCTTTCCTTCCATCCTGAGCAGCCCTTAAAGACACATACGCGATAGCTAATGAGCGGCCAAAATAGAATCAAACAATTATCGCAACAGCTATTCTGACCTTCATATCGCAGTTCCACAGCATCGTGGAAATCGGATGGTACGGTAGTGCATAACTTCTCACAACCTGCAGCTTTCAACTCTTCTTTGGCAAGCTCTACACCTTGCTATCCCTCAAGCAGGCTTTATGGGTGCGGTGCTGTATTGGTCTACGAGGTTGGCTCTGCCATGTGTGGTGCTGGCCCCAACCCTGTCACCCTCATGGTTGGGCGAGCCACCACCGACATTGGAGGCGCTGGTATCGTCTCGGGAGTATTGATCATCATTGCTAAGTCCGCCCACTTACCAAAGAGGCTGGCATTAATAGGAGTCCTTGTCAGCGCACCATTTCACAGCCTACGACAGCACACCGTTGCGTGCTCAACTTTTCATATCTTCCTCGGGAATGCGTCATTTGTCTTGTTGACTTACTATTTGCCTATCTGGTAGGTTTCGACCATGATAGCACCCTGAGTGTACACTCCTATGTTAACTATGAAAGCATGTTCTAAGCAACCAAGGGTGACTCCCCAGCTCAGTCGGGCATCCACAATCTTCTCACAGTCTTGAGCGTTGGTAAGCTTGGCCCCAGCATTACTATTGCAATGGCACGCCAACTGGATGATCTTAACGTGTGATAATGAGTACAGTGGTATTCGCAATTGCGGGTGGACTGGTCGTGACCGCCGTTGGATATTACACCCCATTCATGTTCGCAGGATCAAGGATCCTGGCGGTCGGTGCCGGTATCCTCCATTCAGGATAGATATTACCCCCCTCAATGTGGCATGTGACTGTCAATAAGCAAGCAGCAGAGCTCGCTGGCTAACGTATGCTAAGATTGGTTTTCAAGTTGTCTTCGGAGCGGGTGCGGGCATCGGACTAGGACTACCCGATATTGCTGTCCAGACAGTCCTCCCCGAGATAGACTTCTCTGTCGGGACGGCTTTGCTGGTATTTCCTCGCTCTCTTAAAAATGGGGTGTAGAGCCGACGTGCATTGTACCAATATCTCAATGGAGGCATTATGAGGAATGCCCTGCTAAGAAAGTTGCGTTCATCGTTTGTGATGAGGCGCTTCGAAACAACAAGATCAAGGTACACGTCTAAGCACAGCCCTTCAGTACTAATAAAGTCGCTGACGTCTATTGTCGCTGTAGATAATGATCTGAAGGGGTCGCTCAAGAATAGATCGCGGTCTATGAAATGCCAAAGACGTTCCGTCTATACAAGCTCGTGTACTGGGATGCTCAAGTAGAAGATACTGTAGACAGGAATCTTATCTAATCTAATCTCCGGGTGACATTACATAACTCCGAACACACCCGCATTCCACCAACTGCAACTTAGCGGGAATGCGGGATTCCGTATTAACCGCTGAATTCTTCAGGCATGCAGTCATGAAACGAAGAGGTCTGACTTCTGGTTAGTGAAAAATGAGCAACATTTATAGGCCTAGAAATGATCATTGAATGATGCGATATCATGACGATATAGCTTAATCGTGGACTAGAACATGGATCAAGGCACTAATCTAAATGGAGTAGGGTAGTGGCTGATACCGCTGCGGAGCTTTAGTGGTAATTTTGGTTGGCACAACTTCTCTTTCTCTCACTCACTCGCACACTCTCTCTTTCTCTATCCCCCAGTTTTTGCCTCACAATTACCCTCATGCATAGTCATGGAGGCTCATAATATAGCTGTAGCCTCCATCGCCGCCCAAGTCCATCGATTCCACCAACGCCAACAACCCTTCCGCATCTACCATGGCTCGACCAACAGCACAAGGCAATCACAGCATAGCGCCGCCAACACCATCAGCACCGCGCATCTCACCAATGTCTTGGACGTTAACACAGACAACAAGACGATCCTGGTCGAACCCAATGTTCCCATGGACGAACTCGTCAAGGCCACACTATCCCACGGACTCATCCCACTCGTCGTGATGGAATTCCCCGGAATCACTGCAGGCGGCGGCTTCTCCGGAACGTCAGGCGAAAGTAGCTCCTTTCGCCACGGATTCTTCGATTCAACCGTGAACCGAGTGGAGGTAATCCTAGCCAATGGCGACATCCGCACAGCATCGCAACAAGCCGCGGACGAAAAAGAACTCTTCTGGGCCGTGGCCTCATCCTTCGGCACATTAGGCGTAGTGACTATGCTCGAGATCCAATGCCGAGAAGCAAAGCCTTACGTCGAGCTAACCTACCATTCAACCTCCAGCATGACCCAAGCCATGCAGATCTTCCGAGAAACCACAGCATCCCCCAAAACTGAATACCTAGACGGCATTGTCTACGCGCCGGACCACATCGTCGTCTGTGCCGGCCACCTCGCCGACGAAGCCCCCGCACAATCCTACATCCAGCGCTTCACCCGCGCCCACGACCCCTGGTTCTACATCCACGCGCAGCGCAAAACCCGGAAGATCCACCGTCCCAACGCCGATCCTCCCGTTTCTGTCACTGAATATATCCCAATCCAAGATTACCTGTTCCGCTACGACCGCGGTGCATTCTGGACAGGCGCGTACGCCTTCCACTACTTCGTCACACCCTTCAATCGCATCACGCGCTACATCCTAGATACCTTCATGCATACGCGGGTGATGTACCACGCGTTGCACGAGAGCGGGCTCTCACAACGACACATCATCCAAGACGTGGCGGTGCCCTACAAAGCGACGGGGGAATTCCTGACCTGGTTGGACAACAAGGAGACCTTTGGCGCGTACCCGATCTGGTTGTGTCCCTTGCACCATTCGCAGGGTCTGATGGCGCGGGTCGCCGAGGCCGGACCGCACCAGTCGCAGAAGGAGGTCGACCCTGATGATGATAGCGAGTGCTTGATGAATTTCGGATTGTGGGCACCGTCTCCTTTTGCGAAGGATCCCACGGCATTCGTGGCGCAGAATCGTCGGTTGGAGGGCAAGGTACGGGATTTGGGCGGCAAGAAATGGCTCTATGCTCATGCATACTACACGGAGGAGGAGTTTTGGTCCATCTACGATCGGAAACGGTACGATGCACTGCGCGAGAAGTATCGGGCGACGTATTTGCCGGATTTGTATCAGAAAGTGCGGGTCAATTTGAGTGCTATAGATCATGGGTCGGAGGGATGGGTGAGTTGGGCGAAGCGGATGGTGTGGGAGACGTGGCCGGTCTGTGGCTTGTATGGAGTATATAGGGCTTGGAGAGGCGGAGAGTACTACTTAATCAAGAGTAAAAAAGACTAATCGCTAGAACTCACCGTGTGCGGTCAGTTTTGCCGGCTTCGTCTAAGTTATTTTTACAAAGAATTCTATTTCGTCGCTAGAGTCAAATTGAAGACGGGAAAGTTTAAAAACGCCAAATGGTATCATCGTATATCACAAATTCCCGCTCTCTTAAAGAGCAATACAAAGCAAGCCACGCGATTGGCGGTGTGGAATTTCATAAGATCACTGCGCGCCGACTGGTCGTGCACCCGCGAGATTCACCACGCGACCTCCGCCAGCTGCGGCAAGGCCGCCGCCCGCCACGGGCGACGGAGGTTGGACCCAACCAGGGACACGGTCGTCCTCAGATTCCCGGGCGGAGATCGTCTGCCAGACGTTCGGAAAGCCTGTGGGCAAGGCGCCCCGCAGACGTGCGCCAGGAATGGCGAATCGAGGATTCGTGTGTGTTAAGTAACCGCGCATCAGGCCCTGGGTAAGCAGAGACGCCAGGATCGACTCGAGCTCTCGCATCATGGCCGTTGGCTTTCCTTGGTTAGATGCCGAATCTAACTCAACTCGATGGGCACATGGGTCGAGTTCATACTGGCGGTAGTCCACGTCGGGTTGTCCGTCGATCAAGGTTCCCGGCTGGTTGGGCTGCCATTGCCCCATGACGTCGAAAAATCCGTCCGGCATAAGGAAGTCTTCGTACTGCGACACTACGTTCGGGTCAGGTTTGGAAACCCCGCCTTCGACCTCGTTCAGTCCAGCGAAATCGTGGTCCGGTAGTTTATAGACCAACTGCGATCCGAGATCGTTGTGGCCGGCTTTTGCGTCGAGGCTGCGGCCCGACGGGGTAAAGCTGAGACCGCTATGCAAGGACTGCGCATGTTGCGCTTGGAGCCACCGCACTGCTGTTTCTAGTTTATGGAGGTATAGGAACGGAGGTGGTCCGCGTTGGGCGGATCCTTGAGGCTCGCCGTGAAACCCCCCATGGATGAACACTTTGCGCGCAAACGCCCGCCACACGAGGATTTCGCACCGATTGCGTAGAGCAAGTAGAATGCCCTTCTGCGCAAACCATTCTGTGGTCGAAGAGTCCAACGCAAGATGCTCTCGAAAGGCAACGTAATCGCCGCGAACGATCAGCCGACAGATCGGAATGAATTTATCGGCCAGTCCCTCAGATTCGGGCCGTTGGAGTAGCTCCAACGAGGGAAAACGCCCCATGATCATATTGCACGGAATTAGGTAGGTCAGAATGACTCGCTTCTGGCTGAGAGCCTGGTGGTGGCATTGGTCGTATGCGGACTGAAGGGCGATTTGGGCGGGGTAAAAGAGATTGTTAGAAAATAGATATCGTCCAAGGTAGTAAAGGTATGTGACTCTCTGGGAGGCAGGGAAGTACTTTAGTGGTGGAGACTGGGCGCTGATACTGGCAAACATCTGTTCCGCATTTCTGAGTTTACCGCACTGAAGCGAGATGTTAGCCTTGGTTGAGGCCGTGGAGAATGCCTAGGATGCATGATCTCGCTTCGTACCTGAAAGAGCAATTTCAGGCAGAGGTTGGCCATGAGATAGATACCAATTCGCTTGCCTTCGGGTTTGCCATGGACCCCCGGGGTACCGCTACGATCTGTGAGACACTTGATGAACGCCTCACGGACCACGTTGGCGGATTTCTCGACCAGTGTTACTTTCTCGATGCTCTCATCCTGGTCGGGGCGACCCTCCATTCTTAGCAGATGTGCGATCAACTCCGGGCGCCGGTCGAGACCCATGGCCAGTTTCGCGAGAACTTTGGACAGGTAAAGGACGGTCGGCAGAACGATGACCCCATACTGACTATCACCAAGTGCAAGGACACACTGGCTGTGGACGGAAGCAGTCAGTAACCGATGAGGACGACAGAGTCGGAACGCAATGTTCCACCGTGTATAACATAACGGCCATCGGGAAGTGAAGGAAACATCCAGAGGGACTTACTTCACCAGCCCTTTGAGCAGGTTGTAGGTTTCGAGCAGATTATCGACGTTCACATCGCGGAGGAAGGTAAAGTAGAGTTTCATGAAGGTCGGAAAAGCTGTCCATGAGCTGCCACCCTTGGAGCGCGGGACGAGCGCTTCGCAACGCCGTAGGAGATCGACTTCTTTCTGCGATCCATTGGGATATCGTTGGCGTAGCTCATCCACCATCTGTTGGTATATTTCAGACAAAGGAGGTTCGATCTGCAGAAAGTCTTGGAGTTGAGCGCCGTCGCGGTTCCTAACGAGCTCCGCGAGCCCAGACAGGAACCTGTCGAGGACTGGAGTACCTTGCATAGCCATTGTAGTAGGAGTTCGAGGAAGATGGTGCGGCGTCAGGGAATAGGAGACGGTCGGAAAAAGGAGATCGTCATGGGAGTCGGTCGCACGACGTGTAAATGCGAGATGTTTCAGCGACAGCTGGTCATGATGTGTAAAATGTGATGTCTCAATGGCTGAGTAGGCGACAATAACGGTCTGGCTGTTGAAGCAACACAATTCATTGAAGTGAATCGTAAGAAGTTCCAATTGTTTGCTTCTGTTTGCTTTGCCGTTGACCGCCCTGGACCCCAATCCGGACCACATCACGTTGCCTTCAGGTGACTTGACTGTTGAATGATAAGATAAGATAGAACCTGAAAAGGGATGATGCCTGATCCTCTTTGTTGACAGACATGCAAGTGAACCTTTTTAGTGAGAGACCCAACGATGGCGTCAGAGATGTCACGCAATGGGGTGGGAAATAGAAAGAAAAGGAACAGGAATGATGAAACCATGCCTAGCATTTCACATGAATTCACATTATCCCGATCAGTGATCCACTCACTACGTCATGGCTATCAACTTGTTTGCTGCTATTGAAAAAGGCCGTCGATTTCCTTACTTTCTGTTGCTCACAACCAAGATCAATTGACAGTAGACCGGCACAAGATTGTACCAAATCTCTTACCTGGATTGATTGTCTTCCTCTACTGATCTCTCAAAAAGCCGCCATGGCTCAATCGAGGTCCTCTTCCTCCTCTCTGGTGGAGTTCATCAAACACCCTTTTGTGGGCACCTTTACTATCTTCTATCTATTGTTTCAGGCCATTATAAACTGGTTCTTTGCTCCAGCCCCTCCACCTCCCGCATCTCTTGTCAATGGCCTACCGAAAAAGCGAGTGGCTGTCGTTGGAGCTGGGTTAACGGGAGTGTCGGCTGCCGCTCACTGTGTTGGCCATGGCTTTGATGTGCAGCTCTTTGAGTCGCGTTCCAAGGAGAAAGGACTGGGAGGAATTTGGAGTGTATGATTTCTTTCCTTTATTATCGCAAGGCAGACGCTAACAGAACTCCGGAACAGAGGGTAAACTCCACTTCCTCATTGCAGATCCACAGTATCATGTACCGATTCCACCCATCGGTCAAGTATGATACCGCGTATCCGACTCAAGGAGAGATTCGCGACCAGATCGTGGATGTGTGGAAGCGCTACGGCCTACAGAAGAGCACGGTATTCGACACACCCGTTACCTCCGTCAAGCGAGCCGAAGATGGCAAATGGATCATCAACGATGACGAAGACAAGTACGGTCGCTTTGACGGCGTGGTGGCCTCGGTAGGTGTCTGTGGCGATCCGAAAATGCCGCCGCTGCCCGATCAGGAGCGCTTCAAGGGCAATATCTTCCATTCGTCCGAATTGGACGGTAAGGATGTGGAAGGGAAAAAGGTCCTCATCATTGGTGGCGGCGCCAGCGCCATTGAAGCTCTAGAGTTTGCAGTCCAGTCGGGGGCGGCGGAAATCGATGTGCTGTCGCGCTCCGATAAGTGGATTATCCCACGCAACATCTTGGTCCAGTCCTTGTTAGCTTTAAACATCTTCGGAATGGAGACTTCATTTTCCTGGATCCCGGAATGGCTCCTGCATAAGTTCTTCTATCGTGATTTGGAGGATATTGCACCTTCGAGTGGGCTCTTTACCACAACCCCAATGGCGAACTCAGAACTCTTCAATAAAATCCGGGAGGGTAAGGCTCGGTGGCTGCGCGGCGATATTGTATCCGTGAAGGAGAACGGCATCCTGTTCAACCACCGCGCACGGAAAGTGCCCAAGGGCGGACCGGGGCATGAGTCGGTCGTCACGGGCGATGTCATCATTGAGGCAACGGGCTTCAAACGCCCATCGCTATCTTTCTTGCCCGACGATGCGTTCGAGGAGCCGTATAGCCCTCCCAGCTGGTACCTGCAAGTGTTTCCGCCGAAATATCCGGAGATTTGTGCCAACAACAGCACGTATGTGGACGCTATCGGAACGGTGGGAAATATGCACATTGGCATCTACACGCGCTTTTTGCTCATGTTCTTGACGGACCCTTTGACGCAACCGACCGAGGGTCGCATGAAGACCTGGATTGACTTCACCCGCTTTGTCAAGCAGCATTCCCCGACCAACGCCTTTGACTTCTTCACCTACTCCGAGCTGATCTACTGGTTTGTGTTTGTGATTCTGGTCAACCCGTTCCGGTGGAAGTGGGCACCGTTCGTGCTGTTCGGCGTTGGCCGAGCGCTTCCGATGGGAGTGGTCAGGCAAGAAGAGTCGTTCCGCAAGGAGTTGCGGAAACAGCACTAAACCGCAGCCAGTGTATATCTACCCCGGATTATACTGCTGATCGAAAAAAGTGCTACAGCTGCGTTGGTCAATATACTCATACTACACCTGGTTGACATAGTTAACCCCCCACTAGGTTCATATGCTGTTTTATTCTCAGACCTTTCTCCTCGGGCTTATTCTGGGCCTCCGCGAATGGGTCGGCGGTCTACATAGATGATTAACGAGGCCATGTCTTCTTTTACATAGTTGTGCTATGATGCATGCAGCAGGCGATTTAATGAATGAAAAATGTTGTGAATCATACTGTCCTAGATTTACTCCAAGCATAGCCGTAGACACGTATCGGTAGCTCTCTCGCATGTTCATCAAAGCAACTAGGCCAGGCGCAGCAGACCACCATGTTGTTCCCCCTGTTCGGATACCTAATAACGTAAGGGAATCAGTATTTGTCACGCATTGGACGCTATAATCTTACACGACCCGGGATATTTGGGGGCGTAAACATGAACTCTGCCTCCCAAGACACGTTCTACAAAGCCAGGTTAGAATAGTGCGATCGCAACGCTACTGGTTCATAATTTTTCCTTAAAGTCTAATTACGAGATTGGTCGTCACAAATCGTAGCCAGCTTTCCTTGAAAGATCTCCTCCCATGGAAGGCTTCACATACACCTACAACCCTCATCTCCTCAGCGTTATGGGGATATCGAAAAAAAAAATTAAGAAAGTAGTCATCTGAAGACTCCAATTCATTGACGACACTAGAGACTCAAGAGCCATATAAGTATAATATCATATATCCTTCCTGTGGGTCGCATATCGCTGAGATCTGTGCCGGCCATGTTGATCCAGAATCGAGCGGAGGCCACTATATCTTTCTTGGCTGCAGAACGAGGAGCACCGGTCCGCTTGGCAAGGCTAACTTGTTGGGTCGCGACCCTCGCTCCTATTACTACGTATAAAGAACCCGATAACTAACTACGATTGGGGTGTTTGACGATAGCTAGGAGATGGAAAATATACTGTTGTTGAAGGTTATGTAACCCTAGTGGTGGTCGGGGCTGCAAGATCCACCAACAATATATACCACGGAGGGGAAACCAACCACAATGATCTCAACATTTATCTGTATCATGAAATTCTTATCTTGTCCTCACTTGTTCACATGAGCTAAGCTACGAATGTCCAGGTAGCCTTTTATTCCAACGCCTCGCCTACGAGACATGTTTGAGGGATAATATGCTTCACAGTATGACCAATGTCCTGCGTGGTGATGTTTCCTCTCCTCGGGCCGATTATTTGGGCAACCTTACCTTGCCTTAGCGATAGAAGTCTCCGATCGGGTATCCTATTTAACTGGACCATGCAATATTGACCAAGAGGCTCGGGGTTAGTTATGCGGCATATCAATTCATCGAACGTGGGCTGTTTTACGGAGTGTTGCGGGACAGAGGAGAAATTGCATGACATAGCATTGCATGAACCGAGGTAAATAACATCAAACACCTGAATGTGGCATTCACGTAGAAGGATGGTCTACGAAATATACATCTAACCAAATGCTATTGTGGTAATAGTCAAGGGGTCCAGAACAAGATGGACATCAGCTAAAGCCTCGGTCAATCCGGAGTGTTTTGACTAAGCATGCCTTCAGCGATTACCGCATTTGGCGAATTGTATCGACTCCAGCCCTAACACCAGGTATGTTGTCATAGACTGCAATGAAAGCTCGGCCGAGGATAAGAATCGAAGGCAGATGCCATGCCAGAATCGACGGTCCGGAATTGGGCGACACGATGGCAAAATGTTCGGATCCGAACCGGCTGTTCCATGGATTTGCCGTCATCTGACACGTTTCCCCATGGGACATATCGTTCTTGCATAGTAGCCTATTGGTGAGCGACATTCTTTTCTCCAATCGGTAGTCTGGGAGTAATGTGGCGGTTGGCACTCACAGAGTGTCAGATTCTAAGGTGGTGAACAGGGCGGATAAGGTTTGTTAATCCACCCTGTTCTCAACTCCAGAGGTACAATCGTTGTGCCTCGCATATCCTGCTGCTGCCCGGCAGTATGAACCAATGGCCGGTGTACCCAGCGGAGCCATTCGCAAAGCTAAAGGTAGACCCTGGTAATGGCATTAAGCTGATTCCTTCGAAACTCGTTCAGTGGCGCGTAGCCTGACTGTGTCTGGAAAAGGGCTCGGACGCGTGACATTCTCACTGGTGCTCGGAATTGTTCTGGGTGAGCATAATCGACAGCGGGTGGCTGCCGGGAGATGCCGAATTCTTCTCGATCCTTTACAGGCCCTATTGGAAAGTTTGTTCAAGCTTGAGCACGAAATCGAGTGCCTTGGCGGGGTTGTCTCGAAGGGGGGAAGGTTGAGTAACTCAAGACTTCGCGGCCCTTATTGATTCGACAACTATCCACAGGCGAGACTTGAATAAAGTGGAATTTCGAGGATGCAAATCTCGTTTACCGGAAGGCTCTTTTCTTCCATTCAGGTCATTAAGAGCTGGCGGCTAGAGCTGTGAGAAAAGGAATGTCGATCGGAGATGCTGTTGGGGGTTTGAGACAACGAGAACCCTAATTGACTACCATATTAAGGGATAAATCATGATTTGTGTCGGTTCCTATGCACACGGTAGCTTAACAACTAGGCAAACTCAGCATTCCTCTGTCGATGGCCAGCAGAGCAAGAAGCTTACTAGATGACGGTACTCCATAAAGGATTTCAGGAATTACGACATCTTGTAAGAACTTTACCGTGTCGTTCGTAAACGAAGCACACGCAGGAGAGGATGGCATAACAACCTTCGTAGGGTTTATGCTAGTCCAATTCTAAGACAACGGAAAAGGGCTTAATTAATGTCGGAGTATCTGGTTGGATGAAGGGTTGCAACTACATACTCGGTCATCTCCACCACTCAAGATCCTTTTTTTTCCCCTTAGGTATTGTGGTGGAGACTAGGACGTCTTTGCTCGGTCCAGCTCCACATTCTCTCGATTCTTGTCGTTGAACCCTGGGAAATAAAAAGAAAAAAAAATCTCTTCACTCATAGGGAGTGCCAGAGAATGACACTTGATAGTTGCATGAGTTTATTCACAACTCTACCCTACGACCGTTTGACCTAGTAGTATCAGGATAGTTTATATCTGTGGAAAGCATTCCTGAGGATAAATTTAGCAGAGATCCAGGCAAAGAAGGGCTGCGCTGTACCTGGTGCCTCTCCCTATTAGCCCGGACCCTAAGCATCGCCCCAAGGAAAAATGTCCCGTGCTGTGGCCTGGATATAGACATAGTCCAACTCCCTTGGCAGAGATTTAGTTGAAACTGGAAGTCCAATGAAGTCTGTGGTTCTGGCCCGCGTCTTTGGGTTAATGGACACTTCGGCCCACATGGCGCCATGATGGTGGTTTTACACTTTCGCCTTTAACTACAGCTGAGCTGACCCAATTAATAAGAGGTTTGCTATTACTTGTGGGGAATTCATGGATCCTTCGGCCGTTCCAGTCGATTTGTGTATACGAAATCCGCTGATCAGGGGTCTCGACGTTCCGTTGGTCTGGTTATTCCCCACTGGAACCCGTATACGACCCAGTAGCAAAAAGTCGAGGCTTCTCTTGTGGTTGGGCATCGGCCGTCAGTCAGGCATGGTCTCAAGAATTGCCATTAACTCGCGCTCTTATCCCTGGTTAGGATAATCAATCGCCTTCCGAGCAGAACTCCCTCCCTGAAATGTGAATTGGTACACGGTCTCGGGAGCAACCGGGGCTAATGATCTCCTAACACGGCTTGTGGTTGTTTGCTAGCTGCGCTGTCCATGAAATAACGAGAGCCTTAACGGCTAGCACCTGCGTAACCCTATCGAAAGATGTTGGGGGTCGGGTGTCTATGGAGTGGATCTCGGAGTCCCAGCCGCGACAATGGATCTTTGCAGCTCCCAAACAGGCAGTTGATAAGTCGAAGCGGATCTTGTCCGGCTGAGAATAAGGTTCCTCGATCGTAGACCACTTTCTAAATCCGTGGAGATCGGAATGGTCATCCCTTATAACTTTTGTTACTGTAGGTTTCTCCATTTTTGGGACCACTCATTCCCAGATGTCAATCTCCTCAACTTTGTTCGCCCGCTTTCGGTACTGCATCTCTTATATCATGCTTGCAGCTGCTTGATCCCTGATCTTAGGCTAATTAATGCACACCTTCGCCTGCTTTCGTCCACACGCCCCATTAGGGTCTTGCGCCTTTGCCGTTCGCCATGGCAGATCTTGGCTTTTACAGTGACAAGTCATTTCTCCCTGAACAATGGGCGGAGTTTGGCTTCGGCGTTCTGATTATATTCGTCCGTATGGGTGTCCGGATTCGTACCGTCGGTCTCAGAGGCTTTCAGGGCGATGATTACTTCGCATTTCTGGTAAGATGGGCTTCTCTCGCCTTCCCAGTGTCCAGGAGTATTGAATTTATCCGCTAGGCGATAGCACTCTTAACAATGGATGGTGTAACAGTACACCTCTCATGTAAGAACCGCCATTCCTTTAAAAGTTGGTGTCATCCTTCGCTAAAAGTCCACAAAGACGTACTAGGGACCAATCTAGAAATACCGCACGCTCTACATAATCAACTCACTCCGGAACAATATTCCTCAGTAGTAGCAGGCTCCAAGGCGGAGCTCGCTGCCTGGTACTCTTATACCGCCCTCATTTGGGTTATGAAAGCCAAGATGCTATTTCTATAGTAAGGACTGGCCCTTCTTTCACGTACTCTGCTTCGGCTGGGGAGACTAACGCGAAGTCTCGGGTTTGTGAAATAGCAAGCGCTTAACCCTGGGATTATGGCAGTCTCGGGTCATCAAATGGCTCGCGATCTTATGCGGGATTACCTATCTTGCCGTGTTCCTAACGGTGACTTTTGGCTGCTTTCCGTACGAGCCTTTAAAGACCCTGTTTTCTGCTATAGATCTCTCGGTGCTGACCTCTGGGCCCTAGCATCTCGAACAACTGGAGAGTGTATCCTCCTCCCTCGAGTAAGGAATTGACCCGCTCTGGGGTCTGCATTATGTTAACGTTTGTCTTCCAGAGCAATGTGGGCTTAAGATCCAAAACGTTATAGTCACATGCGTCTTGAATGTCTCGTATGGATATCATCTAACCTCACAAGTATACAATCAAGCTGACCAGTTTTGGGATAGGACCGATTTTGCTTTGTAAGGAAACTACGCGCTCGTGGAATGTATATCCTGTACTTACGTGAGGTCATATCTAGGCTTTTCATTCCAATCCCCCTATTGTGGCGAGTGAAAACATCCTTCTCAAGGTAGTCTACAACCCACTGACATGAAAGCTGGGTCTAGAATGAGAATCAGTGCTGACTTACTCTGCGTATCGCTAGGAAACTCGTCATCGCAGTCTTCCTTAGTTCCGGCATCTTCGTCATCACCGCCTCGATTATCCGAACCTCGCTCACCCTGGTTGCCGAACCGTCTAGTATCACCGTTAACCGATGGGGAATCCGCGAGACCTTTGTCGGGGTCGCGACAGTCAACCTCCCCATTTTGCGCCCGCTATTTACCAAGAGATTCTGGAGACCGGGTTACGTGGAGGAAGGCTCCAGCGGGCACCCATACGGCTACCAAGGAGGATCAGAGTCGTATAACATGACGACACGGACAAAGAAGAGTACCCGGCGAGACAGCATGACGGCGATCAATGAGTCCAGTCAGGATGGCGGCTACGATGTCTATGTGAGCACCAGTTATAACGTGAAGGTTGAGCAGAAGGATACCGGCAAAGCCGAATCCACAGACAGCCAGCAGTTCGGACTCCACCCCAGCAGCGTGTGGGAGATCGATAAGAAGTCGATGGTTTGAACTCGGGCTACGTTTTGGCCTCGTTTCATGTCGGTTACACTAGTGATCGATTGTAAACCATATTATATTAATTTATTATATTTTTTTCCTTCCTTCCTTCCCTTATTTTCCTCCTAAAAAAGTGGATTGGGGTGATAACCTTATACCCCTTTTACATAGACTGGAGTAGATGTAGAGGAAGGATACTTTCAATCGGTAGCTTTATTACTATTTTTTTTAATGTCCATTTGTCTCAAATAATAGATCGGCCAAAATGCCGATCTCACGAATCACTCAAGAAGTGGTAGAGGTAGAATTAATTTTTTCCACAACTGAAACAGGACAGGATCGCGAGCACCGTGGATTAGGGTTACAACGGAGCCAACGTTCAATCGTAAGAGGACACCAGTACTTCATACTCTAGCCGTTCTGTAGCAAGAATGCCTATTGGAAGACTATCTGGTGGAGCCTTGAGTTCATCTTTGAGGTGTATCGAAGAGGGATCTTCCTGTTGGTCCACAAGTCTTGAGATCGGGATCGGCACCGACAAGAGCGCATCGAGGATACGCGTGTGGCCAACCAGGAGACGCAAGTCGCGGTCGGCATGGGAGGATTCCTCATCTAGCTTTTTCTGGCAGACGCGGAGAAGGTTCTGATGACTTCCGTCCATTGATGTGGGTTGCGAGGCCTTATAGAATTTTCACACTCTGCATGATTATTCTGTTGCTTACTCTGCGGGGGATGATCTACCTGCCCCCGTTCTTTTTATAATGATTCTGTACAGTCAGATGCTTTCTTCCATTCAATGCAGGAGAACATCGGAAGTACCGACCGATGCCGGCTAGACCTAGTCGCTCCTGGGATCAGGATATCCGGGTTGACGCTGTCGCCAATGGTTGCTCTCAGAGCTTTCTCCGCAGAACCAAAGGCACTGCGAACTCAAAACCCCAAACGCCAGTTCGAATGGTCTCGCCACTGCCAAACGTTCTAGACGGGAGTAGATGCTCCTAGAGTCCAACCCCAAGGGGGCTTCCCTGACCAGCATGCGCCACTCGGTGGCGTGATTAAAAACCGTTCAACCATGTGCGGTGACTCCGACCTTTGTGCTCGTCTCCCTTATACAAGGCAGCTACCCAGCACTGTATATACATATTCCAAAATGGCCTATCGTAGTAACTTCAACACACTATCACATCGTGTCCCCAGCCTCCTCGCCGTCACCACCAAGCGGCAAGTCCAACCATGCATCTCGTCAAGGTACGCGACAGCCAGATCAATGGCCCTGATGCCCCATATGCACCGAGGCCCCTCCGCCATAAAACGTCTCCTGGATGACTACGATCGCTATCTATCAGGCCATGCCCTTGACCCTCACCCTCGGGCCTACGCGCCGACCTTCGACATGCGAGAATCGAAGGAGGCCTACGAGCTGGAGGGGGAGCTCCCTGGCGTGAAGCAGAGCGACGTCGACATCGAGTACATCGATACGCACACCATCGTTATCAAGGGACACACGGAGCGGGCCTCGCAGTTGGATGAGGGGTCCTGGTGGATATCCGAACGGTCAACGGGGGATTTCCGTCGGTCATTCAGCTTCCCATCCACTGTGGATCCTGAAAATACTCGGGCGCGACTAAGAGATGGGGTGCTTTCGGTGACGATTCCGAAGGTAGGTTCGACTTGGGAGGCGAAGAAGGTGAAGGTGGAGGATGAGTGATGGAGCAGGAGGAATGTAAGCTTGGGATAGTGTTGGGATTGACACTTGAGACACTTTTTCTGCCTGATTCTTTGCTTTGAGGCCATTCTGCGGTTCTTTATAAGTCGATCCCTTCGCTTGCTCTGTTTCTTCCTCGTGGACACCGAAAATGGCCTCGTCGTCAAGGTGGGAGAACTGAAATTTTACACACCGTTCGGAGCTTTGGTGTTTGGGCTTTTCTTTCTTTCTTCTTCTTTTTTTTTTATTTGAATGGGAGTTGATTGAACGGGGGAAAAAGTCGAAGTTTTTATTTTATATTTTATATCCTCTATATAATGAATATCTGAAGTCTATGTTAGAAGAGGTTCAGGTATACTACATGAACATCGAAATGGCCAATGTACTCATCCCTTGCGTCGCAAAAATAATGCAGTTCTGCATATTTGGTCTATATTACAAGTACATGTTTGCTCTCATAGTACAAGAGTTGTGACCCATTTTCTTGTTCTGGTAAATATGACGCCACCGGGTGCTATACAGGCTCATTCCCGGCAAAGCTATCCAGCGCGTAGCGTAAAGCATCTCCCACCCAACGAGAGGCAGGCTAAGGGGATTGTGGTAACAGACACCTTTGGGACTTCCATCTCACGATTTGGGTCATTCCCCTCATGCGACTTGAGCGAATTAACTGGGCGAATTAAAGTTGCGGGCTGAACCCTCCCTCACTTCCCCTATAAAGGGATGAAAGGCGATCTCCTCAAAAGAGGTCGAGGAAATCACCTTCCGGTATTCTACCGGATTAATCAATAGCATACTATAGATGATGGATCTGGCAGAGACAGAGAATACAACTCCAAAGACTCCCTCGACAATTCATCTCCAAGTCCGCGTTCTGGTGGCCATCTGCGCTCTGGTATATGTTGTCACAGCCATCTGGTTGGTAACTGTTCCGATAAACCCTGACGTAGCATAGCATAACACTATGTCATCGGCTGATGATCGTACGCGCAGAACTAATCGTTAAGATCTACTAATAGGATCCTCTTGAGAAGCTACTATATCACCACTCTGCATCTGGACCTTAGCACCATCTTAGACCCGTCCTTCTCGGCGCCCACAGCTACAGAGGAAGAGAGACGACTCAATCTGCTGGAGCGCGTCGCGCCTACTAAGCCATTTAATAGTTGGTGGAGATCCGTACAAACCGAACGAGATCCCCTAAAAGCGTATGACCGAATCTTTGACTGGTAAGTCCATCCCATTCCCGCGTTGATATCTCATGTTGATGAGCCATCGGCATTCGGATTGACAACATCTTAGCGCGATTTGTCTGGAGCCGGTTGCTAAAACTAGCCCGATTCACACTCTGTCATGTCGCCATGTCTTTCATAGCCACTGCTTGGAAACATGGTTCTTGAATTATCATTACACCTGCCCCTTGTGTCAGAAGCCCTTCCATGTGCAGGTGCAAAATCACCCTGATCATGCGGTGTAAGAAGATCTGAATGCAAATACATCTATCTATGATTGAGCAGAAACTATACTACATAGTTCAAACACAGCTCGCATAGCTTATTGTAACTTGAAATACCCCTACACAGCCCATGTGATGTGAATAAGCCCTGGGGGTCAACCTCCCTGTGAATATCTCTCAGCCTCTGCAGATTTGCCTTTCCATAGCCGAGAAAGGGGTCCTGGCCCGGACTTGCATAATTGATATAGAGCCAAGGACGATGTTTTCCGGCATTTTTGGTGGCAGCAGTAGATCTTTCCACCCATTTCCGCGCGAAAGCATTCATCTGAGCATCATCCTGGGCGTTTTCCCATAATGCAGTTAACAGCACAACTACAGTATAGTTAGCATGTGTCTATTTGGCAAACCTGCTACGTTAGAGCGAAGTGGAGGTAATTTTTATATACCGGTCAGTCGTCCATTGGCCGCTATACCGGTAGCACTGCCTCCTCTGTCTTTCTGAGCGCGAATAGCAGCCTCATACAGAGGTTGGATAACCAGATTCGGATAGAACCCAGGACTCTTCTTGATCGACTGTATTTCTTCCGCCATGATACCCTGAAGTTGTCTTTCGAGATCATCGGACGGATAGTAGGTAATAGTAGCGAACAGATTCCTATGACCAGTTAGCTCCAGATCATCGATTTCCACTGCCCACGAATTCATACCGACCACCAGGCGGCGTTGCCGTAGCACCCTCAACACTGAGCCGACTATTCCAGTCGATGCGAACAGTACTCGACTCATACGGGATCTGATTTAGATCCTTAAACGGCGCCGGAGTCAATACCGGGAGGGAATATTCCTGTGAAACCGCAAGAGAGAAATCATCTATCCGTTGGTCGTACCCAAAGCTATAATAAAACGCCATAGCCGTATCATTCTTCCAATCCGTCGTCAGCCAGAAAGCTCCTTTCACGATGACATCCCTTTTATCAGCAGTGTATGTCCTAGATCCACCAAGCATCGGCCCCTGCGGGACAGCCTTCATCGTAAAATGCGTGACAATCCAAAATTATTCATCCCACCCCTCAGCGCAAAGTACAAATCCGGCTGCGTCGCCTGATTCACAATCGCAACAGTACTATTCGGCAAAACGAGCTACATCAAACTGACCCCTCATAGCATTAAATATAACCTGGTGAAACAAGTATATTTTGGCTTACCTCATACTCCAAAACATTGTCCACAGCAAGTTCATACCGAGGCGAGAGATGCGAAACCCCCCGGCTGAGAACGAACCCGGCCAGCCCTACATCCGCGACTCGGCCCCCGAGCGTGGTAAGATTGTACTTTTCCAGGCCGTGGTAGATGCTCAGGAGGGCGTGACCAGCTCCAAGTTTGACTGTCTTTCGATCGGGCGAAGGCTCGATGGCTTTCATCTTTTGCATGTCGATTGTGTTGCCGCTCGCGGAGACGGAGTCGTCTGGGTCTCGGGCGTGGGCGCCGCCTTTTAAGGTGAATCGGCAGGAGATATTGGTTATGGTGTTTAGGGTGGCTGAGACGTTGGCGGGTGAGGAGGGTCGGATCCAGCAGGCCGAGAGGGTTTCTTGTTTTGCATCCCAGACTGTTATGTTGGGGTTACCGGGAAAGTAGGTATTTGGGGGGAATGTGTCTCGCAGAAGGGAACACTGCACTGGGTTAGAAGGCTGTTCACATTGAATGTTAGTGTACGCACAGCTTGGATGCATTCGGGCGAAGTGGGATTGCTTCCTGGATTGGCTATAGCGATGGCTGGGAGGCAGCCCGGGAGAGCCGTGATGAATACCGAATAAAATCCTGCCATTGGTCGTAGGGTATGATTTGTACTAGCAAGATTGACTCGATAAGGCATACCAGGGGGATTCGACAGGCTTATATATCAAGTCACCCCCTATAACACATCTCAGTTAATATGCAACCAGCTTACAATGGAGACCAGGGGTCAATTCCTAGACAGTGTACGTGACGCAGAGGTTAAAATGATGAACATAAGCTATGTTAATGCAACATGCTGATGCTCACATATTGTTGAATCCGAGACTCTTGCGCCATGTGGGTCGATGTAAGCGATATGCAGCGATTATGCAAGGCTAAGAGATATCCAGCGGAGAACAGGGCTTTTCACTACAACAGCAGGATCTCCATTATCTTGACAATCCGTGTGTCCCACCTAGGAAGTATTGTTGACAGGGATAGCCCTTAACGCTAGATAGAGTCTATCAACTTGTCTTTTGCCTACAGGTGTACTTTGCCACTAGCTCAAAGGTTCCAGTTAATAGTATCCATCCAACCCACGCCCTCCATACCCAAAGCCGGACTTGCAATATCGAAACTCAGATCCTGAAAAAAGCCCTGAAAAGGCACATCTGAGGGTCTCCCGGACGAACCATTCACTTCACTATCAGAAAGATACATATCCGTCACATTTCGCCACAATTGTCGAAACGCCAAACTGTATTCCATCACAGCCGGGCTAAGATGCTTATGCGCACTAAAGGCCGACATAGCTTGGTACCAGGAATCTGAAACCATGGGCGCGAAAACATCCGCCCGTAGCATCGCCGCAATCAAGATCTGCGATGCAGCATAGAGATAGAAGACGCGGTACCACCAAGGCAAGATCCCAATGGCGGCGCTTGACCGGTAGTTGTCGCACACTAAGGTGATGAGCTTCTTGGCGCTTTCGACACAAAGCATGGCGCAGCCTTGTAGGATGTGGTCACCCAGTCGGCGGTCGACTGGGGTAGGATGTCCTTCAGCTGGCGAATAACCACGACAAAAGCGGGATAACATGGGCCTGAAGAGTAGTACGCGAGCGTGTGTGAGTCTTGAGCAACGGGAATCAGCAACTACCATTGTGGAATACCTTGTCAAGTAGGAGGCTTTTACATACCAAAGTCGAAATACAATAGATCATTCAGTCGAGCTGTCACCGGTGGGCTATTGGATGAAACTGAACGACGTATATAATTTAGCCAAACGCTCGTCGAACTGCATTGCAACTCCTGGATCGATTTGTTGGGTCAACTGAGACTGACCCAGTCTTGTTGCATCACAACTAGTGTTGAGCGCATGTAGCAGCATTATCTGGCCCGTTAGATCATCGAGCTCTTGCCATATAGAAGATAGATGGATGGCGACTCCATCATGCGCTCTGCTAAATTACGGCCGCCCCGTGGAATACTAATCAACGAGAACGAAGTAACCAACGGGATAGATAAAGCACGTCCAAGAGTCCACGACAAGCTCCTACATTGTGATCAGCAGGAAGATGTTAGACTGTGGGAAGGATAGCTTGTTCAATACCTCTCCATAAACACGGAGTATTGTCAAACCTTTTGTTTCAGCACCCTGTCACTTCTACAGCAGCAAGAGATTGTCGGACAGATGGAGGCCAAGGCTCTGTCCTATCCGCATCGCTGAGTCTAAAGCCATCCAAGTTTGGTGAGCTTGCTTGTACACCGCAGGTACTGCGCTATGAGGAGCAAGCATTGAACAAGTTCAAGTGACCCGGCTTCCCAGAGAATGACCTCCAGACGCAGGACAGAATATGAACGCAAAAAGAATGTGCTGCTAGATTCATTTCTCTGTTCTGGTAGGATAGATCCCTGTAGCTGAGTGAATATTGCACATATGGCGTGCAGAGTACTGATGAAGATCCGTTCATCGCAGCCAACGTCACTTCCCGAGAACAGGGCTTGATAGGAGTGAAAAAAGCGTTCCTAGTCAAGAAGCGGTTCAAAAGGCTCCATATGCCGCCAGTAAAAGATTACCAGTCCATCCGTTTGCTTGCGCGGTGGTAATACATTATCCGCGTGAACGTAACTACCATCGAGGGCTTGTCGAGTGCAAATCGATCCGAACAATGGCGCATCTACCATTGGAATCCGTAAGCACTTTTGGCCGGAAGGGAGCTCAAGTTTTGCATCAATGGCTGCTTGAACATTGGAGACAAAGGCGCCGGGACGGCCGCCGAGCCCAATTCTTGCGTCTTCAACAACATCCTGCTGTGCTGATTCCGCATACGATGAACCGGCAGGAGTCGGCTGACTCGAGGGCACAACACCGGCTTTGTTTTGGGGAGCTAATATGATGCCGTGGGTGTGAGAGCAACGAGTATAGGTACAAGTTTGTCTGAGATCATCCCTTTTTCGACATCTACCACACGCTGCAAACGCGGTTCGTCAGCTCCCGAGGACCTGAGCCCAAATACATAAGGGTATTTCAGCACCTGGACGAACTCCATCACATTTGACTTTGCAGCGACGACAAGTAGCACACGCAACAGCCGCCTTATATCTCCCTGGCAGTACCCTCGGCGCGGGTGGAATATCGGATATCGTCCCGTGAAGACCGTCCAAGTCTGAAGTAATGAGAAGGAGACGTCCCCTTCAACCAACTCATAACCCACAGAGGCCAATAAATTGTCGTTCCGCGCTCCCAAGTTGGCATCCCGAGCGGTTCGAGAAGAATATCGGGGTCTGTAATAAGGAAGCTGAGACGAAACTTTATTAATAGCTAGGTCAGTCACTGATGAGGGAAAGGTCGCTTGGCCATTACCGGCTTTGACGGTGAGTTTGAATTATTAAGCCGAAGGAATGATGCCCAAATATCTCGGGAATAGGAATCGCATGTAAGTGGCTCATCCGTGTAAACTGGACGGAGGGATACAGCTTCTAAACCGAGTGTGGTATAGACTTGGCCCCTCTAGCCCAATTAGCCGCGGGGTTTTCGAGTGAGGTTGGAGTTGCCTTCCAAAGGCATTGAGAGTAGTACAACAAAGACGATATTGTTGGCTAAGAATGTGTAATTGTACGACCCGCTAACGACCTGAGGGGCGAAGCTGCATGGCCTTATACATATAAGCCACGCTCCCACTTCATTTGGGCCTATGGTTCTCACTCAGCGATAATATCCTGTGATTGTCTGTAGCTCTACGCCTCATTTCCTTTCATTTCACAGCCAGTATTATCAATCCAGACAAAACTGCGAGAATGACCGCTAGCTCCTTCCTAGCCCCCAACCGCTACATCACAGATAACAACGATGATGGCGACTCCTTCTTCTCTACTGCATTATCAACCAATATACCAGTTGCCGATGGTATCCCGGGCGTCGTCCAAAGACTCGCATACACCACAGAGCCGCCTCCGGTGCAGCTCAGCGACGAGGCCGACCTCCAGTCCTACCAAAATGCCCTGAACGAGAAGCCCGCTCTGGTGAAATCCAACGGCGGCTCGAACTTCTGGTATCTCGACATGCCTCCAGGCTTGGAAAGCCCCATGCATCGTACCGTGAGCGTGGACATCGTCATCTTGCTGAAAGGGGAACTGGAGCTCACACTGTCGAGCAACGATACCCGTATAATCAAGCCCGGCGATATGGTGCTCCAGAGATCTACGCTGCATAAGTGGAGAAACACGAGTGATACTGAGTGGGTGCGCATATTTGCTGTCATGACTGGATGTCAGCAGGTGAAGACCAAGAACGCTGGGGAGCTTGGCGAGTCGTTCCTAGCTTATTAGTACTAGGCTGGGATCGGCAACTAAACTTCGGTGCATGAGTAGCGCTCATTTTTATTGAGGCTGTTTCGATCGTGGGTCGCTTAGTCTGTCAGAAGCTAGACGACAGTCAGTATTTCTAGGGTACTGACTCGCCCGAAGGTGGGTGTCACTGAAGAAGTTTATGTCTCGGGATAGGTGAATTTCATATATACACATGAATCTTTTTACATCTAGATATGTAGACTGCGATGGTTACCCCCCGCCTTGAGGTACGAGCAGGTTGAATTTTGATCCAGCCTTCTATAAAAACTCGCATTTGGTCCGTAATTGCAGTTTTCCGGCGCGGCACAGAGGCATTGACACTATTGAATACTATATCCTCTTATTGACCATTGCGCTCTCAAGCCGCGATTAAGATGGGTATTCTTGAGCCTACCAGACTCTCAGGGAAACCCAAAGCACCACAACACATACCTGCTCATTTCAGAGTAAGGGTCTCTTTCGAAGCGGCTAAGTCCCCCATCAACTCTCCCAGTTTCAGCGTATCAGCTGCTGTGATGCACATTGCCGTTTTCGACGCAACCTTGCGTAGCTCGTCTCCCTTTGCCAACGTGATACCAGCATGTGGCTTATTGTGCTTTTCAACAGTAGCGCGATAGAGCACAACAGCCTCCAACCACTCGGGCTCAGAGCCGTACATGACAGGAGTCCCTGACACGAGCATCTAAAGCCCCCAGCCAAACGGCGTCGATTTCCGGAACCTCGGTAAGAATAGCATCCAGATTCTGAATAGCCTCTAGTGATTCAATTTGAATTATGACGGCTGCCTGGCCGTTCAGAGGGTATCGGTCAGGCCCGCCAAATATCGGAATGGCGGTGCAGACCTGCTGCCGTTATTCCTTCTGCCGAATTTGACTGCGCTGACGATAGGTTTGGCCTGCTCCACGGTTTCGACGTAAGGAGCCACGATCGAGGCACCAGCACCGAGCGCGTAAGCGATCATGGCCTCGTTGTGCCCCGGCACTCTGGTGGTCCGGTAGGTCAGCCGGGGCAACCTACATTCAAACTGGGAGCAAATGCTGGCGCAACTCACCGCACAAATGGAATTGTGCGTCCGTTGCTCATGAAGGCTGTCTCATGAACCATCTGCGCACAGATGTTAGGATTCCACATAGTTTATGTGGGTGGCATACAATGGTATGTACAATGGACATACCGTAGTCCGTTTCGACGTTCATCGCGCTATGTTCCCAGTCAAACCCCATGGGTGCCAGCCATCGCGTAATAGGTACCGCCAGACCGGCATAGTAGCCGATAAGAGACGGGATCCGCTTCATGTGAGCATCTTGAATTGCCTGGCGAGCCCGATGCGGCTGAAACTGGGATGAAGCCATGTAATCTCTCATATCGCCATATCGGCGGCCGTTGCCAGTATTATGATGGCTCTCTAAGCCTGTCGATCTCGCTGTAGATGTCATTTTTGATTATAGACCCTCGCCCGGCTTACTTTGGAAAGCGATAGGTTTCTATCTTGTGCATTCGGGAAAGGAAATACATATACATAGTCACAAATTAGACTTTGTGGTTAATGGAGAGAATTCGATTATTACCCGACATAGAGGATGAATATGTGGCTTATACCAATATCCATCGCAGAAATGGCGAATAGGTGCTGGAAGTATACTAAGGGGACCGTTTTGTGATGTAGGTCTATCCAAAGGCTCTTCTCTAGTGAACCGAAAAGCATGCTTATGTGAACTTACGCCAAATCGGCATTGTAGTTGGATTAAGGCAACCACCTTCGTATATCCCATGAATTTACATCCAATGAGCCAACTGGCTTTTCTCCTACCTTTCTACCCCATGCAATAAGCCGACCGAGTGACTCCAGTATTGGTTCGCCACCACTATCCCCGCACCGCCATCACGGATGAAAAAGGAACGACCTACGCTGTATTAAACGATAAGACCATACAGACCAAGCCTTCTCTGAAATGACACTCGTATACACCTGATTCAGTGCATGAACAATAAAGAATACTCTGTCCTGATATTGATCCGTGGTTCGGCTGACCCGGACGAATGCGATATGTGCCCAAGTATTAAATATGAGAGCCTTTGCGGGGGAGACAACGAAACGGCTCCCAGTCAACACATATAGCGCATTATTCGAGATTGCGTTTCAGTCAGATGATGCAAGGAGCAATGAAGGGGCTACGGTTCTTGGCGACTGGATTCCGGACAGCCGGGAGCTCACATTCGATCCACAGGAGAGTCAGGTTAGCACGGGTGAATGAGGATTGATGTTGCAAGCGACTTTACGTGAACGTCGTGGAATGAAGGAGTAGGGTAGTCGTGGCTTGAAGAGTGAGAGTGCCAGGGCTATCGCTCACCACTCCTCCTACCAGACTTATCGGTTGTGACGGAGGATGGTTGCGTCCCTCAGGGCTGAAGATGTTCATCCGCAAGCTACCTTGAGTGCCGCGGTGATCACATGTACCTTGTCTTGTGGATAAGAGTCTTGGTGGTAATTATATTTATTCAATAATGCAAGAGAGCCCACGTTCGAGAAGGAGAATAGTCTCGGAATATACGGGCGATCTTGTATCATATCACTAAAGGACTTTGCAATCTCTGACGAGGGCGAAAAGAGGACTTATTCCCCATTTACGACTCTTCATTTCATTCACCTGTCCGTGTTCATGTGCAAGACTACTCTTAAACATGAGCTATATCTGAAGAAATTATACGGCGCCACGATGTCTCTTCTAGGCTGACTAGTTAACCCCAGTTAAATTGGAAATGTCACTATTGATTCCAATGTAGCACGAGAAAGCCTCGCGGTTGGTGACCCGGTCAAAACCAGGGACTCAAAGCCGCACCATGGCTGGCTATTTTCACTAGTCCAACGTTGGATGGAACAGAGAGACATTTGTATGCTTGTGCAGGTCTAGACTGAAGAAGGATCTCGTCTCAATCTTTAGGGTTGACGGCCGGCGTTAGTTCTTTCTAAAAGTGGCCCTCAAGGGTCCGTCGTGGCAGATAGGTGGTACGCCAATATCACTAATCAGAGAATCCTTGTCTTTCGGCTGCTGCCCGTCTGCCGGTGATCCGGGCTCAGGCTGGGATTCTGTCAAGGTCATTATCTAGAAGCGTAGCGTTCGGTGGAAGACGACTGATCATTTCCGGACTCAGCCCGAAGGACCTGGTCCCTGAGAAAGCCCTAGCGGTGGACTGAGCGGAGTGAACAACTATAACAGCCTGTATTAAGAGTTAACCGTGGTGCGATTGGCCGGAAGGAAAAGAAAGAGTGATGGCGAGGCCTAAAAAAGGCCACGGAGATCCACTCCGTCGGTTAAAGAGCCGCGTTGGGTCTTAGTCCGGTGGGGGAGACGAGCTTTTGAACAACCGATAGCATCGGAAGATTTCTACCGGCATGAATTTATGTCTGACATTCAAGCGTTTGCGGTTTGAGGTAAATTATGCCAAGACCAACCCCTTCCCCTGCCCCAATTTCGTTTGATAGTTCGGTAAACTGGGATGCCATACGAACCCTTCCGCAAAAGGTTCCGGGACACTGACAAGGTCTCCATCACCTGTTCTTAAACTGAGACCTGATGGGGCAACGGCGAACTTGCGCAGGGGGCTATGAGATGGGTGTTCAATGCCACGAGTCAAGTGCACAGACACCATTACCGCTTATAAAGTCCGTCTAGGAACGACGACCTGAAGGAGGGTTTTCAGAAGAGAACCGAGACCACGCATTCAGAGCAGGTTGATCGATCATAAACGCAAAATGTATTCCGTTATCCTTCCCATGCTGGCGGCTCTGCTGCTAAGCCCTGTCAACGCAGCCGGGGTCAAGGGCTCGGCCTTCGGATTTGCTCAAGGAACGACGGGAGGAGGAAACGCAAAGCTCCAAACACCTTCCAGTCTCGAAGAGTAAGTTGCAAAATCTGGTGATCAGAAAGAGTCTATCTAATGTAGGAAACAGGTTAAAAAACTGGATCAGTGACGATGTCCCGCGTGTCATCCTCATCGACCGGGAGTGGGATTTCACTGGCACCGAAGGCAAAACCACCGGCAAATGCTGCAGTCAAAAGACGACCACGGAGTGCCCAGGTGGCTCGTCCAAGGGTCAGGCCTGGATTCAGGACAAGTGCGACGATGGTTCCTGGGTTTCTTGCACCTACGACAATGCCGCTAGGAACCCTCTGTCTGTTGGCAGCAACAAGAGTATTGTGGGCGTGGGCAACAAGGGTGTTCTCAAGGGCAAGGGTTTGCGCGTGATGGGTGGCCATAACAATGTCATTATCCAGAACATCCATATCACGGTGGGTCATCACATTATTCTTGCAACAATAAGCTCGTCCCAAAGGCTAATTCTCCGGTAGGATTTGAACCCTCAGTACGTTTGGGGTGGTGATGCTCTCACCCTGGATGGCACTGATAACGTCTGGATTGATCATAACAAGGTATGCTGGCTGGCCTCCTTCCGCGCTTTTCCCCTTTTGAGTCTCGTAAGGCCTCTAACAGTTATTCTCTCTAGTTCTCTCTTATCGGTCGCCAGATGATTGTCAGCGGCTGGAACAAAGGTGGCCACGTTACCATTTCTAATAATGAGTTCGACGGTATCACCGAGTGGTCGGCTGGCTGCAATGGCAAGCACTACTGGTCTCTCCTTCTTCTTGGTCTGGAGGATTGGTATACGTTCTCTGGGAACTGGCTTCATGACCTTTCCGGCCGCGCTCCCCATATGGGCACCGACTACACCAAGTCCAAGATCTATTTCCACGGAGTCAACAACTACTTCCAGAACATCGATGGCCACGCCTTCGACGTGGACACAAACACTTGGCTCCTGTTGGAGGGTAACTATTTCGACAACGTCAAGACCCCAATGACCGACCCCTCTCTCAAGAAGGGCGCTCAGTTGTATACCACCCACACCGTCAACTCCGCCGGCGCCTGTCTCTCGCCTTTGGAATACATCTGCGAATGGAACCGGGAGGGCGGCAGCACTGGCACCTGGCCCGACCGCACAGACCAGTCGGTGCTGAATGCATTCTCCAGCCTCAAGGCTCACCTGATTGGCCACACTGGTGTCGCGGATGTCCCTAACAACGTCAAGGCCCACGCGGGTGTTGGCAAGTTGTAAGCGAGTTCCATGCATTGAATTGATAAGGATGAAGGCGAGCCGGGAACGGTAGTATCATAATTCGTCTTGAGTTGTATCATACTTTCGAACATTAGTTTGTAAATATCTCTTTCTCAACCTCGGGCCTTCTTGAATCAAGAAAAAGACAATCTGCCGAGGTTCGCTTTCGTGAGCAATACCTTTAGGCTTTAGTAGTAACCCATTCACTCTCTCCGCCTTGAGCTTCGTATAACTTAGGTATTGTCGTGATAGGCCTTGTCTGAGAAGCACAGTATTGTGTATAAAGTGTCCTGACGCCAAAGTAATTTACTGCGAATGTGTCCATTCACGCTCTTCTTCTTTACAGGTGGAGACCTCCCACAACCAAGTCCCCACCAGATGTCAGCTTTTGCACAGTTTTGTACGCCATTGACGTAAAGTCTGACTTGCTTCGTAAGATCTGCTCCCCATATTTGCTGGCGGAGGACGTCGGGATAATACGAGAGCGGACCAAAAGTGGATATCTGCAAGTTTTCTGCATTTATCAAATGCCTCCTATAAGGAAAGGTTCTCTCTGTCGCGTAAAATCTGTACCCTAAAGGTCCTCGCTTTACAGTAAGTGTTGTATCTGCGATGATCATCTTGGTTCCCTTGGCCCTCACTACAAGATAGATAACTTGATGGACTAGAAAGGGGTAGACTGTGAGCGAACAGCCTAAAGGCCTTGCCTGAGCCTCCGCCGGTTACAACAATGATTCCATAGCTGAGATCGAAGTTACCGTCCGAGGACATGACGATAGGTAATGGGCCGTTCCAACTCTCATTTATAATTCTGCCTAAAAGGTAATAAACATATGCCATTCCTTGTGGCTCAAGGAATCTAGGCAGGGCAGGCACATCAAAGTCCCTTAAACTTGATTTGGCTGCACTCCTGTCAAAAATGGGACCGTTAGAGGTCTCTAATCACACATCACAGTTTTGCGTCTCTGTCTTTTGGCTTCTTTTTTCGTCAATCTCATTGGCTAGAACACCTCAAATCATCAATTCCGCGGCTTAGTGTTCCGAAACCTAAATGGATCACTCCATAAGATTGCTGGGAAACAATCAATTCCATCCAATTACATGACCTGGATGTTAATCTGGTCATGTTTATAAGTAGGGGTGTCAGTGCATGCTCTTCCTCGAAGGGGGGAGAGTTAAGAAGAGGGCGACGGAGAAATGCGAAAAATCATCCCCCAGAACTGTTTTGTGCAGATCATTCGGGCATCTTTTCGCCCTCTTCGTTACCAGTTCAGAATGGCGAACATCCGAGACCATGTATAGGTCATGCAACTCGTCCGGACAGTGTGCCAGTGGTATCCCGATCCGACTAAGGCCGACGCCCTACTGTAGCAGGGCTAGAACCGTGGGGACGCGGGGACCTCTCCCAGTCAAGATTATCCTGGTGGAGGGTGAAATCGTATTTCCATATGCAGGCGTGGCATGTTGATTTGCTGTAGCGATCATCGCCTAAACCATTATGCCAATCATAGCCATCGCTAAGACCCCGATGATCAACCGCCAACCTTCTCCATAGAGACATACAGTACCCTACCTTGCATATGCTGCGTATTAAGTGTGGGACCTATTTAGTCATAAGTTGGGGTGAACACGATGTATGCCATATGTAGCTATGTATAATCCTTTCGCATGACTCGCGTCTAGATGGGCCCTCCTGTGCTAGTAACCTATGCAATATGGCGTCGGTCTCCGTTGCGTTGCTTCCAATTGGGAGACTGAATGAGGAGGGGTCAAACTAGTATCAGCATTTTTAAAGAACGAGGACTTGACAAAAGTACTACCTCTAAGCCCACGCGATATGATAGGACCTTAGGGGCTCTGGAAGTATGCAAGCCACAGCACGGCCCGCTTCGGAGCTTGCTCTTTGTATCGAGCTTAGCGTGATAATCCTCAACTGCTGTGGATATCTCTTTCACCTTCCTGGTAGGTAGATTCTCATTCCGCAACGGAGGTGCTCTCGTGCAGCGTGCACCCATAGCTTGCTATTGATTTGTAGGAGTACAGTTGTTCAATATTCAGGCATAGTAAACATTACAAATCATGGTTTCTTTGGTTTCTCGACCGTACCTATGTAACACGCAATTTAGGACTCTCCACACTCTGTCATTAGCGTTTGCCCGGAGGGCTGATAGTCTAGGACTGTATACTCCTTAATTCGCACCGATCTGGCCAACCTGCGCCCCACCTATGGCACGGACATGATATCATTATGTGGTGGATACCCATTGGATTCGGGGTTATTGTGAGTCGACCATCCCCCGGAAATACAAGCTGCGGGCTTTAAACGAATGGAAACAAGCACTTCCCTTCCAGGATAGGGACAGTGAAATTAAATTTGAGGCATGTGTATCTGAGCGCTGGAGAGGTTCCATGCCCTCATTTCTCTAAATATTGTGCACAGGTCTTTATCCCACCATATACCTCACACGGTGTGTTGTATATACGGAGTATCAGTTTAAAGCTTGGGCCTATCAATCGCACGACAATGCAGATTCCGGACCAAGTAGGGTTACATTAAATCTGCAGATATTCTCGTTAAATTATTAAGGATTATGTGGGTAATTTTCCTTTGCCAATCATACCAAGCCAGCTAAGGTGGAGTGCAGGAGGAAGGCATGCAGCCTGGCATATGATACACTCAACAAATTCCCAATACGGTAGTGTAGATTCTGTTGACGATATATTAACCATCCAGAAGGCAAAAATAGGGTCGAAATAGTCGTCGTATTGGGCATATCTGCAGAGGCACGAACGAACAGCACTAACATGACGGCCCAACCCATTGCTGCACTGGTTTGCATATAAGCCGCGCGTAGAATATGGAGGGATACAAATATTGACTAGACCCCTTGGTTTCCTCTAGCATCTTTGCTCTCAAGAGGTAGTAGTCTCAACACAGCCAAGCGTCATTATCAGGTCCTTCGGAAACACCGTAAGACCCTCACTTAGTATGGCAAACCAAGAGTCCTACGCTATTACAGGTATTCCTGTCGAGTCAGGCGCATTCATTCCAGTCCGCCGCGAAGTAGACGAATGGTACAATGACAACAGCCGGCAAGCCCAGGTCCAAGTGTCCCTTTTCATTCTGGCATTACAGCGGTTCCAGAATATTAGCTACAAGGATAAACTTTCCTATTTCCAGATTGCTGGTTAGTCTCGCGAACCTAGAGGCTGATAATACATTCCATAACTGACGATGACCTTGTAGGTATCCACCACGAGCCTGTTGTAACATGGGACGAGAAGGATCCTCCCAAGCCCAATCCAAATGGTGGGTACTGCGTACACAATAACGTTACGTTTCCTACATGGCATCGACCATACATGCTCGTGTACGAGGTGAGTCGTCTTGTGTTTCGTTTTTCAAACCGACCTGGACTTTTCTCTAATTACCTCTCAGCAACGCCTTTACGAGCTCATGCGAGTCATTGTCAAAGAAACAGTGCCCGCGGAACACAAGCCAGAATGGGAAAAAGTGGCTTCACAGTGGCGACTCCCATACTGGGACTTCGCGAAAGGCATCATAGATTCTAGGACAAGGACACTAGGCGTGCCAGTTCTCTGCACGAAGGACATGGTTGAAATTCTAGACCCGTCGAAGCCGCTATCGACAATCACTGTCCCCAATCCTGTCTACAAGTTTACAGCTGAAACCCTAATGGGAGAGTTAGACGATCCTTTCAAGATTCCGCCGGAAGAGATAGACGACACTGGAAAGAACTTCTACCCAGTACGCCCCTACTTCGTTTTATCTTTGTTCGCTCGCTAATTGGTAACAGTGGGATAAATGCAAATCCACCACGAAGTATGGCTTGATGAAGGATTCAGCAAGCACCGAAGACGCTGGGCAAGATGTGAAGAAAAGCAACCTGGCCCTGAACGTACACCCCTGGTATAGGGACAATAAGGCCCCTTATGATCCTCTGGAGTCCCTGACCTATGAAGTTCATCGCCTGTTCTCATTCAAGTTTAGTAACTGGGGCGCATTTGCATCCACAAAATACTTCAACCGGGATAATCCACGCAAAATTCCCGCAGCACAGACGATGGATATACTGTCCCTTGAGTTTATTCACAACAACGTTCATGTAAGTCTCTCTAAGTCACTGGTAGGAAGATCCGCATTGACAGGATGTGTCGTAGAATTGGGTTGGGGGTACAGACTATCTTCGTTCGGGAGACGAGAGGTTCTGGGGAGCAGGGCATATGAGTAGTATCGGTGTGGCATCGTTCGATCCAATCTTCTACCTGTATCACTGGTGAGTACACACTCGTTGTCAAAGTGGAAGGAAGGAACAATCGTTGATCATATCTAGCAATGTTGATCGGCTTACCGCTATCTGGCAAGTTCTGAACCCAGACCACTGGTTTGACAAACCCCAGCAAGGCGACCCTTTACCAGTAGATGCTCTCACACCATTCCATGTGGATACTAAATATAAGTACTTCACATCAAACGACACCCAGTCATGGCGTAAGCTTGGATATGACTATGACACAGTGAAGCAGCCAGGAACAAACAAGGATCGGTCCATTTCAGAGGTCAAGAAACTAATTAATGAGCTCTACGGCCAGCCTGCCCTCGACGTATTTGGAGATGATGCGAGAGCCCAGGACGACTACGTGATCAACGTGGTTTATGATCGGTATGCGATGATCAAGGCACCTAGTCTCGTTCCGCGTATATGAAAGCTGACATGGCATAGATATGCCCTCAACGGCATCCCGTACACAATTGTATTTTATTTTGAATTCGAAAAGTTCCGTAAAATTGTCGGTGGGGTCTACAACTTTAGTACTAAGTTGCGAAGCACTCATGAAGGAGGTTGTGACAACTGTGTGAAGCAAAAGAATGAAGGTGTCCTATCCGCAGCGCAAGTCTCATTGACCTACACCCTACATAAGGGTAAGGAGTGGCATGGTTTCAACAGCCTGAAGCCTGAAAATATTGTTCCCTTGATCCGAAACCGCTTGCGCTGGGTTATTCTAGGTAATGATAATACCGTGAAGTTCGAGGTGAGTTCTATATATCCTACTCCACTCCTCTTGATATATGGTACTAATGAAGACTGTCATTTTGATCTAGTCCCATGGACCGCCAGCAGCTTATCCGACGTGGGAGTCGTTAAAGGTCATTCCTTCACACGGAACGATCTCATATCCGACTAGAGACGGCAAGTTCGAGTTAGGAGATCTCCCAAGCTACGGGCACTATGATCATATCGATTTGGCCTAATCAGTGGCTGGGTTTGGAAGACTAAGCTTGTTACATCCATTGTCCAACTCACTACCAAGTAGCAGTGTTCATATTTTGCTCTTTGGGATCATTGCGCTAGCTAGGGCCTTTACTCTGTACGGTCCCCCGATTTTCTGTCCAGTTCAGTGACTGTACCTCAATATTTCGTCGTCCATAGTTGCATTCATGCATCCTTTGCCTGCTCAATTACCTAGCCATTAATCACCTTCCCACCATATATTAGATATCGTCTTTCCATGTAACGTGGTTAGCCTTCGATGGTAAGTTAACGACAATGAACATAGAAGTAATAGCTACATCGCGTAGCTTTTTAATCGAATTGCCTATAGTATGGTTACGGTTCAGTTTTATGGGTAAGGACCGCGATAGCTAACACGGATCGGGACGAAGAAAGACTCCATGCAAGGCGGAAACTCCAGCCTCTTACAGGTTCAGTTGGACTCACTGCGGCAGGAAAATCCGAGAACAACTCTTCTCTGGCCAGTCTATGGTCAGATACCCTTTCCAAGGGGCCCATGGTCAGGCGCCTATTGATCTCGCTTCCTTGTCGACCCCCTACCAGAGTTATTTGCACTTCCAATCGTTTCAGGCGACTCCTGGGCCACCCATGTCGGACGTCTGGGGATTAACATAGGCGTCTGGGATCAGACATATGGATCTATACACATTGCCTATTCATGGAGGTTGACCGAACATGTTCGAATGTATTGCGTATAAAAAGAGGTCATTTTGGAGGGTTACCTCTGGCATCAGGTTTAAGAGCCAAAGGAAAAGCCTTCGTATCATTGACAACCCAGCACTTTTCAGGTAGTTGTTAAACCCCAACGCAATGCATCATCTCTCTATTGCCATTTTTCTCCTCTAAGCTTCGGCCTGTCTCACAGCAGCCTGGAATGCGGCCGCCTGCTCGAACACTGACTGCACGAGCTATCTTACTTTACTCGCTAGCGAAACGGCCTATGGCTGCGTTTAGCTTGTCGGTATCGACGGGACCAAGTCGATGAAGGCCAGCGATGTTCCCGAAGGTTGGACATTTATCGCAGGAAGCGGAACCAGTTGAGACAAATTCCGTTAGTCTAGAGGCGGGAGATGCTATAGACAGGGACAAGGGTTCCAGTCTTTCAGCTTTCCATGTACCCCCTAGCTGATGCACCAGGTGTGTAGTGCGAGATGTAAGACTGGGCTCTGATTACCGTATGTGAGGGACGAGAAACGTATCTCCGCCCGGTTCGAAGGCCAAAATAAGGTGCATAGTTACCTCCTTTGGGGACCGTAGGCTATCGGCAAATTGTGGCTCTTGCGGTTGAAACGTCAATGCAGGACGATGAATAAGCATGGTTGCCAGTTCCCCTAAAACGAAGAGCCATAAATAGGTAAAGTCGGGGCAGCTTATAAATTTACGTGCAACGGCAGGCCCTTGAACTGTAAAAGAAAGGAAAGCTGGGACCGCGATAGGCGGTCGCCACGAACCGGAACCGAGTCTTAATCTTGTTAAACCCAACTTGGTCCAAGCCTGCAGAACGTATCCGAGAGAGATGAAGCGTCCGTCCAGAACGACATGCTTTCCACGGTTTGGCCGAGCTTGAAAATTCACTTTGCCAGGTCGGCACTGTACCACTCAGCATTCCAACACCGGCACCTAGAATGGCTCGACGGATAATGAGCTGGGCGAGGTGGAACGATGATTCTTCTAGGACCTTCCGCACGATGATGAGGATGGCCCAGTTGAATATTACTGGACGGCACCCAAACCTGTCACTGGTGTAGGAACAAGAAAGGCATCCGATGAGCGCTCCTAGGGTGAAGGTTGCTACCACGATACGCTGTATCTTAACACTTGGGCTCTTCTCTTCTCCTTCAGTGTGAACTGTGCCTATTCGAGGGAAGCGGTGTGTGAAATCTGTCACTGAAACCCATCCACCAAGATTAGGTTGGTTGCATCCGAATACAATGGAAGCAGGGCATTGATCATAAGAAGCTGGGCTAGCGTAAGAGCACTTCCACGAAGGCCCATGATTAACGGCGGTGACTCCATTGACTATACTTTGGACTGGCACATCACGCGATAGTATAGTGTAGTAAGGAAGGATGTGGGAGCTGCTTGCTACGGAATCAGATATTGATATTTTTATACTGCATCCTATCCATTTCCATCATTTCTGCAGCTGCTGAGACATCAGCTGAACAGAGGTACGTTTTCTGGGGTCGGGATAGAGGTCTAATCCGGAGGCTCGCAAGAGTTATGTCTGTAATACGCCTTAAACCCGTCTTATTTTGACACCGGTGCTAGGGCTGACGCATGGCCGTAAGCCCTGGGGACGTGGAGACCTTCGGTTTATGGTCCTATCACGTGGGATAGCTCTTTGGTACGTAAGATACATACTCATCCAAGCCTACTCTCCGTCTGTTTCAACTACTTGTCCTTTGTTGACTCATTTCTAGCTAAAGTTCCATATTCAAGTGACGGATTCAGGGATATCGTTTATTGTGGTTCCATTTAAGTTAACCATCTCTCAACAATTCTAACGCACAACCCACATATGCCCACCTAGCCCCCAGTGACCCTTTTCAGGACGTCGTCATCTACCATGAGTTGACTGGAGCCAAGATAGTTCAGTGGACCGCCAGCGTGCTCCCATCTAAATTCTCCGATGCCTCCGTGCTTTCCTTCAATACATCGAGCAGGATTCGATCTTGCTCGCTAGCAGATTTACACGCCTCGTAGACCACGTCGTGTGCTCGTTGTCTGCCGACAAAACGGCGCCAGCCCCATCATTACTGTCTCACCGACGATCAGGCCCCTCGCGGAGTGGAGATTCTTCTTCAGGGAGTTGTCCTTGACACATAGCCCGGAAAGGGCAAAGATAGTCTGGTGTAATGCGCCAAGCACATATGTGGAAGACTCAGGAATTGCCATCCACTCTAAATGCCACGGCCCAGACGCACAATTAAAGTCGACAACCATAGCATCCAATCCCAAGAATGCGCTATCTCGGGGCAGCTTGCTGTAGCAAGAATAATTTCGCTGGAGATGGGATCACGCTTTTGTGGCATGGGTAATGACGCACCTCCGAACGGCGCGGCCACCTCATCCGGTTCATTTGATGAAATGAGGATTATATCGAGAGCGATCTTACCCAAAGTACCGTCTACGACGGCCAGGAAGTTCAGGATCTCTGCGATGTTATCCCGTGCGACATGCCATGTTATCATGGGGTCTTCCAAGCCAAGCTCCTTGGCTAATTGTGCCCGCACGCGAATGCCAGTCCTATCCCTACCCAAAGAGGCGAGAGTATCCGCTGCCCCACCAAACCGCACAAGCAGACACCGCTGTTCGATTTCGCAAATCCGTTCCCTACGTGTAAGAATGCTGGAGAGATAAAACGGCGCACTTGTAGCCAAAGGTACAAGGAAGGACATGCTGCAGGTGGGTTCGGCCGGCCATAGGACTAGATAACAGATTACCAGCGCCATGCGATGTTCCTTCACGAACTGCAATCGAAGCTCGACTCACGTATCGCGGTATCTCTCTACCAAGACTTGCAGAATGTCAATGAGCTTCTCCAGTTCCTACTTCACCAACTGCAACCCTCGTTCCGTCTGAAGCATGCTGGCATCGGTCTTAATGTCTTGCGTGCTAGCGCCCCAATGGATGTATTTTGACAGTTCCTCCCGCGTGTTCTCTACCAATTGCATCACCAAGGGTAGAACGGGATATCCGACAATTTGGGTTTCTCGCGATAGCCTGTCAAAGCTGTTTTATCATTTTTCGTCAGTGCGTGGTCGGGGAAATCTGAAGACGTGAACATTCACATACTCTAGTTCAACTTTGCCAAGAACTACGATTATCGCATCTCCAACTTCTGGCGGAGTAGCTTCGACTTTGGACTCGGCTCGCGCCAAAGCCGCCTCCGTCTGTACAAGGAAGTTTGCATATGTCTCATCTGTGAAGGTATCCCGAACCTCTTCTGTGCCGAAAAGGGGTTCGAAACATTCGGCAGTCCAGGGCCGAGATAGACACCACAAAGGAAACAATAACTTCCGGCAAAGAGCTCAGGTGAGCATAGAATGAGTAGAAGTCAGAAAAAATAAGTCTAGGTTTATTAGGAACTAGATCTATTAATCGGAAGTTGGCTTCAATTGTTCCGGATTTTGCGTCATTTGGAGAGCCTGGAATAGGGCCTTATCCCAAGGAATCACCGATGCTCCGCACTTCATCTGTGAAGAGCGTGGTGTTATTGCATTTATCTACAATATCCCTATGAAAGATTATGTGTGTGTGTGTGTGTGTGTGTGACGGGGCAGGGGGGGCAGTCGATCTCACTAACATTAGTTATCAAGCCCCTACCATTTTTTATGCTGCCAGTCTGTGAGTGCAAGGTGATTTCTTAGTTTCTTCGTTTATTTTCGTGCTTTCTTCCTCTCGTTTCCATAATTATGCAGTATTATATTCAAGAGAGCATGGGTTTTCGAAACTCTTGTCGACCTGTACCTACTTTGAGAACACGGCATTCTCATGGATCCCCTATGATCACTATGAATGCTACTATGGGATAAGGGTTGCTTCAGTAATTGTAGTTATATGGAGTAGTCACCATATCTTCCAGCGCGGGCTGATGCTCCTCTATGACCGATGATTCCAAGGCTCAATCCAATTGCACCAGAAATTTCCCCCGAGGTGGTCCATACAGTTGTAACTCTTCTTTCCAGATCAGCTGTGCTTCTAAACGAGAGCGAGAGCTATGAGAAAACGAGGTCTGGCTCAACAGCGGACACTGTAGAATGTCTTCGGCAAGCAGCTTCCTACCTTCATCTTATAGTCGAACAATGGGAGAGCCGCCCGACCCAAGCTTCATGGAACACCACATTGCGGAACCCAGCACGATAATCGGCGGCCCTCATTCCACGGCTGATATCGTACAACCAACATCATTTCCGACCTACAGACCTTCTTTATGGGCGCCCTTATCTATTGATGAGATCAATCAAATGGAGGAATTTGAGTTTACAAACCCTTTCCTATTTCCTTAGGAGGGATGATGACCTGGGACGGAGCAGACCATTTTTCTGCGACGAGAGCGTGCCTTAATATTTTCAGGCTGTCAATTAGAAAGACTTTGCTAACCTTACCAGAGACTAAACAAACCTTCAATCCACCAAATCAAGCGGACCACTAGACCCCTACAACGGTTATGCCACAGCCATGGAATGGAACTAGACCGTCTAAATCACTCATACAGTGCCCGTATTGCTATCGTCTCTATTCCAAAGGAGGCCATTGTCTCGACTACACTCTCTTCCAGGCAATGTTGGGGAACTTTTACCATGAATTGTGGGCGCTATCTCGGCCGCGACAACAAGACCAACAACAACAGGCCGGCTTTAGAAAGGGCTCTAGAGCAACCCAGCCCTTTGCGGCAGCCCTACTTTGGCTTGAGGCGTCCCTCAATAAACAAAACATATCACAAAAAAGCGCCAAGACCCAGCTACTCCCACGTGTAACGTATATACTATGGAATTAATTAGATTAATATGGTAGGTATAGGGATTGTTCCACGGATAACTACGGAAAATTGCATATAGTACGCCGTACCACATTGGGAATTGTTGCCGCGAGCAGGGATGAGGCAAGGTGCTTTGACCGTTGGTCTATATTGCTTAGTTGATTATTTTAGTGCTCTTTGAGGATACCACCTGCCCGACATGTCTTAGTCCTCTCCTAGCCCTATCCTAACCCTATCTTAGTCGTCTCATAATCCAGCCATACTAGACAGGGATCTGACCAGGATTAAATCCATGAATTGTTGACAATGGCGAATTTTACGCACTAGTCTTACGCGTCGTCCCATTCCGTACTTTTGTTGTTCTCTCTCTTGGATCTCGTATGTAGCAATGGGCCAATTGGCTTTCGAACAATGGACCGACTCCCGGTCGTGAGATTCAGTTGGAGCTCCCGTAGGCAGGAAAACATAGGAAAAGCATATCGCCCTAAATGCGTAAGGCCGAGAGGGAAAAAAAGGAAAAAAGGAAAAAAGGAACTATATATACCATTCAAAGTTTTCTACCACTAGACCTAGTACTACTAGTCAATGTCCACCATCGTAAATGGCAAAGTGGCGAAGGACGGAGGCGACTCCTCCACAAGAGGTATGTATATATGAACCTTACACGTAGTTGACAATTCTCCAGATCCAGATCATAATGTTCTCAGGACGCTATAAAGTGTGTCATCACAAATAATTATTCGTTTTGCGATTTTAAAAGCCCGATGTACAGATTTGCGGGACAAATAGAATAGTCATTTTACTGGATGCATCTCGTACGACTCCTCCAAAATCCACTGTCGGGTCTCATGGATGATCAACTGTCGCGAATTCTGGCTTTCGTGGGATAGTCGCGTCCCAGCTAGATCAAGGTCCTGATCGCCTCTTGAGGTATTCGGACCTCGGGCTTGTGAGGCGTGCTCCGATCCACTCGTAGCTGATTGTTTATAGTATGAGGTCCCCTTTTTGTTTGCGACACCTTGGCCCCAGCCTGTATTGAACGCGATTATGAATGGTTTGAGGCAGGGGATCGTCGCTATCATAATGCTACAATGGAGGAGCACTATCGTCACGGTCAGGCTATCGGAGAGATGCAACGGCGCGTCGGAACGGAAGAGCTCGTCGTTCAGAAAGGTTTGACGGACGATGGCTAGGACAATTATTCTGCGACAGGTCCACAACTTGGGTTAATTCAGGGCTGAAGGTATGGGGGACGCGACGTACGAGGCCCGAGTTCCAAAGGCAAATATGACTGTTGCCTTGTCTTTGCGACGCATTTGGATGCTCCAAACTAGGGCAACACTTAGGGTAATCAGAAAAGCCTCGATGATTATATCGAACGCGGTGACTGCCTTCCAAGCGATGTTCTATAACTACGAGTTAAGCCGGACTTTATCTGCCCGAGTAGTGAGGGTTCAACGTACCAAGTTGTGACAATGGTCCATAATAGACCATTGGTATTTGGCGGCACAGCTGACCGTTGTGGCCACCATCGAGGCGATCACCCATAGTGCCGTGGACACCAAAACCATATTGCAGCCAAGTAGGTATACTTTCTCCCGACCTAGTCGTCGCAAAAGGAAACCCACGGAAGCTTTTGCAGCTCCGTGGCCTGCCAGAAAGAGAACATTGGCGGCGTAGAGCGCCTAGCGTACGGTGGGTAATGTTATGAACGTTTGTCGATACCTAGTTTGAAGGAGGAGTTGCATTACCTGTCCAGCGCGCCCCAAATCCGATGCGGATATTTCACTTTGGGTTCTTCCCAACCCGTGCGAGACTCCATGCATAATTGTTCCCACGTGGGCTATCCCAAAGGCCTGGTGTCAGGAGGCGTAGTGAGCATCAATTGCCCACTGCTGTATTCGCAAGGACTGACTTACACCTCCTGCAAATGCTGCGATGTCATCCACCCTAACAGGGCCATTGATTGTCAGTCGCATGTACAGACGGATCAAACAGACCATGATCATCCATGACATGAACATTGTCTCGACGATGACGAGCATGCCGCTCCGATCGGTGGATGTTATTACATATGGGATGTACTCGCCCATATCGACTGGTTCCCTTTGCACGAGTGAGACATATCCGATCGGAAAAGTGAGATGTCGACAAGGAGAACGTGCTGACTGTACTTAAATGCCATAACTCGCCCTGGGATCCTAAGACCGATCAAAGATCGATAAGATGCAGGGATTCCTATTCCTTCCTTTTTCCCCCTTCCCCGTCCCACGATGATTTATCCGCTTATGCACGGTCTTGAAAGGATTCGACGACGAGACCATTTCTAGTGGAAGGTGGAGAGGGAAAGAAATTTTGTTACATCCATCGGTCGCTTCTAGCCTCCAATCCTCGTGGCTACCAATCATCTCCGAGACATAAGCACGCTTGGCCAGGGCTTGGTAAACCAGGGGGTGGGGAAGGCGTGGAAATCTCCAAGACACTAGGTGCAGGGGCGCAATTTATATCCTGGATAGCGTTGCACCACCACTCATTTAGCTGGCGTAGTATTCATCATCTTAGCGTGTCAACCCTTGTCTAGACTCAAAATTCCGGTTTAATGCAACAATTCCCCCATACACTTCATCTACTCCCACCCTGGCGTATTTCCTCAAGGTTGCCTCTTTCTCTCCTCCTTCTACCATCCACGCTCTCTACTTGGTACATTTTCCTCTGCCACGGTAAAGTGCAAAGTGTATTCACGATGTGGAAAGGGGAGTCAGTTACGGCGGAGGCGTATCCCACTGCTCAGGACGATGGCGTATCCGCAAGAGGTGGAACAGTGCAGGATCGCAAAGATATGTGGCGGGTGGGTAGAGATCAGGAGTTGAACGTGAGTACAGACAAAAGAAGACTATGCAAGGTTTGTGGCACTCTCGTTGACTAATCGGATGTAGAGAAACTTTCGATTTCTATCGGTTCTGGGATTTACAGCGGTGCTGATGTGCACCTGGGAAGCAGTTCTCTTGTCCGTGATGCCTCAACCATCCACGTTTCGTGTGGAAACATGATAATTAGCTGACCGATATGTAGTGGTTCATCCTATGGTCTTACCGATGGCGGCAAAGGGGGTATGATCTATACTTATATCGGTGGCTTGTTTGGATTTAGTTTCGTGATCCTGTCCATGGCTGAAATGGCGTCCATGTCGGTATATCCGAGTCCACTCGTCTTCTTCAAGTAGCTGATTTGTTCTAGGGCCCCAACATCCGGCGGTCAGTATCACTGGGTGTCAGAATTTGCTCCCCCAAGCTGCCAGTGTATCTTGAGTTATATTACTGGCTGGGTCTGTGTCCTCGGATGGCATACGGGCATCGCAGGATGCTCCTATACTGTGGCCAATATGATGGTGGGCATCATTGCGATCAACTATCCCGACTCATACACCTACCAGCCATGGCATGTTACACTGCTGGTTATCGCAGTGGCATTCGTTGCGCTACTTTTCAATACCCTTCTAGCACAGAAGTTGCCCTTAATTGAGGGTATTATTCTTGTAATCCATTGCTTCGGCTTCTTTGGGATCCTCATTCCTCTATGGGTTTTATCGCCAAGGCCATCGGCTGCAGAGGTATTCAGCTCTATTGAAGATCGTGGAGGATGGGGCTCTAATGGTCTATCCTGCTTAGTCGGGATAGTTGGGCCAGTCTATGCCTTGATAGGTACGTTCTCGTCACCATCAATCCCACTTCGAGAATCATACTAACATCGCATGTCTCCTAAAGGCCCTGATTCCGCCGTTCATATGTGTACGTGTTGCCCCTATTTGATCCCGTTATTCCAGTATGCGAATGAAACGATGCTAACAGAAAATAGCTGAGGAAATCCGTGACGCTTCTCGGGTTCTTCCCCTCGGCATGATCTGGACCCTGATTCTCAACGGCTCCACGGGCTTAGTTATGATCATCACCTTTGCCTTCTGTATCGGCGATATCGACGAGGTTATGGCATCTCAGACTGGCTTTGCCTTCATCCAAGTCTTCCTTAACTCGACCGGTTCTGTTAAGGCTGCGACAGGCATGACTGTTGTGATTATGGCCATGCAATTCTGCGCCGCTATCAGTAACGTAGCTACCACTTCACGACAGGTCTACGCTTTTGCACGAGACAAAGGGCTTCCATTCTCTGATTTCTTCGCTAAGGTTCGACTTGATGAGCCTCCTGTTCCAGGATAGTACTAACTATACATCAGGTCAACCCGACATTCACGGTTCCACTAAATGCCCTATGCGCAAGTCTAGTCATTGTCTCACTGCTCGCTCTCATCAACATCGGCTCCTCTGTTGCCTTCAACGCCATCATGTCGCTTGGTGTTGCAGCTCTTCTCTCCTCATATATCATCTCTATTTCCTGCGTCCGCCTCCGTCGCTGGCGCAACCAACCTTTACCACCTGCCCGATGGAGTATGGGGAAGCTCACCCCGTTCATCGACACCGTCTCTCTTCTGGTTCTGGCAATCTCGTGGACCTTTAGCTTCTTCCCTCTCACCAGGGAGGTGGACACAACTACCATGAACTGGGCTGTCGTCATCTTCGTTGGCGTTGTTATGGTCTCTCTGATGTATTACTTCATGCACGCTAGGAAGGTTTACAAGGGCCCGGTTGTGAGGGTAAATGTCATGGGATAGTCGAGATTTACCCGCTGTATATAGAATGCTGGTTCATATTGTTTCATGTTAGGCAGTAAAAGTTTCTTCTTCTTTTCTCAATTCAATTTAATACTACCTTTGGTCCTATAGATCAAATCTTAAGCAAACCAGGGCAACGGAACAAGCAATACTACGAATATGACGATCTGGTGGAATCATACCTGGAGGCTGGAAACCAAGCAAGAGACCGAACGGGCCGCAGCCTTCGGTCCACCCGAGTAAGGGAGCAAATATGGCTCATATCGAAGGTTTCCTTGCAACTCGTGATATACCTACCTCTACTTAAAGGACGCCGATAGCTTACGCTGTCTTTTCTTCTATATAGAGATACACCACCTCAAACGACTTCTTTTCATTCTCCCCATCTCTAACCGCCTCCCCACCGCAATCCTACACTATGACCCTCTTTGACGTCCTCGTAATCTGTGGCGGCCCAGCCAGTCTCTCTGTAGTCACCGGCCTCTCCCGCCAATTACACCGAGCCCGTCCTCTACCACTCAGGCATGTACCGCAATGCACTAACCGAGCGCATGCACGACGTGACCAGGTGGGATCACAAGTCCGCCGAGGAATGTGAGCGTCGCGAACGATATCCTCTCCCGCTACGACACAATTCAATTCGACACCGAGGCAAAACAAGTGGAAAAGATTGTCGATGGTTATTCCATAACCTTCGATGCCCATAACCGGTTTTAGACCGGTCACAAGTTAGCTCTTGTCACCGGTGTTTAGGACAATTTCCCCAATATTGATGGTCTGCGGGTTATTGGGCGACGGGGATGTATGTGTAGCCCTTTCCTGTGTCCGAATGGTATTTAGTGGTTAATTTGCGGGGGCATCTTTCACTGTCTCTTCTGTCATGGTTTTGAGGAACGGGGCTGTGCATCGGCTGGTGTCCTGGTTATTGGGGATATAGGCAAAATAGCGCCTGCTATGCATGTGGCGTGTAGGGTGAGATGATTTACGGATTCGGTGACCATCTACACGCATGGTGTCGAGGAACTAGGTCAAGTGTTTGAGAACGCTGAAGGAGCGGGCATTAAGGTCGATAAACGACCTATTTTGCGGCTAGTCAAGCGGGCAAGTAAGTCAGAGGTACACATTGTCTTTGAGGACAGCACGAAAAACAGAAGGCTTCCTGATAAGTAGCATATCCAAGCCGAAGTAAATATAGTAACTAATGTGTCTAGTCGCACAAACCCAAAACCCAGGTCAATGGGCCCTTCGCGGAACAGCTAGGTTTAGATCTTACCCCAGATGGGGATATCAAGACCACCGAGCCTTTCTACAGCACTTCTGTATCCGGTGGATTTGCTGTCGGAGATTGCGCTGGTCTTATAAGGCTGTGGTAACGGCCATGTCAAGCGGGAGACTTTGGCAGCAGGGGGATTGGCTAGACAGTTACAGGTGGAGCCTTAGGCATCTAAGAAAGTGGAGTAAGATATTAGAGTGGTAGTTATATCCTGGTTATATCAGGTTGCCGCTGAGGCCATAAATTTCAATGAGGATGTACTGGACGGATATCAATTTTTCCTTTTCCTTCTGTTTTTTAGTGTCTTTCAAGGAAAAGATCGTCCAAACTCATTACTCCGCTCGTCTATGTTGTCCGAGTGACCACGGACATTATCCGGCGCTAAAATCGATTAAATGCTCCTTGCGGGAGAATCTCGGAGACTTCCGTGAGTGCCTTTTTACGGGGTTTTTGGAGCAAGCCATGGTGATTGCGTGTAGCGGACCGAATGCAAGAAATAGAAATCCAAATTCAATGTCGAAGGGTATATCCTAATTTCCTCGGATTCATGGATCGCTAAGCGTTGATATTGCATCTGATTCCACAGCAAAATATATATTCCGCACCACAGTGTCGTAATGTAACTCATGGTAACTGGTTACTGTCTATACCCCTTCCTATTAGTATTCTTTATTGCTATCTCTAGTTTTAAACAATTCCTTAAATCATATCTTGTTTGCAAGTATGTACTGTACAATGTTATATCTGCCATTGATGTTCTGTCGGGTTGCGAGCGAAGGTACAGTTGTTATCGAGAATGATCAGAGACGCCCTATTGCCCTTGAATTCGCGAAGACCAAACATCTAGGCCTATCAATGTCTATATACATATCCACGATTGGGATCTTCTTGAGAGCAGTAATGATATATTGAATCAACCAAGGATTGTCAGCCCTAAGGTTCGGGCTAGGGCTGACATCACATGACGCGCTCGTATCTCAACCTCTGGAGAAAACAACGTGGTGTCTACCAGGGGTATATATTACTCAAACCACAATGCAAAAACAGGGACAGTTACTCGTGAGCTTCTTTTCCACGAGCTGTGCCATACTTTGTTTGATTACACTCATGTCAACCGCGCTAAAGCCGCTACGCCTGCGGTCGGCATGTACCGAGGGCATGCGGCCAAGGAGGACAAGGGAGTCGCTGACAGAGCTGCTCGGATCCTTGACATAAATGGGGGGAAAGTATAACGATAATCCGTCTACAGGTACGAGGTAGCGGCGAAAAGGAGGGCTGTAGACGTTTGCAGAATGGACTCACCTGCGAATATCGGGTGTCGATGGTGGGCCGCGCGCCAAAGAAACAAAAGATAAGAGACATTCCGCCGGAAATAAATCCTCCCGCCGTGGACGACGTCGCATAACTCTCTCCTTTACCCTGAATCGTGGGGCGACATATTCAATGGCCCAGCCGCCCTTTTTTCGCTAGGCGACTTTGCTGTCAGTATCGATGGTAACCTCTCACGGAGCTACTTGGACAATTTAGGGGAACTATCGGATTTGGAGGAACTATCGCTATTATCGCCACGGTCAGATAGTAATAATTTTTGTTTTGCGACGGCGCAACCGGATGTGAATCCAGACATTGAGAGTGTGAACGCTACAGTCACGTCGGATCCACAAGCTGCGGGTCGGGGGACCGCACCGACCACATCCCTTGAGGCCACACCTTCACTGATGTCGACAAACGCTCTTGCGTTCTCTGCCCGCTCACAACTATCAGATCGTGTGGCTGCCAATGTGCCAAAAACATATCGCGACAAGTCAGTGGTGTCCCAGTATCCCCATGCCGCGGCACTCATGGAGATCGTCGAGTCGTTGGAAGGTCATTTGCAGAACCCTAGGGCACCCATAGATCGGGCAATGCTCTTGAACCGGCAGGCGATACTCAAGGTGCGGGACATCTTGGGCTCGCACGAATTCTAGTGCCGTCAGAGCTGTCCGTCGTTAGTCGCTACCATTATGGATCTGGTTGTGGGGTTGTACGAGGTGGTTTCCATCACCATTCATCAGCCTACGAATGCGGCCCACGGCGGGTCAACCCCAGATAGCAGCGCTTTCATAAGCACTGGGCAGTCTGAGATACCTTCGGAATTGGCACCAACAGCTTCCTATGCGCATGACGTGCCCGTTTTTCAATTTGGTTGCCTTGAATTCGACCCCGACGAGCAAGAAAACTTCCGGAATGCGATGGTTCGACGGGACCTAGTCCGTTTTATCGAAGCCATTCGGCACTGTAGCCGAGAGATTCATCGGCGACAACTGCTGGGAAACCAAGAGGATAATATAGCAGTCCAGCATGGAGGGTTCCGATCGACTAGATCATGTACGGACCGTGTCCAGCTACAATGGTATCAGGAAATGGAACACCAAGCCGTACGACTGCTTGCCTCAGTTCCGGTCCGATGTTCGCATGGGGATGGAGGGTCATGATGCAAATATAAACTATCCATAGCCTAGCCTCTAACTGCTTTGGAGAGAGAAAGAATGAGTTTCTGATCAATCAGACTGGATGTTTAATTGTACATGATGATGACGAACTGACTCTGCAAAGGTTATGATGTGTAGATACCCCAATGTAGTAGTACCTTTGTCATCTGCTTTAGGAGCTCATTCCCTTCAGATATTGAATCAGATCTAGTTCATACATGTAACCCTTTCCCCCAGGTTTTACTTGCTTGTAGCGTTCCCACCTAAACTAGGATCGTGCAAAGTCTCGTTCAACCGGTCCAGCCCAAGCTTTAACATCGACGGAGGATATGAAAACGTAATCCGGTACCATCCAGTTTGGCCGCTCTCGGCCAAAAAGTTCTGCCCATTACCAACATTAACGCCATGCTTTTGACAATTTTTCAGAAAGGTGTTCGGGTCAGGAATGTTACTACGGAAGATACGAGCCCAGACGAAGAGACCAGCATTTCTATTCAGCTGTATTAGCAGAGGTGATCGAAAAGGTAGGTAGGGGCAAAGCTGACCCGTCAGTATAATATTCAATGCCCTGGAGGTCGAGCCACGAAGTGACGATCTTGTAGCTTTTTGCGAGGCGCTCCCTGTTCAAGTTGAGGAAGTACTGCGTCTTGCCAGTGTCTTCGAGAAGACGGGCCCACATGTCTTGAGCCAGGTAGGAAGGCCATGAGAATAGACTAATATGCCTCACTTGTTAGTAGTGATCTTTATATTTTGGGTAGAGGAGAGAAGTGTTTACTCACTTCACACCATAGGCGGCCTGAATCAGTTGTTCGTTGCGTGAATGCAGAACGCCGAGTCGAAGCCCGCTTGCCCCGAAATCTTTACTCATTCCATACAATACATGGACGAGATTAGGGTCGATAATGCCATCTAGGTCCAGCGAGAGGACCGAAGTGAAGGGCGGAGCAGTGGAATTCTTTGGAACTTCGAAGACGGAGTTCGCGTAGATTTCGTCCGAGATAAAGTGGATGTTGTTCTGACCACAGAAGCGGGCAATTTCGATTAACGCTTCTTTGGACTGGAGCACGGTTAGCAATAACAGTCTTTGGTTGAGGGTTTAAGAGGAATGCACGAACATAGCAGCGTCCGAGAGGATTGTGAGGGCTGGATTGTTAGGGTTAGCGGTCAATTCCAAGATGTAGGAAAGGTAGAGGCATACTTCGCGATAACAACACCGCGAATCTTAGTCGTAGAGGTGTTCCACGCCCGCTCCAGGGATTCCCTATTCGCCGTCGGATCGAATACTTTGTCCAAAGAATATGTCTGGTTATCCCAGAGAAAAGATGCTGGTATCAGCTTGGCCTGACTGCGTAGATGTATATCCGTTGGAAACCCGTTATATAGCGGCTGAGGAATGATGATCCCCTCGTTAACGTTGCACGTGGTCCATGCAATCGAGTCAATTAGGGAAGTAACACCCGATGCAACGATGATTTCATATTCAGAGACTTTCTGACGCGGGCTGAAGTTGGCATTAAAGAAGTCCGCAAGTGCTTTGCGAAGACGAGGAGAGGCGGCAGGTCCCTGACCATAGGTCAAATGGAAGAGAGGATCAATGGTGAACTGCCATGACGATCAATAAGGACGGGAATGGAATAGACTTTAATTGAATGGACTCTAACATTCTCTTTGAGGAAGTTGCTCAGATTTGTTTGAATCAGCCAGTTTTCGGCGAGACCTAAATTGATGCTTTTCGTTATCAAGTTAGAATATGGCCTTCGGGGATAGCAAACAGAGAACATACATCCCTTGGGGATATCTATCGGGGTCATATGGTTTGGAAAGAACTGTATCGTTAAGAATTTTCCAGCCCTGGATATCCTTAATCGCTACTGTTGACCGATTCGACAGATGGTCGGATTGAGTGGGTTCGACGGCTGCAACATACCAGCAGCAGGTTGAGAGTGCAAGGAGATGGCTGAGTATCCTCATGATGGTAAGTCCCAGAAATGACAGTAATTTTAGAAGATTATCAAGTGCTAGAAAATATCTGAAATAAAGAAATATATCGATATCCTAATATGCAAGCCATTCAATGAACCATATATGAACGCGTCTGACCGATGACTACTTCAGCGTTGCATTCATGTCCCCACATGCAACTCCAACAGTCTTTTGACCACTCATAGTATATCTCGCACCCTCTCTGTCGTCATTTGTTACTTAGACGGATGAGGCAGTAGGCAGCCAGCCAGCCACTGCAAGCAACTTCAAGCCTGATGAATCTGTCTGAATACAATAAACACACCACGGTACGTGCCATTGGGGATTCAATTTCCTAGGCACACTTCTGTGCTTCGCATTCGATGGGAGTATGGTATAACCTCCTATGATATGTAGCAACTTCCAAATGTAGTCATAAGGCGTGTTGAATATAGCAAGTTATTGCTCGTATCCCTAACATTGTGATAGAAAGGCCATGATACCGTGTAAAGCGTACGCCCTCTCGATTCTTCCAGCTAGCCACAATAAAAACGTAAAAATAGAAATAATCAGCCAGCCAACAAATGAATTTCCGACGAATGCGGAGGCAGTCCCCTTCCGGTATCGCGGGGACCACTACGGACCGCGTGAGATTCCGACTGGACAACACAGCGGGCCGAAGCAGCGGGCCGTTGAATAAGCTTATTAGAAAGGATTTACTCCGGAGCCCTCATTGATCATTGATTCCGATTATTGTTAAATCATATAGAAGTTTGCTAGGCTAGAATAGTTTGATTTAAAAGCTTCTGAATGTACCATAGGAATGCTCATACTCTAAAGGAACCCTACTTGGTACAGCTTACGACCTGAATCTATTTTTTTTTTACCCATTTACCGGACTCTACAACTAAAGTCCTCGACAGAGATTAATAATAATAAACGGATCTCCAGACTTGCAAGGCTCGAGTCGCTTAGCTTTCACGATGCTGGCTCTCTTCATGGGGATGTTCACTGCCAATCTCGATTCGACAATCTTAGCCACCGCAATCCCGCGTATCACAGATGATTTCCACAGCCTTGGAGATATTGGATGGTATGTCTCGTCTGCCTTCCTCACGTTTGCCGCCTTTCAAACCAACTGGGGAAAGGTATTCAAGTATTTCCACTTGGAGTGGTCCTATCTATTGTCGCTCCTTATTTTCGAACTGGGAAGCCTCCTCTGCGCGGTTGTACCGAGTAGTGCTACTCTGATCACCGGACGTGCGATTGCAGGCATTGGTGCTGCGGGTCTTTGCACGGGTACATTTGTGATTATTGGCTACTCTGTAAAACACGAACGCCAGCCAGCTTTTATGGACGTCATGGACGCAACATATACTCTTGCTTCATTTATTGGTCCGCTTCCAGGAGGTGCCTTCACGGAGAGAATCAGCTGGCGCTAGTACTTCTACGTCAATATTCCGATCGGTGGCGTAGCTGCCTTCATCATTGTGGTCTTCGTCCGGACACCCAAAGCTGCGAACCCCGTAGATGCACCACTGAGGGAAAGGATCCTGCAGCTGGATCCTAGTGGGTGCGCGCTAATCATGGGTGGAGTTGTCTGTTATCTACTGGCATTACAATGGGGTGGACTGCAAAAAGCGTGGTCCGGCAGCACCGTTATTGGCACCTTGATTGGGTTTGTCCTCCTGTTTATCGATTTCGGTATCAATGAATGGTAGTTTGGAGAACGTGCCTCGATCGCGCCTAGATTGTTGAAAGAACGGAGAATCCTTGTTAATTCAGGAGCTGTGTTCTTCAATCCAGGTGGATTCTTCATTCTCATCTACTATCTACCTATCTATTTTCAGTCTATCAGAGGAACATCACCAATTACCTCCGGCGTCTACAATCTTCCCTTTCCTATTGGTGGCATATTCTCAACGATTGCCGGCGCACTCCTCACTACAACGCAACAATTTGTACCATTCATGGTGGTTAGTGCGGCCCTAAGTGCTGTGGGTGGAGGATTGATATATACTTTGGACCAAGTCACAACAACCGGAAAATGGGTGGGTTTCTAGATTCTCGCCGGCTCATCTACTAGATTTATATCCCAAATTCCAATCATGGCCAACACCGCTTGTGTGGAAATGGAGGACATGAGCACCGTCTCAGCGATGGCATTGTTCTTCCAGCTTATCGGCGGCTCATTCTCTGTCTCTGCGGCACAGTCAGTGTTCGGGAATGTGCTCACCCGTCGCATTCAGCAGACTGTGCCTGGTTTGCCGCCATCTGCGGTAATGAGCGCAGGAGCCTCAAATATTCGAACAATCTTTTCTCCAGCGCAACTGTCCAGTATCTTGACAGCATATATAGATGGTGTTAAGGGCACATTCGCGGTGGCTACTGCTCTTTTAGCAATGAGCGCCCCTCTGGCTTTATTGCCTAAATGGGAAAGGTTGAGGCCCGAGAGGCCGCTGTTGACTGACTCCGAGATGGCTGTTGAGAAAATGCAGAGTGACAAACTCCGAGCCACGTGGCTAGGATGGTGGGTTAAGCTCTGTAAGACACTTCAATCTGGTTTGCAATAGCTGCATAGGCTATTCATGAGTAGACGTAAATATTAAGATGGGACAACCGGGTTCGGCGTAATGAACGGTTACTGAAAGGATATTCTAGGTTAAACAATTAAGGTAGATAGGTTGAAATCCGAGAAAAGAATAAAAATCCGGCTATATATTTATTTTTACTAATCTCGGATTTCATTTGCTTTCTTTATTTTAGTGAACTGGTTATTACAGCTATTGCTATTTCTATTATTATATATTATTTTAATATGAATATTACTGGTAAGGTGTGGTCTAGCTAATACTTAAGACTAGCATAGCCAAGGGCTCAGTAAGCAAAGAATAGCTTTATCTTCAACCTTAGCAATATTAAGTAAATATATTGTCAAAGGTATCTCCTATTCAAGGTAGAGGACCTGTCAACTAGGTAAGGATACATAGGCTAAAGATAAAAGGATCAAAGGCAGGCAGTAGATACTATTCAGACAGAAGACTGATCCTTGACCTCCTACTGCTACTAACTATTTGCTAATTTATAGCTGAAGGCTCTACGCCTAAAGGACCAAGAAACCCCGTTGAGATCCTGGCCATTCGGGGGCAGATTGCCCGTGTATATGGGCTAGGGTACATTGTACGATCCTCAGGCCGAATCGCTATTCGATCTGTGGCATGCGACGCTGACTGTATATTAATAATTCCTAGGTAGCCTATTAAGCTAGCTATAATAGATAGGCTTTTACGTGGTTAAGTCTTCGCACCTTAGTCTCCCGGTAGGTAGATTAGATTTCCTGTTAGCATATCCCAAGAGCGGCCCATTTAAATCACCGTATAGTCTACAATATAATCACTTTCCGCCGCCACCGATCAGCCGTTTACGTCGGCCCGCCATATCCATGCCTTTTATTAATACATTTTTCTGCCTGCTCTCCGGTAAATAAAGACATCAGTCCCGGTCTGGCACAGAATAGGTGGGCGACTGCCCGGCGAAACACATCGGAACTATAACTATCAATATAGCTTGGCTGGTACCCCTGTGTTTCGTCAGGTTTCTAATCTTAATATAACTAACTAGTTATATAACAACAGTTAACGTAATCAACCACCGAGCGGCGGATTTTCTCCGCGGCCACTATTATTTGAAGCTTTTTAACCATATCTTCGGGTGAGGATTGCTCACCATTGATACGCCCGGGCCAGAGACAGTGTATTTCCTCGCACTCATGCCAGGAGTGCAGTGTCAAATCTACTATCGCGCGCAGCATCCAGCCAAATGCCCACTTCTTCAGGTGGCGTTCTGCGTCGGATCAACTCATGCCGATGTTGTAGAAACGCGCAGCGAGCTTAATGATTGAAATTAGCCACGGAAAGCGTTGACGGAGCGGGCGCTGCCCCTGGGCTCTCCAGCTCCTGCGGAAGCTCGCGCTCTTCGCACGGACGCTTTATTGTTATAGATACGTGTAGAGAGCTAAGTTAAAGATAAGCGTAGCGATAGTATTAAACGCATACTAGTCGGTCAATGAATACAGAGCTACAGAGCTCCTCAGCCCTTAAGTTCTTCTGCTCATTTTGGCTGCGAAGGGCAAACACGCGGTCGCGAATGAAAGCCCCAATGGAAGGCTGGCCGTATAGGTTGGAGCCCTGAAAGAACGCGGACACGGCCGTGTACTTGCGTTTGTGGTCCGCGAAGGAGAGAAAGTCGTGAAGACTGACCGGCTGTCGAATGCCACAAAAGTATTAAAAAGGCGCCCTTGTCAGCGCGCGAACCGTGGAGCTGTAGAATGTGGCGAATGACGTCCAGCGAGGCAATAGATAATATTTGACGGTTCGAGACTCAGGCCACTAAGAAAGTACTCGGAGTAGACGCAGGGCCCCGCAGGTCAGTTTGAGCAAGATTTTCGGCGTTTACTGCAAGTGGGATGATGAACGTTTAGATTAGATCCGCAGTTGCCCGATGTCGGGAAAAAGTGCTGCTGTATGGGCAAAGTGGAGACTCCATTCCACGTGTGTCTTTATGGTAAAGACAATGTATATACCGTACCGTTACATCTTCTTCGACACTGTACGTACTGTACCTATGGATGTTGTATGTAGAATACAACATCCTTTTATCACTGTACTTAGTATGTATATACTCGACCTTTGTTTTATTTGATAACTGCTTGTTGACTGGTCCGAAACTAACCTGATCATAGCTTTCCTTTAGAAGTAAGTCACCGGTAGCAGCGGGGTAAAGAAAATGCATCGATGATCGGAGAATATATTTAGGAAAAATTGTAAAAGAAAACTTTCTAACGCCATCTGGTGCCTCTGGCTTGGATGAAGGGGTAAATACTCTTACAGAGGTATGAACAACACAACAACACAACCCCGGAAAGCAGGCAGAACTACTATGGTCTAGCAATCTAGCGTGCCCATAAACACGTATGATCTGCAAATCAAAAACAGAAGAATCAAAATCTTCCTATTCCTCGCCTGGTTGATCGTCTCTTAAGTGGTCTCCTTAGGCGTTTCACATCTCTTAATTTACTATAATTTCTACTAATGTATCTCCTACGTCATGGAATCTTTCCCACCCCCACTCCAGAACACACCAACATCTTCATGAAGAGTAAGTAATCAACAAGAGAAGGGGACGTAGAGTGAGAGAGAGAGAGGCCAGTATGCGTCACCAAACAAAGAATATAGCTTCAATAATATGATTCTTTAAAAAATAAAATGTCCTGAGTGTTGAGAGACTCGACCCATGCTATAAGATGCACATATACACATACATGCATATAAGAGGCAACCCCACCAAAGCAGCCATCTTCTGCGCCTACCTCGATCACTTTGCAGATCAATAGGGATCATGAGATATTGGTGCCATGGAGGTATTCTCATTGGACCTATGAGGTTCTAAGTATTAATAACATTCATTCTATTCTAGGCAAGTTGGCAATCCTACGCACAAGAAAAAGCGATCAATGCTGAGCTCATGCCCTTATCCAGGTACTGTAACAGACTATTTCGCCGTCAGCTCCGCTTATTGTTCTTCTTTTATTTTTTTTTTATTTTTTCTTCTTCTCACTTTTCTCTTCCCCTGTTCCTTCTCTTCTCTTATAGTTGTATTTTCGAGGCGCTTGTCTCGCTACTTGGGACCTAGGAGTAAACATGTCCCACCATTCTAGATTCCTTTTCAAACTTCATCATAATCTACCCCTCTTTCCCCTCACCATCTTACCAGGTCCCCTTCCTGTCCTTAGTATCCACTTTAGTGGCCAGCATTCAATTACAAATGCATATGATGTGGTTGGACTGCGGAGCAGACTGGGCTCTGCAGATAATTTGGCCCTACTGCAGAATAGCTGTACTACTAGTAGTAGCAGGTTGGCTGTCTGCCTATGTTCTTGGTCTCATCTCTACTCTGGACTATTCCCTCGTTTTCCGTGGTTAATCTCAGTCTGGTAGCCCCTAATGATGAATTATTGTGGATATAGTTCATAATGATTAGTGGTGACTTTAGGAGCAAGGATTCTGATTTGTGCATACACACATGACACTGAACAACTGGTTGGCAATCACGGGTTCACTAACATATAGGACTAAGAGGGGCCTACGCGGGTCACTGTCCAAATCCACTAAGGTATTCCGATTATTGCGCTAAATCCGACTCATACGAACGGGTTCGGCAATAGCCTTGGGGTGGGGGGAGGGGTTGACTACCTTGTGGATTAGGAGAGATGATCTGAATCCTGCCATCGGACGCAGCTGAACATTCAACCACTGCACCCATATATGTGCTCTTCAAGTAGAGAGACTCCCAATGATAATCATAATGGTAGTAGTCATATTGGTGATAAAATATAGTTATATTGGAGAATGGGATACGCTATGCTTCCAAGGTAAGTCTTTTCGATGTAAATACAGTGAGTTTGACCCAACAAGCAAAAATAGTGTGTTCGGTTCCAGGCGGTATGTACAAGACAATGCTTCTACACTAAGATACGCTGCGCGTGCGACGATACTGGATGCACTCGGCTGAAGCCATTCAACTAAGCGCTGACACGTGACGGTGTTTGGATGGAATACGTCAGTAGATGCCCTAGGATGGATCTACACCTAGTATCTTTGAGTGACGGTTAAAACAGATTATCTGAGAACTCGAACAAAGGTGGAAAACCGTTCAACCCATAGTAAGTGGCAGTACCGGACAGGCAAAGCTCCGATAGTCTCGGTTGGGGAACGCAATATCTTAGAATTATAAGCAGCCATATATTAATTGACTCGAAAGCTCATAAAGCTTGTCACTAAGCTTAATTACAGTCTCATTAAAAGAGTCATCTTCGGTATGCTAGATCAAACCTACCTCTCTCCCATTTGAGAGAACTTGAACAAAAGAAACCCTCCATATAGCCGGGTTGGCCCACACACACAACTGTTGCATACTAAATTGGTATATAGTTTTTCATGATAAGTATCCTTCCAACTAAAGGTTGGTTGTTTTCTAAACACTGAGGAAATTGCATCTCCTTCTTCATACTCCTGGAATATTCTGGAAATATGCCTACATCTTCGTAAGTTGACGTAGCGAGCTGCAGGAACACCGCATATTGGCCTAAACGATGTAGTCTGTTAGTATTGATTGTGTGGGGATCCTTTCCTGCAGCCTATCAAGCTTTACGGTGAATGATACTAATGCTATAGGTGCAGATTTTATGGTGTGACGCTTCCAGTCCCTTACAACCCATCAGTGCTGTTCCATAGCACCAGGGATGTCCCCCATAGACTAACTTCTTTGATATTCCTAGGCGTGGTTTGTATTCGACATGGGATTAGTTGGACAGCTTTTGGGAAGAATCATTAGAGCAAGAGAAGTACATAATACTAAAACTCATAGAACGAGGCAGGTGTGTAGCACAAACATATCAGCGTCCATTTCTGGCTCTCGCCGGCTCATGCGCTACTAGGTTATAAAGTGGTTGGAAGCATTAGAGGCTGCTATGAAGAGGCAGGCAACTACAGGGCCGTTGGTGCTACTTTTCCAGTCAACTATATGCGATCAAGGCCATGTTTTGTTTTCATATAGCCGACAATTATTCTTGTTAGGTGATAGATGATGCAATAGTCCGTAATGCTTGCGGAGAACTAGGTCATATTACCACATTGAGTAGGGTAGGGGCAGTTTATATAAAGATGCGAAGACACTATTTGCTGTTAACTTTGTGTAATCGCATGGGAGGGTGTGTCGAATAGCACAACAGTATGCAGCCATATTGATGTGGGTATATTCACAGAGGTGTCAGAACTGTTTCGAGGTATGGAGTAAGAATTCTTGGTTTCTAGTGCATCTTCGAATAATCGACAAGATATGTCATATTGGCAATCTCAAGCAATAGCCCTTCTGGAATTACGTCAGAGGTTGCCTAACCCTGTTGGCAGAAATGCTTGTACTAGTAAAATAGACATGGCGTAAGGGATGAAAGGTGCGTACAAGGATAGATTACTTGAATTTTAGTTTATTGACCTATTTAGGGCACACCCTGCTTAGTCATGGCGATAACCGTTGGCGCATTGTCCTCCTCGAGAGGGATGCATAGCTTATCAATAGATCGAATCAAGGGTTAATCAATATTAGATAGATTAATAACTCAATTATTGTCAAGATGAAGCACGGAAAGACATTGATGCTATCCACCTAGTAGAAGGCTTGAGGTGTTGATCATAGAGAATGAGCTGAGTGTTGGGTTGAAGTATGTATGTATGTACATACATACGTACACTATATATATATTATAACCCATACAGTAGTTGTCATGGCTGGTATGCATATGCAGTTCATGCCCTAAGAATTTTCCCGCCAGTTTCATAGTGACATTGGGTGTAGAATATACAACCCGGTCTACATTGCCGGTCCTTGCTAATTTTCCTGAATGCGTGGGTGAATAAGGGCCTGGGCAGCGGTTAATGCTATCTCTTAAGGTTTCAATGCGGCAGATCCATGGGAAGATCATGTGGGGAGAACAATAACATACTGTACGAGGAGTCAAGCGTTACAGTACAATCGATAAACTTACCTAACTCCTAAGAACTAGCCCACAGCTGCGTGCTTTGGGACACGTCGAGAATGAGGCGAAGACACGTGGACATGAGGGGCTCGATTTGGGACCTGGCAGCAGCACAGAGAAACCCTCCCCAACATGGAAGGCCCTGTCCCTCCTATAACAAGAAAGGTTCAGTGAATGTTTAGAAATCCAGATATAAGCCTCTTCATCGGGTGTGTTGTCTTGCATGAAGTATAGAAAGAAGGGAGTGAAATGCCTATGACAAGAAGGGCTAATCTTGTTGAACACTGTTCCTGGTACCTTAAGGTAGTTAGTTGCCACACTACCTAATCAATCAGTACCCACGGTTGGGTGTGTATGCATCACAAGGTTGTGGCGAAGATCGTAGAAATCTTATTTATCCCGCGTACAGTTACCGTAATCATGAAAGAAAAATGATAAAATTTGCTGCATGCAAGGGAGAAAAACGCGCTGAGCTGATCGATAGTCCCCGCATGTCTTATCGATATGAACTTTTATGATGAGGGTTGTTCCGGTGGGTAGGGTAGGGTCTCCTGAAACCAAATTAGGTTCCCAATCCTGGAATTACCGCCTTCCCTTCAAGCCTGCTAGCAGGCTTGAAATCCTGATAAACTTGAGGGGAAACAAGGGGAAACAAGGCATGCTGCTTACTAGTATAGCTGTATAATCGCGAATAGATCGAGTTATACTCAGAGCCTCCGTAATACTAGTATCGTATGATGGGGCGCGGGAACACTTGGGGTTACGCGTGACGCTCCCGGCACTAAACCCAAACAAGCCAGCAGTCAACAACACAAGAGACGCGGTGCGCGCGTTAGCAGAAACACCGAGCAGGATTGGCTGGAAGGCTTGACCAGAGGCGACGGTGCCAGACCTCCTAAGGTGAACTACACCTTTTTTTTTTCCTTATTTTTTTTTCTTTTGCCCTTTTCTATCGTGCCATCTCAGGTACCGATTCATACTCTGCCAGGACAGTATAAACAATATCAAATCATAAAAGTCTACTCCATTTAATTCCCGTAAGGGAAATTCCTCGGGTCATTTATTTAGTTCGCAAGGACTCGCCTCTGCATACCGCAACTTCGGGCATCGTCAGCCCCTCCTCTGTTCGGTTCTACGCCCCATCCCTTTCTTCCTCTCTCGACTTCATTTGCTTTCGCGTGGCTGTCTGCATTATTTTGATTTTCTTGGTGGACAGTTTCGAACTTTCCACCCCTTGCGCAGTCATCTGCCTGCCTGAAGAGGGTCAACCAGCTTTTTAAAGAAAGGGAGACGGAAGGGAGACTGACGCTGCTGTTGATTTCCCCTTCTATCAAACCAAATCGACCCTTCCGCATCTCTCTACTCTCCAGCCCCCTTCTTGCGCACCAGCTTGTGTTTGTCGCTGTTTCGGAATTCCCTCCTCAGTATCATCGCGCCTGGCTTCGTCTTAATCGCTCCTGCATCTTTGCGACGCGCCTTCTTGTTTTGACATCTTTGTTGCCCTTTTGAAACATTCCTTATTGAGTCGTTTCATCTAGGGACACTGCAAAGTAAGAGAGCGTTCTGTTTCCGTCGCGTGGCTGGTGTGAGGTGCACGAAGAGTTGCCTCTTTCTTCCCCGCTCACGTAGCAGCCCTAGGTGTATGGAGGCATCAAAGAATACCGTGTGCTTTACCCAAGCTTCGCAATAGACCTGGTGTGATGTGCATCCATCACTCGTTTCGCATTGCTACTTTGTTTTGCTTCGATACGATTGCTGGCGCCGTGCCTTGCTTACTTTCTCAACATTCCACGGAGATTACTTCCTCTTTCATTAGCTCTGGGTAGGACACGAGTTTCGCACCGCCACAGCCTCTGTTGTTGTCCACGCCGGTCGCGGCTTGAGACCTACCTATTGACTACACAGCACACACTGATCGCGAAGTGCGCCTTTTTCCAACTCGCTTTTCCATCCCATCGCAACACGCCCGAGTCCAAAACTTTGGGACCACGCTGAATCGCCCTCTGGAGTGGCTTTGGCCTTCTAACGTCGCTGTATAATAATGGTTGCAACATTTTCGCCGCACCGTGATGCGGGCGGCACACTACATCTTCCATCGCACACGGGGATTCACCATGTTGATGCTAGCTCAGCTATCCGGCAACTCCGCCGATCCCTGTCGCGCTCGCCTTCTAAGAGTTCCAACTTCTCGCTTCTCGCGAATAGAAACCACTCGCCGTCGAAAACTATGCCATATGTATCTTCGCCTCTATCACCTTCGCGACGATCGTCACATAGCAATTTCGTGCTCTTTCCTAGCTCTTCACACCAATCACCTTTTGCACTTCCATACCCGTCGGGTGGCAAAATAACAAGACCTGCTATGCGTCGTGTACGCACCTCGCCCAGGAGCCCCGTCAAACGTGCCCTCAACCTTTCTGCCGACCAGGGAAACGCGAAGCCCGTACAACCTATCTTAACAACACCCGGTGTGGAGAATTTTCCAGTCACATCGGAAATAAACGTCCAGCCCGACGATAATGCTACCTCCAGCGGCTGTTCTGCGAGTTCATCCCCCGGCGCAGAAACACCTCCTGCTCCTCGACCGACATTATCCAGAATTGAAAAGCGACGCAGCGGGACTTTCAGCTCATATGCAGCAGTCAGCCCATTGAAACGGAGTGACGGGATTATGAACTTGGATCGAGCATCTCGAGGAAGCCCATCAGCAAAAAGGCGTAGTGTGCACACAGCGAACCTTTCCAATGAATTTAGTATATTCGATAGTGAGGCCGGTCCGAGTTCGGTTGAAGAATCCACCTGCGAGTTACCGTCCGAAAGTGAGACGCCATCGTTTCCTGCCAACATCACCCCGTTCAGTCCTTTTGCTACAATCCCCAAGCGCTCCTCTTCCTTGCGAAGATCAACTCTTCAGCAACGTCAAAGTGATCGTTCCTTATTTTCGCGGGCAAGGCCCATGGTTGAGCCGTCTGAGGCTTTAGACACTTCCTCGAGTGCATGTCCCCGCATGTCGTTGGATAACAGTCTCTTTCAATCTAAGCAGGAGAACCTGTTTTCCCCGCGACCTGTATCAGGCAGTTCCCTATTTTCATCAACTGGAAATGGCGCAGGCCAGGCCCGTTCTGCTGTTCACCCGCTTTCTCGGACTATAACACAATCTTCGTCCAACTCCAGCCTAGTGGATGACTCACCAACTCATGAGCCAGTTCACAAAGGCGACCATTCAAGAGGAGTATTTAATTTCTCCAAGTCACTTCCAGCAGGGGCAACTCGACCTGCACCTGTGCGCCAACTTGCGCGAGAAGATTCAACTTCATCTGCGGATTCCTTCGCTACCCCCGAAAATTACAAACTTGTGAAACCTCTTCCTGCGGCATTTATGTCAACCGGCCTAATCTCCAAGAAGAACCGCAATGCCGAGGATCCCGCAAACCTGTTGGGTTTCAACAAGAATATGCCTGATACGCCGTGCAAACGACCCACGAATTTGTTCCCCAGTGGGCAAAAATTGGCTCCAGAACGGTCCCTGGGGATCTCAACATTCTCACGTCATTCAGATGCAGTACCTCCGTCTCCGTCTAACCCACCCAGCACACGTCCCAAGTCAGGCCCTTTTGTACGCGGCATGGGTATCTTCGGGAACAGTTGCAACGGACAGGGACCCTCCCGTCGTGGTAGCTTTGTCAGTGTGGATGGCGACGATATTCAGTTTCAGTCACCATCTGGCCTGCAAGATAGTCAACCTTTAAGCGAATATGACTTGCCACCAACACCAACGAAACAAACATTCTTCCCGTCTCGAACCTATCCCCCTGCCACTTCACAAATCGCCTCCCTCGAGAGACTATCCGAAGCTAGGGGAGCCAATTCAAGTCCGTTACATGAAAGGTTCTTGCGGGGATCACCGCGGACGCCTCAGGACAACCTTCTTTTCCCTGACCCGAGCGGTCTATCAATTTCCAATGACCAGCAAGCGGTCAAATCCGATTTCAACTCTTCCAACCTACCGGCTACTCCCACCGGTCCTCGTGAGTCTCTGTTACAGTCCGGGAAACGCCCTAGCCTCCCATTGAATGGCTACCATACCCCAGATGTGGACCCGAGTTTGACCTCACGCTTCGAGCGAGTTGAGCTTATTGGCACCGGTGAATTCTCTCAGGTATATCGTGTATCCGAACCCCACCATACGTCGCTGTCATCAATCTTTTCAAACAACCAGAAGTCACCTAAAATATTACCCGATCAGGTGTGGGCAGTCAAAAAATCGAAACAACCATATTCTGGGTTGAAGGACCGTGAGCGTCGAATGCGTGAAGTAGATGTGTTGAAGGCTTTGACCAATTCTGATCATATCATCTCTTTCATGAACAGTTGGGAGGACAACGCTCACCTTTATATTCAGACCGACTTCTGCGAAGAGGGGAGCTTGGATGTCTTCCTGGCTCAGGTTGGGCTCAAGGCAAGATTGGATGATTTTCGCATTTGGAAAATATTGCTCGAGTTATCTATGGTACAGCTTGTTCTATAAGTCTATCTAGCATTGGGCTCTGCTAACCGTTTCTTCGCAGGGTTTGAAACATATTCATGACATGGGCTTTATCCATCTCGACTTAAAGCCGGCCAATATTCTGATCACGTTCGAAGGCGTTCTGAAGATCGCTGATTTTGGAATGGCAACACCATGGCCGGCAGAGGATGGAATCGAAGGCGAGGGAGATCGCGAATATATCGGCCCAGAAATTCTAATGGGGCGCTATGATAAACCGGCGGACATATTCTCCTTGGGTCTGATCATTTTTGAGATAGCTGGAAATGTGGAGCTCCCCGATAACGGGCTCTCGTGGCAAAAGCTGCGGAACGGAGATATGAGCGACGTTCCCAGCTTGACTTGGAGCGCAGAAACCAGTATTTTCCGTGATGCGTCCGGGAACCCAATTTCGGAAGAACCATCGTTTGAGGAGTTGTGTGCATCAGATTTCGGGGATGACACATTTGGTGAAGACAGTTTCCTGGGAAGTCGCAGGTCCAGTGAGCGAAAAGCAGTACAACTCGCTCGCACTGGCGAACTTCATGACCCTCCAAGCTTCATGGTTGACTCCAGTCACGAGCAAGCCTTGGACAAAATTGTGCGATGGATGATCTCGCCAGAACCGTTTGATCGGCCGACAGCCGACCACGTTTTGGAGACATATGGTGTCCAATTTGTTGCTCGTCGACGGCGTGCTGGGGCTACTATCTACGAAGGCAACTGGGGCCCTGCCGACGAAATTCTAGCAGAGGATGCTGAAATGATTGACGTTTAATCGGTACTTGATATATTAATGCATTTGGACGGAGTTGGTGCTTTCCTTTATGGTTAACATATATTGACGGCGTTGATGCGGGGATCCGGCCTTCGATAATAATGTCCCTTGTTACTGACCTATGGCTTATGCTTGGCTTTATCTCTCTTCCTTTTCATTTGTGTGCAATGGGGTACGGGTTACTTCGGGACTTGGATCTCAATTGCTCATGCCTCATTGAGCGCTATGCTTGGCGTTCTCTTCATTCTATTTATTAACTAACCGACCACCCTTCACGACTTGATTGACTTGATATGACCAATACCAGTGTTGGAGGGTTTCACTCATTCCCACACATCATTTCCTATGTTGTGCCCCTGATTTGAGCGCTTGCAATCATTTCTTTCTTTTGCAACTTTACCTACCTATGCCTGTACGATTGGATCCTTGCAAGCCTGATATTTTAGGAACTCAGGGTTTGCCTTGTGTAATATTTTTTATTATATCTTCCCTTTGTTTTGATGACCTAACTATTGTCTCTTCGCTTACAGCTTTGAGCGTTGTTAATGACCGCTTTTTTCCTACATTTGTGTCTCCATATCCTCGTCAGCTGTGACTGAAGTACCTTTCAGCAACTGTGCTTATTTATCCCTTTTTCCCTTTCTTTTTTCCTCTTTTCTTTTTCTTTGTTTTGTGAGTGAGTGATATGTCGAGGGACATGAAACAGCCTGTGATCAAGCAGGCTTGACAACAGGGTAATACTTGTGATTTATACTCTTGAATGCGAACCAGTTCTGGACGCCAAATGAAATTTTTTTTTATGTCTACTGTATAGTGTAGTAATAACGTAGTACTTTCCGTACAAACAATGTATTTTAGGCTCGCGCTACCCGTCGACTTCTTGGCAGTGACCTCGGCGGCGAGATTCTTCGTAACATCCACGCGCCTGAGGGCATGCTACACACTCCGACCCGTTCACTCTTTACATATTTTCCATTCCCCCAAGCTCCTTGCTGTAACCGAAATTCCAGAAACTCATTCTAATATGACGCACGGCTTTGTTTGAGAGTTAGTAGTAAAGATATACTTGTGCTTACTACTAAAGTCTCATAGGCGGACATACCGCTGATTTAAACAGTATCAACCACCCACCCTGCTACGTCGAATATGGATCATCGAACATTCGTATCGGATTCCCTTCTTCGCCTTACCAGTGCCTCGGACCCTACCGTTGTCGACTTCGTGCTCGCCACCGCCAGCTCCACTAAGTCAGTGAGTTCACTCCAAGAGAAGCTCGCATCGTTCTTGGATGGCAGTACAGACGATGTCAATGCGTTTTGCGGGGAGCTGTATAGAAGGGTTGGCGTGGGCGCAAAAGGTGGACCCACCAGCAGCGCTCAGAAAGAGCGCGGTGATGCCGCGTCGAAAAAGAAATACAGACTAGTTGAAATGGAAGATAACAATCCGGATTCTACAAGCTCCCTGGGACCCATGAACGTCGAAGCAGAAAGGGAGAGGCGAAGGCGTAAGGACAAGGATCACAAGCGAGCTAAAGAGGAATCTGGCGGACACAGTCGCTGGGAAAAGGAGGAAAACAGGAAGCGTGAGCGGAGCCGAGAAGGGATTCAGGATCGACACCGGTCCAAAAAACTGCGGCGACGGGATAAAGAGGATTTCGAGGACCGCTGGGGTGACGAAGAGATACCCGAAGATGAAATGTATGGAGAGGACGAGCAGGGCGGCGATTTTGAAGAGTCGCCATCGAAGCGGACTAGGTTGGAGGACGGATCTGCGTCACCCCGGTCGAGCAGCCCTGCAGAACTGGATCCAGAGACAAAGAAGGAACTTGAACGTCGGAAGGACTTAGAAGAACGAGACGAGTTTGCGAAGCGGTTAGCCAAGAAGGATGATAACAAGAATAAGAAGATTGTCGAAGACCGAACTAGGAACAGTGAGGTTGCGCGCAGACGGGCTTTAGCAGACGACGCTTCCGCTAGGGCGGCCGCTATGCCCGAGCTGAGGATGCGTTCTCGACAGGAATATCTTAAAAAACGAGAGACAGAGCGACTAGCCCTTCTACGCAGGCAGGTTGCAGAGGAAACAGCCGAGATGCGTGACAATCCTAATTTGACACGGAAGGAGAAAGAGGAATTTGCTAGAAATCGGGAAGTGCTTCGGATTGCTGAGGAGCGGCTACGGATCGATGATTACCGCGATGGATACATGATGCCGGATGATTACATCACAGAGAAAGGAAAGATTGATAGAAGGAAGAAAGAAGATGCTCTTTACAAACGCTATGTCGATCGCGACGAGTATGGACAGGAGCGGTTCGTCACGGAACACGAGGAATGGGAGCTAGAGCAAACCGCCAAGGCAAAAGCGCAAATTAACAGGGCGGAATTTGTGGATGAGGGTGACTACGAGTATGTGTTTGATGACTCGCAAAAGATCAATTTTGTTATGGATGCCAAGATGGAAGGAACTCAGAAGGCTATGACCCAGGAACAGCGTATCCTCCAAGAAAAGCTCGATGCTGCGGAGAAGAAGGCAGCATCAATCGAGGACACGCGAAAAAGCCTACCCATTTATCAGTTCCGGGAGGAGATCATTCAAGCGGTTCATAGCCATCAAGTGTTGATTATTGTTGGAGAGACGGGTTCTGGTAAAACAACCCAGATTCCACAGTATCTCCATGAAGCTGGGTTCACAAAAAACGGGATGAAGATCGGGTGTACGCAGCCTCGACGGGTCGCTGCCATGAGCGTTGCATCTCGAGTGGCCGAAGAGATGGGGGTGAAGTTGGGAAATGAAGTTGGCTATGCCATCCGCTTTGAGGACAATACAAGCGATAAGACCGTCCTCAAATACATGACGGATGGTATGCTGTTGCGTGAACTGCTAACAGAGCCAGATTTGGGTCAGTACTCGGCCTTGATGATTGATGAAGCGCACGAAAGAACTGTGCCAACGGATATTGCCTGTGGCCTCTTGAAGGATATTGCCAAAGCACGGCCAGATTTGAAATTACTGATATCATCTGCAACAATGGATGCTCAGAAGTTCCAGCAATACTTCGATGATGCGCCTATTTTCAATATTCCCGGGCGACGCTATCCTGTTGATATTCATTATACATCACAACCAGAGGCGAACTACTTGGCCGCAGCAATCACAACCGTCTTTCAAATTCATGTCACCCAAGGCCCCGGAGATATCCTTGTGTTTTTAACGGGCCAGGAGGAGATTGAAGCTGCTGAGCAGAGTCTACAGGAGACTGCACGGAAGTTAGGGAGCAAAATTCCTGAAATGATAATATGTCCCATCTATGCCAACCTGCCATCAGAACTACAAACTAAAATCTTTGAGCCGACCCCGCCAAAGGCACGGAAAGTTGTACTCGCTACAAATATTGCCGAAACTAGTTTGACGATCGATGGCATTGTCTATGTTATTGATCCTGGGTTTGTCAAGGAGAATGTCTTTAATCCTCGGACTGGCATGGAAAGTCTGGTGGTAACCCCATGCTCGCGTGCGTCTGCTAACCAGAGAGCCGGTCGGGCTGGTCGAGTTGGTCCAGGGAAATGTTTTCGCCTCTATACGAAGTGGGCGTACTATAACGAATTGGAGGAGAGCACGACGCCTGAGATTCAGCGTACAAACCTTAGCGGCGTCATTCTGATGCTCAAGTCATTAGGGATCGACCAGTTACTCGACTTCGACTTTATGGACCCTCCGCCGGCCGAGACAATCATTCGAGCGTTAGAGCAGCTCTATGCGCTAGGTTCGTTGAATGACAGGGGCGAATTAACAAAGGTTGGAAGACAGATGGCAGAGTTCCCGACGGACCCGATGTTAGCCAAGGCGATTTTGGCGGCAGACAAGTACGGCTGCGTGGAAGAGGTTCTTTCTATTGTATCGATGCTAGGAGAGGCCAGCGCCTTATTCTTCCGGCCTAAGGATAAGAAGATCCATGCGGATAGTGCGCGTAATCGGTTCACTATCAAGGACGGCGGGGATCATCTGACCCTGCTCAACATCTGGAATCAATGGGTGGATTCCGACTTTAGCTTCGTGTGGGCGAAGGAAAACTTCTTGCAGCAGCGCAGCTTGACTCGGGCGCGTGACGTACGCGATCAGCTGGCGAAATTGTGTGACAGAGTCGAGGTCACTGTCAGCACGTGTGGATCGAACAATCTGCAACCGATTCAGAAAGCCATCACGGCTGGGTTCTTCCCGAACGCAGCACGTCTGCAGCGTGGTGGCGATAGTTACCGAACGGTGAAGAACGGACAAACTGTGTACCTACACCCCTCAAGCACGCTGTTTGAAGTTAATCCTCGATGGGTGATCTATTTCGAACTCGTGCTGACGAGCAAGGAGTACATGCGGAGCAACATGCCACTTCAGGCAGAATGGTTGGTAGAAGTCGCGCCGCACTACTACAAGAAGAAGGATTTGGAGACACTGGGACTAGAGCGGAAAATGAAGGGACAGGGAGCGGCAGGTGAAAACAGTCGAGATTACTAGTGGGTTGTGTTTTTACGTACCAATGTATCGTTACCTGTATACCTAGCCGTTTATTTTATATACCTGCATTGTTAGACACGAAGTGTATTCTCTCACTTGCGTATATTGAATGAAGAGTTGAATGCTGTGCATATATCTATCTTTAGGTATCAGGACCTTATTACTCTGTACAAGAGTATATATATTACTCCGTACGGATTTATTCTTATAATTGTTCGAGCATAATAGTCCACCAACCAATCACAACACAGCCATTTTAATACCTAGAGCCAGAGACCGCGGCTGCGAGATGGGGTTAACCTCGGCTCCTTCTCGCCCGAGTTGACAGTCGTCACATCTGCTTTTTGACCCCAGATTTATTCAGCGTCATCGTCATCAATCATCCGACCAAAAAGTTACCTGACTCACTTTCGAACTCCCAACACGAAAGAAAAAGAAATAAAGAAGAAAGCCATAATGTCCCAGACCTTCACCCCCGCCGACGTCGCTTCCCACAATAACACGGACAATGGCCTTTACATCATCATCGACAAGAACGTTTACGACGTGACCAAATTTGTGGATGAGCATCCTGGAGGAGCGAAGATCTTGAAGCGTGTTGCGGGGAAAGATGCTAGCAAGCAGTTTTGGAAGGTATTACCATATTGTCTTCTGTGATTCTTTTCCCTTTTCTATTTGTCCTGGAAGGTGTCGCCGTGTCTCTGGATTAGATGAACTCCCTCCATACTCTCTATGTGGCCAGTACTGACTCGGGACAGTATCATAATGAGGGCGTATTGAAGAAGTATACATCAAAATTGAAGATCGGGGAAGTGAAGGAGGCTGCAAAGTTGTGACCGATTTATTGTTGGACGTGGATCGGGAATGTCTGAGTATATTTATCTTGCGTGGCCGCATATGGAGGGATGGAGGGTAGGATTTTTTGTCTTTCTACATGCTTCGATCACCTATTCCAGCATGATTACGCTGTATATACTACATTGCACAATACATCATCTCATATATGTATCTCTGGAGTTTTGGTTTCCTATAATAAACTCCGATGACTTGAAATAGTCCCAACTCCTAGTCCCAAAGCAAAGTGCCTTCCAGAAGTAATAACGGTGGTATCAATGCGCGAATATGAATGGCGGTAGACACTTCTGCACCTAAACACCAGAATACACAGTACTAGTCCACAGATCAGGGGGGTTTCATTTTATATCAGAGTATGTATATCCCTAAGTTAGAATCCTCTAAAAGGGTCGTCATGGCGAAAAGATTCACTACCACCATACCTTGGGTGATCAAGGTCATCAAACCGCTGGCTCCCCAAGCTCCACGGGCTTGAAGGTTCCCGCCCATGCCGTGTATGTATCGCACCATACTGGTTAGACTCAGTTTGATCAATGAATGCCTCCATCCGGACAGTACCAATGGCATCGAAGTAATTGCCAGTTCTTATACTGGTCTCGGAGGCACGCCCACTAACGCTGCTTCCACCGCTATTGATAGTTGCCGGAGCATATGCATCAAGGGGGACTTGTGCTGAAGGCATCGATGGCATGGCGCCCTGACTAGAAAAGCTACGGATCATCGGAATCCGGGGGGTAGTATTGCTGCGCTTGCGCGAGTGGTTTGAGAACCGGGGGATTGTGGGCGGGTCAGCCGCATCTGCCATATCTACCTCCGCCGGGAGCTCTGGGACAGGCTCAGGGTGTTTGAATGCTCGTCTGCCTCTTGGTCGTGGCCTTGGCCGGCCTTTCGCGATCCTAATAGAGTCGCGGATTGGGTTGCGACGCAAAGTCGCCGTCGGCGCAGACGATGCAAATTCCTCTCGCGGTATAGGAGGTAGGGCAGCTAGATCATGGAGGCCCATGGAGGAATGGCTCAAAAACGACAGCGCAGTTAGCCAGACATAATGTCGTTCGATGCTGGTAGCGGTGAACTTCAAAGCTCGCTCAGGGGTAAGGATTAGGATAGAACGGTTAAATGGGTTTTGTGGGTCAAACCCTCTAGGCAATGGGTTATCATCCTTAACATCAAGGACGGACTGGATCATCACTGCTCGTAGTTAGCGGCATATAGCCTAGTGAACTTAAGACGGGGAAACAAACGTTTTCTGCCACTTTTGCCCAGTAGCGCTGGTCCACTTGTTGGCTGTTTGCTACTCCACATAACTGCTCGCTCATACGGGGCGAGCCAGACCCATCGTTTGTGCCTTGCTCCGCTGTTGGCAATATTTGCGGACATATCTTCTGCATTCCGACCATCCCAGTTGTCTTTGGATTCGCCAACTCCGAAGGATCTCCTCCGACGAACGTACTTGAGCATCCATTCCCCGACCATCGTCTGAGCAATGGCATCAACGACACTAGTTGGCTGAACTGATGTCGCTGTGGACTCATCTCGCCGGTGGGTGAACACGCTTGAAGGGTAGGCACGATGACCGGATCGCCCTTGGCTTGCTCGCCTATCTCGTCGTGGAGTAGTAATATCGTCAAATGGAAGGGGTGGGTACTGAGGACTGTCCGCCGCATACGAAGAAGTTGACATAGTGGGAGAGGACCGAGTTCCAGGCCGGTCAGGTTCTGTTTGAGACATTGCAGCTGCAGACCGGACTCGCCGCAAGGTGGGCTGTCGAATGATTGATGGCCGACCGCGGTCAGAGAAGTTTCGAGGGTTCGAAGGGGTAGGACTCTCGCCGCCGCGCTTGGCTGAAATTTTACGTGAACTGAGACGAATTGGCACGGGAAAAGGGGGAGCTGCACTACCGTCGAGACTCAGCTCGCTAGGGCTGCGTATTCTCTGATGTGCGGCTGCCCCGTTAGAAACCATCGCCGCTCTCCGTATATCTTGCTGGAGTGTCGCCGAGGGCATTACCCCAGTGCGTTGGCTTATACGAGCAAGTCCGCTAGGGTTTTTCATATCAAGTTCAACCGTCGCATTATACAGATGAGCTTCCGCATCCAATATATGCTCATCGATTTCTGTGGTCGTCTCATCTAAGCTAGGACGGCCCTGGGTCGAGACTAATTTGCCTCTCCTCAGTGTATATGAAGCAAACGGTCGATTAAGCAGCTCATCATCAGTGAAGATATCCTTCATCTTAGGAGATAATTCCTCATCACTTGGCTGGTCAAATCCGGCAAAGAGACTACTTGATCTCAAGGGCCGTCGTAAGTCTGTCGTTGACTCTTCGGACAAGGGTCCGTTGTCATTATTACCAGGATAAGCTTGTACATGCTCGCGAGGCTTGCTTCGTGCGGGTGCCTTGGCTGGGATAGGTGGCGGTACTGGTATTTCCTCTTGTTTAACTCTTGAGTGTGGAGCGTGGTACGGCTGTATCGGGGGATCCTGAAGGTCGGTACGAAGGGGCAAATCCGGGATGGCTGATGGCAGTAAGCTCGCTGGCAACTTAACAGGACGTTGATCAATTCGTATCTCTTCTGTCTGTATACCAACCGTTCGGCTATCAAGAGTTACCCTGAACTCAGTCTGACAGGAAGCGCTCTTAGTCTGCGGCGGTAGAACCACACTTCCTCGAGGCGAGGATGGCTCGGAGCATGGCGGATGAATTGCAATCATCGGGACCTCAATATCCAGGGACCCTGGACCATCCGAAGATAGGCTTACACGTATTTCATGCGCCTCAGTAGCTTGGGGCTGCTCTGTTTGGACGGATGTAGAAACCATGGCATTCTGCTCACGGGTCGTCAACGGCGGTCGTGATTCGCCGAGCCTAGGGGTCCATGGGGGAGTGGGCAAATCACCGGCAGTTTGGGAAGATGCTGATACCATATCGGTTGAGTCCGTCCCCGTGCTGCTGTCTTTTGTCTGGTATGTGATAGAGTCATTAAAACTTTCAGCATCCTTGTCAAAGCCTATAGTACTAGTCTCCTGCTGCATCTTTGGGGTTGGAGGGGGAGAATATTGTATCCCTGCATCTTGGTAGCAATAGCTTGCAGTTGTTGTTGCTGTTGGTGGCTTCCAGGGGCTGTTAGGCTCTGACTTGAATGCGTAACCTTCAACGCTATGTAGAGAGAGGCCCAGAATTTTCCTTGCCTTGGCCCCCATCTCCATTGTGTGGGACAATTGGGAGTGAACGGACGTTGGACGTTCCTCTGGGAGTGCCTCAGGTGAATAGGGAGTAAAATCATCGTCCGGCAGATCAAACTCGTCTTCCTCGTCGAATGCCAATTCTTGTGCAAGGTTTATACCGTCGGGCTTCGCACCGGGTATATTAACCGCACTCGGCACGGAATACCGGAGGCTATGGAAATCGCTTCCATCAGTACTCACGCTTGTGACACTGGTCCGCCGTCTTCCCTGACTGCTCGAGTGGATACTCGCAGTATCACTGTCTTTCCCCGTGGTCTCCTCCTTGGACAAGCCAGCGTCATCGGGGGTCGGCGCCTGATGGAAATTTCCAGCTGCTTGGACTGCTGCCACCTCGTTCAAGACCATCTTGAGACGGCCTTCAACGACATGAACTTTACGTTCCAGATTCCTGCGCACGCCTTCCCAGGATTCCTTATCGCTGTTCCAAAGTTCCAACGTCTTATTAACCTCCTCTTCCCGACTGCGGGCTTTTTTTTGAGCTTGATCCAGTTTCTTCCGGATATCTGAGATATTCTCTAGTGCTTCATCCCTCTCCTTTGCGAGCTCGATGAGAGCTGAGGAGGTGCCGCCTTCCAGCAGCTGTAACTGATGTTTGAGCGACCGGGTCTCCTTGGTGCTATGACATAATCGCTCACTGAGATCCTCGGCCTCTGTTCGTGACTCATCCAGGCTTCGCTCCAAGACATCAATAGTTTTTGTTTTACTTTCCACATCCCTCCGTAGAGCCAAGATTTCCGAGACAAGTGAAGCATGTAACGTTGGGGTAAACCTCCGGGGATCTAGTGGTGATAAGGTGCCCTCGTATGCGGTATCTTGGTAGTCACAGCGTCCATCGAGGAAAAAGTCCTGGTTTGATGGAGAGGGGGTTGATGACGATGCACCGGGTGAGGAATCTCCTCGGCGATGCGTTGAGGAACCCCTTCGAGAAGACGTAGAGGGTGTGGGGAACACGCTTGCAACCGAAACTTGGGAGGCTGTCTCTGTTGCCATCGTTTCAATAGAATCCAATGGGCACGGGGAGACTTCAAGTTCAAGCTCGAGAGGCTTATTTGCATACAACAGCAATCGGATTCATAAGCCTCACACTATGCTATGGGGCGTCCATTTGAACCCTCCCAAGGTTACAGCGGGCAAGGACCAGATGACAGGTGAGGTGGACGCTGCCCAGCAGCTCCAGACTTTCCAGCACGGGTATCTAAGTTAGTCGCAATGAGCTGTGTCAGCCACTTATGCGCATGGGTCAAAGTGAACACATTCGGGAGTCAAGGCACGCAGGCAGTAAAAATTAATACCTACATGTGAATCTAAGGCTTAATCAGAGAGGCGGCTTTGCACAATCTGTAAAAGCAAACGTAGATATGGGCCAGAGAAAGGAGGGAGCAGGAAGACAACAGGAAGATAAAAGTCAAGGACAACAAAAAGCACCCAGAAGAGATTTGAACTAACGGCCTCTCCTTAGCCACCCAGTGAAGGGGGTGCGAGGGGATTGAACAGACTCGTCGAGGCGGGGGAGGGGGAAAAGATTCGCAGATCGCGTCCTGGGACAACAAGAAAGAGGGCGTAAGACTGACTGATGTCCACCAAGCTCTCTCATAGATCTGAGGAAGGGGACACGGTCTACATTGTATGAGGAAGCCCGTTAGATCACGGCCGATCAAGTGCTAATGAGCCTTGCGGGCTGCAGCCCAAGAACTTGTCTGAGCATCGGGATGTGCACGACGTGAGGACAAGCCGTGGCTAAGATGCTAAAGCGTTAGCTCTTCCAGGGGTGTTCGTTAGGGGGAATGGGGAACTGCGTCCACGCTCCCGATTAGTGAGGCGGATCAAAAGAACTGCTCCACTTGAGCTGCCACTGACTTTCCAAATAGGAGTAGCAAAAAAGTTCTTGGGCATAGAAGCGGGTTAGTGAAAAAAAAGACGAATCAGAATGAGGGCGATCGGCTGTGGGTATGATTACTACAGTCGACAAGAAAACCATCGTATCCCAGCAAAGATTCACGAGCCAATAGCATGTACCTCTAGCCAAAGAGAAAAAAGGAGAACGAAAATGTAAAACAGGGTAAAGTCACTGATTTGCTTGGCTACACAGCTTGAGGGAGGGGGGAGGAAAAGGAGAAGACCCAGCCAGTGGAAAGGAGAGAAGGAGCGGTTAGCCTGATGATCGTCCAATTCCTATTAATGAAATTGTAGAATACGGAGGGAGGGGAGAGAAAAACTAACTAAGAGAAATAAATAAAAAGAATTGAATAAAAATAAAAAGACAGAGTCGAATTCATAACAGCGTGACTAGTTCAGTGGACTATCTTAAAAGGAGATCCATTGAAATTCGATTATTGCTAAGGGGAGGATCTTGTCAATTGATCACTCTTGGGAAATTATTATTATTATTATGTGAGACTAGTGTGGATCCACATCCAATTGGTGCTTTTATTTGTTTTTTATTTTTTTTCTATACTACATACTTGTTAGTAGTACTCGGGCGTAGGAATATCGTAGTATCTACTGGAGAGAACAAATCTTAACATACTATCAATGTAATTAATTCCCTCGGTTTGCTTTATACTAGTTAGTTGTCTTTCTTTCATTCTCTCTTTTGGCTTTGCCCCGTCCCTTCGTCTCTCCCTTAAAGTTTTGATTGCCCTTTTCTATTGATGCCGTTCTAATCATACGATGTCTGGTGAGCAGGCAAGCCGTTTACTATTTTGCCTCTCGAGCGATCGTCGAATGTAATTTCCCAAAAAGCCTATGGTCTGGGTTTCAGCCTCTCCTAATCAATCCGTCAGAACAGGGTTTTATAATTAGATCCGATATAGTTGACCATATAATAGGGAAACGTATGCGTACGACTAGTCAGCGAGAGAATTGACTCGATATGAAATTGATTGAACCATATAATCGTAACCAAAACAAGAATCAATCAAGTTACTCCAGAGTTTACAATGTCTACTCCGTATACATGCGATTAAGAGGGGGTAGTCTGCGGGGCGTAAAGAGTCGTGATGTTTTTGGTTTTGGCTTTGTTTTTATCCCACCTGCATTGGGGCAAAGGTATTGTACTGTCTTTACAAAGCACCTGAGAAGGATCCTAGAATCTTGAGCTCTCCACCTCTTCTTCTCGGCTCCGATTTTTTGGGTAATTTAGTTTCCCCATTCCGGAAATTAGATCGGAGTTGGCGACCCTTGCTGAGAAAAAATTAGCCACTTCATTTCCATTGCTGATCTCTGAGATCAGATGTAGAAGACCAAATATATCACAGTATAGATAGAAAGGAGATACTACTTAATTAGCAGCAGCAGCAGTAGTAGTAGTATTCCTATCGGAGTAGTTCTCTGTCTCATTCTCCGGACAGTCAATGCGGGTTTTAATTTTGAGAAGCTACTACTTGGTTAGTGACCTGCAACCAATGAATCCTTATCACATAAAGATACTTTTAGACGATGACAATTGGGTCACACCTCCGTTAGCCCTCTTATCGTTCGAACTTTACTTCATTAACAGATACTAAGTTCCATCTATGTGTCTAGTGAAGTTGGAACGTGTGCTTTCCCCGACTCGAAAAGGGAACGTGAAACTAGTCGACGGACTAAGACCATACTACTTTTCCTAATTTGCAACCGGGACTCGAACGCCGACCCACACGGCAAGACATACACTTACTTTCTTTTCTGTCTTTAGTTCAGGGGGAGAAAAATTGACAGGTCATTGTGCGATAGATTAATTAATATTAATGTATTCATTATTACCCGCGGCGGTCGAGACTCGACAAGGCTGCTCACATATTTGTTCAGTTTGTCTCGAACTATATAGAATGCCGCATCGAAAATGGAAGAGGAGCGAGAGAGAGAAGACAAAGCCACTCAGTTTACTTTTTGTTCTGTTTTCCGGGTTTCATTACCGACCTCTACGTGACCTTCTTCCAAGTTATACTCCGTATAATATTAATAGATGAGCCTATACGGAGGACTTCCTCACTATTGATTTATTTTATTTTTTTAGTTTTATTTTTTCTTTCTTTCTTCAAAGAGTCGAATAGACTTGGATTGCACCGTTGAAGATCACCGGCCTGCAGCTGTCAACATGAATGGGGCCTAGTTGCTTAGTCGTAACTTGTCAGCTTATCATAAAAGACTTGCATATCCCATTGCCGGCATCATATAGTCACATAATCAACCTGAAGCCGCGAACAACTTATAATGTGATGGATCTATTAGTCGCCTGCAGTTTCTGGAGTTTATCTAATATCTACGGAGTACTCCGTAGATAACCATTGTATATAGTATGTCCCACATCTTAATTGGCCATATCATATTCAAAAACGACTATTAGATCCATTTCAAGGCCACATCGAGAATGGAATTGTTTGATCATTACCCTAAACGGTCACTGACTAAGCGACAGCTTCAACTTGATCTTTTTAGGGGATGACGTTATCCGAATCCTCGTCGCGGCATTATGTGACAACACAGCTCCAATACAACTAGAGTACATGCCAATCGACATACTCCCCAAAGTCTTGTTCTTCGACGTGTTCGGAACCGTCGTAAAATGGCGTTCATCTGTCACAAGAGAGTTACAAGAAGCTGCTGAGCGTGCCCTTTATAATCCCCACAAGTCTATCCCTGGGGACGGACGCGCACAGGTCTTGCAGATGACTTTTACGGATTGGCTCTCGATTGCAGAGGATTGGCGAGAATCCTATGGGCAGTTTACGGGGAACTTTGATCCTTCTCGGGGTTTCGTCTCGGTCGACCAGCACCATTACACGGCTCTATCCAAGCTACTCCAGCAACAGGAAATCGGGAGCCTCTTCATAGATAGCGAGAAATGGGACCTGGCTTTCTGCTGGCACTGACTTCCTCCATGGCCTGACAGCGTTCGGGGTTTGGAACTATTGAGCTGAAACTTCGCAACGTTTCCTTACTAGAGGACCTTCGACGGTATGGCTCCTTGCTTTTACAGATGTAGCCAGTGCAGAGAACTTCGGAGCATATAAATCTTCGCCTTGCATGTATCACGGAGCGGCAGCCCGCTTCAAGCTGGATCCCAGCCACTGCGTCATGGTGGTAGCCCATCTCGATGACCTGAAGGCGGCTAAAGCACAAAGTTTTCAGACAATCTATGTTGAACGATTTCAAGAAGAAACGAAAGATTTGACTTGGGCAAAGAAAGAGGGTTATGTGGATCTCTACGTCAATCTGAACACAGGCGGTTTCGTTGAAGTTGCGCGACGACTCGGATCCAGCAATAATCCCTAGATATATGTTATATTATTCTATTGTGCAAGTGGGGACGTTTTGTTTCGACTCTTACGTTTGTGATCCTCTCTCAACGTAACGGCATAGTCTAGCATAGCGCATATAAATTTAGAGTATGATCCAGTGACGGGAATCTAACATTCTTTCCTAATCCTTGAATTTAGTTCGAGTTACCGTGATGACGCAGCTGGTGAAGCCATCAATTGCAACATCGATCTTCAATTTGTTAGCCCCCTCAACTTGGATGACAAATTCGAATGTTTGAAATCAAATACATATAGTTAAATTCGCTGTTATTATATGCAATCAATCAAATCACTTTTCGAATGAGAGGAGCAACATGACGGAACAGGTACGTAGGGCATCTTAATGGCACCTCCATGCTAAGTAAGACCTTCAGGAGCACAAAGTCTACCGTCATGCTGATGCTGATGGCCACTTTCGGCGGAAGGATTCGGTTTTCCGTTCAATTGTTTCCAGCGATCCCACGGCTGAATTCCCTGCTGAGAAAGACCGCTACATCTTATACTTGGGTTACGGCTGCCCATGGGTGCATAGGCCTAACATAGTTCGATCGCTGAAGGGCCTGGAGGAGATTATCCCACTGGTGGTTTTGGATCCCGAGCTGGGGGCCGATGGATGGTTCTTCTCAGATCTGTAGGGATCAGCAAAAAAGGACCCTCTCTACGGATTCACGCAGCTAAGACAGTTATATTTCAAGGCAGACCCGGCGTACGAAGGGCGGTACACTATTCCGGTGTTGTGGGACAAGAAGGAGACGATCGTGAACAATAAGAGTAGTGAGATAATGCGGATGTTCTATACCGAATTGGACCATCTACTTCCGGATGACCTGCGCGAGGTCAACAAGCCGGGTGGGGGATTCTACCCTCTGTATTTAAGAAATGATATTGATGAGATGAATAAATGGGTATACCGTTAGATTAATAACGGGGTGTACAAGACCGGATTCGCAACAACTCAGGTGGCATACGAGGGAAATCTTTATCCGCTGTTTGAGGCGCTGGATCGCATCAAAACCCACCTGCACAGCAAAGACACCAACCTGTTCGGAGAGCACATAACTGAGACCGATATCCGGTTGTACACGACCGTTGCCCGGTTTGATGTAGCCTATTATCTCATATTCCGATGTAACCTGAAGATGATCTGGCATGACTACCCACAGATTCATCTTTGATGTCGTCGGCTGTACTTCGACGAATCCAAACGGACGCAGGGGGTTGCCTTTAAGAATACAACATTCTTTGATATTATAAGTGGTATGCTTAGGGAGTGAGGCTGGCTTGGAACTGTTGCTGATTACAGCATACAGTACAAATTTGGTTACCTGAAGGCAATGGGCAAGCGAACGGGCAGTTCGCAGATAATTGTCCCTGCTGGCCCGCTGCCAAATACCTTGCCACTAGAGGACTCATAGCGCATTTATAGCACAAGGTTAAACAATGTATTTCAAAACTCGTCCTAGTGATCTGAAAAGAGGATGTGCGTACCGAGGTGCGCAAAACGGCCCAATCTCCACCTGAACACATACTGCCCCGTATATTAGACTTCCTGAACCAGAAATAATACTCAAATAGCAAGGAATGATACATGTGACCCTCATACCTAACAGTCAGCTCTGTAGATATTTCGCGCATGGTACTAAGTTTGAACTAATGTGGACGGATTGACGCCCGTCTGCTCCCAGCAGCTCGGGTGCTGGGCATTAAGAATGATATCTCGTGGGTCTTGCCCAAACCATGGCATTGGATATGCCAAGGTTACTTCGCCCATAGCTATCACAACTGATCAGCACGGAAAATAATCACGACCAATTTAATTCCATGACCTATGGATTTTCGAGTTGTCGTATACTAAATCAGTTGAAGATCAAACTATAAACACCACGTACCTACTATACTTTCGCACATAGACGCTCCGTACCCCTTTCACTGAGCGTCGGATCCGACGAAGTCTGTTTGAGACCCGACGACCGAGGATGTGATTCAGACTGGTAAAAGCTCGGCACCACAATGACATCCGTTATATGCTATGACCCAAGGCTAGTAAAGAGGCAGTGTTGCGTAGGAAATTCAGGAGAGCAGAGGTCCCAATTTTGTCCTAAACCACAGGCGATGTCAGAACCTCCGATCCACCTAGCCTTGGTCTTCGTAGTATGCAAGGACGGTTAGCTGTCAGGCACGGACATTAGTACAGTAGTAAGTTCATAATTGCTCCTGCACGTAGTATGTACCTATACTAAGGTATTTGTAGCGCTAACCATTAGCAATATTGTATTTTAGTACGATATTAGATAAGTAATTTTACCTTCGTACCGGGATTCGAGAATCTTGTATGCTGTATATAGCAATTTAGACCAAGGCAACGGAGCGCCCCTGACCTATGTACAATATGTATTTGGAGATTGTCAGTTACCTCTTGTAGAGAACATTCTTTTAGTTCGGGTTCCAGCTCGATGACCGGCAGAGCATAATGCCAAATTGCCTGCATTCAGGAGGTGACGATGCCAGTACAATGGAGTATATACATAAGCCTGGAATATCTAGCAGTATGAATTTGGAGGAGAATCGCATTATATGCAAATTTCTGGCATGAGGTCATTAATATGCATTCCACTCTGATCAGTTACGAATGACAAGCTGGAGAAAATATTTCGAGTCAATTTGATTATGTTGATACGACTATTGAGAGCTAGTAATCGGAACAGATACGCATTTCTGGGCCATCGGCGACCATTGTAATCTTGCTATTAGTTACCCACGTGGAAGACGGGGCGGGGGGATTACTGTGGATGCAGTGTAGGGGGACAAAAAAAATGGTGAGCTGTTGGAACTCAACTTTTGGAATGGATCGGGCTTACCCAAATCCAGGTTAGCCTTGCTGCCACTACTCCATGATACCCTACTATCCACAGATACCTAGGAAATACACAGGATGATGTACCCGACACGACATGTACCTACAATACAGAGTCAAAAACTCCATTTGCTCGACAATCTTGCCCTCCGTTTCCCCTAGATTCTACTACTAAACTTATTCTCGCGGGCTTTCCCTTTTTTGGTCTGATTGTACGCATGCCAGCATTTTCATATTTCCCCTTTTCTGTTAAATGATGACAAATACACTGCTAAGCTTTTCCATCCATTAACTATGTCTTAAAAATTACCTAAGGGAAAACTAAACTGTTACGCGTATATGCTCCGGAGCTCCCACAAGGGAAAGATGTATGAACTGCTAAGGGATGTACTACAGAATGTATGTTCATACCTACCAGGTAGCATCTCTCTCCTTCTCGTTCTTTCTTAGCCCCACTATCGAATAAACAACGTTGAATGATCCAAGCACAAGGCAAAGAAGGAGAACTGGCTGCGTCTTTCCAAAAGTCATATTTTTGGTCGTAGATTGTAGCATAAACTTATTTGCCTGGAAGTGCCTAGGCTGTGCTATACTTCAGGATGGACGACCCCTAGACTTCAGCCTCAAGGCCATTACAAGGAAACTATCAAGGCGATCGATCCCATATTTCTATCCAAATTGTTTGCCGCCGATAGGAAAATAGAGTGCCTAAAGCACATAGCCTCGACGACAAGAGTGCAATACGCCAATCAGAGTGAAGCCGTGGAACAGCCCTCGACGTGATAATGATGGCTTGCCAAACTACTCCAGTTGGTGTCAGATGCTACTCATAGATATGATCATTGCGGGATAAAGGTAGTAGCAACCTTAATCGTATGTGCAGCTACCAGGAATTGGGTGATTGTCTAACTATATGGATTGTTTGGCACGGTCCATCTAGGCCGAAATAATACGTGAAAACTAGGACGGACTTTTTGTACCCTATAGTGTCCAAGACAGTGCTGTTTTCTTGTATCAATAGCAGTGCATCTACTTTGAGTAGTTAATGTGCTTGCTTTGCGAACACCTGGAGTAAGAGAATAAATCGATACTATTCTAGATCTACAAGCCCTAAGGTGATCCGTAAACGTCCCCCAATTGAATGAATGATGACTAACCAAATCTATTTAGTTAACTAATCCAATGAATACTTAATCCCTGTTAGCTCGTGGAACCTTATTTAACCAGCGATGGACCGGGCCGGCACTGGTCATCGGACGGTTTCCGGCAGGGAGGTGTACAGTAGGGTACAGTATCCAAGGTACACAAGAATTTCGTATCGTCGTCGTCGTCATTTCGCTTAGACCTTCACTGTAGCATTTGGGGTACGGAATACATACTACATATAGTACGGCTAAGTCCCTAGGGGAATAATCCCAATGATACAATAGGGGTAGGATAGACCCCACTATAGGTAATTATCATGGAACTTTCTTCGTCGAATGAATTGTCGCTAAGCCCTGATGGGGCGGTTATTTTCCCCTAAAGGCAGTTTTCACATGTCGATGGTGACGTTAGTAAAAGCAAAATGGAACAGACTTTTTCTGTTCATTTTTTGAGAGAGAAAAAAAAGATTAGCTACCAGATAGGATAGATGTTACCTTGCAAGTGTGAACAATGCGCAAGTTGCTAATTTGACGCAAGGTCCCGCTGGTGGTATAGGATCACCATATATAATAATAGTGCCTTAAGAGCCCAAGATTCAAAAGTCCCAAAGCTTACGACAAACTACGTATTAGTTATCCCCGGGAATTAGGAAGATTGGTTTTAGCCTGACCATCAGGGGCCGCGGAATGTTCTATCTACCTTCCCCGTGTGGACCTCTGGAAGCTCGTGATGGTTGCACCGGCGAAACCTACCATTTCCCCCCTCCTCTCCTCATTATTGTTCTGCCTAGGAAACTAAGCACGTCTGAAAGAGAGAAAATATTTGACCCTCTCAGGCTCGCACTGAGTTCTGATTGTGGTAGTTTGTGTTAAGTGGGAGTATATGAACGTTCATACTGATACCCAGGATCTCGTTGATTTACATAGCCTCACTGTCTTAACTTGGGCCATGAACTTTTTTAATTTTTGAAACTGCGTTATAGGATCGGTTAGTTTTGTCTCATATGACCCTCTCCGAAGGATTGGTCAAGTCCTACTGTGGCAGTCTCTCATACAAGGAATAAATGGATAACAAATACCAACTGTCTGTGCCTGACTTCCAGTGGAGAGCACCCTGAACTTAGTGTTACCGTGCATCCACTTTGTGTCTACCCGAAACCGTTTCGAAGATGTTCAAGCCGGATGGGGTTTCTGGACTCGAGAGTGGAACACACCAAGAAGACCAGAATTGTGCTAGGAGGAAGAATGGGCACCGAAGATACGGACTAAGGTCCAATAGATTGGTTAGAATACGTTACCTACCGAACAGTTGGGAAGAAGCACTAGAAGCTGTCAGAGAACTATTATCGGAAATAGCTAGCTAGTACTATCTATGGACCATAAATGACAAGCACTCATTCTACATACGTACTCCTACCAACCTAATTCCTGTGAATATCCCATTAGACCAAAAAAACAGCTACAAGTCCGTACTAATGATGGAGAATTATCACGTAATGATTCGGGCTAGGTACCCGTGAAGTTGATACAGTCAAATTAAACGTTAAAAATTGGGGATTGCATCATGTTGTAGTAGTAGTAGTAGCAGCAGTAGTACCCTTAATATGCTTTGCAAATATATACACAAGGTTTAAATTTTGATAGAACCTGCGTGCGGTACCTTTGAGGGGAAAAATCATGCTCATACATCATCCCGTACAGGATCTCCACTTACGCTGCGCGGGTCCATCTGCATGTCCAGTTGAACAAGTGTGCAGCTCCAGTTCCAGCTTCAAGCCCCAGATAGACACCGTCGACCCACCACGAAGTGATATTCTCTATCTGTGTGGCGCCCCTCTTGCTTCTGCCGGCTTGTACTTTCGTCCCCCTCTTCATCTCTACACCTTACTCATTCAACCATTTTTTACTATTCTCCTATTCTCTTCCCACCTAGTCAAAGTCCAGCTATAGCACCTAACCTCCTAGGTAATCAGTCTACTAGATAATTAAAGCAAATGATAGCCAACTTTCCTTATTTTTTTTTTTTTTTTAAAAAAAATAGCTTTGATTGTTGCGAAATAGAAAGAAAGGCAGGAAGCCGTCTATACCTCATTCCCACCAACAACACCAGCTCCTAACTACAACATACGCTAAGCCAAAATTAAAAGACGGCTCTTGGTCTCCGGCAGGGATCATTGTCTCTGACGCCTCTTTTCATTATCTATTTTGAATTTGTGATTCTATTCTATTCGCCTTTTTCTTTTTTCCTTTCTTTCTTCCTTTTTTTTTTTTCGCTTTCCTTTTTTCCCCCTCTCCCTCCCCTCTGAAAGCCCCCTTCCTCTTCTTTCTTCCTAAAATCTGTTATACTGTTCAGATTCTCTCTTCTCCCGCCTTTTCCAGATCCTTAAAAACTTGATCTTCCGTGGGTATTTTTTTTCTTATTTGGGTTTCGCCCCCCCTCATCCCGTTCTGTTACTTGCTGGCCAAGCCTTTCTTACCTCCTGGGAACCGGCGCCTATTCCCCCTCACCCTCGTTCGCGAACGAGATAAGAGAAAGGCTCGTTAAAAAAGCCTCCCCCCAATTTATCGTACATACACGCCTACATACTCGTACATCTACTGTTGGCGATCGCTCCCCTAGACTTGCCCCTTCCCTTTCCCCCTCACGTGGCGGAAACAGTTTGAGGCAAAATAAAACCTCTGCGTGTTTTATCACAAGAACTCTGACAAAGCATCCACTTTTCTTACTTTTGCCTTTCTTTTTCTATAATTTTTTTCTTATAATTTGTATATTTCTTCCACGTTGCGCGGAGTTGCGAACAGCTTCATTTAGCGGATTACTTCCGGTTGTACCTCCTCCCGTATCATCCTGCAGCTGGTGGCCGCTTATTTGCGAACGGCTCCAATCCTAATTGGGAGATTGTTTTTCTTTTCTATCTCTTTCTTTTTGTTCCTTCCAAGAACGAAAAGACTTGGACCAGAAAAAAGATTTTTTTTCCTTCGACTCCCACTCAACTGGTCTAATTTGTTCCCCTCTTTTTATTCTGATTCTCCTAAGGTACGTCTGAGTTGGGGAAAATTCATTGCTCCCTTGGTTTTCGGTGTGGGTATGTGCTTAGACGGCACTCTAAAGTATCGACGATAATTCCGGTGGCTAATCGCGCACTACCAAAATAGCCGTTCTTTGGATTCCTACGTTCCCGTGTCCGTGCTCAATCTGGAGCATCCCATAGATCTCTTTTCTTCTTTTTCCTCCTCGATCTTCCTACCTTTCGACTATTTTGTCTGCTTCGCCATTGCGTTCTGTTTATACGCCAGATACCCAATTTTTTCCTTCTTACCGCCTACAGCTTCTATATTCGGTCGCCATGTCGGGGAAAATGACATTGTACAAGTTGGTGGTGCTGGGGGATGGTGGTGTCGGAAAAACGGCGCTCACGATTCAGGTTAGTCCTTCACCCCTTCGTCTCCGGCCACGTTCCAAATTACTGAATAATTGGACCCTCGTGGTTTCGTCCAATAGCTGTGTCTGAATCATTTTGTCGAAACCTATGATCCAACGATCGAAGACTCGTATCGAAAGCAGGTGGTGATCGATCAACAATCATGTATGTTGGAAGTGCTGGATACCGCAGGCCAGGAGGAATACACAGCACTCAGAGACCAGTGGATTCGCGACGGCGAGGGGTTTGTGCTTGTGTATAGTATCACCTCGCGGGCCTCTTTTTCGAGGATACAGAAGTTTTACAACCAGATTAAAATGGTCAAAGAATCTGCCAGTTCCGGCTCCCCCACCGGCGCCAGCTATCTAGCCTCCCCGATCAACACTCCGTCCGGTCCTCCGCTTCCCGTCCCCGTGATGCTGGTTGGTAACAAGAGCGATAAAGCTGTCGAGCGAGCGGTATCCGCACAGGAAGGCCAGGCTCTGGCCAAGGATTTGGGCTGTGAGTTCGTTGAGGCGTCCGCGAAGAATTGCATCAATGTCGAGAAGGCTTTCTACGATGTCGTTCGGATGCTCAGGCAGCAGCGGCAACAACAACAAGGAGGGCGATCTCAGGATCGCCGGCCCACCGGCTTGGGTCCAATGCGCGACCGTGACGCTGGTCCAGAATACCCGAAATCTTTCAGGACTGACCGTGGCGGTCGGCATCGCGGTTCGCTTAAGTGCACCATTTTGTGAAATGAACCCCGTCTTGCTGGTCGAGTTACTCCTGCCCGTGGCTAGCCGACCAGAGGAATGAATAGGTCCTTTGTGTGAGTTTTTATGATCAGTCGTGGATGACGGGTTCACTCTTCTTGATCTTCGACCTTATCTATGAGAACTCATGCGAGTCCACTTTATGACAATATCTTCACTTGTTTATATTGACCGCGAGTCTCCGTGGCCCTTCGGCTCTGCACCTAGCATCGTCTCTTTTCTTCTTTTCTCCACCCCCCTTTCCCTCTTCCCCTATTATTCTTAATAACTCAACTTGTTGAGATGCAATGGTTGGTGGTAAATTATGCTTTGACGCATGATATATGCTATCTTTACCATATGGGAGGCGATTTCTCAAGACCATCTCAGGGTGTTTCGGCTACGGGAAGAGTTTGTGTTTCAAGAGGCCGGAAGCCGTCGGGGCCTTAGAAGGATATGTGTATTTTTGTTGTTTCCTCCCTTATGTTCATTTTCGATCCGCTGGCCCATTACCCGCCTCGTGAATCTTGATCTGTCTCCACGGCCCCTTTGTTACACAACGGGGCTTTTTTTTAATGGGGAATGAAGAGGGGCCAGTTATGGATGGAAGGACCGCTCGCTGAAGAAATGGAGGAAGGATCGGTATGTGGTTTGAAAGGAAGCCAGAAGATGGCGGTCGACAGTTTAGCAGGCATTGCGATATGATACCCTACGGTTGAGCTTTGAGTTGCGATTTTTGATGCATTTTGCGAGTAAACTACTAGGTACTAGAAGGAAAAAACAAAGAGGTCCGATTTCATCAAACCCGTTTTCCATCGCATGAACCACACAGAATTGGAAACAGAAATGCCATGAAATGAAATGAAATGAAAAAGGGATGACCAATGGCATCAATATTCAACTAAGCTGATTTATCGATTTTTTGAAAGCATTGATTTGAATCTGAATCGAATGCGGGGAAAGCTTCACAATTCCTTGCCTCGGTTCACAGAGAATGCTTCAACCCACGATCAATCAATCCCTCTTTTTTCGACCAGAGTTTCCAAAAAAAGAAAAAGAAAAAGAAATACAATCCGCCGGAGAAGGAGTATGACACCACTTACACGGATGTACGGACCACATACCAGGTATCCCCGATTCTGGCCTTAAGAATGAGACCCGGACCCCTACCTTCACATCCCCGCATGTCTACGCCTTTGCTAGCCGCTGAATACGATGGTGATTGACCGACAAGCTGCAGGAAGACCTCTTGGCTGCTGCAGGCCTTCTGATCCCTATTGATTCTAATTTCTTTTCTTTTCTTTTTTATTTTAACTTCCTACATTTGTCTTTCTCTCTCTCTCTTTCCTTCATTGCTTCCCTTCTTCCTCTTCTTCCCCGCTAGCTTTTCTGTCCAGTTGGATTCCAACGACAATTCGGAATGTCACGTCATCCACAGCAGCTGGTGCATCGCTCTTCTCTTCAAGACCCGGAGAATTTCTGGTCTCATCATGCAGAACAGCTCTACTGGCATCGAAAACCATCGCATGCGATTAGCCGGCATTCCAAGATTCTCCCCAGCGGTACCATCCATGACCATTGGTCCTGGTTCGCCGATGGGGAGATCTCCACGACCTACAACTGTGTTGACCGTCACGTAGAAAACGGCAATGGTGACAATATTGCGATTATCTGGGACTCCCCGGTAACGGGTAACAAAGAGAAATACACCTATCGACAATTGTTGGACGAGGTGGAGGTCTTAGCAGGGGTATTGCGAGAAGAAGGAGTCCGCAAGGGTGATGTAGTCATTATTTATAGTATGCTACCCGAGCTTTGACTCCTATACCGGCTTTTCTTTTCTTTTCGGTTTTATTCTGAGCACACAAAGGATGTTAACAATGTCCAGTGCCCATGATTCCGGCCGCACTCATCGCAGCACTGGCGATTGTCCGATTAGGAGCAATCCATGCGGCCGTATTTGGCGGGTTTGCGGCCAAGTCTCTCGCACAACGGATCGAAGCCGCTAGGCCACGAATCATCATGACCGCTTCATGTGGTATCGAAGGGTCCAAGGGCCCTGTGGCTTATCGGCCGTTAGTGGAGGGGGCTATCGGAGCAAGTCGCTTTAAGCCTGAGAAGGTCATGGTTTGGCAAAGGGATCAGCTGCGGTGGGATCGACCGGATAAGCTGGGTGGACAGCGGAACTGGCAGCGGTTGGTCAAAAGCGCCCGCATGCGGGGTGTCAGAGCCGGACCGGTACCCGTAAATGGCACGAATGGGTTGTATATAATATATACTAGTGGTACGATTCAATATCTCGGAAGATGATGTTGGTTGGTAAGACTGACAAGGAGGTTCAGGTACCACCGGATTGCCAAAGGGGGTGGTTCGAGAAGCTGGTGGACATGCGGTCGGATTGCACTTGTCCATCAGGTATCTATTTGGAATCCAAGGCCCAGGTGATGTTATGTTCTGCGCATCTGATATTGGCTGGGTAGTCGGCCACTCGTATATACTATACGCGCCCCTGATAGTTGGTGCAACAACAGTGCTCTTCGAAGGAAAGCCTGTTGGAACACCAGATGCGGGCACATTCTGGAGGGCTATCGAGGAACACAAGGCCAACGTCCTGTTCACAGCACCCACAGCTATTCGTGCCATCCGAAAGGATGATCCTGATAATAAGTTCTTTGAGGAGGTAGCCTGTCGCGGTGGACTGAGACACTTCCGAGCCCTTTTCCTCGCTGGAGAGCGGAGCGAACCCAGTATTGTCCGGATATATCAGGACCTTCTATCCCGTTATGCCGCTCCTGGAGCCATGGTCGTGGATAATTGGTGGTCATCCGAATCAGGTTCGCCTATCTCTGGGCTGGCGTTAAATAGTACAGCTGGAATGGTATCGTATGGAGGTCCGGAATCAAAGCCGCTGGCTATCCGACCTGGCTCAGCCGGATTGCCAATGCCGGGATTTGACGTCCGAATTGTTGATGATGAAGGTCACGAGGTTCCCTATGGGACGATGGGCAACATCGTTCTAGCCCTGCCACTGGCTCCCACGGCCTTCACTCGGCTGTTCAATGATGACGAGAGATTCTACAAGGGATATCTCAGGCGTTTTTCTGGTCGATGGGTGGACACAGGCGATGCAGGTATGATCGACCGGGATGGGTACATTCATGTAATGGCGCGAACGGACGATATCATCAACGTGGCTGCACATAGGTTTAGTACAGGTACTTCTCCCTAATATTGATTACGGTTATACATCGACTTACGTGACTTTGATACTTGCAGGTGCAATCGAACAGGCGATCCTATCACATCCAGAGGTCGGCGAAGCCAGCGTTGTTGGCATGCCGGACGCACTGAAGGGCCATCTCCCATTTGCCTTTATACAGCCACGGACGGCATCTGTTGCCCTGCCAGCGACACCTACCCCAGAGCTATTCAACGCGATCAACCAATTGGTTCGTGAGCAGATTGGAGCAATTGCGTCGCTCGGAGGTATAATTCAGGGACGCGGCATGATCCCGAAAACGCGCAGCGGCAAGACGTTACGACGAGTACTGCGGGAGCTTGTTGAACATGGGGTGCGCGGAGAATACGAGGCACCGGTGAGCATACCACCGACCGTGGAAGACGCAGAGGTAGTGGAAGTCGCGCGAGGGAAAGTGCGAGAATACTTTGAACAGAAGCAGCAAAGACAAGCCAAACTGTAAAATAGGTTGCGCAGGTCCCGGGCACAGCCTCGAACTACCCTATATGTGAAGAAAGTAAATTGAAAGAAATCCTACGTTGCAGCTTGGTAGAGCTTTCAAAACCAGCGTTTTACCTTATGTTATTATAAAGGTTGTATGGTATACACAGGAGATCTGAGTCATCCGAAATAAGTATTAACAAAAAAAAAAGCCGTCAAGATATCAAAAAAGTGAATACAATATGTATGCTATCGGTCATATCACCAATGAACAGTGATCTAGATCCTCCAACAAGAGTACAAAGAACTTAATAAATCCGTCATCATAGCCAAATACATCTATGCGATATGTTCTCACCCCTAGCCTCAGCGGGTTACGCCAAAATCAGAGGCAACATAGGATCGCATTCATGACGACAGACCCCGAGAATAAATATTTAAAGGGATAATATGAAGATGCGTTTAAAGTTAATCAACCCGTCCATCCATTGAGGGTGAAGTCAGTTTACAGCAGAACAGCGGCAAGGCCGAAGACGGTCGCAAGACCGGCACCAGCACCGACAGCGGCGCGAGAGCCACCGCTCGTGAAGAGAGGGACGGCAGGGGTGGTGCTAGAGCCAGTAGGGGAGACGTCAGAAGGACCGGACGCCGAAGGAGCAGGAGCGTTGGTCGAAGCAGGGTGTGTGGGTTGTTGAGTCAGAGGGGTGGAGGAGACGACAATGCTGCTGCTGCTGGGGCGCTTGATGGAGGAGCTGCTAGGAGTAGCCTTAGAGCTGCTGGGGATGACGGGAATGACGGGGACACTAGAGGAGCTGCCAGTAGGATAGCTGCCACTGGGAGAGATAGTGTCAACAGGGTTGACACCGGTGGGGGTGCCGGCAGGGACGCTGGTGCTATCGCTGATTTATTTGTCAGTTCAAGATTCTTGATAGATAGCGGGAATGTATAGCATACCACTTGTTGCACTCAGTCACAGTGGAGGTGATGAGAGGACGAGTAGTGGTGTAGCCCTATTTTCCAATTAGTATCATTCTGTCCCAAAACAGCGTATTGGAAGCAACTAGAGCAATCTAAATTAAGAAAGAGAAGAAAAAAATCCCAGGAACCTACAGGAGGGATGCTGATAGACTCGCTCGCAGGGAGGCTGGGAGCAGCAGTAGATGCGGCGCAGTAAGTGGCGGTTTCCGTAACAATATGAGTGATTGTCTCCTCAGCGACAACACCAGCGGCCACAGCGGCGAAAACAGCAGCGAAAGAAAGACGCATTTTGTCTAGTTGTTTGTTTTCTCTAAAGAAAGACAGATGGATTGAATTCAAAAGTTAGTAAGTTTGTGTTGGATTTTCTCCCCAAAGGTAAAGAGTGACGTGAAGTAAAGAATGTACTCGGCTGAGGCCGGAATAGATGTATAGTGATTGGCTTCGGGGTTGAGAAAGGAGACGGAGGAAGAGGGAGAAATGGAAGAGGGAGCGCGAGACACTAATTAATATAATAAACTGGGGACAAAGGGACTAAGTCGAGACTAATGTTTAATTACTTCTGGATATCAATCGGTGGTGTGGCAATTGGAGAGTGGGAGCATCTGATTGGGTGAAGGGCGGAGGATTATCACTCCCGTCCAGACCCACTCTTATATACACAGCCAGGAACCAGGAACAAAACCCCTTTTCCTTTCTCTTTTACTCCACGTTGTTCGTGTGTTCCTGGGCAGCAGCCCTGCGTGTTTGAGATTTAGTACTGACTACTGGACGCCTTTGAGTATGGACTGATCGGTTCGATGTATCTATGGGCCGAGATGAGACTGAGTTTCCTGGAGCTGGCTGGAGCAAGGCTTTTCTTTCTCCCTCTTTGCCCCTCCTGATTGACCTCTTCTCCTATCTGGAAATATGGAGAATAAGGTACGGAGTATACTCTACAAAGTGTAACCTAGGTAGTAATCCTTATAGTTCAATCCCCGTTCCTCATAGAGTTTTTTTTATCTCTTTTTTTCAACCGCCCTGAGAATCATTGCCCGGTTAAGTAATCATTCGGAACCCCCAACTTGAATATTTAGTTTGTCATTCGTTCACTTGCACCCAATTACAAGTCATTCAGTGAGGCAAATATTGAGATATTCCCCCTGTTCTATTTTTTGCTTGTGCGCGGATTCCAGTGAATTTAAGCGTAGTATTATCATTATTATTAGTATTGTCACTATCACTAGTATTAGTATTATTATTAATATTAATATCAATAACAATAATCGCTCACTCGTTTGCTACAAAGGGTGTCCCTGTTGGCAATTCATACTAGTACCATGAGTGGGCAAAATTTACCAATGACCATGTTTGGTCCTGTATGTCTTGATGTAGGTCTCGTTCATTGTTTGAGCCTAGGGCGCACACGGCAAGGCACAGACGCGAAGTGTGACCGTTGATCCTGAGCATATGCCGGAGTTGGGATCATCGAATCTAGGCCTTGACAAACCATTTCCTGCTGCTAGGTTGGGTTTCAGGGGACAAGCGATTGCTTGAAATATGGTTTTCAGATCGACAGATTGACATTGGTGCTAATGCTAAGAACAGAGGTGTATAGCTAATAAGGATATCGGGGCCTGCCACGATCAAGTCATCACTCGATTGCTCAGATTGATAGACAAGGCAGCGAAGACAAGGTCCAACCATATGTGTTATATATTACAGAGATACGATAATCCTCCGCCATACCGTGTTTGACGAGAAAATCCAGTATTACACAACCTCCAATCCGATCGTTCATTGTCCCAAAATGGATGGTGAACGGCGGGACACTTCAGCACCGCCCGGGAAAGGCCAGCAGAGCCGTCCTTCCCACGAGAACTGACAAGTTAAAACCGTTTCTTCATCTTGGATTTAGTTGTGTGAAGAAGAAAAAAGAAAAGAGAGCGAGGCCGGAAGTCGGAGTCAAAATAAGCGATCGGGATGGAATAACAATTATCCCGATCATCGGAGATGCTAATCCATAGTCGGGCTAGCGTATTGCTTTCCGCGGGCAACGGTATCACCGCGCGATTAGTTGTCCGATGATAGGATACACTACGGCGGTTATTCCTCCATTACGTCTCATTAAATTCCCATCTATTTCCCCCCTCCCTTTCCTTGTGCTTTACTGTAGATTCGCCTTGTCTGTTGTAAGGAAATACGGCAGGAGAGTCAAAATGCTGAGCCGTTGTGGTCCTCAGGCTTTGCGGTTTGTCCCGCGTACGGGGAGCTCTTCCAGAGCTATCACTATCTCTACTCAACTCCGACCAGCTGCTTCCTTGTGCGCTTCCAGCTCAGTTTTCCAAAACCGGAATGTCTCGTCTTCCAGTCGCGATGGGCAACAGCATGTATGTGCCCCTTGATTACAATCGCTTCTGAACGAATGGGCAAAAGACCGCAGATGAGATGGAGTCCCATGCTAACGTCACTCTCCGCAGCTGCTCTCCGCACACTTTGAGGAGGAGGACCCCACAATCTACAATATCCTTCAGAAGGTAGGTTTTTTGACCCCGTTTCGCAATTGATACACCGCTAGAGGCTATAGTACTCATAGATTCACAGGAGAAAAAACGTCAGAAGCATTTTATCAATTTGATACCGTCAGAGAACTTCACTTCGCAAGCGGTCCTTGATGCCCTCGGCAGTGTGATGCAAAGTCAGTCCACCATTCCGGCAAATGTGCGCTCCTTCCAACTAACCAGCCGCCAGACAAGTACTCCGAGGGTTACCCCGGCGCCAGATATTACGGAGGAAATGAATATATCGACCAGTCGGAGAAATTATGCCAGCAGCGTGCTTTGGAGACTTTCCGACTCAACCCAGAGGAGTGGGGTGTGAATGTTCAACGTGAGTTGACCAAATTAATAACAACCTATGGATTTGAAGCTAAGGCCTAAGCAGCTCTTTCCGGCTCCCCCGCGAACTTATATGCCATCTCCGCCCTTCTCAACACCCATGACCGTCTGATGGGCCTGGACTTGCCTCATGGTGGTCACCTATCCCACGGTTACCAAACTCCCACCAAGAAGATCTCATTCATCTCGAAATACTTTGAAACCCTTCCTTACCGCCTTGATGAATCAACTGGTCTCATTGACTATGACGCTCTCGAGAAGCAGGCCATGCTCTACCGCCCTAAACTCATTATCGCCGGCACCTCGGCCTATAGCCGCTTGATCGACTACCCTCGCATGCGCCAGATCGCAGACGCAGCCGGTGCATACCTTCTCAGCGACATGGCTCACATCTCTGGTCTGGTTGCTGCGGGTGTGCTTCCCTCACCATTCAGCCACTCTGATGTGGTGACAACCACTACTCACAAGTCTCTGCGTGGTCCCCGTGGTGCCATGATCTTCTACCGCAAGGGGGTCCGCCGGACGGACAAGAAGGGCAATCCGGAGATGTATGACCTGGAGAACCCTATCAATGCTTCCGTCTTCCCGGGCCATCAGGGTGGCCCTCATAATCACACCATTACCGCTCTTGCGGTTGCGCTGAAGCAGGCTCAATCGACTGAGTTCAAAACTTACCAGGAGACTGTCCTGGCCAATGCCGTAGCATTGGCTGATCGACTTGGTAGCCCTCTCAGCAACGGAGGTCTAGGATACAACATTGTGTCGGGCGGAACGGATAATCACCTGGTTCTTGTAGATCTGAAGAACCGGGGGGTGGATGGCGCCCGTGTTGAGCGTGTTCTGGAGCTCTGTGGTGTTGCTAGTAACAAGAACACCGTTCCAGGAGACAAGTCGGCTCTGAAGCCCGGTGGCCTCCGCTTGGGTACACCCGCCATGACCACTCGTGGCTTCCAGCCCGAGGACTTCCGCCGCGTGGCTGACATTGTTGATCGGGCTGTTGTCATCACTCAGAAGCTGGACAAGGCTGCCAAGGAGAGCGCTGCAGTTAAGGGCGCCAAGAACCCTAACACCGTCAAAGCTTTTCTAGAGTACGTTGGTGAGGGAGAGGAAATTTCGGAAATTGTGCTTCTGAGACAGGAGGTTGAGGACTGGGTGGGAACATTCAGTCTTCCATGGAAGGATGAGTAAATCGGCTTCTTTATGAAGAACTATGAAGTAAGGGATTGACTGGGATTCAATAAATATTACGGGAGTTACATGAGCATTAACGGTTCCTTTTATTCCTTTCTCTTCCTTTTATGTGGTCTGATGTCTGTATGTATCATGTACAAATGTTTATCCATTACAAGTCTACCGCAAAATAGGGTAAAAGTGCTCCCCAGGCTTGGCGGCCGTTATTTACTCTGGAGTAATGGATCTCCCCACCTGGTAATAACAGTACACTTGTTGGGGTTGGGGAGGGGTTGGGGTCTAGGCATGATGTAATCAATCGTTGAAAATTACTCCATAACTTGTGAGAATCAATTCTCTACTTTCTACTACCGACAACGTCCTTAAAGCCACTAAACTCACATCATGAAAATAAGTCAGGTAAAGCATCGCCTCTCTCCACTTCAATACGAAGGACTTACGCTCTTAGCTGTATATATATCCCATCAAGTCCCTTCGGGAGGTGGCGGTTTCTGAGGCTGTCCTTACAAGTATCGGCTTTAAGTATGATCGGCGTTTCATGCTCCTCAAGGTCAAACAAGGTGATGATGGTTCCGAAACTCTCCAGAATATGCATGTACCGCATTTCCCCGAAATGAGTTTGTTTTTAACGAACATCGTATTCCCGACTGAGGATAACAACGGAAAGATTATTGTCACTTATCGCCCGCCGCGCGTGGAAGACAACCATGATCCTCGGATCAAAACATTGGAAGTACCATTAGAACCAGACGTACGGGGGCTGGAAAAGTCGACTGTCACAATCCATCAAAGTCCGACAACAGGATACCATATGGGTAGCAAGTATAGCAACTGGTTCAGCCAGTGTTTCGGATACAAAGTGGTACTAGTATACCTAGGTCCACATTGGAGGAGGGTATTAGGGAGTTTTCCGCCAGGAAAAAGTCAGGCGCATTGTGAAAAAGTAACCCCGCTTATCCCAACGCGGTCGGTAGCCGTCCTGGCTCTCTTAAGCCTGCTCCTCAACGTTATCGGTGAACCAATTGGGCAGAGGGATATTGGCTCATTAATTCTTCTTAGCCTACTAACTACAGCTGCTGCTACTCTCTTGGCTTTGGGTGTCAATAGGTACGGGTCCGGAGGCGGTAAAAGGAAGGACGAGAGAATTACATTTGCTGACACGGCGCCGTATCTTGTGATATCGGAGAAATCGGTGGACGACGTTACTGCCCGCTTAGCAGGTGACGAGGAGATGGATCTGACCAAATCCCGGCCAAACATTGTCATTTCCGGCGCAGAAACAGCTTTCGAGGAGGATTTCTGGGCCGAGCTAACAGTGAAGGATCACGTTCGGCTTCTTTTGACGGCGAATTGCATCCGGTGCCAAAGCCTCAACGTTGACTATACGACAGGGAAAATGGGAACTGGGGAGAGCGGCACAATTTTTAAAAAGCTGATGAAAGACCGAAGGGTGGACAAGGGCGCTAGGTTTTCTCCTGTGTTTGGAAGGTACTCGTTCTTAGACCAAAGCAGTGAGAATGCCTCAATACGAGTGGGAGATGAGGTAGTCGTGTCCAGAAGGGTGGAGGAACGGACAACATATGGTAAGTCTTAAGACCTAACCCAGATTAGACCTATGATTATTGACTATGCTACAGATTGGCCTGGCCTGACAAATTAGTTTACATATTTTCATGCAATCGCTCTAGCAACAAATATCGCCACATAAAACCTAGATACAAAGTGTCCATCAGCAGTTTGGTATGATATATAACTTGAGGTTGTGTACATTAAGTAGTAATCAGGTCCAGTGACATGCCAAGACATGCCAAGACATGCATCATTATTATCAATCACCTCAATCAACCTCCAGCAGTCATAAAGCCTTTTCCTTTCGTATCTCTTTTCTGCCTTCGTTCAAAGCCCCACAATCACAATGAGCGATTTTCCACCCTCAAGTCTTCGACCTCTTATCCTGGAAGTTTTCGAACTCCTCAAATCTAGGAAGGAGACGATATCCGTTGCGGAGACAGTATGTCGTCATACAAGCCCCATACTTTCTTTTCTGCAGAAACGGCATCCTAACCTTTCAGGCCGCGGGAGGACTCATTTCGGCAAGCTTGCTCTCTGTGTCAGGAGCGTCGGCTGTTTATAAGGGTGGATTGACCGTTCGTCTCTACCTTAGTTCCCTCTCTACGTTCAAAAAACACCCTTTAGAATAAGTATTAATTTGATAATAAGGTATACACTTTGGAATCTCGGATCACCTTTGCCGGATGGACCCCAGCTCATCTGGAGAACTACAATGGCCCAACGCCCGCCATTGTGGCCCAAATGGCCGACCACGTTCGCCACACTTTCGGCTCCACCTACACGGTGAGTGAGAGTGGAACAGCAGGGCCGACCGGTGGAACAATGAGGAATCGCACTCCGTAAATAATTTCCATGCTTTCTACAGGATATACGCGAACACATAGGCAGGGCTAATAATTCGTAGGGGCTATGTAGCTGTCGCAGTATCAACTGTACATAGGACGTACACACGAGAGGTGGAGACGGGTAGTGATGATCGTGGGAGGAACATGGTTGCCTTTGCTGAAGAGGGTTTAAAGTTGTTAAGGGATGTACTTGTTGGGAATGCAAATCTATAGATGATGGCATTTGTTTCTTCACGGAGTATCTCGGATGTGATGTCGATAGTGGTACTCCCTTTATATAGAGCATGGTGCTGTACTATGTGACCCATGGTTGGACTCAACCCACTTGAGGAGCTTCACCTTCTAATAATCGATATGTATGGTAGAAATTGACTCTATTCTAGCGCCTTTCTGGAACAATGTTTCTCTCTTGCGCTCAATCAAAAATACTTTACAAGTCAAGTTATCTCATCCATTAATCATTAGTCTCAGCACAGCCCCAATGACGCAGCTGAACACCGCCGCATGCCCCGTGACTCCCCACCAATCGTCACTGACTAAAAGCGCTTGAACGGCAGAAGTACTAAGTAAAAATACTCCCAAAACAGTTCACTGTTTCTCAGAAGCCAATCTTACTGGTCACTTCGTATCCATTCTTTGGTTCTGCAGTCACGGATAACTCGTGGGTAGGATCTTTTTTTTCTTCTTCTTTCACCAACTATACTATACCCCCTCTAATTCACCTTTCAACCGGATTTTATTCCCTTATTTATCCTGTCTCTGGTCATTTGTCTTGTTGGATACATCCCGGTGACTTCATTCTTCCCCTCGAACGTTTCCGTCATCTGCCGCCTACTGCGAACCGATCAGGCGCCCATATTTTCTCGCTCCCTGCCAGGGTGATTCTGCCCACCAAGGGATTGGCAAAATGGATACGGCAGCGATCCTTCGTCGTAAAGATACCACCAAGGGTCCTCCCTTGCGGATCTTATCACTAGGTATGCGCCCGGATGAAAAAGATATGTGGTTGTAGATCTCCGAGCTGACAGGTCAGATGGTGGCGGCGTCCGTGGCTACTCGATGCTCATCATCCTACAGGAACTTATGTATCGCGTTTACGTTGAGTGCGAAGGCAAGGCTCCTCGTCGCGATGAAATCCCCAAACCCTGCGATCACTTTGACCTCATTGTCGGCACCGGTACCGGCGGATTGATAGCCCTCATGCTGGGCCGTCTACGTCTCGACCTTGAAACTTGCAAAGAAGTTTACGTGCGCATGACTCGTAGGGTTTTCGAAACAGACAAGACCTTTGCTGGCATTCCATACCGATCAACGTTGTTCAAAGCCTCGAGATTGGAAGACGCTATTCGTGAGTGTGTGCGCGAACACACTGTCTTTGAGGCTGAGGGAAATGATATTTCGCCCGGCGCTCGCACATCTTTTGCCAACGCACCATTTAGCCCCAACTCGATCCCTCAGCGGTCTGGCAGTCGTGCCAGTTTCAGTACCATTGGTTCGCATTCTTCCAACCCCAGCCAGCGGAACTCGACGTTCATCAATGGTCTACGGTGGGGCAATCCGGATGCGCTGTTGTACGACAATAGGGAGTATCGCACGAAAACGTAGGCGCTCTTCTCTTATCTCTTTTTCTCATTTGTCTATAAATTACATCTCGGGCTAACATATTACGTTGTCAGTGCGGTTACCGCATTGTATAAGGGCACTACGCGCAATGGTTCAGCGGTATTCCTACGATCTTACGATTCCCGAAGAGAACCTCCACCGGAGTTTAACTGTACGGTCTGGCAAGCGGGTCGGGCTACATCAGCCACTGGTCTTGCATTTAAACCAATTCAGATCGGACAACATGTCTTCATTGACGAGGGTGCCGGTACTTATAACCCTGCGCCGCAGGTCCTGGACGAAGCGACGGTCAACGAGTGGCCCGGTCGTGAAGTTGGTGTGTTTATCAGCATCGGTACAGGTAAACGTCCACCGGGTACGAACAATCGACAACACGAATGGTGGGAGGATTTCTTTGGCGATGCGCTCGGCACATTTGCGGAGGCGCGCCGTCGGCTGATCGCTAAGATCGAGGGGTGTGAAGACATCCATAAGGATATGCTCCGGGAGCACCTGGCCAAGCGTAACGTCATCAAGGACAACTACTACCGACTGAACGTCGAAGTGGGTGTGGGAGAGTTTGGTATGAACGAATGGAATCGACTAGCCGACATCAGCACCAACACCCGTCGCTACCTCACCAGGCCCGAAGTTAAGAAGCAGATTCTCGATGCCGGTAGTAAATTTGCCAGAATTGAGCGCATGCACCGTCGGGCGGCTGCGCATGCGGCCGCTGGAAACGACTTGTCGACTTTCCCGGATGACAGTTCTATAACTCAGAGCCCAAGATTGTCTGTGATTCCACCTCCGATGCCAGACGCGGTGGAGTTGCCCGCTGAACTTCCGGGCGATTTTACTCTGCTGTCGCCGACAGGTCCCCCACCGCCGGCGAACGACGATGTTCTCCCTGTTCACCCAACCCCGCAAGATACAACAGCGGGGCGAGGTTCAACCAGTGACCTGGGTAGCTTCAGCCCTAGCGACAGCAGCCGACCTGGCTCGCGGCAACACGCTATAGATCATGCGTATGACGGTCTACCGCCCCCAGTACCTCCCAAGACTCCAATCCCATATCCTAGTGAGTTAGGAGGCATTCCCATGCCTACCCCTTTGGTGACTACCACAGGACATGCATCGAACGGGAAGATTCGACCGCCGTATCCCGTGGATGAACATCCGCCAGTGGTGAACAAGCAGCGGAAACCCAGCTATCACGTGCGATGAATTTGATTCATGACTCTTTTGATTTTGTTGGATCTTTTTTCCCCGCATGTTCTTTGATGGGCGTTACGATATAATGAACAAGGGGCAATGCTTTTTCTCTGGGTGCAGAGATTTCACGATTCTCATATTTCCCTTTCTTTTAATTCTCTTTTTTCTTTTTATTGTTATGATTCATCCCATTGAATTTCTTATGACTTACGGTTGTAGTTCTAAGAGTGATGATTATTATACCCTTTTCAGTTAGGTAGTAATTTCAGATTGGTTCCAAAGATGTTCTAGAACTTGAAATGATTCATGACTGATTGATTGTTCAACAGTAGTCTCTAGAAATGAAAATCGGTAGGATGGATCGAATTAAATATTGAATCCGCAATTGATATCAAAATCTGTGCTAATAGAATGTATATTTTGTCTTCTCTCTCTTTCCCTTCCTTTTTTTCTGATTTGTTTAGTCTTCGACAAATATATTTTAAATGAAATTAGTGGGGTCACGCTTCTTTACTCACCACCACCCGAACCAGCAGCCCAGCCTCTTCTCTTTCTTGCTCTATGGGCCTTCTCCCTTTCATATTATTTGTTCCCCCTGGATTCATACTGGTAAATCTTTCTTCTCGCTCTCGTAATTTTTTTCTTTTGTTCTTCTGCCCCTTTTCTCATGCATAGTGGCCTCTGACACATTCCTCGGCTGCCTATCAATCACGCATTCTATCTCTATCTACCTGTCCAACCGCCCGGTCAACCCCCGTTATCGCCGCCCACAGCTGATCTCATGGAGTAGCGCTTATTCTATTCTTACCTGTTTTTCATTGTCTCTTTTCGCGCGCACACTCCCTCAACATAGAAAACAGATACACTGCTGGCAGCGTTCATGATCTCTCGCTGCATATGGATCTCTCAACTCTCCAGGCTCGCTCCGACTCGGGCAGCGGCCGACCAGCTTCCTATAAAGCCATTGGCGTTTCTTTAGCCGTCGCATCGGGCCTATTCATCGGCGTTTCCTTCGTTCTTAAAAAGACGGGTCTGCTGAGGGCCAATGTCAAATACAATGAGGAAGCGGGCGAAGGGTACGGATATTTGAAGAACTTCTACTGGTGGGCGGGTATGACGCTGATGATAATCGGGGAAATCTGCAACTTCGTCGCCTATGCCTTCGTTGATGCTATTCTAGTAACCCCGATGGGTGCGCTGTCGGTCGTGGTGACGACCATCCTATCCGCGATTTTCCTCAAGGAACGGCTGAGCTTCGTCGGCAAGGTTGGCTGTTTCAACTGTATCCTCGGGTCTGTTATTATTGCAATGAATGCGCCTGAGCAGTCATCTGTAAGCAATATCCAGGAAATGCAGAAGTATGTTATCGCACCGGGGTTTTTGTCGTACACTGGCGTCATCATTGTGGGCAGCATTATCACGGCTGTGTGGGCTGGGCCTCGATACGGAAAGAAGAGCATGTTTGTCTACATTAGTATCTGCAGTTCTATCGGTGGCTTAAGCGTTGTCGCTACACAGGGTCTTGGGGCGGCCATTTTGGCGCAGATTAATGGAGAGTCACAGTTCAAACAATGGTTCCTCTACGTTTTGTTTGTGTTCGTCGTGGCGACTTTACTGACGGAAATTATTTATCTCAACGTTCGTGCCTATCCCAGATTTCCTTACCATTGCATTCGCCCGCTTTTTTCTTTCCTATTACTAATTTCGTCTAGAAAGCGTTGAATGTCTTCAATGCTGCCCTGGTTACACCCACCTATTATGTCTTTTTCACCAGCGCCACGATTATCACCTCTGCGATCCTCTTTAGAGGCTTTAAAGGGACTGGAATGCAGATAGCTACAGTCATCATGGGATTTTTGCAAATCTGTGCCGGCGTTGTCCTTCTGCAGCTCTCCAAGTCCGCCAAAGACGTGCCCGACTCTGCTGTCTTCAAAGGCGATCTCGACCAGATTCGTGAGGTGGTTACACAGGAAGAGCCAGAGACTGAACCAAAGGCCGATTCCATCCGTGGCACAGCCGCTATCATCCGTAGGATTTCGACACCTCGCCGCACAATGGAGGCAGAGGAGGCGCGACGCTACTTCCGGGAACGACAGGAGGATAAGCTACACCCGCCTGCAGAGAATGAGATTATCGAGTGGGATGGTTTGCGCCGGCGCAAGACTGTCCTCGGTGAAGGACCAACGATGACCCAGCATGGTGCTCGGACGCCATCAGTCAAGACGCCACTTCCTCCCTTGGGAATGTCCCGGTTTCCAGATGAATCAGAGCGCCCCAGTACCAGGCAAAGCAGCCGTTCTTTCTTAGATGAGATTCGAATGCGCTCGCCTAGCCATTCGTGGCAGCCAATCCAAGACCAGGAGCCCAGCCAGCCGGTGACTTTAGCGCCCATGTCATCGGTCCATAGTAGAAAAGTCGACACAGGCTATCCAGGACCGTCTCGCAGCGACACGCCACATTCTATAACATGGGCAGATGAAGCTCCCGAGCCCCCAGTACATGGAGCAAAACGCCAGTTCTCATTCCACGCGTTTCACCGGCTTAAGTCTGACCCATCTAAACCGCCTCGGGGCATCCTGCGGAAGGGTCATGAGCGTAAACCTACAGAGGAGGAGCGCCTGGGGTTGGTCCGAGGGGACGGTGCGGAAGATATGAGCGAGAAACTGGATCACACGTATTCAAGTGATAGCATGGAGAATGAGTTGCCGTCAGGCGCACGTACGTCCGCCGCGGCACCGCCATACGAAGAACACTATTACCATCCACTCGAAGCCAGTCCACAGCGACCGTCACGGCTCGTACGGAACCCACTTCCGCCATTGCCAGACGAGGCCCCTCTAGAACCCTACACTCAGGTCGAGCTTGACTCGCCTAGCTATCGCCGCATGTCTGATGCAAGCGCGGGGTCCCTTTCGTCGGGTCCAAGTAGAGGCTGGGAAGAAGGAGGCTGGCGACGGCCTTCAGGCGATGGAAAGACGACTAAACCGAGGAGCTCTTTTATATAGATATGTTGTATGCGATTGATGCTGTATGATAATGATAATGATGTATATAACATAACGACTTATGTCATGAGGGTATCACAAATAGACCTTGAACCTTTACAAACCAAATCAGACTCCAGTAAAAGACAAAACGCTCCTTTGCCCCTTGGGCATGATGTCCATCGCAAACCTAGCCTCCGACAATCTCTTACCCGCATCGATACTCTCGAGGATCCTGTATTCCACGATTAACTTCAACTACAACAACCTACGCCAGAGCGGAGAAGGAAAAAAATACCACTCAACAAAAACGACCTTAAACCCCTTCCATCCACCACGCGAAATCTCCTTCTGCAGCTTCGAAGCCGCAAGCCCCCCACCTGCACCCTTCCCAGGGCCAGAATTTGGCTTCCCAACAATAACATGCGATACCTTTCTCGAAAGCGACAGGGAGATCCCAGCACCATGTGTCGTAAGAAGCTGTTTTAGATAGTGATCCGAGACACGCGGATGATAAGTACTGTTGATATAAACGGTGAGGCCCTTAAATATCTGAGGGAAATCTTTAACCTCAGTCTCAGAGGAGATGGACGATGGCGAACGCGTCGACCCATCCACCTCCCCATCCAGAGGCGCAGAGACTCGCAGTTTCTTCTCGGATGACTTGTTGTCGGACGTTTCCTTAGATGACTTCGATCTCGACCTCTTTCCGACCCGCATCATGGACCGAATATCTCTCTGCCCTGGATCCCTTGATTCCCTTTGACTTGCGTGCGACCACACCCACTCCCTTTTGTCTTTGGATTTGGGCCCGTCATGGCCAATCGAATCTCTACAGTCGCCGGATGTCGATATGAATTGTCGGGTGAGTTTCTCTTCCCTTGTTCGACGCCAGGCTGTTCCCATCGAGGAATCGGCCCATTGATGGCCCGTTGACGAACTATTCCAGGGGTCGAAGATGAGATGGTTTTGGGGGGTTGGTGCCGTTTTGCCTGCTAGTATTGGATTTGGGTCGGGCATTTGGCATCTGTGCTCTTCTGTTTGTATGTTGAAGGGGAGGATGAGGGTTGTTGGAAGATTAAAAAGTCTGGATTGATATTACCATGGTTCAGTGTTGATGTTTTGCCGTTTTGGGCTAGCTTTGCTCGCTTCGGGCTTAGTTTGCGAATTCTTGTCACTGAGATTTAAGACTTGAATTATATATATGGTATTGCATCATAAGAGAAACATTCAGTCGATCGTAAGTCGTCTATGGGAATATTCACAAAAGAACTACTGAAAATTTTTACCACACATCCTCCTGCCATTTGTTCCTTCTCTTCATTCTCGTCCTCCACTCGTTCGCCTCATCCTGACCCTTCACGCTCATCACCCCTGCAACCGCTTTCTCGACCTCTCTTGCCATCTCGGCTTTTCCACAGATGTAAAAGTTGGCTCCCTCATTGATTAACCGGAAGACATCGTCGCCAACTTCGGAGATCTTATCCTGGACGTATTGTTTCTTGCCCTCTCGCGAGTACGCAGTGAAGATGCATAGTTTCTCTCCCAAAGCACTCGTCATCTCTTCCAGCTCATCCCTGTAGATGTAGTCCTCATGGGGCCGCCGGCATCCAAAGACAAGCAGCATCTCCCCGATCTCCTTCCCAATTTGCTGAAGCTGTCGGCGCTCGGCGATGAACGCTCGGAAAGGCGCCAGCCCTGTGCCTGCCGCAACCATGATAAGTGGGCACTTAGCGAGCGTGGGGAGTTTGAATTTGCTTTTACGGAGGTGCGAGAGCACCTTTCCACCTTCTAGGCTGTTGCTGGGTCCGTTGAGGTGGTATGTGAGTCCCTCTGGATGAGGTGCGGAGCGGAGGTTTTCGGATACGGCGAGGAGGTAGTTGGACGTAACACCGTGGATTAGTTCATCTCCATTCTCTGGGACAGGGGTGGTTGAGACAACAACGGTAATGGAAGCTTTACGCGGAGAAATAACACTGCTCGATGAGATGGAGTAGTACCGTGGTTGCATGAGAGGGAGTGTCTCAACGAGGTATGATAAGGGGATGTTCCATGTTTCAGTGCTGGCTTGTTGTAGCAGTCGGCCGAGATTAACGTGGTTTTTGTTGATAAATGCAGCATAGCTAGCCTTATCTTTGCCTAGGTGCTGAAGATATGCTTTGGCGGCTGGCGTCGGGGAGAACTGTGCCAATCCCACGACGTCGTCTCGATTGACGGTGCCGCAGATCTCGAGGTAGTAACGGAAGAGAGTTGCAACGGTAGTCGGGGATGGAATCTTTACTTTGGCGGTGGAGTCGAGGGACTTAATGTTAATAGGCACGTTGCGACGCAATGACAGGCCCAGGACCTGGAGGAGACGCTCAACCTCTGAATCTGGGTTTCCGGGCCAGATTGCAAGATGGTCACCGGTCTTGTAGGTAAATTCAGGCTGACTGGTGAGATCCAAATCTATGTGAAGGCAGTGTCTGTCAGGAGAGTTAAACAGCTCCCTGGAGGTGGAGATGGCCAAAGGCCGGATAGGAGAGCACTGCGCCTTGAGGGAGCCACCTTCCGGTTCTCCATTATGTAGGTCAATTGGCTCAAGGGTTTCATCTTCTAGCACAGACAAGGTAGGCATGTAGTGGACCTCATGTTCCTGAAAACCCAGGCACTTCAATATGGCAAACAGACTCTCCTTCCAGGTCATGAAGTCCTCCTGGGTGGCGCCCTCGGCATCATCGGCCTTTCCAACAGGCATCACGGCTTTCGCGCCTAGTTTATCCAGCTCTTCCACCACGACATCGATGATGCGGTTATAGTACTTATAATTTCTATTGCCTAAACCGAAGGCAAAGTATCTGACGGATGACAACAGCTGTCCATGATCCTTCGTCTTGTTGATCCAATCCCAAAACTCCGCCGAGTTGTCACTAGGATCTCCCTCCCCGTACGTTGACAGGAGGAAGCCGACCAGTCTTGACTGTGGGATTTCACTGATCGTCTCGGGATCGTACTCCGACAGGTCAGCCGTCATGGCACTCAGACTGAATCTCAGCGAGATCTCTCTCGCCAAGCGGCTGGCGAACCCCTCTGCCGTGCCAGACTGGGAACCCCAGAAGACGACCATGTCTTTGTTGGTCTCTTCCAGTTTCTTAGCGATGTTTCTCGTCTCCTTGGCGGCGGAGCCAACAGCACCTCCATTTTTGAGTTGCGGTCGCTCGTAAACGAGATGTTGGTATGGATCAGGCTGGTCCCAAAGATAACCCCGAGAGAGATATGTGGCGGCTGCCACGGAGAAGACAGCTAGGGCCGAGTAGTCAGCAATACCGCTTGGGGTGAGTGATTTGGAGAGTTCTTGCAGAACTTCCGGGGGTATATTCAGAGGAAGAGGCCACGGAGGCGTCATTATGTCTCCGGGATATAAATTAAATAGTATATGAAATTGGTAGCATTACAAGAAAATGTGCGAGTGAGGATATCCCGGTTTTATATAAATTCCAAAGAAATGGCAGAGAAAAGAGGTAGATAATCCCAAACTAATCAAACGGTAAAATCGACCAGACATCGGAAGCAAAACACCTATTCAGGACATTATCGGTCTTTTGCCAGCCCTCCGTCTCCGCCTGTGGACCAGTTTTTCGGGGGGAAAAAAGAGTAAGGAAACCCGACCGAACGGGCGAGATATCTCAATCCAACAATGCACGCCCGCAGGATTCAGCATGGTGATATGCACGAGTGAAACAGCAGATCAACCGAATCCACGTCAAAACAAGGTTCATCTCCATGTCCAGGGAAATCGATGATGTGGATCCATAGTGTTAGTAGGTACGTGCATTTTCTGAAGTAGGGATATCAAATGCGGGGAGTGCTTGCAAGAAGAATTATTCCCCGGGAGAATTGTGGGAAAGATGGGAAGGGGAATCTTTCCATTTCGGGATGATCTACTTCTCTATAAATCTTTCTTTAGGGTTGTGATCTCATCACGGGATTACATAATGCACGGGCAGCAGTTGGAACAACTTAAACTACTACATAGTACAATAGTAGTAAGTTAACCTCCGCACATTTTTTATATCTGATATCACATTGGCGAATTGCGCATCTCCAAGCTGATGCTCGCTTCCCGAAGGAACTATGATACTCTGCTTCGTTGTCCCAGCTGCTGCTGACGGGAGGGATTCTCGCCCCTTGATGTCAGTTCTAGGCGACCTTGATAGCGGCCGATTGGCGAATAATTGTTGTTCTGTCTCCGATCCACGGAGGGGTAATGTTATCGTCCTGGATGTACAGGAATTTTTTAACATCCTACGAACATTGCATAAGTAAAAATCATTGGTAAGTTCTTGTAGGCCACTCTTCCCTTCACTAAGCGGCATACCGTGCTTTGTAACTGCCTCTAAGTATGCAAACCGACTGCCCCAGTCCGTGATTGCGAGGACATGATTGAGTCAAGATTGTGCTACAATAGCCTTACTACGGTGTAGGCCATAATATTACAGACGCGACCTTTTAGAAATCAATAAATCCCATAGGGTGGCAAGAAATACTTAAGTACGTCTCATGCAATAGGTAATAGACACAAGGAAAATCGTAAAAATTTTAGACTATTCATGCCTCATACAAATTGCGCCTCCACACCTTGACGGGCATATCTCCCAAGATCAAGTTCATTGTCTCCAACCGCTTCAGCTCCCACCCGGGATGTGGCAGTGCAAACTCGTATCGATGTACCAGCGTAGCCAGGATCTTAGTCTGTTCTAGATACGAAATGTTTCGACCAATGCAGGATCTCGCGCCCGCCGAAAAGGCAATCAAGTATGGTTGAAGAGCCTTGCCCTCTTCCCCTAGCCACCGTTCTGGAATGTACTGGTCTGACTTGGGGAAGACACTTTCATCACGGTGTACCACATATGCGGACATGCTAACCGACGTATTTCCGGCTACCCATTCACCGAGGATCTCCGCACCCTCGGGGGGTGTCTCACGGGGAAGACCGTGCGATGTTGGTGGGAAGATGCGGAGGGATTCATCCAAACAAGCACGGAGATATGGGAGGTGCTTCACTTTATCATATGGGGCGACGATCTCTTCTGGATCCAGCACGGAATCGATCTCCTCACGGAGCTTTCCCAGGGACTCCGGGTTCCGAAGAAGCTGATACATAACGTTCGCGATAGCAATTGCAGTTGTCACACTACCGGCGTTCATCATAATATTCATCTCGGCGACGATCTCACCCCATTCTAAATTGTTGGCTCTGCCGTTCTTGTCTTCCATCATCGCCTGAAAGAAGTCTTCGAGCTTCTCGCCTGCCTCGTACCGGCGCAGGCGGGTCATTGCCCGGCGCCACACGATGTTTTCCCAGTTATCTGCCGAAGTCTGCATGCGCTTGAAAAATGGGATCACATTGACCAGTCTATTGAGGGCTGGGTACCATTCATAGTTCCACAGAATGAGCGACTGCTTACGAGCACTTGGGTACAGCGCCTCGCGAAGATTGACCTCGTATATCGAACCATCCTTTCTCTCAGCGATACAGACATCGCTTCCTGTATCCAGGAAGCCAAGCTTCTCCGATAATCCGATATCAGCGATGGCATCAAGGGTAAAGAAATTGGTCCAAGCTCTGAAATCAACGGTAAGGTCTTTCGGGTCCGGGGCTACCTTTCCCGCCGCCACGGCAGCGGAGGGTGGCGCCGTGCATACTTTGTCAAAATGCGCGACGACTTTCTCGACTTTATCACTGACTTTATGCTCCCATGTTTCTAAGTTCTTGAGCGCATATGCGGACGAAAGAACCTTGCGTTTCCGTGCATGGTCAGGCTTGTCGACCACGTCAGCAAGGTGATAGTGCGTTCCAGCCGTCACAGTGTAGGAGGGATCTTTGGTGCACTTGGTATTGTGCCCATAGATATTCTTAATTGCACGTACGTCCCCGTACGACAGTTGATTAGGTCCGGTCCGAATGACGGGCTTGGTTTTGTGAAGTTCCTGGAGCTCTTTCGAGCGGAAGCCTCTCGATGCGAGGATCATGAAAGGTATTGCAGACATTCCAGAAAAGGGATTCAGGTTGGGGTATCTCCGGAGCCCTATTTATGTTAACGAATGTCTAAACTAGTAAGAGGAAACCTTGTACAACATAAACATACCTTTGGGGTCCCTAATATACTCCACCCATGGAAAGACGACAAAGTACAGCAGAGAAAATATCCCCAGCGCGAGCGCATAAGGGGCAACAGATAAAGCGGACCACATATTGCCTTTGATAGTCTGTCTACTGAGTCGAAAGTCCTATGTCCGACTGAATTGGAGTGTGGTTCTCTCCTGAGCAATAGATAATACGAAATGGTGAAGAAGATATCTTCCCGAATGCTTTATAAATGCTATCCATCCATGGTGAAAAACGGAGCTAGACACTTATACATATCCACGAATGGTGAGACTCAGGAATAATGGAGCTGTGAAGCGCTCTCGGCGATCATTAATTGTTTCTCCCAATGTATCAATGCACAGGACCGGGATAAATTTCCCATCATGATCACGTTTAGGGTGAGTTGTAAGTGCGGGGAATATTTCCCCTTTTCCCACTGAATACTTCTCGCTACCGGTCATATGCCAATAGCGATAGGGTATAAGAAATCGTGGGGCTCCATCTCCATTTCAAAGGAACGTCATCTTCAGCAGTGGGTTCTCAAAGGCGGCTACTATCCAGCTCCTGTCACTAGGCTTGACTGTGACTCTAATGAGGCACCCATGCTGCACGGCATTTGATGCAATAACCTTAATGGCGCCTGATAAATGAAGGCTAAGTCGTTGCGCCCTGAGGGCAACACCGGATCTGGGGTGGCCCACATCGGCATTTCTCCATGCCATGGAACGCGGTGGAATCTGGGGTAATACCCGCGGTGGATGGTTTCATTGCACTGGCTTGAGGGGAAGTGACTACTACATGAATGTTGTGTCTTGGTGTATGGATTGGTGAGTAGGCAGGTTGATCGCAATTTTTCCTCTCCTTTACTTCTGTTCCCATGTGTGCTTATGTGGATTGGTATCCGATTGATCCTATGACACTGTGGGCCTATTGGTTATGGATTCTGATTCCCTAAAACCCTCTGAAAACAAAGCGGAAATCTTCCATGACGAGGATCTAGCCTTAGTAAGCTTCGATGACTCCATTGAGGGAACAGATCCCCGAAAGGCAGTATGGCTGATTGTCTGTGCGGTGTCTATGGGCGGCTTTCTATTTGGTAAGGGTTACCGATAGTCCAGTAGTGCAGGCTGTTTATATGAATCTCGCTAACAGATTCAACGTCGCGCAGGCTATGATACTGGTGTCATATGTGCCGTGATAGTCAATCTGGGGTAGGACCTAGGAAAGCCACTCAATTCAAACGAACGGGAATTGGTCACCTCCGTAACCTCTGGAGGCGCGCTGATAGGCTCAGTAGTGGCAGTATGATGGCCGATAAGTACGGCCGCAAACTTGCCATTTACATAGGCTGTATCATCTACTTTATAGGAAGCATAATCCAAGCAGCTGCATTCTCGCTCGCTCGGATGACCGTTGGCCGCCTCATCGTGGGCTTCGGTGTCAGCGAGGTTGCCATGATTGTTCCGTTGTACATTGGGGAAATGGGCCCTGCCTGGTTTCGTGGCCGTCTCATAGTCTTTAACAATTTGTATGTCACTTTTAGCCCACTTATCTCATACGCACTCGGTGCCGCCTTCACAAGTGTAGCTTCTGGATGGAGATACATGGTGGGTCTCGGCGCAATTCCTGCTGTATTGCTCGTGGTAACGATGCCATTCTGCCCTGAGATACCTCGTCAATTGGTCTTGCATGGCCGAATAGAAGAGGCGAAGATTGTTCTTGCGAAGATATTCCCACGAGCCACTGACCAGCAGGTGGATGCGAAAGCCAGATTGATCCGTCATTCTATCGAAGAATCTACTGCTTCGGTATCCGATAAGAGCCTTATATGACAGTTGAGGGAGCTCTTTACCGTTGGTGCTAATGTGCGGGCTCTCATAACTGCCTGCAACGTTATGGCGGGTAGGTAAATCCATGGCTCTCACGCTTTCATTAGCAGCTGACAGGGTACAGTATCCCAACTGAGTAGCTTCAATACGCTAATGTACTATTCTACCACACTGTTCTCCATGGTCGGGTTTGACAAGCCCACGGTGGTGTCCATCGTACTTGGTGCCACCAACTTTATAGTCGGATTCCCGAACTTCATCCATATTCGTTGACCGCTTCGGCCGGCGGCGTATGCTCCCGGTCACCATCTTGGAATGGCAAGTCTCCCTTCATCATTTAAAGGTCTATATTGGATTGAGTGGCGTGCTAATCGTAAACAGTGCCTGTCTTTGGTGGTCGCTTCCGTAGCCTTCTGGATCCCAGTAAACCATGACCTTACCGCCATCGAAACACGCGAGATAGGCTGGCCCAATATCCTACGTCTCGTCTCTCTCATTCTATGTATTGCCTTCTACGCGGCAGGTGTGGCCCCGAACTCTTGGGTAGGGACTGAGTTCCTCCCCATTGAGGTTCGAGCATTATGAACGATGATGAACAGCGTTACCTGCTGGGGCTGCAACATTATACTATCATCCATCTTTCTGTCGATGATGAAGGGAATGATGCCCAGTGGAGCCTTTGGCTTCTACACCGGGATTACTTTCTTAGCTTTGCCTTCGCTATTTTCTGCTATGCGGAGGTTCACAACATGCCCCTCGAGTCTGTTCGTGAGATTTACGCCCGGGATTTGGCGTAAAGTATGCCAGAAAGGTACAGAAAGAGCTTCACGAGGCTAGGAATACGGAGAAGATCACAACGTGACCGCATTTGAGCGCCCGTCCTATTATAGCACGCTTCGGTCGCTGGTTAGCCAGCTGACTGTTTTGCCAACATGTTGCATACCTTGATAGGGTTTACGATTCGTCGCCATTTAGAGTTTTGGACATTTATAGAGATCCGCTGGGGTTAAACGCCTGCTGGATGCAGGGGTTCTGGGGTCATCATTCTTTGACTTCGTACATAGATGTAGCATAGGATACATAGAATGCAATGCAGTTCCGTGATATCTAGATCCCTGCCCGAGCCTGTGATGCTACACAGGACAAGATTAAGCTATACATGAGCTATGCAGATTTCATTCCCAGGTTCATGGGTACGCAGAGGCTGTTGCTGGGTTGACAGACTGCAACAGCTGGGGAGTGTCGATGGTTGATATCCAGCCTAACACATACATTGACATACCGATGTATATACACACATGTATACATGTGCCTCTCTCGACATATATATAAACCTATACATATAGATGTACATAGTAATTTAATGCCTCTGACTTAGCAAAATAACAATCTAGTACGGCTCCTACTCTGCCTGGAAAGCAGAGTTGTACTCAACAACGCCTACCTACCAGCTACCACAAGCAAGATTGCCACCGCAGCCGATCTTCCGAGCCAGATTGCCTGCCTGGATTGTACTAGATGTATAGTACATCATTGTCCCACGCACATGACACAATCTGGTTGCACAACATTCCACAGCACCATCAAATCACAAACGCCATGATGAAACGGAGGCTATCTACGCGACACAAGTGACGGTGAGCAAAGCGGTCAGTCTGAAATATGCTTGCTGACAGAACCAAACGGGAAAGGATTAACATTCAATTTAAGCCGGAATGGGGCAGGAGTCACGTCTCATTCAACACCGTCATCAACTCAGGAATGTTAGATGGAAGATATTGATGGTATGGTTCCTTTATCTCAGATTGCTACGGGAAAAAACTTAAAACGTGTATAGATTCTATTGCTACGTCATATTGTGTCCTTTCTTTTTAAAAATTGGGATTTCTTTCATTTCCCTCGTGGCATCTGACAAGTTTGAGACGTCGCCTTAGTTGGGGTATGATATGTATACTACTTCTATCTCCACATGCATACATCGTCTTGGAAAGTTTAACCCTTTTTTATTTTTTTCTTGATCTCTTTCGGGTGCGGATTGCATGATCGATGTCCGATTATACCTGGGATCGGTACACGCGAACATGGCACAGAGTCATGTCTAAAATGGAACACTATTGAATTGATCTCATGGATAAAGGAAAAGTGAGAACAGACCGACTGGTGACCCCCGCACACTACTTCCACTAGTCGTAGTTTCTGCTCGGTTCTGCATTGGAGATCGCGGGTCCATGCGCGCCGATTTCATCTAATTGATTTTACTCCTTCCTTCATTTTGAGTTGGTGTTGTGTCTCTCTTTTCTTTTTTGACTGTCATTTATTGTCAGGTATATATATATATATATATATATACATATTAAAAAAATTAAGTAAAGAAAAACCTAACTTACACGGACTCCCTAAGAAGAATGAAGAAAGAATAGAACCAAGTTAGTCCGATTGTTCCCCGTTCCAAAACCCAAAACAGGCGATCCCGGTCTACACTCGCATATGCACTACGGGTCGCTGCAGCTGAAACCCGGATCCCGTCGACTTAGAGGGGAAATGGGCTAGGCCCTAGGCGGCACTAAAAGAGCAAGGAGGGGAGAGAGGGAGACATTAGGAAGAAGTCGGGGTGTAATCTGCGGTCAGACTTTAGTAGCCCAACTCTCACTACTTCATTTAGGGTTAGTTTGCCGTACAAGAAGTCAAAGGAGGGGAGAGAGGGGGGCAAGGGACAACTGAATTGAAGTAGTACATTTAGTTCACCATTTCAACTTATTCCGTTGGATACTAAACAAGAGTACTAGTATCTCCGAATGAGATCGCACACCGAGGGAGGGGGGGAAAGGGAAGGGGGGGGGGGGATGATAGGAGGAGAGTTGGTCCAACACATCTCTCTCTATTTGATTAAGAAAGATTGATTAAATCTGAGAGGTACAGGAGTAGTCACGTTTTGTAATTTATTTATTTTAATATTATTTATTTATTACTAGAGTAGAATAGAATAATGAACACTGCGTCAACGGTGTCCCCGTGTCGTGACTGACGTGGTCGCTCCCTCAGCCAGTCGATATTCTGCGCTTATCCACCCGGGCATGTGCAGAATCATTCTATCCACCAATTATCCCGTTTGGCTTTTCTTTCTCATTCCACTTTCCCTAAAATCCTTTTTTTCTTTTCAATTTTTTTTAACACACTTGATTATGATTACCCTCTTTAGAGAGAGAGAGAAAGAGAGAAAGCCCCCCAAAAGAGGTCCGTGGGCAAATTCGCCCTGCTTCTCGTTCTTGGCACTCCCATTCGGTATATCCATTGTCCGTTAGAAGTGCATGTGGGAGAGATGTGAAAAGTACTTACTGTATGTACTGTACTTACTTATTTCTACCCTTAACTTAGTGATCGGTAAAGTTCAACGGTATAGCCCAGTTAGGCAGTTGCAAGGTTATTGCCAGATTGCTTGTTCCATCCACTCATTCCCTCCCAAATGCCATCTACGTCAGGTTTTGGTGATTCATAGCTGACGAGAATGGCCCCATCTCATCCCTATCCCTACCCTTCTCTAGTCAAGTTGAGGTCCGATCACCATCCGAGATGATCTGTGATAGGCTCAAGTGAACGGACAATGTCCACCTCTCGGGCACAGGGATCGACCTGAGTCGTTACACAAGGCAATACTGGTCGAATGATCCTGGACATGGATTCATTGTCATCGTTATTTTTATTTTATCAATTTATTAATTATAATTATTTTGGGGGGGAGGGGGGGGGAAGCAAAAGAAAAGAAAAGAAATTTTTTCTTTTCCTTTTACTCCGTACTTGACTTTTTTCCCGTTTTTCTAAAAAAATTAAAAAATTGAAGAGAAAAAGGTTTTTTTTTACCACCCCTTCTTGAGACAGGGAAGAAAGAAAAATACTGATTATGCAGAAGTTATGAGGAGAAATCTCAACATTATTCTATCAGAAGACCTAGTTATGAGTCTATGCGTTGGAGCTGGAATTGAGATGATTGTATCATATTGTTATTCTTTTTTATTTTGTCTTTTTTTGCTGGCTGATATCTTTTGTTACTCCTCGCACCATGGGTATATATTCATTCATTCATGACGGTAGTACTCTGTAGTATAACTGCTACGGAATGCCGATAAGCAACACCAACCCCATCCTAACTACATACAATTGGAGGCTCCAAGAAAACAAAGAACTTGGAGTGACCTTACCTCCTACAACACCTCCAATGCCATCGCGTTCGTCATTCATCAATCAAAATCATGCAGTCGATCTCTGTGCACGGGTAACTCCGGAACATGCAATGTAAGGTTAATTACCTGCGTGCAGCTATAGCTACCGGTCTTATGCCCTCAACTAGGAGCTAGGAGTGACCTATGTAACCGGAAAAGAATCTAGTGTCGTGAGACCGAGCACTTACCTAGATGGAGTGATGATCTCCACTGATATTGGCCAGCATGTGCTAGACTTTTTAAAATGAGACCCTACAGCCGTCAAACGGGACCGAGCCAGGAGTCTGGATTCAGTCTTAGTGATCCAATCAACCGACCAAACACGGGGAGGGGTCTGGACTATGGTTTCCATATCATGATGAGTATCAGACGAGGGAAATTGGAAGCTAGCTATGAGGTGCCAATGGGAGACCTGTATATCCTCGGGATTGTTGTCTGTGAACTTAATTTTTATAGTAGATTTTAGCTTGTAGATTTGAATATTTATCTAATGTTGTACTGTCTGAGTTTCAATAAGCAGTGACACCTTCTTTGCCTGCGGGGTTGATGCAATCTCTGTTGTTTGGATAAGTAAATTGGCTCATGGGTCTGATGTTTGACTTTGCTATTTTAGGTTTTAGAAGGGATCGTTGTATGCATAATTATTTTTGTGCATGTAGCGTTTCGTATGTACAGAGATGTATATATATATATATATAACATAATCAAGTATATATGCGCAGTACGTGAAACCTACCAAGTGAGACCAGAGTCAACAGCCTGAATATTAATCGCCGGAAATTTTGTAGCTCTGGAATTAAAAATAGAGCTCTGGGATGACAGCCAGGATGTTGCGCCTATAATATTTACAACTATCCAGGACGGGTGTTGCACAGCATGGCGTAGTTGCCATGGCCTTGTCTAACCGGCGGCAAGTGCCTAAGACCCCAGTAGCCGCCCGGGTCAGCCTCTGGGTATTACTTAGTACTTGGTTGTAATGTTAGGGACTCCGTCAGGGGACGGGGGTCTGTGGTTGGTCATACGGAGTACTTTGTACTAGAGTACTAAGTATTCGGATAGCGGAGGTACTGTACATACACAACCGAGGTATTGCACACTACCGCTAGTGGGGAACCGGGGATGCCTATCATCAGAAGGAAGGAAGCCAAGAGGGAAAAGAGAATTGAGGTGCGTCGTACCTGCTTCACGGTTGAAGTCTACTGCAACTTGAAAGGGGAAAAGAGGGGACATGGTTACAGCAGTTCGCGCCAGAAGCTGACTTAATATTCTTACTATTATTACCTTATTACTTTTTTTCTTTGGAAAAAGAAAAGTATTCTCCTACGTGTCCGTGTTATACGAGTGAAGATCTGTTGGGTCCATGAAGGTTGTTGATTTGCTTGCATGACAGCTGCAGGTACGCTGTATGTCTCCGAATACCCTCCATAAGAACAATCCATTGCCAATAAATTAAAGCACTAGCGTAGGGAGTGGAAAGTCATAATCGCAGTCACCTATCAAGCCAGGTAATTGCTTAATCCCTGGTCATGTCATAAAATATAATAGATAGAGAAAAGAATCCAGTATCAATGGCTGTGTGTGAGACCCACTGAGGATTATTGCTGCCGTTGTCCGAAGGACTCCGTAACTCCGGAGAAGGTGAGAGTGAAAGTGTGACAAAAGTTGACAAATCTCTGGTGAATAACGCGTCCAATTAATTCCGAGGGGACCGCTTAATCCACCTACCGCAGCGCAGTGACGGGGTCAGTACTAGCGCCCGGCTCCAGTCGCTCCATTACAACTGGCCCTCTTGCCGATGGACGATTGGCTCCGATGGTCTAATACTTGTCGACTGCAACCGTCAAGCTAAACCAACTAAGCCACGGTGAGCTAAAGCAGCGGTCCGGCTGAAAAGACTAGGATCCATGATTTTCGTGTTTTCTCTTTCCCTTTTCAGTTTTTGGTAGGGTGTGTGGACTAACGCGTTGTGTAGCTGGAGCGTGGGATCGAATAATTACCTAGTCTGCTGCTACTAATTAGTCTGGTTTGGGTTTTTTTTTTTTTTTTTTGAGAGGATGATATTATAGTTCCATTGACGGTCTTTTTATTATTATTGTTTCTTCTTTTCCCGTGACCAGCTTTTGCAAACTTATCTTAGGTGCCATGATTATTAACTGGCATACTGAGGAATACTGTCGAACAACCCCGCAAGATCTGCTGTATGTACGACGGCTGCGGGTGTCGGGCCGTCGGTAGCGGAATTGCCATCCTGCGTGGCTAGATCTCGTCAGTTAACATGGAGGGGGCATATTTCTTTGTCCTCCAAGACCTCATCTGGATTGAGTTACATACCGACTTGTGTCAGAAGATAGCTTAAAAAAAAGGAAATGGAACACTGGAAAAGAAGAAAAAAGAATCTTGCCCGTAGATCCTAATCTTATTTACCTGCACCGCGGCAGTTTGAACAGTTGGAGTGGTGTAACTCATATTGTATGAAGGAGCTTTCACTAGATAGCAAACCTGGTCGATCATACAATAGGATAAATTTTGATAAACCATGCCTCTGCGTTTCGTCCGAAGTACAGTTTGTTGCTTTTGTCAACTAAAAACTAGTAAACACGGACCTCGTGGTGCATTGTGCTCTGGGGTTGGAGATGAATGTGCATCCAGACATGTTCGTTCGGCTACTAATGGAGATACACATGCATACTTCATACATGGTTAGTACATGTGTCCTGATGGACTTGAAACCATGCGAGACGTACGTATTCAGCACAAGCATGTATAGGACTAGGATCCTGGTGGCCTGTCTCGGCGCGTTGGTAGATTGCATGAGATGTTCCTGAGGTTAGTATGAAGGATAGTTACGGGTTAGTCAACCCTCTATAAGAGAGGAATACATGTGAACTACTACCAGGGTCGGTATAGATAGGCAAGGGTCGACAAATTGCACCGAATTAATATAGGACAATATAGAAAAGGTAGCATCAATAGTTCAGGCAAAAAGTTCTAAGTCAGCCTAGTATGTATATACACAAAAACTCCATACTTTGGGTACGCCCTGTGAGGATTTCGCACTACGACTAATAGGCAATGATTGACAACACTGGCTGACAGAAACTTTCATTGATGGGCCAGTTCCGAAAAAAGATAGAAGAGAGAGAGGGAGAAAAGAAGAAAAGAAAAAGTGAGTCCCTTTGAAGAAGGCAAAGAAAAATCAAGGGTAAAATGGAAGAAGACTGGGGGGAGGGAGGGAGTGTACAGTAGAAAGCCCGTTGTACATTCCTGTCGCCCGTATCTCTGATACTGTTGAGTACTCTAAGGTCCGTTCAGCAGACAGTGGGGTTAGACAATCAAAGTGGGGTATTATGTCGTGGACTAGATCGCTAGTTGGTTCCACCTCACGCAAGGGGTCGTGAGGAGGTGCTGCACTTCCGTAGGAAAAAGGTTTCTGGGCCTATCGTTTTGTCTGGTCCTTCCATCAGCCGAACATGAAATGATAGGGCTTGCTAGTCAAATGACACTGGATTGAATTTTGTTCATTGATGTCTCTGATATTGCCTGGAATATAAAAAAAAAAGAAATAAAAAAAGCGGTGAGACCCTGACTACTTTTGTTTCCTGTTGGAGAGAGTTCTTGCCCTTGCGCCTGAGACACGAATCATCTGAGATTAGGAAAGTCCTCTGGAGATGAGACTGAGATCCTGGAAATTCTTGATCGGTGCGCCTCACCGAATCTATCTTGTATGATGTATGTATGTCCATTCCATACATCACTACAAGATCATCACGAGCTCCTCTTAAGCGTGCGGCGTCGTCTCAGCCGGAAAATTGCCACGATTAGTTGGCCAGACTCTTAGAGGTATCGCCTACGAAGTCCTTCTTAATATTCATTATGTGGGTACGTTGTATCGTGTTCGGAACTCTCCAGCTATCCCTACGGGCCTTAGGTTGAGGGATTTCCCAAAGCGTTGATGGGATCAGTAGCGCTACCACCCTGAATAATACTAGGGCTAATCGATTATGATTGAGTGACTGGGGCGAAGATAAACTAAGATTGATTGATGTCGCATTGGCCGATTCCGCAAAAATATTCCTTTAGATTGGCGTCCCATAAATACAATACTAACCCTCCGTAATCACTTATTAGATAATAAACTATTCTACTCCGTAGTCTGAATCAGGTGTGCGACGAGAATGGGAATTTACTCCATATCCATCATATTTGAGGGCTTGGCAATTCAATTTTGGTGAGAGCTCTTGTGAAACGCCAACCATTCAACCACGATCACACTGTTGATTGGCGGAGTGCCGTCTAGTGGCCAGCGGAGATTTGGGGACCTGACCGGGGTCGTGGTCAAGGACGACATGGGGTTGGGCTCTCTTGACCGACTTCTGCTCCCTTCAACATCTCTCTGATCTATCCACCCACTACTACGTGGAGGTTGGTAGAAGGGTTGGAATCTCGACCGGCGCTAGACACGGAGTAAGAACCCTCGTATGATTTGAGTGAAAGGAAACGAAATTCATATCAAGGGGTTGATTATGGAAAGTTGTATAGGTAGTAGGTACATGGTATCCTATTCTTTGGAGGATCATAGATTGACAGCAAAAATTTATTTTTTGAGTTAGAACTTTTCTTTCGCCCATGATGATTATCTTATGGACCGAAGAAGAAAACTCTCGGAGTGTTGTGCCTAGTATCCGAAATTCTAAGCGTATGTTCCTGTTTACAAATCCCGACAGTATTTCCAAATCTTGAATAGTAGGTGGTGAATTGTGTCTACCTGTATCAGTTATTGGGAGTTATATCGAACCAGCATAATAATACTTTCAACTAACTACCCGACCGAGAGTCCTGACGCCGGGAAAAACAACATAAGAGGAAAGGAGTGGGAGAGAAAGAAGTGACAATTAGAGAGCAACCCTTGATCGTCTGTTGCCCGCACGCCACCTTAGCTTTCGTGGATTCTTCTTGACCACTGATCTATCCCTGCAGTCTGCACGAATCCCTGCCGCCATTCCTATCCTGGGTTGTTTCTTCTAGTTTTCTTCTGTTCTTGTGTGACATGGGTGACCTCGCTTGCTTGCATGATTCTATTTTCATCTTTTTCACTTATCAATAATTTTTTTAAATTAAATTATTTTATTTTTTTGGGGCGCTTGTTTTTTTCACCCGCGGGAAACTAACAAAAATAATTATAGTCTACAGTTCAATCTTGGATTTGGTTAACACCGTGCGGAGTATATTCCAAGAAATGACAATAGGGTATTCGAATTATTACTCCTACAGTACATAAGACCGGAGACACATTGCCAATTGCTTTATCATTTCCAATTGCCAATTCAAATGATACCACTGGATACAATAAATGACCAGTCATCTCGCATACGTCCATCATTCGATCGTGGTGACTTGTCAGCCTCTAGGTTAGGAGGTGTGTGGCGGGGGCCGCACCCTAACGCCCTCCAGATCGTCCCGAAAGCTTTAAATCATTTATCGCACACACCACCGGCTCCAGAGCCAAGGCGGTGGCCAATGGTTCTTTACTATCATATTGGGTCCCACTTGGATGGGAGGCTATCCATTGCTGGCGTTCCCTAGCGCCTTATGAATTGTGCCCAGCAGAGATCTCGTATTGGTATCGTTGACAATCTCTGAGGTTAGAAAGGTGACAAAAGCAAGTTGGTGGATCGTTAATGAAAATCACAAGAACCTCAATAATTTTATCTTATTCCGGTATACTCCGGAGGACTATAGAATCGGTGAGGTAAAAAAATATGACAGCAAGAATGTTATAGAAAGCTAGCTATATTGGGTCTCAAAGAATTGACCTGTATTGAATTTGTACCATTTTGTTTCCATTTCTTTCATGTTTCCTTTGTTTTTTTTTTTTTTTAATTTTTTTTTTTTTTTTTTTTTTTTTTTTTTTTCTTGTAGGGGTTGCCATCCACTCATCCATGGTCTCCCTCCTTTCCCTCCCCTGCCATGTCACCGCCAGTTACCCTCCACTGGTCGGCTCTCTCTTTTTGCCTCTTCCATCATTTTTGTAAGTTGAATACCGTAGCCTGTATGATATGATCCTTTAGTTTATTCGAATAGTTCGTTGGTCTGTGTGGAACGTTTCCCGCTGCTGTACATATCCCATGATCCACACCGTTTAGGCTGCGCGAATCTTGCATCCGTTGGAGAATACAATATGAATTATTCTTCTGACTAGTGTGTTATAGTCATTGTCATTATTAGCAATTTATTATCTCCAGGGTATTTTTATTCCCTTTCCCCTAATTTGCCTGGTGAACCTCTCGGCCCGGCAGCTCTCCTACCGGCCGAACAAGCCAGCGTCCTTAGTATCCACCCTGCATAACAGTACGGTGGTAGATACATACAGTACATGCACTGCAGCAATCGATAGTAGTAGACTCATGCTTTCCCTGATCGTTTCAGCAAAGAATTCACCACTCTGCTGCTCGTGGTAATTGGGGAGTTGGAGACTACAGGACATCAAATATGAATCTATGACAGTTCTTTCATTTGAAGGATGATTCTTTACTGTGGATTGCTCCATTAAATGCTCCGTGGAAAAGTAAAAGCTTACGGTGTGGTTCTTCGGTTCACATAGTGGGACCCGTGCCCAGCGTGGAGACAACCCAGCTATTCGAACCTGGAACACGCCTGTCATCCGTCATTTTTGTTTCGCTTTGAACTCCAGAGTCTCTGCGCATATCAATTCCAAGACCGCTGTTGCTTGGTTTTATGGATTAGTATTATATGGAGTAAAGTACTATACACATCGGTATATATATATATATATATATATATATAAATTCCTTACTTTTTATTACTATTACCCATTTCCCCCCTTATCTTAATCCCCTTTGTTAAAAAATTTCTTAGCTCCAACTCCAGTACGGAAAAAGGAAAAAACCTAGTTTTGGCAGGGGCAGAGTTGGTAGTATGCCTTTAGTCTTGCCAGGTAGATGGGGCAAAGCTTTAGTTCCAGACGTGAGTGTGAGTTAATCAAATTTCAATGAAAAAGATGAATTTTTTTCTCTCTTAGCACCTACTATTGATTGCTTTAGGGCGATCCAGCATCATCCTAGGAGTGCAGGACGATCGAATGACTTACAGCTAGCTAGGCGATCGGTCCCAACAGTTCACACTGGCTCCCGGCTATCGCAGTCAATATGAAGTAAAAAAAAACAAAAAATTTTTAGTAGCTAATTATTTTCTGTCTCCGTCCTCCTTCATTGTCTGTCTGGCGTTTCTTTTACTCTATACTAGGTAGTGGCTTTTGTCCGAAAATCGCTGGAGTATGATCAACATTATATGCTCAGAGGAAGAGGAAGAATAGTATTATCACGATAGAGCTTGAAATTTCCATTATCCATTTTAGATTGCCTTTGTCTGATCAGATTGATCTTCTGAACTGGTCATTTAATGATTGAATGTCTCATTTTGTAAATTTACGAGATGCGAATCGTTTCTAAATGGAGCTCGCCCTTGTAAAACCGAACGACATTCTTTGACTGTTTGCCCATAACCAGTCGGCGCTTTCAATATCATACAAATCTATACTAGTATCTGTTATTTTGCATCATTTTGTTTTCCTTTTTCTTTCTGTTGCGTAATCATCTATTCGTTATGATCTTCCTCACCTCCTCTTTCCCTCTACCCCAATTACCAGTAAAAACCAAACCCCTTCAGCACCAGCCAATCCCGACTAAGGGTGGTTCGGCTGGATCAGCATCGTCTTAGCCCAAACAGTGGTTCCTGTCCGGCGTCTTCTTTAGCTTATCCGGCCGGTGGTCCTTGCTTCGTGGCGGTTCTGAGAGAATCTCGCTGTCTGAGCTTGACACTGGGCTTCTGGACCCTGGTAGAAAGAAATTAGCAAAGTTGAGAAGGAGTAAGAGGTAGGAGATCCCACGGCGGTATCTCTCCGCTCTTCCACAGGCGAGAGACGCACGGTTGTCTTTCCCAGAAGATCAATCCTACTTACTCGGGCACTCCTCTTCGTCTCTTACTCACTCTCTCACTCTCAATCTTTCTTAGTTGCGGGATCCACACTTAAACTATTTCCTTTTTATTATAATTATTATTATTATTATCGCATCGCTGTTTTTTTATTTTATTTTATTTTTTATTTTATAATTATTATAATTACCCTTTTTTTACCCTTCCACCTTGGCTCTTAGGCTGCTGACACCTTGTTTTTTTTATTCTTTGCCCTTTTAATTTAAATCCGTGTTATTTTTATTTTCTCATGAAAGACCCAGAGCAGCTGCTTGGTACTTAGTTATAGTGACGGACGTCCAGTGATCCACTGCTTTGTTCCTTTCTCTCTTCCTCCAAACTTCCCTTTCTTCAGCACTTGAATCCATCGGGACCCAGGAAACGGACCGCGCCTCCATAGTTAAAAAGGCGAGACCCAGAAAACGGAAACAGAAAAGAAGGTTGAGAAGAGGGTGGCCAGCACGACACAAGCTATAAGCCTCGAAAAGAGACAGTTTGGCATCCGACCACAATTGCCTTGCAGCTTCTCTTACATTCCCGCGCAGCAGGTCTCAGAGAGAAACTGGTGATTGAGAAAGTCCCAAGGACACGTGCTGGTACGTGGTAATAATCTTTTCTATTTTTTATTTTTTTATTCTTTTTGTGGTTTCGCGGTTGGAAGTCGATGCTTCCTTGCTGCGGTATACCAGCCGCCTCAACCCCAACCTCCAATGACGGTTTCCTATGTCTTTCAATGAGGATACTATTTCCTGCGGTTCTTGTTTTACTGGCAGTCTAGTATCTGAGAAGCATCCTCTTTTGTTTCTGGAACGCGGTTTCGATCACTATTCTTCGGGAGTTCTGTTGCACCCGTCATCGCGTTGTGGTTGGTGATGTTGTTGGACCTCAGGTCAAAACCCACGCCAGCCTCCCACTAAGACGCGGAAGTTGAACGGCACCGCCGCCCACTCCCTTCCTTCCGAACACTCATTCTTCGCATTTTTTTTTTCTCTTCCATCCTCCCCCTCCCGACCCAAAATTCCTTCCCCCCCGTCACGTCCCAACCTTTCCCCCTCTTTGACCCATCCGTCAGCCGTTTATTCGCTGTCCATGAGTGAGAGCTTCCTGATTTCCACTCTCCCAATTCAGCTCTAATCCCCCGATCTTACAATCAAAACCAAATTTAATAAAAAAAAAAAAAAACAAACCACCTCCAGAAATCTTTGGTATATTTTGTCAATTTTCTTGTCCTTTTTTTCTCTCTAAAATTATTCTACCTATAGGTAGACTGGTGTGTCTCAAAAAGGCTCCGTGCCAGGTCGTGGTCCAGAATCAGTCAACCCACTCGGCGGCTGCAGAGATCCCTAGGCTTACTAGTTGGGTCCTGCGTTTGCTGTACGCCCCCAGCCTCCTCCACCTTTCCTGTATGATCTGCTGCTGCATTGCAATCATTCTTCTTTCCTCCACCGCCTGAGACTGCCATGATCGTCCACGCCGGGAGTGTCTAGGGGATTGTTTTTGAATTTTGGATTACTCTTTTTCTTCCATTTTTCTTTTTTTTCTTTTTTTTTTTTTTTAATTTTTTTTTTTTTTTTTTTTTTTTTTTTTTTTTTTTTTTTTTTTTGTTTTTTTTTTTTTTTTTTTTTTTTTTTTTTTTTTTCTCCCTGTCCACGGTACCAGTCTCCCTTGTCCGCCTCGTTAGTACACCAGCATCCCTTCCGTTTGACACCTTCTTATACATCTGTCGGACG